ATGGTCTGAAATAGGCACCTCAAGCTTGGTTCACCAAATTCAACGCTTCATTCCTTCGGTATGGCTTCTCCGTCTCTTCTTATGCTATTTTCATCCGTTGCTCCTCATTTGGTATTATCATTATTTTATTGTATGTGATGATATGATTATCACTAGGGATAATACCTCAGGTATATCTTATTTACAAGCACACCTTCATTGCCACTTTGATATGAAAAGTCTTGGTCAACTCCGTTATTTTGTGGGTCTTAAGATCTATGATGCTTCGCATGATATTTACTTGTCTCAAGTTAAATACGCCTCCGATCTCATATCTCGTGCTAACTTGAATGATAGCCAGACTGGGCCCACTCCTTTAGAGGCGAACTTTTGACTTACTCCTCTTGATGGTACTCCACTTGAGGACCCTTCGTGTTATCAACAGTTGATGGACTCTTTGATCTATGAATATTACTCATCCTGACATTATTAATGTTGTTTATGTGGTTAGTTAATTCATGACTAACCCTTGCACAATTCTGATGTGTTATACATTCTCAACTATGTTAAAGGAACTCTTTTGCATAGCCTTCACTTTTATGCTGACTTTTCTTCCGTTCTTGTTGGTTATTCTAATGTTGAGTGAACTGGTGATCCTACTGATGGACGTTCTATTACTGGTTAAGAGATTCCCTTATTTGTTAGCGCAACAGAAAACAAATGCTTGTCTCTCGTGCCAGCGCCGAGTCCGAGTATCATGCACTCGTTGATTTTCTTTCCGAGCTACTTTGGCTTCGGTAGCTACTTTTGGATCTTGAGGCTCCTCAACCATCTTTCATTTCTCTCCATTGCGACAGTGCAAGTGCTATCCAGATATCACGTAATGACGATTTTCATGAGCATACTAAGCATATAGAGCCTTGTTGCCATTTTATCCAACAACATTTTCGTGCGGACACTGTTTGCCTCTATCCTATTTTTTCCAAGAATCTTAAGGTGATTTTTACTTTATGACATTGAGTTTTAGAGAGTGTCCGTATATATTATTTTTGACTCTTTACATAAGCATGTTGTAACTCTATTTCATATACACAAATTCGTTTCTGGAAATATCGCGACAGATTTCAAGTGTCAGTTATCAAAGTTAAGGATGATAATAGATGAAATATGAACAAAACAAAGCAAAGCACAAGATTGGGCAATTTTCTGGTCTATTATTTCACAACTTTGAATCTGGGAAACTTACATATAGGGCCGTATATAGTTGACCCCAAGCCCAACTTTCTTTTTTTCTTTTTGAAAAAAATAAATACAAAAATTATATCGATTATTTGATATGCTAAAATGCCCAAACTTCTGTGGTCAAGAGAAAATGTTGATGATAAGCTGTGAGATAACCACGAGAAAATACTGTGCGACTTTCCGCATGCTTTCCTTATTCAAACTAACAAACATACATACACATACATACATATATACATATATATATATATATACACGCCTATCTGCAGTAATGTTGCTTGCGGTTTAAGCAATGGATGCCGGCCAGCGTCAGCCCGTCCAGGCCCGGCCCGTATGATACCTTAATTAAAATTCTGTTGCTTGCGGTTTAAGCAATGGATGCCGGCCAGCGTCAGCCCGGCCCGTATGATACCTTAAGTAAAATTCAGCAGCTACCTCTTTTTAATTTCTCTGTAAATTCTACCTACTTCACCATATATCTTCCACTTATTCAGAGATGAAATTGATAAATTATTATTATTTATTTATTGATAATAGGGCAGGGCAGGGCAGGGAGGGCACGTGTTGGATTTGAATTGGCTGACAATTTTGCATATGCGTACGCGTACGCACGAAATCGAAGGCAGAAAGTGAAGAAAACTCATGCGCGCACACGCACACACACGTAGTTATACAGAAACATACACACTAATAGAATTAATGATGCTAATTGCTCATATTGTATATATTTGAATAAATTTGTATATTAGTCAAACCTTTTTAACATATATACTTCTCCGTTGATTATGGGAATTATTGTATGAGTATGTATCCAATATTTTATTTTTAAAAAAATTGGTGATTTTCCAATCACACTTTTACACACAAACATCTTTTATTTAATTTGTTAAATTAATGTGATAAGTGATAAATAAGAGAAAATTAAAAGAAATCACTGTGTGACTTTCCGCAGGTTTCCTCATTCAAATAAATAAAATAAAATAAAATAAAAATAAATGGCTACTTAGTGTTGCTTGTGGTTTAAGCATTGCATTTCACCTTCGGACGTACATAAAAGATACATACATACATTATACGTACATATATGAATAATCATTCGGGAGTTAATTTTACTAACCAATGCTGCAACCTAACTCCTTAATTTACCTGACAAGTTTCCTTGCGAATACCGAAAATATCGATATACCGATTATCATAACGAAAAATAAATATCAAATTTATAATAGTTCCGATAATGTATCATGATGTAATTTTTAAAAATTCACTATATACCAATTATATTTATACAAATACATACTTCCTCCGTCGCAAATTAAAAGGGTTTTTGAGATTTTGTAATAAATTAAAAAATAATAGTATTTTATTAGTTAGCAAAAGCGTGTAAGAATTTTTGACTTTTTTGCCCTTGATTTTATATACAAAGTAATTATATATATAATGATATGTTTGTAATTTAAGTAAAGATTGGTATTCGTGTAAGATTATTTTTTCTAAAATAGAAAAGAATACTTTGAAATGGAATCGATGAAAATGATAAAATAATTACTTTGAATTAGGACGGAAGCAGTATAATTTTGACATGCGAAAAATATAAAATTAAAAAAAAAAAAAAATTGATATTTTCAAATTTTGGGTGTGAAAATTTGTATAAAATTTTGGCAAACCAAAGTTTTCAGTATATTAATAAAATGGCACATAATTTGACATACCAAAATTTCAATACAATTAGGATGAGTTTACTATTAATTGTAGAATTATTTTAATACATTATATAGTCATAAAATTAATTCAATATATGGTAACATAAAAGTTAATATAAATATTAGTACTTGGTAATTGATAAATGAATTCTACTCGTCTAAAAAAGATTAATTATTTTTAATTAGCATATTAGTACAAAATACTTTAATAATTAACTTAGATAAAATAATATTATTCATTTTAATTTCCCAAAATAAATATATCCTTACCGCATAAAATTTAATTTCGGAGCAACGTCCGCATTGTCACACAACACAATAAATTTAATTTTAATATAATATAAATATATTATATTGAATTCTTATCCCCCTGGCCGCCTACAAATTGGCGGGCCACGTGTCGGATTCCAATTGGCTGGAAAGCTCGACGGCAATTCTTCATATATACATCTACGTACACACGAAATCGAAATTGTAAAGAGAAACACTCATGCAAACACACACGTAGTTATACAGAAACATACACACAAACATGTATGTATGTATGATCGTGTTCTGATCTGATTAAAAAACATGGAGATTAAATCTCAACCGTCCATCGTTTACGTCGAAATCTCTCAGCCTGCCTATAAATAACGAATCCCCCCATAGCCTTCATCCACAAAATATTCAGCACAAATATAAAATTGCAGATTGCAGCAATGGCGGAGAAGATGGGGTACGGGAAGAAGACGACTTCGTCATACGATCCATCATCAAATAATAATCAATACTCTTATGAACTGTACGGAGATTCAGGCGGGAGGAAGACGACGAGTTCACCAAACCCTAATTCTGGACAGCAATATTATGCGGTGTACGGAAATTCAGGCGGAGCTCAGCCACAGCAGCAATGGAGTCGCGGTGGTTCTAATGCCGCCGCCGGAGAATATATAATCAGTAAGGAGCAAGGAGATCGTCGCCCCTCCACCCATCAACAAACCTACACAGGTTTTCGTCTCTACGGGTAATTAATTGAAATTAAATACGACCTTATGTGGAATACATACATTTAGGCTTATATATTATTGCTATTATTATTATTATTATTATGGGAATAGCTTGAATGTAATCTAGCTCTATTTTTATTCTTGTTGTTGTTGTTAATAGTTGGATATTAATTAGGGTGTGGATCTAATCAAACTTTGTTTTATTTGAATGTTGTATGTATATATTATTTATGTTCTTAATAAATTATCTATCAATACCGTTTTGTCAAATATTGATGATTCAACATCACCTTATAGATTATGATGCAAAAGAATTGTAGAGAAATAAAGAAAAAACTAAAATAATTCCATAAAATAATATGTTTGTTGTACTGGCAGCACACACGAAGGTCCTACGTAGTGAATATGTATGTTTTCAATTCCTTCCCATCAAGTTTTTCGCATGTATAAATATAGGCTGAATGAAATGAAATTTACACCCCTCGTTTTCTCAACTTCTCTCTTATCTACCTTCAACAATATCATATATATACATAGAATTTATATATACATACATACATTAACTAATATATTATATTTACATAGTAGCATACACAATACATATGTATATTAATTACTACTCACTAGTATATTATATATATAATATCATATATTATAATATTATATATAGTATATTATACAATATATAAAATTTATATATATGTAATTAATATTTCTATTGGCTAATTCTATAATAATATTACAACAATGCTACCTTATTTGAATAAATCTGAAAATTTTACCCTAAATACAAACTAATTGCAAAATAAACTATCACAACCTTTGATAATTTTCAAAGCAATCAACAATACAATAGTTAAATCGATATAATTATATAAGATATAAAAATCACTATAAAATTTAATGTAAAAATAATTGTATTGATGAAATATATATATATATATATTGCTACAAATAAAAACAATGATTTCAGACATTAATAACTCTTTAATCAAAATCTATCATCCTACACACAATACAATCTTTTACTACTGTATATGAGAAACCATTGATATATATATATATATATATATACACACATTGTTCATCCCTAAGGTTGGTCCAGAGATTCTTCTGTTTGCCTGTCTTTGTTTACTTCTCCATCTTCAAATAGTTTGTTCAGCTGGCCTACCAATGCCATCTTTGCATTTCTCATTAGAACTTTGCGTAATTCAATATTCGACAACTCTTTTGAATCAGGGTTATAATTCTTCAGTGACTTGTTCATGGTAGCCTCAGAATTAAACACATTCATCCTTTCTGAAGACACCTGAGAAATATTTCTGAATTTTTCCCTTAAACGACTCAAGAATGTCGATAGATCTTCAGTGTTACGGCCGATATTCCAATAGTGTGAGCCCTTAGCTTTTAAATTTGGGGCAGGAATCTTTATTGCTTTGAAAGACTGTTTGCATCGAGGACACTCCAGAATTTTATTCAAATACATATTTTTGTACTCGAAATGTGTCTTGCACCTATTGCAAGATGTCCAAAATGTGTTTGATCTTGTCCTTGTTGAAGACATATTCTCCTTCCTAGGAGGCCGGGAAGGATTATGCACTCCGACAGCAGGATACATAGGATTGAATACGGGAACGAATCCAAAATCCTGACTTGTTGGACGCGGATTCTGGTAAAAGTAAGCTCCACTTTCTCGATACATTGGGTGTACAAATCCTGAAAAAAAATCCTGTCGGGAAGGAACACTATATGTAGTGAATTCTGAATATCTCCGACTTTGTGTAGGATTAGCAGAAGTCGAAAATATAGTATTTGGAGCACTTGTTGAACAAGAACTATCAATAATTTGGTTTTGTGGAAGTATGTTTATCTTTAAATGATACGCATTTCGGCTCTCCTTTTCCGACAGTACACTCCATGCTTGTGACAATATTTGAAATGCGGCGTCGGCCCCTACAGATTTGTTCTTATCAGGGTGAAGGGCGAGCGCCATTTTCCGATATTGTTTTTTCAATGTGTCCTCATCAGCCAATGGATCGGCCCCCAATATGCCGTAATAATCGGGGGCCTCATTTATTTTGCGGTCACCGGCAATGTGTATATTGATGATGTCGATGAACTGAGACAAGCCATTCAGTTCAGGAAAGAGACTTTGAACTTTCAAAGCCAACCTCTTGGCTCCATTAATGTCTCCTTCAAGTAAATACTTTTCAGCCATATCTTTGGCTCTTACGGCTTCTTCTTTGTTGCATTCCATTTTTTTATTCTGCTTCGGAAAACTGAAGTCATAATTCCCAAGAGTACATATGAAAAAATGAAAAAAAAAAAAAAAAAAAAAAAGATTTGATAAATTAATGCGAATATAAGGATAAGTCGAACTAGTGCAAACAACAAATATCGTAACGGCTATTAACTGAATTTTGGAGGGAAAGAAAATGTGATGTGGGAAAATTGCTAATCCTAGAATTCATATACAAAAACATTTATGTTCAAATCACATGTTTCAACCACAAGTTTTCATAATAGATCTGAAGAATGAATAGTTTAAAGTGTTTTCAGATCTCATTGGGAAATTGTAATCCAATCTCAAAACCACATGGTGACTGAGATATGCAAAATTTTATAGCTATTTACATAGTAAATAAATTAATAGGCAATAAATAAAAACTAGAATCAATAACAAAACAAAGGGCAACCTAATGAAGCATGGAAATCAAATGGTCTCACTAACCAATGCAATTATTGTTTACTTAAAAAAAAAATAAAATAAAGGCGGAGGTATTAGGTTCGGCCGGGGTTTACCTAGTGCACTTTCGGTTAGCGACTGCGGGTTCCACGTCATCCAAAAAAAAAAAAAAAATTAAGACGACAAAAAAAAATTCTAAAAGTATTCAGACATCTGAAATTACCTTGCTCGAATGCAACGGGAAGAGTGGTTGCACTAGAATTATAGAACAACTGCAAATTTGAGAACTCAAATGAAGATATATTGCACTGAAATTTCCGATTTGTTTTAAATAAAGTTATCTTATGAAAAAATGATTTGTACTTTGCCTTTTATTTGTAACCCTGTGGCAAGAAACTTAATAGGAAAATGCCAGCAGATTTATGAGTCATTAAAATTTTAGCTATTTGGTTTGGATTCTATTTTGAATATTTGGCAACCTAATACTTTCCCAGAAATAGAATGAAATGAATTACACATTAATTAGCATTGCTTTAAAGGTTGAATAAACTTTCCTTATATCCTATAATAGGTGTTAATTAATTTTGATTCATAATTGACAAAGCAAGACAATCATGAACTCGCCATCTATAATACTTGTTTGAAAAATTACCACAAAAGCCCGGCAAATAAATGTACAATCCATAACTAAAAAGTGGTAAATAATTGAATGATTTGAATTTTTCGAAACATAAAATGTGATTGATGTATTTTGAAGTTCAATTTAAAATCAAATTTGATTTGATTGACATTTCGTTGAATTGTATGGATCTTACTGACCAATCATCGAACGAGTGAGGTCAGAGATAACGTCCTAGCTTGGGGATTTGAGGGCACAGCGTGGTCCCAGTGGGGGTTCAGGGGCAACACCCCCAAACCAACCGGTATGGGCTCGATTTTGATTATTGGGCTTGTAGTTAACATTTTGAAATTATTAGTGCAAATATTTGGCTTGATCTGCCCAATATAGATGATCCTGAGCAAACTAGTCAAACAAATTCTTGGGATATATATATATTTTTTTTTTGGGTTTTACATGTTTTTAGTAATTTTTTTTTTCCTCTAAAAATACTAAATCAAATCTTTATTTTTTTTATATTATACTACAAATCTATTATCATTCAAAATATTACATCAACCTCTGTTTATATCAAATCAAATAATTATTCAAATTCAACTTTTTATTATTAAAAAATATAAATCCAAAACTTCAAACCCACAAACAAACACACCCTTGGTGTTTTTTCTTAAATTTCTAGTGCAAAAGTGGAGGAAATATGTAGATCGAACTCATGGAAATGGAATCGATGTGGTGTAGTACAATGCTCATCAGCTTGTTGCAAAACTCCACGACGAAAATGGAGCTGAAATGTCATGGTTTTCTTCAACAACAAGATTTTACATTCAGTTCTACTATATCACAATATATAGTTGTAGTGCTTGCGGAAAAATCCTCTCATGTGTCTAGACATGCCCAAGCACTTGTAATTTATACAACTCATATTGCATCGTAAATTTACATGGATTGTAGAATTATACACCAATTGATTATATATTCACATTCAATAGAGCATAGATATTAGAGCCGGCAAAAACGGACTCGACACGAAATAATTGGGTTTTGATCAAATATTTCAACTCGATTATGTATACGGGTTGACACGAACCCAACACGACAATCCAATTATAATATATTAATATTGATTAATATATTCATTATATAGGTAAAATAATCATAAATTAATAATTTCCTCGTATATTTATTTAAACTAAGTTCAATGTTAAATAATTCAATCTAATTTACGTTCAAACAAATAAAAACTAACATAACACGACAACACAACAAAAAATTATTTAATTTAAATCAAAAAATTCGACTTAATTATGTATACGGGTCAACACAAGTCAACCCGAACCCGACACGATAATAAACGGGTCAACTCGAATCCGACACGATGATAAATGGGTCGAACTAGGGTTAAGTAATTTAACCCGTTTAAAGTATTCAAACCGACCCATTGTCAGCTCTGATAGATATACAAAATTAGGACAGCCACTACTTGAAAATAAATGTATATAAAGCCATAGGTTTAATACATATTAGGTGAATCTTTGGATTAATTGCGGTTATTAGCGAAACCAAAATATTCGATGGAGACGAAGATTGGAGGGGCGGAGGTATAAAAAATCAGTTTGTCTTGATGGATTTATCTAAAAGTAAATTTTATTAGTTAACTATGTATTTTAAACGGTATATTTTTTTAAAAATTATTATATACTAATTTAATTTAAATTAAATATAATAGTATAATAAAAAAAATTATAAAATATATAGACAAAATATATTACTACATTATTCATTCTATATCAATAAAAGAGTTTGTTGATGTGTTTTTTCAACAATAAAAAGTAAAATTCAAAAATAGAGAAATATCTCCGAATTTGATAAACGAGTGCCTAAGATTAAAGATTTCTAAACACCGTATAATATATAAAATAAAATAAGAAAAAATAAAATAAAAGACTGGAAAATTAAAAGTGAAAAAAACAATTCTGTTGAATTTGATGTCAGTTGAAGATCCTTTCTCTGTACAACACAGAATCCTTAAATAATCCCTTGAAGATACAGTTCGAACCGCCATCCGGTCGGTTACCATAACCGCTTTTAACTGCCCCAAAAGTTCTCTTCCCTTGACACGTATGAAAACCGTCCTACCATGTCCGACCTTTGAAAACCGCTTGCTGATTGAAGCTACCCTCCGCGATCAAAGACTGCCTTTTCACCCGACCTTTGAACTTGGTCCGGCTTCAATGCCCGACCTTCTTACACCCGACCTTTGAAATTTGTCCCGACTAGGTCCGACTTCAATGTCCGACCTTCTTACACCTGACCTTTGGAATTTGTCCCGACTAGGTCCGACTTCAATATCTGAACTATTTGGTCCCGACCAGGTCCAGTCTCATCATCCGTCCGACCTTTAGGATTAACCCGACCAGATTTGACCTTAACATCCGACCCTTAGCTCATCCGACCCAGTTATTGCAGTCATATTTAGACTTTTAAAAAACCCACTAAACTTTTCGAATAAATCTTTAAGCTAATGTTGGCAGCCCATTCTCTAAAGACCTATCCACCATTATTTTTTTTTTTTTTTTTTTTTTTTTTTGTGTTCAACAGAGTTATTAAAATTTTTAATTTTGGATCTCGATCAATCTTTCTATATTATGTAGTTGGCCGTCCTAATTCAATTTGATGTATCATTTTTATATTTATCTATTCCTAAAAGATAAAAATTATAAAATCATTATATAAATGTATAAGATAAATATATATATAATAATAAAATATTATTTTTTAAAAAATTTATTATACAAATCAAATGGATATTTTCTTCTTCAAAATTAACTTTTAAAAAAATAATAAAAATATATAAATAATGCCGCAATTTGGATGAGCAAGACGACCACACGAAAAGAAACTGATCTCTTCTTCTGTTCTCATAGTACAGTACAGTAGAGAAGAAGGGAGAGACATACATGGCTTCTCGTCTCTCTTCTTCCCTCACACTCTCAAACTTCTCTCCGCTGCATTGCAACCCTCCCTCCAAGAACCGCTGTACGTTTCTGCTATTTTTGCTACCTCAATTTCCTCCTCTCTTTTACTCAATTTGCGCCTGAAATATCCATGTCGTTGAAGGGGAGAGGCTTGCTTGGTTTATGGATTTTCCTAATCTTTACTTAGAGCTTATGAATTTTGAAACTTTTGGCTGATGTTTTTCCTTGATTGTGTGGTTAAGGAAGTGAACTGAAATGGAAAATAAGCTTTTGGCTTTGTTTATCGAGCTTTTGATTTCTTTTCTGTGTTTTTTCAATTGCATGATGAAGTTGAAAGGCTACTGCTTCGCCTTGGGTAAAGATGTGTAGCTGTATTATATGCCTGCTCGTTTTGCAGCTCCAAATTTACAGCAAGTTGGATTTCAAGTCAAATCCAGATTGGATGATGAGAGCTTCTCTCGCAGTATCGTTGATCAGCCATCAGAGCAGATCAATCCAGAGGTCTGAAATCCTATATTTGGTTAATTTTTTTACCCTTCTTCACTGCTAATCTTCTTTGTGTTTGTCTCAGCTTTACCCCAAATTCATCTTTGGTTACTCAATAGTGTCTGTTTTATGCTTAGTGAGATTGGAAAATGAACTTCAATGTTTTGTATGTGTTAATTTTTCAGCATATTGAAGTGACAGATGGTTCCTACACCATTTTGTATAAGAAATTCATATCTTGATTTCCTTTTCGTTTTGTCTCACCAGTTGATGAGTTCTTGTTTTATTGTTGCAAAAGCATGTATTGAATCACTATATGATCAATCTGTTGTCATTGCAAGTGATGTTTTGTAAACTTTCTGACAGGAATCTAACACCACAACGTCTCGTCGTCAATGTCTTACCTGTTTGTGTTCAACCGTAGCTTTGATAGTAGCTCCAGGAACATTTGATTCGGATCGCAAAGCAAAAGCTTTGGATGGTAATGAAAAAGCAGTGTGTCGCAATTGCGGGGGCAGTGGTGCTGTAATCTGTAAGTATACTTGTTCTAATTTTTTGTGTTTTAATCATTATGTGTAAGGGGAAAAAATACATGTTGAATTTGGACAACATTGTGCTAAACAACTTATATTTATTTGTCCATCCTTTTTATTTACTTGTGTGCACAGAAACAATAGGAAATTTCACTAAACAATCTCCCAAATTTTCTGCTCTATGTTCAGTCTGAGTTTTTCCCGGTTCCTTTTGAGTCTAAAACTTGCAGACATGAAGACAACCATATATATATATATAATTCTGAAATATTGGTGGTGTATGTAACATGGGAGGTAACATTTTGTAGACACTTGTTTGTAGATTTCATATTCAAAATGCATTTCAATACAGCATATTTTTTATGATCCTTTCTAGTACATGAGGTGTTCATTTGCTCTTTATTTAGGTGATATGTGTGGTGGTACAGGAAAATGGAAAGCTCTGAACCGAAAACGGGCAAAGGATGTCTATGAGTTTACAGAGTGTCCAAATTGCTACGGTAATAAACTTCTCTCGACTCAAATATCGAGTTATTTTGTGTAACAATGGTGATTTTTGTCAAGGTATATAGGAATGTCTTTATATCCTACAAAGATAGATACTTTATAGTCCCAAGCCACCAGGCCAATTACTAAACTCAAATTCCGAATAATCCTAAAGTAAATCCTTACATTTACATAGCCTGGGAGTATTCTAAACTAACCTAACAGACTTTCTATGAGAGTGGTATTTCCCAAAGTAATGACCATTCTCAATATTACAACATACTAGACAATGGAGTGAGAATACGAGAATGAATACCTATTCCATTCCTGCTTATTCGCCGTGCTGTTGAATTTGTTCATCGAGTTAAATTCCCACATGGTAATGATCCTTATATAGTTGGTTCAGAGAAAAGAGAATAATGTTGTTTTTCCTCTAGTTTGCAATGATAATTGTGAAACAAAATCTTTCCATCATTCCTTACTGATGCAATCCTTTTGTATCTTCTTTTGTTAGATGTTCTTGTGTATCTTCTTCTTCTTCTCTTAGATGTTAGTTTTCTCGACTTAAGCCGTTTAAACAGTGGACACTTCTGTGTGCAGGTCGAGGGAAGCTAGTGTGCCCCGTATGTTTAGGGACAGGTTTGCCGAATAACAAAGGTCTTCTTAGGAGGCCGGAGGCACGGCAGTTGCTTGACAAGATGTATAATGGCCGTTTGTTGCCCAAATCCTAGGTAAAGAATAATTCCTAGTTTATTCATACGTTGCACTACTACTGTACTTCCTCTACATCAATCTTTCATATCTTACATTATATTGTGGTGCTGCTTTGCTCTCTTTTCAAATTGAATATAATCTCTAATTTCGGGAGTTTATTCTTGTCTTATCGATTGTGTAATCTTCAAAGAAGATTTAAAATTATCGCTGCAAGAGGACCGTGTGAAAATGTAAAAATGGACACACAAGATTACCTTTAAGATAACTTTCCTTATCAGGAACTGCTGAAGATTCTGAAAAATAGACTAACATATTTCCAATCATATACCAACAATATATATTTTGTTGTCCCTGTGCTTGCCTATCGAATCGCTTAAGGGAACATTTGAGGTCAGTAAACACTTCACTTTCTCCCGGAAGTAATCTACATTCTGTTACTACTAGAGAAAAGGCGAGATTATCTTACTTGTAGTAAAGACCATTGATCTCAGCACATGCCCAAAAATACCCGCCAGTGCTATCTATGGTTCTGTCGTGCATATGACCAATAGATATTTCTTCAAGAACATTGAAGGATATAAATTTTTGATAATTAGATCCATCAATCACTGATTTCTCTGCTTTTCAATGCAGAATCAACAAGCTTCACCTTGGTGCTGTTCTCGCTGTTCACCAGTGCAAGTTTCTCGAGTGTAGTTTTAAGTTTTGATACTTCATCATCTTCAACTGTGTTCCCCCTCCTAACTGGTTTCCGTGCTCGATGAACTGTGGATTTAGCCTGTGGAGAATGCATGTGCCTTTTCAGTCTTGCGCTTAGTGCCTCTATGGAAGAGTGCAAGGCATCCAACTCGATTCCAGTAAATTTATCTGCACAGATATAAGAACCCATCGTATGAATATACTAATGAACATCTTTTTTTATCATATCAAGAGTTTCTGTAGATTCTATTATGTACCATTCAATATATAAATAACATTTTTTCAGAAACACATAATACACATCTAAAGTTTATTGTCAGCACTTAGGAAAAAAATGGCACAGTACAAAAGACAAGCTACTCACCTAGTGGTAACTTCCTTGCAAGAACTTTATGTTTCAAATTTGAAAAAACCCAACTCAATTTAAGATTTCAGAACATGAGAGAAGGGGACTAAAAGTAAAATTAGAAGAAAAAATTCAAAATTTTGAGAAAACTGATAAATACCTGCTTAATGATTCTACTTTATTTAATTTACTAGGCACACTAAACGCTTTGGTTACATATTCTGAATCCATCAAATCTTAATCTTTCGCCTGCCCTTTGTCGTACAAAACAATTAGTTTGTTTAATACATTTATTGCAGGATTCATACTTCAACAGAAACTTCTTCTCTACTGGAAAATTCAGAATAAAAAATAATACAATAAAATCCTTACCAAGTTCTAGCTTGAAATCTCGCTCTGCTTTGGAAAGTGGTTTTTTGTGCGCTCCAGGCAGCCTCCTCAAATTTTGTAAGCGCTCTTCCAGGGAGCTATGAAGTCTAACAGCACGAGCTACGCGATCCTCTATATTTTCTTGTTTTCTTTCAACAGCCGAAAGCTTATTTTTCATTTCTTGTATTCGAGAACTCTGGTTAACAAGTATCTTTTTTAACTGAGGAGCATGATGCTCAAGTTCAAAGTACACCTAGAAACAGCCATACAACGTCAGTTTTACAGGAATTCTACAATATCTAATGAATTAAGGAAAACAAAACTTTGTGTGTGCATGCCCTGTCTCGAAAGTGTACTTGAGTCCCAAGTTTATTTGATGTATGTCATGTGTGCTAAAAAATATGAGAGCACATCATTGTTTAAATCAACACATATTAAGCACCTCAACAATACATTGAAACACGCCAATATTATCACTAACCTGCTTTTCTTGAATAATAAGAACATACCTTGTGTGCGTACTCTACATAATTTTCATGAAAAAGCTTGAAGCACTGATGAAGCAGGGATCGTCCTTCAATAGAATCAGCCATAACAGCTCGTATATTTGGTGCAGAAGGTGGCACAAGAACTGCCTTAGGTCCACTAAGGAGTTCTTTGCTGATGATTGTTGGAGTTTCCTTCTCTTTTGGTTCTTCGGGGAGGGCAGTTTCACTCAGCTTTTCTACAAGATCAGTAAGCAACAGATTCCAAGTCTCCATCTGTAGCACTACACAGTCATTTGAAGTGGTAAGCCCCAAAATCCACGAGCTTCCAAAGGAATCTGACAAAGCCAGGAAACCATGAAGAGGTGACGGTGAGGATAAGTCACCCGGGCACGTAGTGAGGACTGAAAACACAGATGGGGTTTTCATTGGCTTTTCCTTGCCACTTGCCTGGTGTGTGAATGGGAGAAAATTCAACACAATTGAATCTATGCCCCCAGAATGAACACAAAATATTCTTTCAGAAAAAAGGGGATCAGCTATCATAGCCAAAGAGCTGTTTTCATCAGGCAAAGCTAAATCAACAATGGCTAAACTCAGTAAAGGAGGTGGATGTCCCAACCAAGCAGAATGGTGGTGATCAAGCTCTGTCAAAGAGAGGTCACTTGAAGCAGATTCACAAATCATAGCTGCACCAACAATCCGGTTAGAAGAATCAACACAAAGGCGAGGTGCAGCATCCATCTTCCAGACCGGCTGTATTTCATCAGCTAAAGCATCAAATTGCAGTACCCCACCACTCCAAGCAGTGACAAGAATTGAATCTTTTCCAACTAAATTATAAAGGAAACCAAGAGCACGCCCATTAAACACTCCATTTTGGACTTCAGGATCTTCAGTCGCACCATTACATACTTTACGCAGAGGTCCCTGAAATTAACTCTGTTAATAAATTGGGCGTGGCTTTAGACAACATGCAATTAGATAGAATTTTAACCAGATCAGATGCAAGAGACGTTGAGAAGTGAGGGAAAAAAATCAAGGCTCTCAAACAAATCTCAACATATATGAATAATAAATAGATAAAAAGATATTTTTTTTAAAAAAAAAAAAAAAAGTAGCCAATAAACATACAGAAGGAAGAGAGAAGTGATCACAAAATACCTGCAACAACACTGATGCATCAAATAAAACAAAAGGCTGAGATTTTGCCACTCCATACAATTTTCTACCATCTCCACCTTGACCTTCTAATTCAGGGAAGGTTGCCTCCAGCCAAGAAATCGCCATATTAGAATTATTAACAGCTTTTGAATCAGCAGATTTCAACCCAAATGTGCAAGCATCAGTATAAATTTCCAAAATTGATTCCCATTTGTAGACACTGTTCAAATGCATAGGAAATATTCAGTGCTCATAAATAACCTACCATATCAGAAAATAAGTGGCTAAAAAAATGAAAATATTTGCAGACTAAGCTATCTAGCAGTCAAACATCCAGTAACATCGATAGGATGTGGAGGAGAAGATTTTATTTCCTAAGGAACTACAGCAGTGAAATCAAGAAAGGATAAAGCGGATGGAAGTCACTTAGGTAACCTACATGACACCTATAAGATTATAGAACTAAAATGAACATAAGACTAGCCATCCCCAAGTATAATCTGGAAAAACTTAACTGAACATAGAAAAGTCACAAAAATCATGCTCTATTAAGGTACTTTTTGGCGAGTAGACTCACTATTTTCCAACAAAATTGGAGATTAACAAAAAAAGGAAGCAAAGAATAAATGGTGAATTACCTTCCAAAAGGAACAACAGGGCAAATTACGTAACTTGATCCGTCGCCAAACAAGAAAAAAACCTGAAATGAGAGCATCATTGTCAGTCTTCTAACATCTACATGAAATATTATTTAACCGCATATTGATACTCAGTTCAGGAAACCATGTGATGTCAGTACTCTGTAAGGAAATTAACCCATTCAAAACCAGCTAAACCAAAGTGCCCTCTTACACTGAATTTGTCCCACAAATGATCCTGCCCAAAAGAGAAGGAGACTGGACATGTTGCAGCTGCCTTACTAGAACTGCTAGGTTCTATAGGTTGCAAATAATATTCTTGCTCGGACTGTGTGGTGTCTGTAGACAAATCAAAAATCCTGCAAGCAAATCCAGCATCCCAACAAAATATTAGGGGCACATGTCTTCTAAACCATCACAATAACAATTAGATGTTTAGAAATAAACTGCAAATGGTTCAGCAGCATTTAATGCTTCAAAAGAGATGAGCACTTACATAGACATTTAGCGTTATGAACTTATGAAGCTTGTTAAGCTTATAATAAGGATAATCAGAATATGTGTCCTAATGATGGATTCTCTCTTTTTACTAAAGGCACAAATCAAAAGCAGCATGATCTTTACTTGATTAACTGCTATAATAGTATATTGGTAACAACCCATTAATGAAACAACAGACGTTGAAAGCAAATCAAGTGCAACTAAGTCCAACATTATACTTTTGGATGTGATGATTCCAATACAGCGCTTGTCTCTTATTAACTGAACAAAATTTCAGATACCAAGAATGAAAAATATTACCTGAAAACAGAATCAGAAGACAAGATTCCCATGTGTGTGTCACTGTAGGGGTGCCAAGAAATATGTAGGGTACGCACAAAGTTGTTTTTAATGAAGTAGAGTTCTGCGCCAACTGAAACAGTCCTGTAAAGAACTAGAATAGATTATGTTTTTTATTTGATCTAAAAGACCCTTTATATCAGATAAGAAGATAACCCCAAATAACACAAAGCATGGTCTTCAGTTCACAATGCTTTAAACATATATATATTCTGTAGATTTGTTTTCCATTCACAGGATTAACAAATATAGCATGAGAAGGAAATTATGGACCACAAATTTTACGTTTGAGATGCATAGCTCATATTCTTGCAGTATCTCCGTAATAAACAGAAACTATGCCCTTTAGTGCAGTCATGCCATATGCCTATTAAAGGAAGTTTTGATATCTCCCTAACAACTACTGTAAAAACTATATTATTTGTCATCAAAAGAGGAAAAAAGTAATGGTAACTCATAGATTCTAGAACTGTTATCATAACCATAACAAGAATTTACCAGGAGCTTGCATGTGAAGTGTCACATAAAAGACAACCATACTAATTTCACATTTTTAAAAATCTATAAACATAGAAGTAAAATGATAATCCACAATATTGAATTGCTAAAAATGGTATAGAAACAGATTCATTAGTTGTAAACATGGAATAGCATTGACAATAAACTCAAGAAATGAAGTTCATAAACACCAGAATAAAGAAAATAGAAAAGAGTATCATTATCTTTCAGCCTTGGGCATAAGACAATGCCTTCTAACATTATTCTCTCTAAGCTAGGTGGCACAAAATAATTACAATTATGTGAAAAAGCATAGCTTTGTCCTCAATTTCCCCCTCACATGCCCTTTCTCTCCTGTCAGATTTTCTAACAATACTTCTAGGATAATTGAGAGTAAATGGTACATGAGTGTAAAGAGCTACCATAGTACACCCACATCTCTTCATAGGTGGTCTTTGAGGGTATTTTACTTAGCTGAATAGAATTGGCTTATTGCAGTACAGCCAATTCTGTTGATACTTAGATAATTAAGTATACTAAAATTTTGCTTCCTGCCACAGTCACCAAGGTATAGCTCCTAAGAAGCGTAAAAAAAAGTCATGAAAAACGCACAACTGATGCAAGATATTTCATTTCTTATATAAGAATTCCATGCTTCAAGATTCAGCAGATAAACATTCAATCCTCCAAGAAACAAGCTAGTGAATCTTATTAAAGCAGGGTAGATGCTCTGCAAATGAAGTTGCACATACCGGCAGATAATTGTATTCTCTTCCACTGACGACCGTCCATACAGATACATTACCTGCAGGCCCTCCAGTCCAGCTAGAAACAAAGCTGATCCATTTCTGTTGATGGAAATTCTATTCACCTCAAAATTTAGTGGCACATCTGGGCATAACACCTATTATAGAAAACTAGGTCATATTAGGCATGGCATATTGTGTTTTCTACAGGTATCCTTGTATTACCAAAAGATATTAGTTAAGCCATCAAGGAAAGAACAACTCCTTGAGTTCCATGCTCAAGAGAGGCTCTAGGCACTATAACTTATAAAATATTCCTGGTATCTCATCTATACAGTAATAGTCATCTATCATCCGGTATCAATCGAGCCCACCTAAAACTTTTGCAACTTCTTATATAAACCTGTATTGAACTTTTGTTGCTCAATGTATGATTGAAATTGGATTGGTCAATGGAATAATAGAGATACGACTATCACACTCCAAGCTGCACGCAAACAATAAATCCATAGCAATGGAGGTTCACAGAAGTGAGGAAGGAAGGACCTTAGAGGGCGAAGCAGCGAGAATGGAGGCTGGGTCGGGTTCACCCAATCGTATCGAAATCCGGTGAAGACATTTCTTGCTCAAATCCCAGAAGTAAAGCCGAGAGTCTCCATCCCACGCCATGAGATTCGGAGGCAATCTTTCGGCGGCGGCGACGCTGGGTAGAGTGGCAGCGGGGGTGAATAGCGGGTGGTTCTGAATGGGAATCCATTGGAGCTCAGCAGCTCTGGGAGTCGAATTCGACGGCGAAGGCGTGGGAGATGGAGGAGCTTTGAATTCCGTTAGTTCGAAACCAAACCTCATGGCCTTTGTATCAATACGACGTCGCCCCTCGCGCCAAGGTTGGGACTCAGCTTATTTAGGCCCGCAAAAACCTGCCTGTTTTGCAAAGGCAAGCCGATGTGGCACCGTTCTAGGACCAGGAAGGAAGGCAAAGCCAGGGACGAGGAAGACGAAGACAGCGGCGCTGTGTTTCACCGAAGCCAAAAGAGAAAGGAAGACGACGGTGAAGGAAGCCGGAGACGAGCAAGATAGAGCTGACACCGCTCTAGAATCTAGATTAGGGTTTATTTTGTAAAATAGCGGGTTTGTTTGATTTTGAATTTGTGAATTTTTTTTTTTTTTTTTATTTTCTTTTCCTCGCATACACTCACCATCCAATGAGATATTTCCCAATTCAAACACGTATCATCCACCCATCATCGCATCGCATGTATACATACACAGGTAAATTTATGTACTCAATGGGTGATGATGCAAATTTTATATTACGAAGTTGTGTATCTATATATATATTCTTGAAACATATATATATATATATATACACACAGACGATAGGTCTTACGGATGACTACCTATTATATATATTCAATGTAAATGGAGTAGAGCTGCTGATTTGAAGAGCATCAAACGAGTATGCATTTATCAACACATTGATGTATGCATACATAATGTGTATATGTTCACCTAATAGGTAATTATGTAGGTAAAGCTTGGGTGGGACTTGGGCTATTGATTTAATCCTAAAGCGGGATCAATGCAATAAAATAAAAAAATAAAAAAATTAGTCTTATTTACATTGTCACTTGTTAGACATGTGTATGTATAAAATGATTTTATAAATCCACATATATATGTATATATATCTAATAAGGGATGATACAGATAGTAATTGAGGTGGGGGCGGAGCTACCGATCTGTTCATAAAGTGGAATCAAATCAGCAACATCCAAAGGCTCCCAACCCAATTTGCATCATTATTCATTTGGTGTATATATACAGATGTGTATATATAAAGTGACTTTATACTTACATATGTATTATATATATATATGAAATCAATAGCATTAAAGGACTCTCACTCTATCTGCATCAATCACTTATTAAATGTTTATATACATGCATGTATATGTATAAAATGACTTTATATATACACCTACGTGTATTTTATATATACATACGCGTGTATGTATAAAAATATACATATGTGTATATTTTATAAAGTGATTTTATACATATATATATATATGTTTATGTAACACCTAACAAATGATGATGCATTGGGACTCTGAGATCAGATCAATAGCATAAAAAAGGTCTCATGCCTTACCTGGTGCATCATTCATTTAATGATTGCATACATATGTGTAAACACCCAATGAATGATGGTGTTAGGGTGGAAGTGAGGATTGATTGTTTACTTTAATTTCATGTTAATGCAGATTTTTTTTACTTGTAATTTCCTTTGAGTCTAGTTAAGAAAGACAATCAATGTTAAAACACAAAGTTAGAGGGCTAATCTTTGAATGGAATAGAGCAGCAGCCACATTATGGTCCAATTCGTGACAAAGGTCTTTTTTTTTTTTTTTTTTTTAACAGGGAGAAGGCAGCCAGAATAAATAGAGTTCTTTCTTCTCCGATAGATGGTCAAAATTTCATTTGGGTTCAAATTGAATTGTTTATTGACACAGAAAAATCATGGAAAACCTCTAAATTATTTTTAATATTTTTCTAGTTAGCACTTTGGTTTGATTGCAGTCCCTTATAGATCCAGTAATTGAAATTTCCCTTTTTTCTGTCATCGGAAAGAGGCTCTAACAAGACCTGAGTGCACAGTTGCTGAAATATACGATCAATCCAAATACAAAGAATCTATCTCTAGTTCTTGAAGTGAAAGGTTTCTTCAAACAACAAAGAAGTTCCAATAAAAGGAACACAAGAGACTATTCTTCTCCAATTTGAATTTTACTCACATTTTGAATGAATTCAAAACATATTAGTAAAAATTTGTGTTTTTCAAAAATCAAATTTTATCGTTAGTAAGAGCTAGGGTGGGAGTGAGACTGTTGATTTGATCTCAAAACGGAATTATATCAGCAGCATCAAAAGTCTCCCAACCCTATTTTGATTATTACTCATATTGGTGTATAGATACATCGTGTGTTTGCATACATCAATAGGTAATGACGCAAATGAAAATGGAAGGAGGGTGGGGCTCTTGAGCTAATCCCAAATCAGAATCATATTAGCAGCATCAAAAGTTTTTTAGTCTCATTTGTATCATCACTCATATTGGTGTATACATACACATGTGTCAGTATACATCAATACGTGATTACGCAGATGGAGATGGAGTGGAGGTGGGGCTATTGAGATGTTGGTTTGAGATCATAGGGCTCTCATCGTGTGTATTATGTGTATATATAAAGTCACTCTATAAATACATATGTATGTATGTACCCAATAAATAATGACATAAATGAGGATGAAACTACTAATGTGATCTCAAGGCCGAATTAACTGAACAACATCAAAATACGTTTAAGTCCTATCAAGGATCATTATTCATTGAGTATATACATTCACAAGTATGTATATATAAAATAATTTTATACAGATGTATACACTAGTGATGGGACTGAGGGTTGGATATAGTCTCGAGACAAGATTATTACCATCATAAAAAGGCTCACACCTGTATCACCATAGATGTGTGTATATATATACATTCAATATATACAAACGAGATCGAATGAAAGTGTGTATTTTTATCCCGTATAATCAAATCAACAACATTAAAAAAAAATTTTCATCATAAAACACTTTATGGGTGTGTTTGTTTGGGGAATTGGATTTACACTGTTCATTCAATTTTCTCCCCCCAAAAATATCAAATCAAACACCTATTTTTTATTTTTTATATTATACTAAAAATCAATTTTACATTCAAAACATCACATCAATACCTATTTATATCACATCATACAACTATTCAAATTAAAAAATTTTCCTGTTCAAATCCCAACTCAAAATCCAATCACCTAAACAAACACACCCTGTAATATTTATGTAAAAAGTCTTCTTTTCAAATTAAGCCAAATAAAAAGACCCTTAATTTTATTATTATTATTATTATTATTTTTATTTATTTCTAAAACCCTATATAACCCAAAACTTTTTCTAGGCGCAGTGAGCTACACGAGGGCGGGCTCAAGCATTTAACGTAGCTTCGATATTCCCAACAAATGAGGAGAGCAGGCAGCAACGAGTAAAGAAAAAAAAAAAAAAAAGAAAAAAAACAAACGAAGAATGGCTGCCAGATCGCTTTGGCGTGCCACAACTAAGCTGGTTTTGGCGGCTACCGTGGTCGGTGGGGCCGGCGCTGCCGCAGCGGCTATTGCCAACTCCGAGGATCCCGCTACGGCCCTCAAGCTATCAACCACCGTGCCCATCCGCCTCTTCCGCGGGGCCATCACTGCTGCCGCTATTACCTTTGGTACGAGTGATTGCTAGAGTTCTGCTTAACATCTTGGGCACTAGATAAACGTTTTTCTTCTTACTAAATGTTATTTGTTCTATGGGTACATCGAAAGGGAAACCATTAATTTGCGCAGGTGCCCCGTCGTATGGGTTACGGACGATTGAGTAATTATGAGTTGATTGATTGTTCCTGCCTCTGTATCTATCTATTGAGTGAATTTTTGATCTGAGGTCGTATTGTGTTTTTTCGCTGTTTTTGTCAACAAACATAAAGGAAGAAGATATTACTGTCTTGGGTGGTTGGCTAGCAGTTATGGTTAGTAGGAAATTTCTGATGAACTCGGCGATATAATTGCTTGGAACTACATAATACATAGAATCACTTTAGTAAGGTTGATGCCGGGCCTGATTCGTTTTTCTGTTGATGTTGGCAACATGTATCTTGGTGGACAATCTGGGGGGAACATTTTTGAAATGTTTTAGCAGTGGAATTCCGTTTAACTTTTTTCGGGTCAATCTGATCCCCGCACCTAAGATGCTTGCAGTAATGTTGTACATTTGTTTATGCTATATGAAATACAGACATGACACACACATGGACACATTTTTAGTTTCATGAATTTGAAAATAGAGTTCAGATGAAAATTAATGGTTATGTAAAAACTGATAGGCGGATAATATCTTAGTCATGCCTCAAGCTTTTCTATATATATATATATATATATATATTTATTATTATTTTTTTATATATGTTATACTTTCTTGATATACTTAACTACGATCGATGCCTGCAACCAATTGTCTAAGGCCTGCATAGAGTTAATATGCAACGCCTCTTCTTAATAACTCTATTGATGGACCTGTCAAACTAAGCTGAGTGTTTGCTACGAAAACTGAGAATAATAATTCATAGAAGTGCATTTGTGTTGGAGTATGTTATGTTCTTCACAAAAAGTGGGAAGCTGGTCAATACAAACTGCTTACAATGATTGAAAGGCCATATGTAGTCTTTTTACTTTTATGGCTCTGGGCACTGTATTGTGGCTGAAGATAGCGAAAGCTAATGCAGTAAATGTCTCCATAATTTGAGCAAAATGATAAGGAGTGTAACAACTTCCTCATTCTCCATTTTGTTGGTGGAAGCACTTTTGAGTGGTTTTTGGAACCTCAATTCTTGATTGTCATGGAGTTCAATCAAATTATCAAACGTTTTCACATTGGCATTGCAAGCCACTAGAGTAGTGGACTCCTCTAGCACTAGCTTCTCTGAGTTGGAGTGTAACATTGAACTTGAAATGAAACCTCACGCAAACAGAACCCTAATGTTTGCAGAATTATATTGTAAACTTTTGGTAGAAATTTGATCTTTTAATATTTTCCTATTGTTGTAACTTTTTTTTTTGGTTTGTGTGTTCAATAGATTATGAATACTCACTCTGGGGATTACCAGAAGGTAGCATAGAAAGGGAAAAAATTAAGCATGAAGTTCACACTCGGGGTGCACAAAAACTTCAAGAACTTTGCTTCAAAAATGGTGGGATTTACATCAAGCTAGGTCAGCATGTTTCTCAGCTGGTATGCTGTTCTTGTGTGATTCCTTTTGGTTGCTATTTATCAAATGTGAAACTTAACTGCAGGATTTTTATTTAATTTTATTTTGAATTTCATTGTCTTAGGAATATTTAGTACCGGATGAATATGTGCTTGTTATGAGACAATCACTGCTGAATAAATGCCCTGTTTCATCATATGATCAAGTGCTAGAGGTTTTCAGGAAAGAACTTGGAGGAACACCTGATGAAGTAGGTACCCTCAATCATTTTTAATACTTAATAGTGATCCAAGTCTATCTTCTAGATAAACCTATAATGGTCTTGACTATATATCCCGAATATGGGAGACTGTTATTATTAGTATCAAAATTTGTTATTTGTACATCTGACCTGAGCATTGTTCTTGACAGATTTTCGATGAGTTCGATCCTGTCCCCATAGCCAGTGCTTCTTTAGCACAGGTCCACATTGCCCGAACTCATGAAGGACAACAAGTTGCTGTGAAGGTGCCCAAAGCTATTTAATTGCAGATTTGCAGTCTTTCACTAATGAGTTGTGAACTTATTCATGCTTTGATTCTTGTAACTTTAGGTTCAGCATACTCACATGACCGACACTGCAGCAGCAGATTATGCAACTGTTGAGTTACTTGTGAACACTTTACATTGGCTGGTTCCTTCTTTTGATTACAGGTGTAAAATGAAGTCAAGACATTTTCTTATATTTTCTTACATTTTGGGCACTAAGGTTTTGAATCTACCTCTAGAATGCATATTCTAGTGTTGATATTTGAGTGTTGATACAGTGTCTGGTACAATCTTTGGTCTTTGATATCTTGTATACATTTTATACATTTGAGGTGCTCTTATTTAGCAGGATCGTGACTTTTGATAGGCCTAGGGTGAAACAAAAATTGGGATCCTCATAAATACATGCAATATATATTGCCTATAAAATGAACGCTGACAATAAAGTATCAAGCTGCTTTTTATTGTTCACTTTAAGAAACATAGACCATATTTAGTTAAAATATTTTTATATATACTTATCATACAAATATATAGATAAAATGTAGGGCCTTATTGTCGTAGGCCCTGGGCAGGTGCCACTTTTGCCCTTTGCCCAGGGCCGGCCTGGATTTTTAGAATATATATAGTGTTAGTTTGGAAGTTAAAACTATCTTGTGCAGTGTTTTGCATCTTTTCACACCACAATGAATTTATTGTTTATAATGCTGTTTATTTATTTATTATTGTGACATTGAAGAAATTTGTTTTAACTATTTACAGGTGGCTGGTTGATGAAGTGCGGGAAAGTGTACCCAAGGTTTTTTGCTAATCTACTTTTCTTTTTGTTGGCTTTATCATGTTACGAAATTTGTCATCCTGATGGAATATATGACAAGTTTCTTTGGTTTCCATGGCCAGAACTCTCTCTCTCTCTCTCTCTCTCTCTCTCTCTCTCTCTCTCTCTTTCTCACACACACACACACACACACACACAATCAGGTCTGGATTATCGTTTCCTTTTTGGAAATCCTAAGTAACTTTTGTCTGCAAACAATCTTTCTTAAAATATCTGTAAGTTTGGAGCGAAAAAAAATTAGATAACATGATAGGTATTTCTGATATTGTGTCCAATGCTTTCCAATTGATTATTTATTCTGGTGCCTTGGATAATATGATAGGTAATTCTAACATTTTTTCTACTCTGTTCACAACCCCTTCATCAACTCATGTTATGATTTCCGATGGCTCTCTTTCTCCTGTACTTGGTTTTGCATATGTAGATTTCAACCCTTCTCTTTGTCACAAACTTGATCTTCCGGAAGACTGTGTGACAATGCAACATCCCTACATATTGTATCTGATCATGTATTTCATGAATGTGTGAAGCATGTTGAAGTTTACTATCACTTTATCCGTGACAAAGTCCAAGAAGTGATCATCTCTATAAAATATGTTAGGTCCAAAGATCAACGTGGAAATATTTTCACCAAGACGCTCAATGGAGTCCAAATTAATCATAATTGTTACAAGTTGGGCATGATAATATGCTCCAGTTTGGGGGAAAGGTTAACTATATAGTCCACATATAATTTAGATAGAGCTATATTAGGATCGGATTAGTAGAGTTTATTGATTGATTCTTTGTTGTGTATATATACATACATATGTGTGTGTGTGTGTGTAACCTTATGCTAATATATTGCATATTCTATTCTCATCTAACATATATCACTTGTCTCATTGAGAATTCTTCTAAATTCTAGTGTTTTTGAATACATATGTATATAGGATTGGAAGAAAGTAGTCATTTCTAACATTTAACATTCAAAGGTTTTTGTAATGTCTTGAATTTTAATATCTCCACATGGCTTTTGGTTTACATGTACAATTGCTTCTGTTAGTATCTACATCATCCCAGTGTCTCTCCTTTCTATACCAGGGGAAAGCTTCTGATAATTTAAAATTATTTTGTTGGAAGTTTGATGCATTTAATGAAGTTGACGTAAATTATGAATTGTAAAGCAGCCAAATGCTGATATGTTGCAATTAACTCTTCAGGAGCTTGATTTCTTGAATGAGGCCAAGAACAGTGTAAAATGTCTGGACAACTTTAGGAGATTCTCACCACATATTGCGGAATATGTTTATGCTCCTAGAATCCATTGGAACATGAGCACCTCAAAGTTGTTGGTTATGGAGTATATTGATGGAGCACAAGTAAGTGACTCTAAGACAATTCAAAAGCTTGGACTTCACCCAAGTGATGTTTCAAAACTGGTAAGTTAAATGCTCTTCTCAATCAAATTCAGGATACTTGCATGAAATTTTTGAGGGAAATCATACTATGACTTCATTCCTTTTGGCATGCATGTGAAATGCTTGAACCGTAAACTGAAGCTAGTATCCTGAATCTACTATTTCTTAATTTTGGTAAGTAATGTTGTAGTGTATGTTTTTTGTGTTTTGGTATTTGTTATTTTTTAAGAGAAATAGGGTATGCTTGGTAATTATTTGTGTTTTTGTTCGCCTATGCACTCAATTTTTTTCATCTCAAATATTTCCAAAACTTAAAAGTGGGATCCATGTATAATTATTTCTCTAAAATGAACAAATATATATACAAAACTCTAATTTATTTTAAACTAAATATATATTTCATTATAAACCAGCCATTAATCAAACATCTCATTCCAACCAGTAGAATCAAACTTTTAACCACAATCTCAACCGATAACCCAACATACCCTATCACTATTGGATGTGATGTTTTGTATAGAAATTTGGTGAAATTGTATAGTAAAAAAAGATTGAGAAAAACTGAAAAAGAATAAAACCTCGCTTATTCCTTGCAGCTCACTGAAGCTTTTGCCGAAATGATGTTCAAACATGGTTTTGTGCACTGTGATCCCCATGCTGCGAATGTGCTGGTTCGCCCTTTACCTTCTGCTAGTGGGAGGATTTTTGGTGAGGCCTCTATGTTGAGTATAGACTTCCATATTAGACATGCAATGTTTATTTGACGTGTGAATAGTCTTATTGAATTTTGTGCCATTTTCATGTATTTTAACCTTCAGTTTTTATAGTTCCTACTTACTTTGTTGTGTGCAATCTGCATTCAAAAATCTTTATCTTTTGCAAGCTAATAATTATTAAATTTAAACTATTACCAACCAGCTGCTATCGCTAGCATACTCAAGCTACAGTTTTTCTTTTCTCAGTTCTCTTATTTATAACCACGTATTTGTAGTTATGCCCCTGTTCTGATGATGTATCACAAAGATTTCAGTTCCTGTTGATAACTTCCAGTGTGTCAATTTATCATCACCCTTTTGAAATTCATCATAGATAGATAAGAATATATAGTTATTCTTTGCTTTCTCATCAATTAAGTGTTTAGGATGCAGTGTCAGGGTTATTTATATATTTTTTGTGTTACTGTTGATTTGATTGGAATTATTATGTGCTTATGATTGTTTCAAGTTGGCTGTCACTTAAGTTGAATTTGTCAGGTGTCTGTATTGGCCTAACTTGGAAAACGCTCTTTCTCATGCCCAGGAAAGAAAAAGCCACAATTGGTACTGCTGGACCATGGTTTATACAAGGATCTGGACTTCTCCACTCGAATTAATTATGCATCTCTATGGAAGGTGCAACATTTATATATTTATTTTTTCATTACAGGATTGTTAGTTTCTTAATCTCACTTGGTGTGCTGTGTTTCAACATATATTTTCTACAGGGTTTGGTGTTCTCAGATGCTAATGCAATTAAAGAAAACAGTGTGAAATTGGGTGCTGGAGACGACCTCTATGTGCTTTTTGCCGGTATTCTTACCATGAGACCTTGGAATAAAGTCGTCGATCCTGCTTTGGATCATCTGGTTGTCCAAGCAACTGATCGCACTGAACTTCAGGTATCGTAAACATGCATCGTTCTAGAGTTAATGTGGTAACAGTTAGCCCCAAGAAAAAGTAGCCTAATTGAATGTGGTGGATTCTATATTTTATTTTCAAATTGTTAGACAAATCTACGGGTCAAGGTTGTTCCTTTCTTCACAGTTTCTTCCATTTTTAGGAATTCAACTGTCAACGATGCACAATAACAATATGAAGAAGTATATGCATATGTTTGCGTGTAGATTTAAAGAGCTTTCTATTGCAGATATGCTTGCTTATAACATGTAACTATTAATGCTTTTCATAGTTATCAACTTCATTTTTTTGTTCATATACAGATGTATGCTTCACAATATTTTTCACAAATCAGCGAGCTTTTGCGGAGACTCCCTCGTGTTATTCTTTTAATGCTGAAGACGAATGATTGCCTGCGTTCAGTTAATAAAGCACTGGTATGGTAGCTATAATTTTGGTTTTAGAATTATCCGTTTTGATCCTTACCATGTCATGTCATCTCGGTTGGTTTTGGTGCATTAAGCAGACAGATGGATCTTCTTTGGACACATTTTTCATTATTGGGAGAGTTTCGTCGAAAGCAGTGATTGAGTCGAGATTGATGGTGAGCAAGTCGGCTGTGACTCGACTCGGCGTGTGGGTGGAAGAGGTTCTGTTAAATGCTCGGTTATTTGGGATGCAGATTGCTTTGTGGCTTTTGAAAATTCAGAAAGCATTATTGGCATTTTGAGGGTGAGAAGCTATAACTGATAGTACTAATTATTAGCCATCCTTCCTTTAGGATGGGAATTAACAGTTTTGGTTACTATTATTTATTTGTTTTGAGAATAAATAGCAGAATTGCATTCTTTTGTCCAATTAATTGCATGTTGTTGTAAAAAGCCACACTTTGTATTTCTAACTGATAAAAGGCGGGGCTTACTTGATGATTATTATTACTACATGCTTTTACCTGTGTGATTAAGTTTTTATTATTAAATACTTTTTTTTAAAAAAAAAAAACTAGGTTCGACAAAGTAAGTTACACAGCCATGTCTGACAGATGATCTGGAGGCGTCAGGATTTGAACCATGATCTTACGGTTATGAGAGTCATCTTGCCGGACATTGTAGATTTTATTATTATATTATTATTATTATTATTATTATTATTTTGTTTAATTGGTGGATCAAGATTTTACAAAATTATAGAAATAATTAGTAAATACACCCATTTAAATTTATTGGAGAGTGGGATTAGGCTTGTAAGCAGGTCCAGATTCTTAAGTTTAAGGTCCAGATCCGACTCCTGATTCGATTTTCAGATCTAAAATTGGATTTGGCTTAACTTAAAACTTGTTCATCGGATCCGGATAGTTGGATTTGGTACGACTTGAATTCAGTCTCGGGTCTAACACCTTTATACAATATAGGAAATCATTTAATCAATCATAAAATTATAATGTTAAAGAGATGGATTAAGTAGAAATTTAAATACATAAATTCATCAAATTAAAGTTAATAAACTCAAATAGAATAGCTTTACGGTTCAAAGAAATCTTAGGCTGATTATATTTCAAACCCTGACGTGTTGCACGGTCCGTGAGAGCTTGTTAGTTTACTCCGTTTGTAGATAAATAAATAAATAATGCATATTCTTAATAGTTTAAATTGTTAGGTAAGTTGGTCATTTAGATCATCTAACACGGTATTCCCATTCGTCGTAGTCCACGTTTAGTATACGAAAGCTATTACAATTTTAAATAAATTATACCCCCTTCCTTACATTTTTGTGATATGTATATTTGTTATTTGTCAATAAAAGAAATATAATTTTTTACTAAATAAAAAAATAAGAATATTTTTAAGTGATAAAAAAATAAGTATAAATGTAAGTGAGGGAGGAAATATACTTTTGAATATCTAAATACTATTCCCTTTGACCTACTTAATATGTCCATTTTAATTGGACATATAGTTTTAGGTATTGTATAATTAATAAATAATTAAAAAATGTATTAGTAAAAATAATTATAATTTAACAAAAAAAAAATAAATATAAATTAAAATTAAAAAAATATTATAAATTTTGAATTTTAAAATATTATTAAAATATATAATTACATTTTAAAAAAAAAATAAAAAATTATTTGAAATCGACAAAAAAAAAAAAAAATGATAAACAAATTACATATTGGAACCAAGACAAGTTTCCCTCTCACACAGGCCTAAGGTTGGCCTGTAAGAATGCAAAATAATAAATGTTGGAGGTTGTTTACTGCTTATGCAAAATTAATCCACATGCACTGACATATTACATGAAGTATAAATATACAAAACAATAGAAACTTAATTTATACTTTCTCCGTCTTAAAATTAGAAAGTATACATATTTCTATTTTGGCACGTAAATGACCATGTCGTAAATAGGGACAGTGAAACTCAAACTTTGAGATTTAACTAAGCTTTAATACCATGTCGAAACGACCGTGTCATTAAAAAGTTCAATCTATTAGAGAAACAGAACCATTATTCATAGACAGAAATGAGGACTCTAACATAAAATTATATCGGAGCCCTCTAAGGTATATGCCGACTATCTAAATGAACCTGATACATTAAGAGAAATAAATAGCAGAAAAACCCCAGCCAAGAACAACATACTGCAACAGTGGATCTTGTGCAGAATTTGGGGAAATCATGGCAGATTGGATCCCATCCCGTATTGCTGTCCCCCGTCATGCAGAACCTCATCACGGCCAAAAACAGCAATACGAACGCAATCATATCATAGAGGAAAAGGGAGGAGTGTAACCGCGGAAGAAGGGTTTTACGCCTGGCGCAGAAACTGGAGAGAAGCGTGATTAGAGAGTAGACAAATGCAACAATGTTTGCGACGGCGAAGAACTTGATGGAAAATCCATACATGTGCCGCTCCACGTCCTTGAACTCGATGATGACGGAGGTCTCCTTGGCGGTGACGATGAGCCAGGCGGCGGCGAGAGTGGCGGCGATGGCGAGAGGTTTCATGATAATCTGCGCTACCAAATACCATTCTTCGTTTCGGAAACGGGGACTGTCCACGGACCTTTCTTCATCCATGATACGTATAGAGAGAGATCGAGAGAGAAGGAATTGATCAATAATGGCGGATTGATCGAAATTTTACACATATATGGAGAGAGAATTAGGGTTTGAGATAATTGGGGGCGAATTTTCAATCTAATAGTATATTATATATCAAGACAAAATTTCAAAAAATGTCCCTTATATCATTTCGACTGTAATACTGTTGAAAGTCTATTTTCGACTCTAACTCTATTGTGAGTGAGTTCTGTATCCAACTATAGCTCTATAGAATGAGCGAGTCATTTTCGGCTCTAGTTCCATTGTGAGCGAGCGAGTGACCGTGTTTTCGGCTCTAGTTCTGTTGTGAGCGAGTGAGTCATGTTTTTGTCTCTAGTTCCATTGTGAGCGAGCGAGTGAGTCTGTTTTTTACTCTAATTCCATTGTGAGCGAGCGAGTGAGTCCTGTTTTTTACTCTAGTTCCATTGTGAGCGAGCGAGTGAGTCCTGTTTTCGGCTCTAGTTCCGTTGTGAGCTAGCGAGTGGGTTCTGTTTCCAACTCTAATGGTTCGAGAATTCTGCTTCTGATCCGGACAGCTAAACCACCTTCGGTCAATCGTGGTGAATTCAAATTCTTATTTAGACGATATATAAATATATACATATTCTCATGTCAGCAATGCGAACATAATCATATCATAGATGCGAAAGCAGCGGTGAAACTGCGGATGAGCGGTTTTACGGCCGGCGCAGAAATTGGAGAGAAGCGAGAGAACAGAGCAGGCAAATGCGACAATGTTTATAACGGCGAAGAGCTTGATGGAAAGAGGATAGTTGTAATCCCTGACGTCCTTCAACTCGATGATGACGAAGGTTAAATGGCTCATCGTCGCCGGCGACGAGAGCTCTGAGGATAATCTGCGCTGCGTAATAGCGTTCGTCGTTTGGGAATCGGGGACTGTCGTCGACGGACCTTTCTTCATCCATAGTACGTATAGAAATCGAGAGAGAAGGATTTGCAGAGTTCAGTGGCGATCAACAATGGCGGATTGATCGCAAAATTTTACGCATAAAGAGAGAGAGAATTAGGGTTTGAGATAATTGGGGCCGATTTTTCAGTCAATTTTTTTTTTCATCGGTTATATTTATTTATTTTGGTTTGTGAAATTTTTTGTTAAGATTTGTGTCTACTAGTAAAATTTTGAATTAAAATTAATAAGTGTTGGATTTGATATTTTGGAATTTTTTTTTTTTAAAAAAAATAATAAAACTAAAAAGTAAAATTTTACAAGTAAGTATGATATATAGACGGGATACATTCAAATCATAATAACTTAACCATAAAACCAAATCTATACAATAGTGCTGAACAAATAACTTGTCGGCCTTGATTCTATAAACTATAAATGGACAATGACACCATAGGAGAATCGAATAGCAGAAAACCCCCGCCAAAGAAGAATATATTGCAGCAGTAATTTCAGGAAATCATAGCAGTACTCCATCGATCCCCCCATGTCGGAGTCGATCACAATCACCATCAATATCAGCAATATGGACATAATCAAATCGTGGAATAAAAGGCAGAGGGGCAGAAAGTGGAGAGCAAAGAGAGAATAGAGAAGACAATTGCGACGATGTTTACAGCGGCGAAGGACTTGTAGGCACGCGCGACTTCCTTGAATCCGATTACGACGGAGGTCTCATCGGCGGCGGCGATGGCGAGAGCTCTGAGGATAATCTGCGTCACCGAATTGATTTTGGTGTGTGAGAATCCGGGACGGTCGACGACGGACCTTTCTTCAGCCATAATACGTACAGAGATCGAGAGAGAAGGATTTGTAGAGTTCAGTGGCGATCAACAATGGCGGATCGATTGAAAATATACATATATATATATATATATATAGAGAGAGAGAGAGGGGGAGAGAATTAGGGTTTGAGATAATTTGGGGCAATTTTTTCAATCATATATATGTAGGAGTATATGTATTTTATATGATGTCAAACTTCAATATTAACTTTATTATTATTTACATATGCAATTTCTTTTCAATTAGTTTTTTAATAAAATTGTTGGAGACAAAAATTATTAGAACAATATATATATTAATTCAAGTTGATTTAAATTATTTAAAAATTTAAATATTACAAATTTGAATATTTTAAATAATATTATAATAATTTATATAAATTAATATTTTAAAATTAAAATATAATATTATCTACCTACCCTGTTCTCATTTAAGCATTAGCTCTCAACATGTATAGATATATGGGTCTGTATAAATACACACGCATTTTAGGATTATCGCATAGCATAACTTTTCTATGTTGTGATGCTAAAATGGGAGTAGAGAGGGGTTATGCTGAGGATCATTCTTTTAAAATATATTGTTAAAAATTAAAATATTTTTGTTAGTATATTTATATAAAAAGTAATATTATTTAGGTAATAATAATAAAAGATAATGTTAATGTAATATATTTATTTTTGAAAACAAATACTATTTTTTGGGCGGACAAAAATAAAAAAATTAAACTATTTTTTTTTTTTTGGACAAAAGAAGCATTGCTTATATTATTATAAATAATTATTACGAATTTTATAAAATTGTAAAAGTAATGGGTGAAGATAATGATGCTATAGCCGAGTGTTTAAAAAAATAATTTAAATGTTGATATGGATGAGAGAAATAAAATAATACAGTAGAAAAACTAAGAGCTGCTCTAACGAGTGGAGCCAAGGACAACAGTTAAACTTTCGGGCGGAGGTCAAAATATGACTTCATAGGATGTGTTTATTTGTAATATTTAAATTTTGGATAGTAATTTTTTTTAATTTAAATAGTTGTTTGATATGACATACATATGTATTGATAAAATATTGTGAATGCAAAATTAAATTTTAATGTATTATACTCCTCTGTCCCTATCTATATATCCATTTGCTTTTTACATGGAGTTTTAGAAATATTAGTATTATATTGGGATATTGTAGAATTAAAGGTAAAAATACTAAACTAATCTTATTAGTATTGTATGATATAAAGGTAATGACTTGTTATGTGATAGACCAAAATAAAAATAAATAAATAGATTGTTAAGGAACAGCGAGAGAGTAATAAATAATTATTTTTACTTTAAATTTCTAAATTTGAAACCCTAGGGTGTGTTTGTTTGCCGATTTGAATATAAAAAATTTTGAATTTGAATAATTGTATGATGTGATATTTTTAATGTAAGATTAATTTTTAATATAATACTCCCTTCGTCCCAAAATAGTATGAATAATTGGGATGAATACGAGAATTAAGAAATAATAATATTATATTGATAACGGATGTAAAAGCATTTCTAAAAGACCAAAATGACCTCATTTATGTAATTATTGTGAAATTTTGAAGATAATTTTGTAAAAATGAGGGAAATTAGTTACTAAAAATATAAATAAGATTATTTTTTTGAGACGGATAAAAATGATAAAATTGAACTATTATTTTTAAATGGAGAGAGTATCTAAAATAAAAAAATATATGTTTAATTATTATATATTTTTTAAAAGTGTGAATATTATAAATTTGATAAATTTTAATAAAAGAACAACACCCCTATGAGTTTGCTCTTTGTGCTTTCAAATTGAAATTATTTGCATAGTTTTTAATAAAAATAAATTTGTTTTTTTATAAAATATTAAATCAAAATATTATTTAAATTAAAATTTTATTTTGCATCAAATTTTAAACGGCAATCAAACTAGGATTAATTTTTTAAACCCTTTTTGTATCATGCAATCTACAACAAACAATAATAATGAAAACATAAACCAATATTTCCTTGAGGTCACTTGATAATTACGATTGTTACAAAAATTGGAAAATTGATTGATTCTAAAATCTTTCTGGAACTTATTGGGTATATATGCTCTCTGACCAATGGTCCAAAAAAAAGATAGATACACTCTTGGAACTTATTAATAAAAAAGGTTATAAAGAAAATTTAAAAAATAATGATAAATTAATTATTATATTTTAAAATATAAATAATAATATTACAAATGAATAAAAATTATTTATTTTAAATGATATGACATAATTTTAAGAGATCAAAGAAATATATTTATCACGTGGATAGTCTGGCGGTGTGGGGAGTGACCTCGTAACCGTGAAGTTATGGGTAAAAAAATATTCTTATTTTTCAATTTAAATTTGTTCACTCAAATTTTGTCATTTTTTTTTAAAAGTAAAATTATATTTCACATAAATATAAAAATATTTATACTTTATCATCATATTATTAAAAGTAAAAACAAAATTGTCTTTATATCCATTGTTCATGAAAAAAGTCATCGGTGAATAGAGAGACTAAAATATATAGTACTGCCTGTGTGTCATCCAAATTTATTTTTACTTTTCTTTTTTATTGTCATCTAAATTTATTTTTATTTCATTTTTAGTAAAAAAAAAAAACTTTTTTTTTGATTTTTTTTACTAAAAAAGAAAATTATATTTTTACCAATTTTGTTTTAAAAAATTCGTACTTAATCAAATCAACATAAATTTAGATAAGAGAGCGGAGGTGCTTTGCTGTCTGTATTTTGCTGTCTGCTGATAATTCTTGCTGTTTTTGCCGAAAAGGGAAACTATTGTTGTTAACTGATGTTTGTTTATCTGTCTTTTGTATTTTGTTTATCTATGATGGTTTTTGGATAGCTGTTATCACAACCATCTCATTCGCAAAAGGCTGTATGTAGCCTTAGTTTCTTATCGGCCTGTAATCAAACTCTAAACTTGACTTTTGAATTATTGAATTGTCTTGATGAGCGTGGGAGATCTTCTTCAGCACTGTGTGCGTGGTCACATATGCTAAAAGGGAGAAAATGTTAAGTTGAAAAACTTCGTCACTTATTTTCGGTATATTGACATATCTTTTTTTTTTTTTTTTTGTTGCTGTTGTCGTTAGATTTAAAAAACAACAACATTTGACCCAACTGTGCAGTCTCATCAAGTTGCATTTTATTGTCTTTCCTAAGAATTGTAGTTTTTAAAGACAAAATCGACATTCTTAGTTTGTCTTATTGTGGTCAAAAGTGAATAGATACACATCATTTCTTGTTTGTATCAAAGGAATTAATTACATGTCAACACAATGGCTGTTATGGCTGCCTTATAGCTCGTCTGTGGAAGGGTGAAGGGTAGTGTAGTGGTTTTGGGAGTGTGTGTAGTGAGAGAAAACTTGTTACAATCCTCTCAACCTCAACCCTTTCTATCTCCATGCATTGAGTGAGTAATATACACTACTTCTCGCTGGAGAGTTCGTCGGTCGAAGGAAAATCGAAGTTCCGATCAGGGGAACATTCAAAATCTGTGCAGCCCAACTTCTTGTTAGTTGTAGATACGCGTTTCTGACAACAAATGTCTGTGAAGGGATTTTCCTTAGGTAATTAACATTGTAGTTTGGGTTGAAGGAGTATTTGGTCTTTTGTTCTTAATAAGCACTGATTAATAAACCTCTCATGGATTGGAATTCCCAAATGTAGGTTAGTTATAATCAAACTGGGTTACCAAATAATTTTTCATTTATTACTTTGGTCTTTATATTTATTTCGTTGACAAATCGTCGTTATAACTGTGAAAATTGAGCCTTTTAATAAGTGTTCGAGAGTTTAACACTTATTTTTTTCCAAACAATAAATAAATTAAAATGGTCAATTAAGATTATAAGATCGAAGTGAACACGGCAGATATTTATCAAAAACGATGCCGTATTATTAGTCAAAAGTAGAACGCAGCGATGCCATGGTGGCCCAAAAAGGGCAAAAGCCTAAAGTTCAATGCACTTTTCCACTTGTTTAAGAGAAATATCCTAAGATATTTTTGCCCTTCAGTATTCAACCCTACGGCTCTTCTAAGCGCGTGCTCTCCACTCCCTATTTTACTTCATTTTATTAAATTGATTTATCTATAAATTATTCCCAATGTTTCATAACCATTAACCTTTTTTTGTTTTTTTTAATCTTATAATAATGGATATTTTTCGTCAAAAACCATTCCAAACTCATTCATTTTTGTCATCTTTTTCAAAAATAAGTATTTTTTTTTATCTATATTTAAAATTCTATGATTGTGTTTGTTTGTGAATCTGGATTTTTTATTTTGAATAGTTATTTAATGTGATATAAATAGATACTGATATATCATTTTGATATAATATAATATTAAAAACAATTTGATTTGATATTTTTTTAAAAAAAAATTAAATAGTAAAAATTTATATAAAAATTCAAAAAAACACAACCTGTTACTCTTTTTATAAAATTAGTTTATTTATTTATTTGTAATAAAGAAAATTGATTCTCTATAAAATAATATTTATATTACATATATTTTTTATTTCGATATAACTTTTAAAATATTTAAATATATATTCTAATTTTTTTTAATTATATATTAAATTTATTTTAAAATTATAAATATTATTAATTATATAAAAAATAAAAATAAAAATACTTTAAATTATTATCTTAAACGATATGTTCCTAATATAATAGTCAATTATATAAAATAAATAAATACGAATGAGATTCAAATTCGCTGCAAACCACACGCGCTAAAAAATTAGCGCGTGAAAGGGCCAAAGTCTTAAGGAGATGACTCACCCGCCTGATCTGTTGCCTCTGCGAAGATAAGCAACCGCCTCCGTCTCCACCTCCGCCTCCGCCTCCGCCCCTATTTATCGCCGGCTTCCTCCACCGCCATACCCTCGCCTAGCCAGTCTCCGCCGCTGAATCCTCCATGGACGACACCAACTCCAGCCGCCGCCGACGCAACCGCAGCTCCTCCAAAACCACTTCTCTCCACGAAACCGATGGTCGCGAGCCGAGCTTCCAGGACGGCGGAGATCCGGCGGTTTGGGCGACCTTCAGCGAGAACTTCCACCAGGTTCAGTCGGTGCTCGACCGCAATCGCCTCCTGATCCAGCAAGTCAATGAGAATCACCAGTCCAAAATCCACGACAACATGGTGAAAAACGTGGAGCTGATTCAGGAAATTAACGGCAACATTACCAAAGTCGTCTCTCTCTACTCCAATCTATCCTCCGATTTCATGACCGCCGTCAACCACCGGAGCGCCGCCAAGAGCAACTCCGAGTCTGAGGAGAAACAGTGACCGCCGACCACCAAGTTCGTCCCTTCTATTCCTTCAATTCTCTGTTATCTATCACGCACTTCACGAGCTCACACACACACATACATATATATATAGATAGATACACAGATGTATGTATAATTTTACATATACTTGCAGTATTTGGAATACAACAATGGTGGCTGTGGCAACACATATCTTCTATGTCATGCTTTTAATAAAGTTGAATCTGAAAACTTTGGGCAAATAAAATAAAATCAAACCAAACAAAATGTACAGATTATTAGAAAGACAATTCACCACTGTCGGAAATGACGACTGAGCTTTTGGGAACTCCATTCCCTCTTCCTTGAGCTTCGATCTTCATTACCACATCCATTCCAGAAAGCACTTTTCCAAACACTACATGGCGTCCATCCAACCTTTTACAATAAGCTTCAAATTTGTAAGAACAATATCCAATCACAAAAAGAAAAATAAGAACAGCCACCACTTGCCAGATTGTTGCTGTTGCGCTGTTTTTCTCGGGCAAGATTTTGATTTGGTTTGCTTACCAGCTTGTAGTCACCGTTGTGATGAAAAACTGGGATCCGTTGCTATCCGGGCCAGAATTCGCCATCGAGAGAACACCTGCAAGAAATAACATTTGCCCGCGCAAGATTTCTAGTATTGTGTTTTTGTAATCAAGTCAAGGGGAGAGGGTAATGGGATCGGGACATAATATTCACCGGAGCCTGTGTGCTTCAATTTGAAGTTCTCGTCGGAAAACTTGTCACCATAAATTGATTCCCCGCCACGTCCATCGCCACGGGTGAAGTCGCCTCCTTGGATCATGAAATTTGGTATGATCCTGTGGAATTTGCTACCTTTAAAATGAAGGGGCTTCCCACTTGATCCGGTTCCTTTCTCCCCTGATTTAAAAGTAATCGCCACATGTTAAATATACGCATAAGATGTAGAATTTATGAAGAAAGATAATGAGATAAAGATAAGATAATTAACAAAGTTCCGAGCAATAGAACAGCAGACATTATGATTTGATTGTTTACAGACTCGCAATCGATAAATGTAACCTTTATCCAGAACCTTGAATGGGTGAATCCCAGAATGCTGAAAGAATAAAAGACATGTCGAGCAATACACCATTTTCTTTTTCCGGAGAAAGGGGAAAAAATTACTCGGAATTGAAAGCCAAAACATGTACTTTCTGTCTATACTGATGTTTCCAACAGAATGTTTAAAAACCACGTTGAATACAGATGATGGAAAATTGGAAATTAAGAATCCAGACAACAAATTAGTTGGATGTCATTATTTGTAAAACTGTATTGAAGTGGGAAAAGGGACGGAGCTACCTGTGCAGAGCGCTCGAAAATTTTCTGCAGGCAAACAAACAAGTAAATGTTCAGGACAAGTTCATCTGTAGATTACAAACATTATGGGTGGTCAAAATATAGCTTGCTGCATTTTAAAGATCACCAGTGGTCTTTGGCACAATTTTTCCGAAGAGTCCCATCACAATGCGCCCTGAAAAGGCAACAAACAGTTGTTATAATTTATTTAAGATAAACGAGGAAGTGGCCAAAAGGAAGGCATTTTGTGGACCAAGATAGCTATTCACTTTCCCACAACAATCACGAACTCGAACAATGCACTTTCAAAAAGCAAAAGATGAAGCAGTGAATGCAATTTCGCTTGGGAAATTAATCTACAAATATCATCAAGTATGGCATTTCTAAGTCAACTAGAAACAGAAATCAGCTTGATTGTAATTCTTAAATGAGGACACATATTCCACATGCCAATATTTTTTCAAGTTCCTTTAGAATCAGAGAACACAAACTAATACCCCTCGTCATATTAAACCCCAATTTGGAAGCTTTAATTAATCTGTCCACAATCGACTCCAGAACTCCCTCAGAACATATAATTCTTGAACCCATCCACTGTGTCCACATCTATACCACATATAATGACTGATATATGAATATACAAGGTAACTTGGACCAGAACTTAAGGAAGCTTGCCGAGTTCAGCATTTGGATCATAAGAAGTCAGTGTTACGGTCGACATTGGCATCTCTTAGCAGCACATAATAAGTTTTTTCTATTCCAGTGAAATGAGCACAAAAGTTCCGGCTTAAACACACAGTTGGAAGATAAATCCTATACCTATCAACATATGCTATACCAGACAGAATAACAAAGATTTAATTTGGTACAATCAACCACGACTTAGATAATTAAGCGGCCTCACGGATCAAAACTTCAGATGCCACTGTCCAATGCAGAAATCAACATTTTCACCTTCATAGCAGATGACAGACTTGCTAGAAGCAGAATACCATCAAGCAACATCAAGTAGCCTCCATTTCAATTATTGATTTGGATCCCCAATATTGGTATACCAATAATTAAGCTAATATGCAGCTTCTAAGAAAGAAAGGTAATTCTTAAATTCGTAATCACTGTAAGGAGCAAGCGCATAGTGCAAATACAATAATACATATGCAAACACAACTATAAATACAGAAATTTTAAAACTGAAACAAAATTTGCCTGTCCGTTTTCCATCAATTTCAATATCAAAGTAGACTTTTTGAGTTACTTCATCCACATCCTCCAGATTTCCAACCTAGATCAATTGAATCAATAGAAAACCAACCATGTAATTAGAATTACATTTAACCTACAGACACGAGACACTTTTAGATTTATTTACAATGTCAATTCTGTCAGCTAACAATTTCAAACATGATTCTCACTCAACCTTCTTATCCCCAATCGCATTATCCTCGGACGAAACACCAGCATCTCCCAATCGATTCTGAAATCAAGCATAATTCCGGAATTCAGAAGTCATAGGGATCGAAATGTTTGAATTAAACCCCGCAGAATCTGGAGTAGGCAAAAATATGGGAAAATCAAAAGGAAAAACGTTACCAGTATGAGCGCGAGAGTTCCAAACAGAATGAGCACCCAAAGTACTGCAATCGAGAGCAATCTTCTGTTCGAATTAGCCATCTCCTTCTTCCGGGAGAAACAGTCGCAGAAATCAGAATAGACCTTGTCGAGGAAGTGATGACTGAACACGTGCCTTCGTTCAAAAATAACAGGATTGGCGTAATTGGTACACCAAATTTGAGTGTTACTTTTGTTTTGTTTGTACTTTTCAATTGATTATCCATTGTCTAAATTTTTTCACATTTTTTTTTACCATATTTTACTTTATTATTATTTTTTAACTATAAAAACATAATTTCTATTTTTATTCACTCTTTAAGAAAAATAGATAAAAATACTCTCTTAATTCACTTAAATTTTTTTTATTTTTTATTTCTAAGTATTCTTTTAAATCTTTTCATTTTTTTTCAATTGAGTGATACTTCACATAAATTCAATAATATTTTTATTTTATCATCATATTATTATTTTCTCAAAAAAAAATTAAAGTAAAATTATTTTAAGCATATCATTTGTATTATATTTCAATAAAATATTAACAGTGAAATATTTGTTCCTTTAAATGACAAAGGCTAAAACCTGAAAACCAAAATCATATAATTAGGCATTGATTTACACAATAATTTTTGAAAATTTGACATTATTTTTTTTAAAAAAATATTACATAAAATATATAAGTTGTGTTTTTTTTTTTTTTTTTTTTTTTGTAGTTTTATAGGTTTTTACTATTTAAATTCTTTTTTCTTTTCAAAAATATCACATTAAACAATTATTTTTTCTTTTTTATAGTATACTACAAATTTATTTTATATTCAAAATATTACATCAACCTCTATTAATATCACGTGAAATAACTATTCAAATTCAACTTTTTACTATTTATAAAATTCAAACAAAAAAACTAAAACCCACAAACAAACACACTTTGATAAGATATGGCGTATCCATATCTTGTTAAGATTTACATATCCATGATAGAGTGCCTGTACAAAGGGGAGGAGTCCTCACTTGTACTACACTCCACTTTTGAATCAATAAAACAGTCTTCTTTGCCGAGTACATCTTATAGTGTTCTTATTTTTAGCAAGTATTGGAGTCGTGTGCGAGGCTGCACTAGCGAGTTCTCGAGGGAGTCGAAGAATCGCTAGGCCGACGGGAAGGTATTCGAGAATGAACCATCCAACCAAGTGGTTTCTTTTACATTACATTAAATACTAATTTTTTATTATCTCTAAAATTTTGAAACTTAAAAAACTTTAATCTAAACAATTCTTTTCTCGAGAGCAAACGCAATGGTGTTTGTATTAATAAGCCTTCAAAGCTTACGTGTTACTAACGTGTCAAGAGTAACTTGTTCAGTCAAGTAAAATAAAAAAAATGTCACATAGTAATACATGATCGTGATGCTCAGTTTTTCTTTCTTTCTCTCCGAAGTCTAAATCGGAACCCTAAATCGGTGATGAAGCATTCAACTAGGTCTTCGAATTCCGATAAAAAATCTTTTAATTTTCACTTATTTTTTTCTTCTTCTTCTCTCCGTTGAGTTTAGGAAAATTCAAAAATTTGGTACAAATAAAAATTTTTATAGAAGATTTAAGAAAAGAGTTTAAACGAAATCGACTCCTACCGAAAATGATGTTCCTGAAATTGACAAATATTGCTCTAGAATAAATGTTTGAACTCGGTAAATATTTCAAATTTTGGATATATACTGATTTTAGCGATTACTACTTCACTTCCAAAGCACGGAAACCATAAACCCTTGTAATGTTAAAGAATATACCGAATGAGGACGAGCGAGCCTATGACGAAGACGATTTCCGTCCCAACGTGATCCGATTGTGACGATTGCGGCAACGACACTGGCTGTTGGCCACCACAACGAAGAAGACACAAACTCGTTCTTTCAAAAATAATTTTTGGGAGAAAAAAGAAAAAAGAAAGAAGTCCGACCCGAGATGACATCTACTGCACAAGACCGGGTTGAAGAAGCCAGTTTAAAACAGCCTGATTTTAATGTCTATTGAAAATAATTTTATTGCGATTGTTCTTAATGTTCAGGTCGGTCAAGAAGCACGCACGGGTGCACAACTCCATCACGTATCGACCGTCAGATGCAGACCCTAATCCATCTAATGGACGGTGTAGATCTCATCCAATATTAAGCTGGACCGACCAAACCCGCCGAGATTCGTCTCAGTTTCTCCAGAGCCTTCTACTCTCTTCTCAATCTTCCTCCCGGAACTCTCGAGATCTGCACCGCAACCATTATGCTTCCCAATCCTGCTCTATAAATACACATCCTACAGAATCAATCACACCAGCATTCTAACTAGATCGATCAATCCAATTTTGAATTGCAAAAATTTACGAGATGTCGTTGATTCCAAGCATTTTAGGGCAGAGGAGCTCTGCGAACGATCCATTTGCGGTTGGTCTTTGGGATCCGTTCCGCGCCTGGCCGACGATCTCCGGCGGCGAGGCGTTGCAGTTCGCGGCGACTCGAGTGGATTGGAAGGAGACTGGCGGAAGCGCACGTGTTCAAGGCGGATGTGCCGGGGATGAAGAAGGAGGAGGTGAAGGTGGAGGTGGAGGAGGGGAATGTCCTGCAGATTAGCGGCGAGCAGAGCAGGGAGAAGGAGGAGAAGAATGACAAGTGGCATAGGGTCGAGAGGAGCAGCGGAAAGTTTGTCCGGCGGTTCCGGCTGCCGGAAAATGCGAAACTGGAGCAGATCAAGGCGAGCATGGAGAATGGAGTGCTGACGGTTACTGTGCCGAAGGCGGAGACAAAGAAGCCTCAGGTGAAAGCTATCGACATTTCTGGCTGAGATAATTGATATTATGGAATGATTGATTGCATGTTTTGGTTGAATGAAATCAATGTTGTGATGCATGCATGTTTGAATTCAAATAAAATACTAATGTTGTGATCACATTTTACCTTCATAAATATATATATATATATATATATTTCTTGATTATTGATTTTTTTTTTGCATTGAGATATATATATTTTCTTCGATTTTTTTAATATTAATTATTATATGGATATATAGTATAAATCAAGAAAAAAAAATTATTAGTCTTTTATTATACAAATATAACAATATTTGAAGAATAATTTTATTCAAATATAAAGATATTATTAATTATAAATACGATGACGATAGGACGGAATGAGTGTACATTTTAATTACTAAGTAAAAATAGTAAGAAATTTTGATATTTTTATTTTTTATTTAATGACGTGAGAATTTGTCGCTGCTATTTTTCGGGTGCGCTCTGGGTACACACTCGGTCAATAATAATAGCCTATAAATTAGGTTTGATAATCCTTATCCACCGGGTTATCTTTTACTGAAAAAATTGTATATATAATGATATATTTGTAATTTTAAAATAAAAATTAAGAGTATTTTTGATATTAATATATAATTATATATTTTATAGTAGAATGAATAAAAATAATAAAAATGATACTTTAAGTTACAACGAAAATATATACAAAGACATGTATAGGTGTGTTTGTTTGGGGGTTTGGATTTTGAGTTGGGATTTGAATAGTAAAAGTTTTGAATTTGAATAGTTGTATGATGTGATATAAATAAGGTTTGATGTGATGTTTTGAATGTAAAATTGATTTTTAGTATAATATAAAAAATGAAAAATAGGTGTTTGATTTGATGTTTTTGGGGAAAAAAAATTGGATGAATAGTGGAAATTCACCAAAATCCTTCAAACAAACACACAAACACACCCTATGTTTTAGAAATATTTGTTGGATAAGCCTATGTTTGAGAGGCCAACTCCTTCATGCTTATGCAAGCGAAAATATTTGTTAATCTTGTTTGGTGTAGAAGTTTATACTCTATATATGGAGGATTGACGGGATTGACATACACTACAAAATTTGTTTGCTAAGTATTAAGTTTGTTTGAAGAAAAAATTAAATTATTATAATTAAATAGTGAAAATATATAAGAGAAAACACAACTAAATAATGTTTCTTTTGATTAGTTTAAAAAAACATTTGTTTGAATTTAATATAAAAATGATATATGATAAAATATTTTGTGAGTAAAATATATATATATATATATTTCGAAAAACACAAATAGTAGAAATATGAGATTTGAAGTTAAAATAAAAAAACCTAATTCCATAAAAAAAAATTATCCGTATGCATATTATTTGTGTATATATTAAATTTAAATTTTGCATATATACACACACATCGGTATGAATCCGACACTAAAAAAAAAAATAATAATAAAATAATGTGATTTGGTAAGTTTCTTATTATGTTGAATAGGGTGTGTTTGATACAAAGAAATGATGCCAAAGAAATGAAAATGGTCTTATTTCTCTTTTTGTTTTAGTTTGAGAAATGGAATTTGACAAATAAATTATTTTTATTTTCTGTTTTCATTTCTCTCCTGTAAATATAATTTTTTAATTTAAATTTTTTTTTTTGTACTATCTAATTTATATATATGTATATATTTAATATATTATTTTAATTTTATAAAAATCAAATTTAATTTATTGTTAAAGTATTTAAGTTTTACCATTTTTTAAGAAATTATACTAAAATATAAAATATAGTATATAATTTATAATTTTTTAAAAAAAAATTACCAAAAATATTTTTCATGAATTCTTATTCGTTAAAATTCTTTTTTTTATCCAATTAATCATTTATTATTATTAATTTATAACTGCATTTTTTTTATATATATTTTTCAATTAAATTCTCTATTTTACCAAACAAAAAAATTCTCTACTAATTTTATTTCTGTCTAATTCCATTCTCTACTCTCATTTCTATGCAATTACATTCTCCGTACCAAACGCCACCTAAGTGTAACATTGTTGGATTTGAGTGCAGAACATTTCACATTTAAACATTATTAATTTTTTAAAAAAATCAACTGATTAACAATTGAAATTTATTTAATACTACCAAAGTTTTTAACAATTAATTCATATTTGATCCAATGCCTATATAAGATCTTGTGCAAAGTCTGAAAACTTAACATTCATTTATTTCCTTCTCTATAAATCTTGTGTCTGTAATATTAGGGATATGATTTTCTAAATTCTAATTTATTATGTGCATTTGAATGATATGTTTGAACTAATAAGTTTTTATTTATTTTTAATTATTATTATTATTTTTTTATCATGAAATCTATACTTTTAAATCACGAAATCTATACCTATAATACTCTTATTGTTGGTTTGGCAAAAGTGAACACTTCTCGTAATTACATTAGACATGTGCTATGGTAATTCGTAGCTAGAATTATCTTTCTAATGGTAAACTTGCGATTTGTTTTAATTAAATAATTACCTTCTATTTAATCATTATTAATTTTATTAAAAAATATATCAAATAATTAACAATTGAATTTGGTTTAATACGTACTAATATTTTTTTTTAACATTAATATTTAATCTAGTGTTTATACAGATCGAATTTTGTGCATAACATAAAAATATAATATTCAATTTATTTATTTCTCTATGAATTTTATTTGTAATAATAGGGTTGTATGTTTTTAATTGTAGTTTATTTTTGTCCTGACTCTTTTGAATAATATTTCTAAAAATATTTGTCGAAATTTTTTTTTTTTTTAACACCGCTTCAAATACAACTATTATAGTCAAAAGTTATTGTTTATTCGTTAAAATTTCTTATTGTAGTAGAATCACGGACACAAAATACATAAAAATTACATGTTTAAAATAAAACTGGTGCACTCCTGGCAATCACAATCATCGAACCGGCACATGTCACAACCGTTACACACGCACTTTGTGCAACCGGTACATTTTGGATTCTTCGGACAACCTCTGACTGCTTTTCGGCTTTCCCTCTCCTCAGCATCATCACAAGATAATCTATTCCAAAAATCCAAACAATATATAATAGAATAAAGATATCATATGTTGTGTATTTCAAAAATAATCTTATGAAATCTACTGTTATAACACTCACTCTTGGTTTGGCATATCTGAGCATTTCCAGTTATCAGATGCAAGCGCTCTATGGTAATTCCTAGAGTCGTCTCTTGTGCGGTTGGTAAATCTGCGCTCTTTACGGCATAAAGAGCAGCGCACAAATTCATCTCGATGAGCTGCTTGGCGTATTGGCCTCTGATACGTGTCTTTAAAAAACTTCAACAAGCAAGTTTTCACGAGCTGGACTTTCGAACCATCTCGACCAAATACCCAAATTTGGCTTTTCCAGTATTTGTCTGAGTTGGTTCTTAGGGCATGCCTTGCAAATTCGATCGGTGACACGTTGACTGAACATTCAAATATAAAATAAAATATGTTTAAACAATATATATATATATATATATTTGTATTGAAAATTTACCTTTCGAACAATTTTCATCGCATGTGCAGTTGATTTCTATCCTTCCATCAAAATATATCTTGAGCTTTCCCGATGTATCGCCGTATCTCGAGTTCGTACATCCACACTTCATCACCAGAAATTCGGTAGTGATTTGCAATATACCGATGAATCCGAACAATTCTGCTTGAGTAAACATGTTTCCTTTGATGGAATAAAGCTAAACTTAATGATTATGTCAAAAAAATATTAATTTCATTCTATGTATGTTAATTAGTGAAAAAAAAATTGTTTTCATAAATATGACAATATATATTATTGGTGCGCACTTTCATTTGAAAAATGTTATATAACACATGTCTCAAGATAAGAAGTATATCATTTCTTCCTAAATAATATCACTTTCAAAATTTACTTTCGTTCATCACATCCAAAACTTATATTTTTATTCAAATAAATTTAGAACACTGCATGATTATGAAATTGCATTACTTAATCATGAGAAGAAAGAAGAACTAAGAACTTACCTTAGATATGTAAAAGCGATAATGTTGATTAGTGTTTAATGTCTTGCGTTGAATATGAAATCAAATTATCACGTTCACTTATATAATAGCAAGACGCGTAAGATAATTAGATTTCTTTCGTAACTTTTTACCTTTCAAATTGTGTTATAAAATATTTTTCCCCATATTTCGTAATTTGTACAAATATACTTAATAAGATTTTTCCCACAATTCACGGATAGTATACGAAAATAAAATTTGCGTCTAAATTCAGCAATGTAAAGGTATATATGGGATTGCGATGACTTGCACGAAACTATACATGTAGAAAATCGGCATATTGTAATGTGAATAAATTTTGTTGAAATACAAAAAAAAAAAATCTCATAATGTAAAAGTATCTTTCGATTGTATTAATTTGCACGGTATTATTTTATATAGAATATCATACATTATAATTTATTTCAAAAGAATTTTCTTAGGTAATATTCCCTAAATTTCACATGTCCAGTAACATTTTATATTTTGATCCGTGCATATTTTGCAATATTTCCAAATAAAAAATAATTAATACATTATATCTCATCACATTATTTAAATAAAAAAATAAATATTTCTTCATCCTATTTGAAAGAGCCAATTGAAATTTTATAATAAAATAAGAAATAATAATATTTTATTGGTTAATGGAAGTATGTAAAAAATTTGGTATTTTTGTATATGTAATAGTATGTTTGTAATTTAAATAAAAATTAAGAGTATTTGATATTAATGTATAATTATTTTTACTAAAAAAAATGAAGGATACTTTCGAAGGGGACGAAGGAAAACGGTAAAAAATACTTTGTAATATAATAGATGAAATAAATATGCATTTTTCTCTCTTGTTACATCGCCTAATTTCATTTCTGTATCGAAATCAAAAGGTGCTCATGGAATGGAGGAAATATAAAAATATTATATTATATTGAATGTAATTTTTTTAAGATGATAAAATATATATTATATATTGGGAATCATCTCAGATAAAAATTTGTTGAAGAACAAATCCTAACTCTTGATTAGGATTGTATTGACTTACACAATATTCCATCAGTCTCAATTATCCTGTCAATCTTTCTATTTTTGTTGTCTCATTTATTATGTCATTTTTTTTAAAAAAAATTATATAATTTAATTTCATTTTAAAATTTTAAACTTATAATTTTTTAATTATAATTATATTAATTAGTTATCTTAATCTTAATTATTTACATAGATAATTATTTTTACTAATATATTTTTAATTATTAATAATTATACCCCTTTCAAATTCTTGTGTACAAGGGACATTTTAGTCGGAACGGAAAGAGTATTATTTACTACTCTTGATTATCCCCATAGTTTCAACACTCTCCAAAAGTACTTACATAGGGGTGAAATCGAACAATAGACAAGACAGCGTATACAAGTGAAAAGGACACTTTTTTTGGGGTAAAATTCTTAAAAGAATATAAATATAGTGACCTATTTGCAATTTACAGCATAAGAAACAAACAAAGGCAAGGCAAGGGAAACGGAAAAAGGCTTTTAACATGTAAGCTAAGCTGAAACTTGCAAACCCCAACGGCTCAACCCCCCTCTCGATCGAAGATTTCTTCTCCGGCTATTCACCGATCATCCACAACTCAATCGTTTGCTCTCGATCCTTCTACTCGAAGCCTATAAGTTAATTTCTTCTCGGTAGGATGCTTTTTTCCCTCAATTGTTGCCTTATGGGTTGAAATGTAGCTCATCCGGATTAATTGAAAGGCATACTGTTGAGATCCAATATGTTGAAAATTTCCTGGTGTTTGGATGAGCGAGATTTTTGTTTATGTAATGTTTTTCATTTCCTTGAATTCGTGATTTTTGTGTTTGATCTGAATTGTAAATAAGTTCGTCAGAGGCTTGGGGGTTTCGGTGTTCGAATAGATTCAGCGGCTGATCAATTTGATTCTGCAATAATTCTACCTTCTGAAGTTACTAATATCTGGAGAATTATTTGATCCGGAACGACCTATCTAGTCGCAATAATTCTGAATCCAATCCTAATCTTCTTTGTTCAGCGTGTTTAAAGAGCACTTTTTCTTCTTCTTCTTCAATTTGGTTCATCTCCTACAGTGCAGAGATTTGCAATTTCAACCCTTATCTTCTGTTATGAATTAAATGAAAAGCAAGTATGGAACTTTCTCAAGCATTTGCATCAACCTTTACCTATTTGCTGGTTTGTTTATATCAATACAATATAGGAGATGATTTGGAACATATTGCTAGCTTTTTGGGTTCACCAGATTTTCGGTGTAAATAGATTAATATTGATGAAGTTGCACCAGTTCAAATACAATGTAGTTATTAAATTAATTTGGTTTTTGACATCTTATTGTGATTTGTTGTGCCTGTATTGACTCGCCAGCAGGATACAGATCTGCACTGGCAGAGTTAGCAAACCATGATTTGAAAATCGAAGCCGGGAAAACTATTTTTTCATGGAGAAGGAAAAACTAGTGTCTAATTTTTATAATTTTTTGTTATTTTATTTTTTCCCAAATGTTTCTGTGCTATTGATGTGGTTAGGCACTGATTGATTTGATACAACGTTGATTCTGAATCCAAAATCCCTAGCTTAACTGATCGAGATAGGCTATTTATAGTTTTGGATTTATAAAGGAGAAATCTATGTGCATTTAGGGTAGATTCAATCTTTTTTCAATAATTAATTAATGTGATGGTGTGATATTAGGTTAATGTGCTTTTCAGCTTATTGTGTTTCCTGAAAGAGCTTTTACATTTCGGTTGAGTGGTGAGCATTGGAATTTGATATAATGTGATTGTGGTGGCTTATCCTCTGCATGAATGAGGAGAAATTATTTATTGACTTAATGTTATTGGGGTAGTCGACATTCAGATGTTTCTGAATTAAATATTGTGTTGTATTCTGTGTAGAATTTTAGCCAAACCTTCCTTTGAAACTTTACAGAAAGTGAAAATTGTGTTGGTGTGTATTGCAGGACATGGGGTTGTGGACACTACTAGAGGGCTGCCTGCTTCTTGCAAATGCACTAGCTATACTAAATGAAGATCGATTTCTTGCCCCAAGAGGGTGGAGCTTCCAAGAGTTTTCTGGTGTTAAAAGAAATTCACTCAAGGGACAGATTCTTGGGCTGATATACGCGACTCAGTACCTAAGAGTTCCTCTTATACTTCTCAATTTGCTGTGCATTGTTGTGAAGCTGGTATCAGGTTGAGGTCCGGTTGCACTCAGGGGCGTGTTTCTTCGGTAAGTAGTCCTATTTTTCTACCCATGTTCTTCCTTAGGTCATGCATATTTGATTGCTGTGCAAAATGATAAAGGAATTATGATCCATATTGACAAACTTTTGGTGAATATATTTTGTTTCTCTTGAATAATCGAAAAGATACTTTTGGTACTTAGAAAAAGTGTATGTTCTATTGTCTTGTCTGTGCATCAACCAACGGATCCTATGCAAATATGGTTTTTGCTTCGATATGCCAAGCTCAAGTCTTACACTTGCAGATAATTGCATCTCTTGTACCGAAAAGAATGTAGAGAATCAAGCCTTTTGGTTAGGTAAAAGAGAATCAAGTTAAGCATGCATTTATTATATCAAATCCAAATGGTCGAACTGGCGTTATCTCTCATGCTATATCTATTAAAATTTCCATGCCTTCCTTTGGTCTGTAACTATGGTGCATTATATATAATGCTCATCCGTGTCTAGCATTTGTTTCCTATCTTGAAATATAAAGTTGAATGTCTTCTGAGATTGGGTTCTTCAGAAATTGTGGACATTATCTGTCGTTTTGATTCGTTTCCATATGATGTTTCTTTTTTCTTTAAATAACATCGTTTGAATAGCCAGTAGAAGCATTTAGTTTATTAAGGGAGAGATTTATTTTCACCGTGGTTATGTTGGATGGTATTCCCATTGTTTCATATTTTAAATTTACCTTTCACTTAAGTACATGTATGGATTTGGTTATTTTGTGTTTGTTTATGTAAATACCATTGTGCGAGACAGTGACATTTTGAATTTATCAGGTTTGATCAAGAAGATAGCAAACTTGGGAAGGTTGTATCACCGAGATTGAGACATATTATGTTTTAAACAAGATGGTAATCCCGCAATTGAATTTTCATCGATAGCTTAGCTAGTTCTAGAGGATCAAGTTTTATTCCGTCATGAATGGATCAACAAAGGTTGTTAGACACTATTTTCGCCGTTTCTTGCAGTGTTGCAGTTCCTCCATGAATCTCATCATAGTCTTGTGCTAAACTTTTGTGGGATATTTACTAATTATGTATAATGTAAAGAGATCATAAAAATACAGTGAGTTTGGTTGTATGCATAGAGGGATTGCTATTCTATAATATCTCGACTTATTTATTTCTGAGAATTATTTAATAATCGTGCTAATACATAAATATATATATATATATATATAACACAATTGATATGCTGGAGTTGAATGGAGATTAAAATGGATTGAATAGTCTATTTTTCGTCAACAGTATACACATGTTTAATAGAAGTACGTAATTTTAAAAATCCCCTCTATTTTCAAAATTGCTTCCAACTCCTTCCCTCGTAGTTTCATAATATATCTCTCAGTCGTTCTTATTTAACTATATTTGACGTACACGAGCCCAAAATGCTAATAAGTTTTACAAATATACTCGTTATTTTTATTATTAACTTCAAAAAGCACTAGATATATTAAAAGTAGTTGTTTTTTTTATTTTAATTTGTTTTTAAATGTTCTTTGAGGTTAAATATAAGATAAATGAATATGTTTATAAATTTAGGAGGGAGTTTGATGCAATTTTAAAAATACAAGAATTTTGCTCAATTTTGTAAAATCACAAGCAGATTTTGTGTAATTTAGCCTTTGGTTTTGGAAGGATGTGAAAATTTCATACATGAGCGAAAAGATGATAGGTGTTAGAAACGATGAAAATGAGTCTGAGTGCCGAAACTGCAGCAGCAGTAGCAAGGCAGCCAAAGAAGACAACATTAAGCCAATGCCAAGACTTCTGCGTCAAGCTTAATTTGTTCCTCCTGGCCACCAAATACATGTGGTGTGCCAAAATGAACGTGAGGGGGTACGTGCTAAGTGCCCCCGTCAAGCTCATGAAGTCTCCCAAACACGGGAGCATTGCTGAAACTAACGAGGTTAAGACAACGTACCCTCCGCGCACTCCTGTTCTAAACATCACGTTGCGAATGGCAAGGGGGCTTCCTTTGATGCCATAGCTTGTGTCCAGATACTCGTACATTGGGCTGGCGAAGATCCAAGGCAGGAAGAAGAGAGTGAGTGCGCAAGTATTGTAAGGAAATTGAAATACGTATGTTGTACAAGGTCGTCTGGTTACATGCAAGGCGATGACGGTTAGCAAGAAAGTTGAAATGTTGGCGACGGCCATGATCCAGATTGGACCTTTGACGTTGTTGAGCAAGTACTCTGTTGTGTTTACTCTGTACGCCCAATATCCGGCGAAGATGATCGTGTACATAGGTACCACTCCGACCGTGAACTGGAAATATAGGCCTTTCATCATGTTTGAGACCACAGGTTGCTTCACTGTTGCCTGTTCATATAAATGAGTACGGTTGGTTTGTTATCGTTAGTTGATATAAATGACCAGTCTCACTTAAAAGATTAAACTATTAGGATACGATATCATTTAATTATTTATCTACAAATGAAAATTAACCAACAGGTATTATATGAAACATATGTTTCAAAAGCAGAGTGTAACCAGGTGGGGGCAAGGGGTCAAGCCACCAACCCCACCCCTTAACTTTTTTGTATAATTTATATTTTTTAAAACATATATATACATATAGTAAATATATTAAAATTTGGGCAACTTCCGCTAAATTCTCTATATCTATTTTCAAATTCTTATCTACTCTTATGCATTAATTTGTTATTATTTATTTTCCATTTTTATAAATTTGTTCTTTTTAACTCCCTATCTCTCTAAAAATTCTATAATATCCTTATTTAATTTATTATATTTATTGTATTTCTCATTTTGTCTTCATCTATAAATCTTTAATTTTTATTTTATAAATTTACTTTCTTATTATACATATAATAAATAAATAACTATATGAAATAAATATTGATAACAAAAATAAACATTGATGATATAAATTTGTAACAAGTACGTAAAGTAAAACTTGATGGTACAACCATTTACTTGAAAAAGTATATATATATATATATATATATTTTTTTTTTTCTTACATAGATACACAAGAAAAATAATATAAGAAATTAATGTTGTAAACACTAATATATAAAAAGAATAATTATATACTAATATATGATACATAGTATTGATAATACTAATAAGTCAACTGATTTAATATACAAATATTCATACAATGGCAAGTAGTTAAAAATATTTATACGTAATCCTTAAACAATAATGCAATATATTTATAATAAAATAATATCTCAAATGAATAAAATGTTAGTAAAGTAATAAAAAATATTTCAAATACCATTTAAAGTATTGATTACAGTACTATAGAAAAATATTTAAAATAAATTTTATAAGTATAAATCATCATTTGACAATTTTTTTATTTTTGTAACAAAAATAATCGGCATGTTAAAATAGATGAATTAGATTTTTTTTAGATTGTATATGAGAGTGGAGGGCAAAAAAAGTAAATAAAACATTATTTAAAGGCTAAATAAGATGTTTATATAAGAAATTTATAAATAGGGAGTTACTTGCAATAATAGGGAGCTTAAAAGGAAAAATTTGTAGGTAGAAACTGACAATGAAAAATAATTAAGAGTTAGATCAATTATAAATATATCATACATATATAAATAAAGTACAAAAAAATAAAAATATGAAAATTATTTTATAAAGCTAACAAATAAAATAATATTATTTTTAAATTTACTAAAAAAATATAGATGAATACTCGTCTCGGCGATGGAGTATATAGATGTTGTATAATAATAATTTATTTTATAAAGACAAAAAAAATTGATTACGTAAATTTTATAGTGTACAGGTGTGTTTGTTTAGGGGTTTGAATTTTGAGTTGGGATTTGAATAGTAAAAATTTTGAATTTAAATAGTTGTATGATGTGATATAAATAGATGTTGATGTGATGTTTTGAATGTAAAATTAATTTTTAGTATAATATAAAAAATAAAAAATAAGTTTTTGATTTGATATTTTTGGAGAAAAAAAAATAAATAGTGAATTTAAAATCCAATTCCGGACAAACACACCTTTAAGAAAATAATAATAATAACCCATAAATATACCCCTTTCAATTTGAACTTGTAAAAATATTATATAATGTCACATTAAATATTCTACTAATTAACGTACCCTTCCCATCTTTCACAAATATAAATTGGATGCTAGTCATTATTATATGATGATTATAACTATTTTTCTAAATGTTATCTAATAATATTAATGTAATGATATGGTTGGAACCAAGAATGAATTTCCACGTGGCTCTAAATTACGTTATAAGATTCTCCCGAATAAAATGATATAGAAAAAATGCAATGCCCTCAACGATACGGCTAAGATTAATTCAATCTAGTCCCGTAATGGATGACCTGGTGGTGTAGGGGTTGGATTTGTGACCGTAAGGTCATGGATTAAAACTCCCGACGCCTCAGGTCACCTGCCACATGGTTCGCCTAGTGTGATTTTCCCGTCGAACCTGGTTTGCAGGGTATTAAGTTCGACATGAGGTTTACCCAGTGTGCACTTTCAGGTCGCGGCTGTGAGTTTACGCAATAAATTCTATTAACCCCAACCTCAAGCATATCAAGAGAAGGCTCAACGACTTGACTTTTGTAAGTCATAATTGTGTGTGACAGTAATTGAAGTATTTCTCTATTTTTTATTCTTTATGACGTGAAAATTTGCAATCATTACTTTTCGAATGAGATCTAAGTTATTTTCCATCAAATCTAATAGCCTACAAATTAGAGAATAAGTCAAATTATACTAGACAAATCATGTATGAAATACAATACCTTAAAGCATCAAGAGTCTGAACTTATAATCTCACAATCACAAGTTACGGAACTCTTCTTTCCCACGTTGTTGGACATTATTGCCCTAACATTCTAATAGGTGGTATAAGAAACGTCGGAAGGGGTAAGTGCTTGAGGTGCATTTGTGTAACTTGAATCTTCTCAAATGTTGTGTTTTGGGCTCAGGGGTGGCAAAAATAAACACGATCCGAAAGTTCAATCCGAGCACAGCACGAAAAAATCGGGTTTGAGCTTAAAAAAATAGGACCATTAATTTTTGAGCCGTACCTGGCCCGGAACGCTAATAAACCAGGCCGTGCTTGTCCGGGGACAATTTTTAAAATTAATGTTTAACTTTAATAAATTTATATATATTAATGTTTGAAATAATGTTAAAAATCTGGTAAAGATCTTAGTTGGTACATGCTTAATTGTGGGTTCAATTTTCTACTTCTATTATTAAAGTTTATCTAGTGTAACATATTATTTAACTAATTAAAAAATAAAATAATTATTAAATATAATGTTGTATAAAAATTAAATATTTATGGCGATATTAAAAATAATAAAATAATTCAAGAGAACAAATAAAACATGAACTCTGACTTCTGACCCATACATAAATATTAGTATAAAAACACACTTCATTCTTTTATTTATTTCTTTTTTCTTTTTTCTTTTCCTTCTTCTTTCATTTTTTTATTTTCCCTCGTTTCTTCCACTTCATTTCCGGTCATTTTTTTCCTCTTTTTTACTGTGTCGGTCAATGAAACAAGAGTAAAGAAAAAAACATAGGATTAAAAAAAGTGAACCCATAGTAAATTTTTTTGTGAAAATTTATTTTTCACAAAAAAATAATACTTCCTCCTTCTCAGTTTTTATGTTCACCTTTCTATTTCTGTCCGTTCACTTATTTTGTTACTTTTTTTTTAAAAAAAAAAAATTATACACTTTAATCTTATTTTAAAAAATTTAATTTATAATTTTTTTAATTTTAATTGTACTAATCAATTATCTTAATCTTAATTTATAATTATTTTTATTATATGATAATTATTTTTACTAATATATTTTTAATTATTTACTAATTATACCCCTCCTAAATTCCCGTGTCTACAGTAAAACGGACAAAATATCCGGAACAGAGGGAGTAATAGAAGGTGAAGTGCTTGTTTGAATTGAAAAATCAACGATTCACGATTTAATACGTGTCTACATGTTATAAAATTTGAGGGAAAAATAATAAAATTGTCTTATTAATCATCAAAATAAAAAAACCTATATATAGACAATATAAAACCGACTCGATAGACTCAAATATAAATAATCTAATATATAGACAAGATCAAATCTAAATATAAATTTACTAAATTTAAAACCGAATATCTATAATATCTCAATAAGAATAAATCTTTATTATAAATCATTTTTAAATATAATATATTTACCAAATAATAGATATCTTAAATTTTTATTTAATAAATTTAAAATAAAAAGTGAAAACAAATAAACCCTAACTTATTTTGAATTTACACTTAATTCAATTCAGCATTATTTGAATGCAGACTTTCTAGGTGATGATGATCCAATTCATATACTATATTATTCCCAATGTTGCCACCTTTGACTTTTGTAGGTCATAATTTTGTACCCGTTGACTTTCAACCATTCCGAAAAAAGGAACTTATTACCAAATTAAATGATGACGAACAATAAAATCAAATATAATTTGCCCCTACAAATTGCCCAAAATGTGTCATTTCATCCAGATTCAGACATAGCATTTCAGTGTCATATTTTCTTGTTACAACTAACTTTCAATGGCCACAAAACCTCTACCAATAATTCTTATTACGATAGCAATATCGGTTACAATCATCGATGCCCAAAGCCCCGTCGGAATAGTCCATGTCAACAGCACTTTATATTGCACGGCGACAGGCAGTTCCGGCAGCAGCGCAACTCCAGTTTTCCCAAGTGAGTACGTCGTTTGTGTTAGATGATACTTCGTTCGCCCCTTAATAAATGTATTATCTATTTAACATTAAAAGTACACTTGGAACTTATAATATAGTAGTATTACACCAATGTTATTACATTTATATCATAATTTAGTCTTTTCTATTTTATTTCTACTACATATCAATATAAAATGAATATCTAGTTATGAGACGGAGAGAATATTAAATAATTGTAACACCTAAAAACTTAAACTTATTGGAATATATACATTTATTTATTTATATTTTTACGGGAGTCAATCTACTGACTCACCTAATGACTTAAGCTTGTAAGGATACACATCATTTATATATTTATACTTGTCCGGAAGTCAACCAATATGCCTCCTCACATGCGAGAAGGATATACGCCACCATACGAATCTTGCACGTAGACGACAACAAATGGAAATGGAATGACTCGAACACAGGACTTTCCGGCTATGATACCATGTTAGATGATATTAAATAATCATTTCACCTAAAAGCACGACCATCTAACATCATCTAACATTGTATCAGAGCTGGAAAATCCCGTGTTCGAAGTCCCACTGTCTCTATTTGTCGTCGTCTACGTGCAAGATTCGTATATGGATTCCTACAAAGTTAAACTTTTAGGTGAGACGATTGTTTACATCATCTAACAATTTGAATTCAGAATATTTTACAACAACTTCCCATTTTGGTCTCTTCATTCACTTGTACTTAATGTCTATCCCGGGTCACAATTCTTGGGACAGATGCTACCTTGGAGGTCGCATGCTCGGGGGACGATGTGGCCAATAACCCGTCAACCGACACCAGCAATGCAGCTGGCATGTTCCGGGTGGTTCTAATCCCTCGTCCCAACGCAACTGTTGATTCAATAGTTTCGAACTGCCGTATATTTGTCCTAACTCCTTTGTCGACATGCAACCCGGCCTTGCCACCAACTGGGCTCAGGTCGAACCTAAAGTTTGTCCGGACCGTGTTCTCGTTTTTGAGGCTCACCTACATGGTCCCTGCAGGCTTCACAAGCCAAGATTAGCTTGGAAATTCTTCAATAAATACATATGAACTCACGTAGGTTGTAAGAATAAGAGCTTTCGAGAAATATTATGAACTCACATGAAATTAGGTTTCCAATTTTTTATTTTTTATTTTATTTATTTTCGAAGGTAGTGAATATTGTTAGGGTGCAAACCCAAATCCCACATCGGAAGTTGCGAAGAAAATTACACATTTTATAAGTACCAAGTGAACTCCACTAGTATGAGCCTTTTAGAGAATATAAAAACAAATCCGTGCGGGCTCAGCTCAAAGCGGACAATATCACGAGTTGAGTTGACCCAGTCCTATTAAAATTAATTTTTTAAAATATTATAAAAATAATTGGTTTATCTAATTTTTTTTTTTAGAAAAAATAATAATTATAATAAAAATTGTATGAGAAATCCACAAGAAAATACTGAATAAAATTTTTGGCATAATTTGTACTTGTAGAGTGATCGGTTTTGGCCATTATATTTTCGGCCTCATAGCCAAAGGGCCAACACATTGTACCTACATGAGAAGGGAAAAAGATGGCCAAGGAGTAAAGAATGGTTTTCGAGAAATTCTAAAAGGTTTTTGAAGTTTCATAACTAATTGAATCCTTCCTTTTAAAAAGCCAAATTGTCGATCACCCTTTTTTACTTTTCTGCTATTTATTTTCTTGTATTTGCATTTATCTCAAACTTAAAGGATATAAACCTCAAGTTCAAAAAATTAAGTTTAAGTATAGAACCATGGGATCACCTGTCCCAACAACAAACTCTATTCTCCTATCCCTACATACATAGGGTGTATATATATACACGTGAATATATATCAAGTAATATTATATATATATATATATACACACACGCGTGTATAAGACAGAGTTCCGTCCGAAACAGACAATCCCGTCTGGTGGGAGAAGCAATAGCAAATCCAACACCATAGTGATTGTTCAAATCAAACATTATGCATATAATAAATTTATATGTAATGTACTGTATAGCATATATTACTGTATTATCAGCATAATATTGAACTGACGTCTTTTGTCATGGGTTACAATTTACTACTACTACATTATTTAAAATGAAATTCTCCAATGCACATTTGGTAGATATGTGTCCGATTAAAACCATACAAACTAGTCTTTTAAACCAACAACATTAAAATGATCCATGGTGGTGGGTGTAATGTAATTGTAATCACTACCAAAGTAAAAGATTCAGCTAAGGTCATCTTCATCCTCATCCTCCTCACAACTTACACCATCATTGTCGTCGTCGTCATCATCATCATCATCCGTGCTTTCAGGCAATCTCCGCAAGCAATTGAAAGCATCTTGGGCATTGAAAATCAGCATATCTTTAGCAGATTTAATGGATTTCAGTTTTGAATCGCTGTCATCGTTGCCCCGACTGCACTTGGAATTCCTCAACGACTCAGCCTTTCGCTTGGCGTCCCGTGTATGCAGCTGATCTATGTATTTCTCGTGCAGGGCCCTGTTCTTGATCTGCTTCAGAACTGGGGGGCTAAGGAATGCTGATTTCTGCGCGCCATTTATTCTCGACTGCTGCTTCTTGGAGGCTGATGAAGATCTCTCTTGACACCTTGCAAGAATGCCTGATCCTTTTTCTGATGGTGAAGCAAATACAGAAGAATATTTGAAGTCAAGAGGTGATGTGTCTTCAAGAACAGCAAAGAAATCCGCTTTGTGATTTTTGTCCTCCTTTTGCTGCTTATGCAAGAGCTGCCTTACAGTTTTCTGCGCCCTCAGCTTCTTCCTTCTCTGGCTGCATTTATTCTTTTTAGCTTTTGTCTCGGCAGGAGGGCACAGTACCTTACTAGCAGAGAACAAGACCGGCGACAATGGCTTTGTCTTCTTCACCCTAGAACGAATCCGGTGTTGCTGAGATGGAGTTAAGTGGTCCGAATGGATTTTGTTGAAACATTCTTCCGCGGATTTTCCGGGCACCTGCAGTGTAGGATCCCATGAACTGTTAAATAGCTAAACTAAGCAAGTGCAAAGATCCAAATGTCTAGAAACACTCGAAATTCACTGTTTTTGGATTCCCATTGCCGAAACGGTTTTTAGTTTAAATACCTAATCAACCAAACATGTAAAATAAGTCTGTATTTGGAATAAATATAAGAAGCTCGACATTCTAATAGATAATTATTGATCCCAGTTCGAATTTATTCATGCACACAAACTAACAAACCAACAATCATTCATATAACCATATAATCCCATATTTATGTAGTACTTATAAATTAACAATATAGTTTTCACTATTCATTTATATTTCCATAAATTAAACACACTACAAAACATCCAACTGTACATTCAAACACTACATTTTGAACTCTAATCACACTAAACTGCAAATGACTATCAAACAGCATCTACTCAAACTCAAAATTACGAACTAAATGCATTATTTAAAACTAACAATCCAGATTTCAGATATTAGTAAAAATCTTGTAAATTAGGAGCAATCTTGATTGCATCAAGTTACATCCAACTCCTGTAAGAAAACAAATTCCACTCATAAGCAGCCCACTTCCACTAGGCTCTCCTAATTTAAATCAAGAACCGACAACAGATTCGCAATTCCTACAAAATTTTAGGCACAATAAGCTCTATTTCCTTGTAATTCAGCTTATGAATCCATCCATCATCTATATAATTCACATGGCAAGACAAATGTTAGACCATGTTAGAATTCTCCCTAATTCTTAACTCTAGTTTTCTATCATCGACTACCTTACAATGCAGTTAATGTAAGTCCAAGACACATATGTTGCAGAAAGATGAAATTCTAAAAAATCTTTACCATCCTGGCTACTTTCTTCCAGAAATGAGGCGTCGGCTTTATCGTGAAGTATCCCCTCTGCAAAGCCAATTCTTGTTCCTCTGTCCATTTTGCAGCAGTGTCGCGTTTATCCTCATCTTCGCATCTCTTTCTCTTCTCACCGACCTTTCCTTTATTTTTGCTTTCCGTATCCACATTTTCCTCCTCAGCGCTGCCACACTCTTGAATGTTGAAATCATTACGAATCAATGGCGTTGATTTTCTTCGATTTGAGAAACGAGTAACCCTAGGCTCGATAATGCTGTCGCCCCTCTCTTGCTTACAGAAATCGCCGGAAACTAAAGCATCGGTGGCGTTTGGTGAAGCCCTAACACTATCTGAAGAATCGAATTCACCAATCAGATTGTTTCCGCGAATCGAACTACGAGTCACTCGTTTCTCAATCACACATTGCTGCTGCTTCAAATCCTGGAAAATTTCAGCATTTCCTGGACAGGCGCCGCCGCGTAACCTTTCAGGTCTCCTCGAATTTGCCTTTGACTTCGTTGAATTGTTCGACCGAGTCTCTCTCCTAGGGCACACATTGTCACCACTATTTGAACTTCCAATTCCTCGAATCGTACTCCTCGTTACCCTCCTCTCTACCACGCACGGATTCTGCATTTCAGAGGCATTAAATCTTGCTCCACCCTTCGATCTCGAAGTCATTCTGGACTTTCCACTGGATTTTATCAAACTTTTTGACTCCACAGTTTTCCCCTCTTTCTTCGAGGTTTTCCGGCCTTGGCTCTGCGTTTTCCTTGGAGAGGGTTTTAAGTTGTAAGCATTTACTACGCAGGCAAGTCTTCCATTAGCGAATCTGGGTGACCTCCTCGGAATCGGAATGGATTTTGGCTCTTCGCCATTTCTGAACCTCCCTCGACACATTTCGTACAATGGGTTGTCTCAAGTGGTTGATGGCAATGTTAAAAGCGGGATTTTTATTTTTTATTTTTTGAAAATTCACTGACCAAACGGTGTGTGGGTTTGTGAAATTTTTGTTTTCATTTTACTATTAAAAAAAATAAATAAATATATTAAAAATTAAAATTTAATTTTATATTGAAAATTTTATATTATTACATATTTATATAACTCTCTCTGGCTCGTAATTTGTCATTTTTTATTTCATCCGTGACAAAAATAAGGTTATTATTTTTCAATTTACAATATATTATAGAAATGTCATTACTTTTATATTACACAACACTAATGAGATATTTTTATCTTATTTATTATAACTCAAACCAAAAAAAAATTCAAACCGGTTGGACGTAAAATTGAGATTTAAGACTATCCGTTTATATTTGATATTTGAGGTGTGAAAGATTAGAATTATAAACCATTATTATGATTGGCATATGTCATATTTTTGTTACAAGAGATCGGATCTAGTTTGTACATAATCTATCCAAAGAAACCAAACTCTTCTTGGTGGGATAAGTGCTTTAATTGACCGTTGGCGCAGCTTCATGCCTCTCTTTATTATTGATAGCAACCGTTTAGTTTTGTCGCCTAATTGTGGCAATATAACATGTTGAACCAAACATTGGATGAGTACACGTGTTCTGTGTAGAAAGTACAACCACCTTATCAAACTTTTAATTAATTCATTTTTGTATTATTTTGTTCATTTTTTGAAAATAAATATATAGAAAAAGAATGTTATCAACAACCAACAATAGCAAGAGTAACCGATGTAAATATCGCTCCATCTTCAAAACTTTCCGATTATAAGTAACTTCATTTACCTAATAACATAAAAATATTTAATGCAGATCACAAATCATACAATGTTATTTTTCTTAATACTTCTCTTTTATGATTTTTTGTTTTTTAACGTGACGTAATTATTTAATTTCCTGATACCAATTTTCTACATTTTTTTTTGTGAAGCTAATTAATGAATAATCTGAAATTGGCATTGGAATATTTGCTTGTGAAATTTACTTTTATAAGAGAAATCATATGTCTAAAATATTCTTTGATATTATAGAAATTATATTCTTGGATATTATAGAATATCATTTATTGTTATATAAATACTTTCTATAATATTCTGAAAATTATATATAGAAACTAAAATTATTATTTTAATTATTATGTTTTGACATGAAAGTTGGTGTAAAATAAACTAATCTTATTATTATTATTATTGAGATGTATTAAAATAAACTATCCATCTACTTTTTGGAGTTTTACAAATATTAATTATATTTGAATATACTAAAATAAACTAATTTTATTATTATTATTATTATTATTATATAATATAAAGACAATAATATTTGTAATATACGTTAGTTAAAGGACAGAAGCAATACAAAATTTTTAAATTATTAGCATAAGAACAATTTTACCTTCAATATTTTAGATAAAATCAATTACATTCTAAAAATATATAAAAATAATGAAAGTAAGTTTTGAATATATTTTAAATAAAATGATAAATTTTATATTTTTAAGTAAAAAAGTAATTATAATATAAAAATAAATGAGGATTTTGAATAAACGGGTTACATAACATTACCATCTAGAACTATCCAATTTGGCCATCAGAACAATTATTCGAATTTTGAGGTACTTTTCAGCAAACGGGTTGGTTAGCAGTTACTAAAGTGGACCCCGCAAATACAATTACCTTTCTACCCCCGAGGTTCCACCGCCCCTCAACTGGTTCTCCAATGTATATATACGTGTATGCGTGCCGAGGTGCCGAAGTCCTTCAAATCAACTGTTGTACAGAAACCGTCTGGTGGGGTTTTGGACTTGGAGTAAGGCGTTCCGCCGATGACGACGGTGGGGAGTGAAGGAGTAGCGATGCAGCCGGAGGAGGAGGAGGAGGAGGAGGAGAACGAGGCAACGATGGGCGAAGGAATGGTGAGTGATGTTGTTTTGGCAGGGGACGCGGAAGATCGGGGGGCTGTGAGAGAGAAGATTCGTGGACCGTGGTTGCCTGAGGAGGACGCGATTTTGACTAATTTGGTGAATAAGTTTGGGGCTAGAAATTGGAGTTTGATCGCCCGAGGGGTTCCTGGAAGGAGTGGGAAGTCGTGCCGTCTCCGATGGTGCAATCAGCTCGATCCTAGCGTTAAGCGGAAGCCATTTACTGGTAAATGCGTTATGCAGTTTTATTTGGGGCTGATTTTTAACTTTTGTGGAGAGGAAAAGTTGGGAGATAGTTGTGCTTAAGCGCTGCTGTTTGATTCGGATTTAATGTTCTCAATTTTGGAGTTCCCTTTTTTTCGTTTTTGTTTCTGTTGTCTGCATATTGCTTCGAAATTTTCTGGTTTATGATTCTGCTTGCGCATTTATTTGTTATGGTGTTGATGTTAAGCGTTGCTTTCATATATGCATTGGTATATGAATCGTTTATGCTATTACAGTATGCTTTCTGAGGATCTTAAATCTGCTGGATATTCTGTAGTGCCCCTATCACTTTTTTTTGATATTTTAGTCTTTGGATTGTCGTCTCCATAAAGTAGGTTGGCTCAGCTGCCTATTGTTTAGTTGGATGCCGTTCCGTGTCTACGGATAATCAAGAATGTGTGATTTACAAGTTTCTTGGGCTTATTAGCACTGGATCGAATTATTCCCTGTTATAATCCAAATGCTAGTTTATTGGTTGATCTGTGAATGCTGTAATATGAAATGTGGATTACATTTTGCTGTTTTTTCCTCTACATATGACTGCAGGACATGGATGATAACTTTTATAATCCCTTTCAACTCTTCGACCCCGAGAAATGATAAAGTACTTGACTTGTTGAATGATATGCTTAAATCTTACTTGCTGGCTTCAATGGTTGCATCGGCATTTTCTGTTGTATTCTGTTCTATTGTGTCGCTTAGCTGCAACGAATTTAGTAGAAATCTGTTGATCTTATTACAATAATGGGACTTTTTTCTAAGATCTTTGTTCAACTTAATTTTTATGCAGATGAAGAAGATCAGATAATTATTAGGGCACATGAAGTACATGGAAACAAATGGGCATCGATTGCGAAGCTCCTCCCCGGAAGAACAGATAATGCGATAAAAAACCACTGGAATTCTACTTTAAGGCGCAAATGTGCTCATATTATGAGGTCGAAATCAGCACTGTCTAGCGGCAATGCCAACACAATGAATGCAGGTTGCGAAGATAGCATATCTGGTGCCGTTATGAATTCATTCGAGTCCTCAGAGGGAATGAACTTAAGGTCAGTGCTGAATCAACCAATCAAATATATGGACAAGGTCGAGACTGCTGCCAACTGTTTTATCCAACCACCACTGCCGCCGCCAATCATGCCAGCTGGAGCAGACACGTCATCCAGATCTTTTGAGGCCGTTATGCAGAGGCCCACGACGAATCAGCCAAAGCAGTTTGAAGGAGACAAAACTCAAATGACGCAAGATCTAATTCCTGCTGAAACAAATCGTACTGAAGCAGATGGACTGCATCCTGCTCCTATACATCAACCTAATCCGAAAATTGGTGGCTTCACTGTCTACAATTCTCCTAGCCATGGACGAGCGTTAATCTCAGGTCTTGTCCCGATGCAGGGACCATTGTGTGTCCACCATGTTTCCAAACAGGATTCGAAACTTGTTGATGCTGGGCATGTGATTCCATCGCAGTGCGGCCATGGTTGCTGTGACGGTTCAACAGGAGGTTCTTCGACCCTGTCATTGCTGGGCCCGGAATTTGTGGAATACGAAGAGCTGAGCTGTACTAGTCCTAATTTAAGTGGGGAGTTGGATGCGCTCACAGCAGATTTATACAGTATTGCGTGTATAAGAAGAGGTCTAGCGGACGAACAGATAACATCTGATGGTTTGTTTGTAAGCGCAAGAGAGAAGATGAAACTGTTTGAGGTTGAGGGGAATGGATCATCGTTATCGTCATCCTCGATGACATTGAGAGCTGAGGTAGAAGGTTTAGGCTGCTGATGGAGATATTGGAGATATACATATATATATATATGTGAAGGGTATTTATTGTATTGTTTTGTTTTGAGTTCTATTCCCTAAAACCATTCTTAATGAGTTGTGAAAATTACTTGCTTGTGTTTTGCAATGGTGGGTGGCAATGACATGCATACATATATACATGGATGTAGTTGAGTCAGAGGTTGAGAGAGCTGAATTATTGTGATACCTTCGGAGTTGGGATGGTGCTTGCTAATTTTCGTTTTCGTGTGTGAATGAGCCGGTATTAATTCACCCGAAAGGTTAAATATATTGAATAAATGACTCATGTCTGCACAAAGTTAAGCATACTTTTTGTAGAGTAGTTTGAAGCCTTCCGGGTGCGCATGAGTGAGAACGTAAGTGACTTTGTAAGAATTAATTTGTGCTCCATCATCACAAACACAAACATATACATACATACAAGAAACACAACACAAGGTGAATAAATTGGCTTGATTTTGTATTTTGGTTAGAGAAAATGTTTTCTTCAAGCTGGTCAGGTGGACACTACTTATTTATTTTAAAGCTTTCTCAATTCTAATTAATAAATAATTTAAAAACATCTCAGTTAATTTATTTTCCGGCCCAATATATTTTTATTAATTAAATAATCGGTTTCTGAATACTAACAAATTTAATTTCACGTGAATGAATTCTATCGATTTATTCAACAATAAAAAAAATATATATATATTTTTTTCTATTAGACTTTAGCATTTATATTTTTTTTCTCTCTAAAAAATATAAATAAAACACATGTTATATGTTTAATATTATACTAAATAATAATTTTATATTTAAAGTATTCAATTGATATTTATTTATAGCATATCAAATAATTGTTTTACTTTAAAATTTTAATATTCAAAACCCAAAGCCAATTTCATTGTTACATTATTTTTTTTCTATATTAATTCAAATGCAATAAATATATAATCATATATGTATTTAGAGAGATAATAATTTTATAAAATATTCTTTAAAATTTGAAATATTAATTATAAATATTGAAAATATCATTGATAAATTAAATTCAAATTCAAATCATATATTTTAATATTAAAGCATCCATATATAACACAAGTTACATGCTCACAAACATATACAGCATGGCATGAGAATCAATCTTGATTGTCCTCGTGAATGAGAAACCCCATGATGACTTACGAGATAATTTCCGTTATCTATATTTGTATATATAAATTGATTAATATATTAATTATAGGTTCAATTATTATAACCAAACTAACTATAATGTGAGTTGTCAGTTTTATTAGACTTTGAGAAATATTTTATTGTTATATGATAGCGATGTTTTGAAGGGAAATTATTTTTTTAATATAAAATAAAAAATAAATATTTAATTTATTTTTTAAAATTTTTTTTGATAAATAATTAAAATTTTCAAAAGAACACACAGATCTCTTTTTCTTCTTTTTATTATTATTATACATCATCACAAAATCGTGTAACGTATCTAGTCTTTAGTAAAGCACGATTACTGTATGCTTCATAAAATCTAAAAAGCGTGCGTTCACGACACACACGACATCTCGCACGTTGGTGGTGGCCCACACTGTCTGGGCCCACCTCGCTCACATGGTACCCGGACCCGAGCTCAAATTAATCTTGACCGTTGATGATAGAGGCATTGTACGGTTCAGATCATGTCAGGTTCCGAAGTCCAGGGACTGGATAATAATATCCCATAGTGTCATTCTGCTCCCACTATTTCCACTTCATTGAACATTCCTTCTCAAAAATCCCAACCCAAAAACCTCTCCTCTTCTTCTTCTTCCCTCAAAAAATTTCCCTCGGATTTCTGCATCTCTGCGATCTGAGATTCTCCGATGAGAAAACTGTTCCCTAATCATGACAGGGAAGATGCTCTGGAGACGGTCCTGGAGGTTCCGATTCCAGAAGAGATTTTCACTTCCAACAAGCACAAGCCATGGCAGCACTTGCAGACTTGGACGCTTGGTCCTCAGGCTTCCGGCTTCCGTGCCGCGGCGGAGCTTCAATTCCTTCTCGGCGTCGTCGGGGCGCCGCTAATACCTCTGCCAATTCCATCTGATCGAACCCTAAACAACGACATCAGAAATTCCCCCATCGTAGGTCACTTCAATCAAGCGGTTATTAATTGCATCCCAATCTGGTTCTTATTTATTTATCCATTTATATTTTTTCGGTTTCGATTATATATGCAGGAGAGGTCCATGGCGAAGTACATAGTGCAGCAATACATAGCGGCGGCGGGAGGCGAGCACGCCTTGAATTCGATCGACAGTATGCACGCGGTAGGGAAGGTGAAAATGGCGGCGTCGGAATTTGTCGGCGGGGAGGAATTACGGCAGGGAAGTTCCAAGGCTTTGGTGAAGAGTATGAAGCACGGTCCTGGAGAAATTGGGGGATTCGTTTTGTGGCAGAGAAGGCCCGATTTGTGGAGCCTCGAATTGGTAGTTTCAGGCTGTAAGATCACCGCCGGTAGCGATGGCAACGTCGCCTGGAGGCAAACTCCATGGCACAATTCCCATGCTTCCCGCGGGCCACCGCGGCCGCTCCGGCGATCTCTGCAGGTAACATTTTTTATTTTTATTTTTAAAAAATAAATAAATATGCATATACATCGTGCTGTTGTGAGCTCCTGGACTAAAAGGCCAGGCTGATCCACACCGTTCATTGTGTAGAGGGATTTAGCCGTGAGTGGCGTGGATCAATCAGGACTTTTTTTGGGTGGAATTGTTTTTTCCCAATTTCTGTTTGTGTTTTTCAAATTGCATCAGCTGATATTGTCAATATTGGTAGCTACAAGTGTTTGACAAAGTTAACAGATTTCCATGTTGTGAAAAACTTTAATTTGATCCTTAGTTTCTTGAAGGCCCCACATCTCCTTCCCCAAGTCTTGTGTTCATATCGTATGTGATCTTCTTTCCCCACTAACAACTCCAAATTCATTAGTCAGCTTAATGAATTAATTCCCTTTCCTTTCCAAATTGTCACAATTTCCACACCAAATCCCTCAAACTGCAGGCCCTTGATTGCTGGAGATGAACTCATGTATATAGTTTAATAAATTTGATTCAATTTCACTGCTTGCCTTGCTCAAAGCCATTGGAATAGCTGAGTTGAAACATTAGCCATTCGATCGAATATAATGTTGTGGAGTTTCTCCATTGATAGATGTTGGTGGCTGTGATAAATGTTCTTTCTAAGAAGTGATACGACGCCGTTTGATTCAAAAGATCAAATGGGGCACTACTTTACCTATTTGTGATATTCACTATGAGATATTTGTTCCTTTGCAACACCGTGGCTTGTTGTTTTTTCGAATTTTTGATCAAAATATATGATGATGTCAACAACAGGGACTTGATCCGAGGTTGATAGCAAATCTCTTCTCCAATGCAGTCTGCACCGGGGAGAAGACAATCAACGGCCAGGATTGCTTTGTGCTGAAGCTCGAAGCCGAGTCTTTGGCCCTTAAGGCAAGAAGCAGCCCGAATGTCGAAATAGTAAGACACACTATCTGGGGCTATTTCAGCCAAAGAACAGGTCTTTTAATCCAATTACACGACTCCCATTTGCTGAGAACACGAGCCTCTGGAAACAATGTGGTCTGCTGGGAGACAACCACGGAGTCCCTGATCCAGGACTACAGGACAATCGAGGGCGTCAACATCGCACATTTGGGCAGGACATCGATTTCACTGTTGAGATTCGGGGAATCATCGGAGAGACACACTCGGACGAGAATGGAGGAGATTTGGAGCATCGAGGAAGTGGATTTCAACATAAAGGGATTACGGATGGAGTGTTTCTTGGCTCCCAGCGACCTGAAAAGGGAAGACGAAGAAGAATGCGGCGGCAGCGCTGTTGTCAGTTTGCCTTGCAGAGGTTTGAACAATTCTTGTAGGACTGCTAAGGGTGCTCGAAAAGTTGTCGCTGTGGAAGAACAACACTTCGGAGTGTTCCAAGGTGAACAAAGGTTGTAATAACATTTCATCTTTCGGGACCACCTTGTATATAACATTTAGGACGGCGGTTATGGTGCACTGTGCTGATAGCAAGGTAATATATACCAGATAATACATTAGATCTAAATTTACGAAGAACTTACAGCACGTACTAATAGTTATACGACATGTGCTGTCTGTTATATTGTTATATGATATCCATAGTATTTTCATGTGCTGATTTGGGTAATCGGCTGGGATAACATTTAGATCCCATTTATCATGTAGTTATTTATTGGTAACGCAATTTTAGCTTCTTTTTTTTTTTTTAAATCAAATAGTGATTAGATAATTAGTTTTGGGTCCTCCGTGGTAGCGTTGTATCTAACATTTGATTATATGTATGTTGCTCATCCAATGGTTTGATATAGAAGAAGGATTTTTTTATTATTATTATTTTTTTTTAAAAAAAAAATCAGTATCATTCTTTAATTATATATATATATATATATATATACTTTTCGAGTGTATATTTATGCATTTTCCTTCAATGTCATGTGCAGTTGGTTAACAATTTTGTGTTGATTTGTGAAATTTGAATTGTAGAATTTATTTGAAAATGAAATTGTTGATTCAAATGTGAGTTTGAGATAGGAGAAATATTTAAATGTCAAATGATATTTTTTTATGTATGTACTTTGCTTGCATAAAATATAATAAATATATAAACTGATGTTTAATGTTGTGAAATTATTATTAAGTCAATAAAAGTATTAAGTTATTTTTGCAATGAATCACTATTATGTATCATTGGTTAATCCTGCATTTAGGAATTATAGGTAGATCATTAGATTGAATATAGATTAACGAATGAGATTTTGATTTAATAGGCAAAAATATATGGGCTTAATTTAATCGTTTAAACACAATGTATCTATCTAATCATACCAATCATTTTTTCTTTCTTTTGAAGGACATTATTTTGTAATAGGTTGATCTATGTTTTGGGAGAAGGTCAATTGGTGACCAGTGGAGTGACCCTTTATCTTTATATATTAGAGGAGTTCGCACAGATCTAACAATGTGGGACAATATTCAAGATTCAAATCCAATACGAACACCATGGTTCTGATATCATATTAAGAAGGGATCCAACATCCAATCTAAAACCAATTGATGATAGGTGGAGTAACTCACATTGAGCAACGTGGGACAATATTAACGTGAACCGAATTCAAAAAAAAATCTTAAGAGAGAAAGGTAATGGAAAAGGCAGAGTTGAGACTGTAAAATGAGAAAAAGAATAATGAAAAAAGAATAAGACAACTAAAAGTGAATAGCAGGCGGAAGCAGATGTAAGGGCACACAAAGCTAATTTTTCTGGTCCCAAAAGCGGCGGAAATAATACCAACATTGGTCCATAATAATAGAGGAAAAAAAATTGTAGATTTCTTAGGGTGTGTTTGTTTGGTGGTTTGGATTTTAAGTTGAAATTTCAATAGTAAAATTTTTGAATTTGAATAGTTGTATGATGTGATATAAATAGGTGTTGATGTGATATTTTGAATGTAAAATTTATTTTTAGTATAATATAAAAAATAAAAAATAGATATTTAATTTGATGTTTTTGGCGGAAAAAATTGGATGAATAGTGTAAATCCAATCTAATCCCCCAAACAAACACACCCTAGTCTACCGTTCGGCCGCTATAAGGTGAATTGATGAACAGTGAACTTTTTTTTAGAAGAAAAAAAAAATAAAATAAAATAAATTGAATTTTCTTGAAAGTATCTAAACATTTTTGTAGAGCATATTGTTAGACCAAATAAAAATGCATAAGGAAAATAGGCAGATTCAGCCGGGGATCAACGTGAGATATGAGGTGTTTGACAATTAGCTGTTAACTTATTCAATTAGCTGATTTGATTGGCTATTTGTATTAAAATGTTTGGTAAAACAACTGTTTGAAATTTTTGAGTTTAGAATATTTGAAATTTTTTGTTATTAGTTATTGAAAATTGTAAAAGTGTTATAAAATAATATTTATTTTTATTATAGTTAAATTGAAAAAATAATATATTTTTATTAAAAAATATAAATAATTTTTTCTATTGAAAATGATGTAAAATATAAAATCATAAATTTTTTCTGTATATATTTATTATGCCGATTATCGATTAGTTCATTATATTTATAATTTTCAATAAATTTAATTTATTTTTAGTATAAAATTTATATAATGTAATTTTAATATAAAAATAAATTATTAATATTAATATTTTCTATTTTATGATGATTTTAATAAATTTATATATTTTACAATTAAAATAATTTATATATAAAAATTAATTTATATATAAAAATAATTTCTATCGAGGGGGCTGAATGATTTCCTTGAAATAAAGAAATTAGATATTTTTATCATTTTAAGTGGAATTTATGATAAAAATATATATTTTGACGTATTAAATCAATATGCAAATATTGACTTGATAAAAATTGATCGAATCTAACTTGTCGTATAATCAATGCTAGGGGTGGGCAAAATATTCGAACCGAACCGCAGAACCGTCGAACCGAACTGAATCGAACCGAATTTTCGGTTAACCGAGCAAATTCGGTTCGAATACAAATACTGCATATTTGGTATTTGTTCGGTTCGGTTCGGTTTCGGTTTCTAACCTTTTTTTCGGTTCGGTTAACCGAACCGGATAATTTTATAATAAATTAATTATGTTATATTATATATTTATAATTTATTTATATAAATTATCATTAATAATATACATTACAGCCAGTCCCCCAGTGCAGACCCGGTTCAAACTTAATGCAAACCGCCAAACCCCATCTCCCAAATCTCAAACGCGATTTCACAACCCTAATTTCTTCGTCTACCTCCTGGACATCGGCGGTACTTCACCTGTTCACCATCTTGCGATTTTTCAGCCAATCAGCGGCGGCTTCATCTTGTTTTTGCGATTTTTTATTCCATCTCTCAGCACGGCTTCACCCTCTCTTCTGCAGTTTGTGTGCAACTATCCAGACAATCGTTTTCAACTCTTCGCGCACAATACAACTACAAAATCTTTCGGGTAACAACTACAAATAGTCGATTCAAGATTATAAAATCTTTTCCATTTTATTTACATTGTGCAGAGTTTTTTATTGTTTTTTTAGTGGACCGTTTTTTTTGTTCAAAATTTTTTTCCAAAATATAAATATAATTGTGCAGGTTTTATTATTATTTTTTTTTAACAATTAAAATGCTAACTTATTTATTTTGAATCCAAAATTGGTAATGAGTGTTAATTGAAGCTTATCTATTATTTATATTTTTTTCCGTTATTTCTCACTAACACTACAAGAAAAAATCATTTTTGTAACAAAACTTTTTTGTCTCTAAATCTACTTTTTCCGTTACTAATGACATTAGAGACGGAATTAGTAATGGAATTACGTTAACTACGTGAACTTTAGGGACGGAATTCCGTTACAAATATATTATTTTTTTGTAGTGTAAATAAATTTATTTTTATTTATGCAGGTTTAATGGAATCAATGGGTTCAAAAACAGACGGGTATCCTATGGAATCTTTTATGCCAGAAACACAATCTCAACCAGAATCAAAGGATTTTCAAACTCAAGCAGCAGATGATTGTCCTGCTCCTAAGGTACCTAAATTTCGATATGTTGCCTGGGATAATTTTAAAAGAACTGAATCTGGAGATAAGGCAAAATGCAATCATTGTTCTACATTGATTACGTGCAAATCTAAGCTAGGCACAAGTACTAGTGCTATGTTGAATCATTTAAAAAGGTGCAAGGCAATTCTGAATGAAGTTGAGGATGATGGGCATATGGGTAAAAAATTGAAACAAACAACAATGCATTATCAACCGAAAAAAGAGAATGAATGTGTTGGTGTTAATTCTTTTTTGTCATTTGATCAACAACAATGTCGTAAAGCTCTTGCTAAATGGATTATTGTTGATGAGATGCCATTTAGAACTGTAGAGTCAGAAGGATTTCGTGATTGCATGAGTGTCATTCAACCTCGATTAGGAATTCCGTCCCGAAGAACACTTGTTAGAGATTGCATTAAAATTTTTCAATATGAGAAGTCAAAGTTGGAGACCTTTATCAAGAATTACAAGGGTAGTGTTTGTCTGACTACAGATATTTGGACATCTTGCCAAAATTTGAGTTATATGTCATTAACTGCCCATTTTATTGATGATGATTGGAATTTGCACAAAAAAATTTTAAACTTCTCACCAATTCTTGGTCATTCGGGTTATGCGATTGGAAAGAAAGTTGAGGATTGTTTGGTGGCTTGGAAAATTAAAAATGTTTTCACTATAACGGTTGACAATGCAAGCGCAAATGATGTTGGTTTAATATATCTAAAAGATAGGTTGAAGAAATGGGAAGGGGTGACTTTGGATGGAAAGTTTTTACATATGAGATGCGGTGCACATATTCTGAATCTTATTGTTAAGGATGGATTGAATGAAATAAAGGATTCAATTGAGCGAATTTGGTCTGCTATTCTTTATGTGAGGTCTTCTTCAAATCGCACACAAGCATTCAAAAAATTGATGGAAAAACAAAGATTGAATACGAATGCTATTGCTTCATTGGATGTCGATACAAAATGGAATTCAACATATAAAATGTTGGATTCCGCCTTAAGAGTGAAAGATGTGTTTGATTTGTTGGAATGCGAAGATGACAAATATAAGGATGAGTTGAAAAAGAACGACAAAGTGCCACCTGCAGAGGATGATTGGTCTTATGCACGTGGATTTCTACCATTTTTGAAATGTTTTTATGATACAACTGTTAGAATCTCAGGCTCTAAGTATGCAACTGGGAACTTATATATGAAAGAAATTTTTCGTGCTGCATATAATATTCAATCAATGGTGGAAGATCCGGATTCATTAGTTAGATCAATGGTTTCCAAGATGTCTGGAAAGTTTTTTAAATATTGGGGAGATTGGAAAAATGTCAATCCAATGATTTATCTTGCAACTATTCTTGATCCGCGCCATAAAATGCGTTGGGTGAATTTTATGATAAATCGCGTGTATGTAGAGAGTGAAGCAAAAGAATTGCTTCAGTCAATTCAAGATGTTTTGAGAATGATGTTTGATGAATATAATTCCACTTCAATATCTAACATTGAAGTGGAACCTTCTAGCATGGCCTGCTGTAGTACTACACCAAATTTTTCCCAAATTGATGACTTTGAGAAAAGATTGCAGAAAGAGTTGGAGGAATTTGAAGCAATTGAAGTGCATGGTGTGTTAAAATCTGAGTTGGATAAATACTTGGATGACGAATGTGAAAAGATGACCCAATCGAATTTTAATATCTTATATTGGTGGAAAACAACGGGATCAAAATATCCGACCCTTTCTCGTATGGCAAGAGATGTATTGGCCATTCCAGTATCTACGGTTGCTTCAGAATCAGCTTTCAGCACGGGAGGTCGTGTTATTGATCATTTTCGGAGTTCTCTTACCCCAAAGTTGGTTGAAGCATTAATATGTACACAAGATTGGATTCGAAGAGGTAATCCAAAAATTGTGGATGAAAATGAGCGTGAAGATTTTGAAAAAATCGAAGCAGGTATTTTATTTAATTTTAAATACTTAGTAAAAATTTAAATTTAAATGTAAAATATATGTTTTTTATTGTTTCTTAATTTTTTGTTTACAGCATGGGAAGCACATCTTCTGGATTTAGACGAATAGAATGAGGTAAACTTTCTTTGTAGTATCAGTATTTTTTTTATTATAAATTATTTCTTTTGTCTTTTTTTTTTTAAAAAAAAATTTCTGTACAGTAAAAAAAAAAATTATTACTCTTGAAAATTCACTTTTAATTTTAATTTACAGGTTGCTTCAATTACAAATTACTTTTGTTACTAATTCCGGAAAATTTAGATTATTGAGCTTTCAACAATTTGTGATAAATAAATATATTATTTATACTTGTAGCTTATTTCTTAGTTTTATTTATTTTTTTTTTAAAAAAATATTATATTATTATCATTTTTTTTTTCAGGAATTCATGTGTTTGAAGAAAGCTTGAATCTCTACTCAATTTAGTGTGCAGTTTTTTTTAGTAAATAAATTTTATTATACTATAATTGCAGTGCATTATTATTGATTTTTTCTAAAAAGAATTATTTTATTATCTTATTTTTCAGGAATTCGACGGTGAAAAGATGCACACGCAGATTTATTTTCGTGGATATTGTAATTTGACTTTTAAATATACTTTATGTTTCATGTTAATTTGTTTTTAATTGAACTGATATTGTGTTGTTGTTTATGAGTGTTTCAATTCCAAAAGTAGATTTATTTGTCAATATTTGTTTGAATTCGGTTCGGTTCGGATATTTGCAAATAGTACAAATATTTTCGGTTTAACCGAAATTTTCGGTTCAGTTTCGGTTCGCGGTTTCGAATATTTGTTCGGTTCTGTTCGGATATCAAATACCTGCATATTTGCAAATATCCGAACCGTGCCCACCCCTAATCAATGCAATCAATGTAATGATGGGGACGACGGCTCAGGAGGATCGAGACCTCTCGAGTCCCTATGTAGCTCTGCCGTTGCTTTCAGTCCAAGTTTAATTCAACTAGTTTATTATTTGCTTTCAAAATTATGTTTTTATTTTTTTTTTATTTTTATGGTTCATTAAATTTATACATAGTCCATTTATAGTAAACATTTTTATCAATTCAATTCATAATTGTATTGCTCTTATTTTAACAAATAAAAATATATTTATTATTAACTTTTTCTACTTATTTCATTATTTTTTATTAATATTTTTAATAAATTTCTTATAATAATTATATTTTATCTTTTACCTGAAATATCATTATTTAGTTTGGGATCTTTCTCTTTCGACGGCATGTTATGTTTTTGTTGAAGATGATATTTGCCATTTTTAATTAGCTTAATCCCTGAAGAATTGGATAGGACTTGATGAAAAGCAAGTGTGGATTAGATAGATCTTGGGTTGCTTTTTTAAGATGTTTGAGAAAGAAGTAAGAAGACAATTTAGATCTTGTTTGTTTGGTATTTTTGTAATCTTAAATCAAATTAATGACAAAATTTTATCCAAAAAAATTATTACCGCTATCCAAAAGGTGCATACTAAATAAACTCTGATCAAGCCTAATAGGCAAGTCACACAAAATATTATGCTAAAAAAAAAAAAACATTGTCTATTATATATATATATGAAATATAACATAGGTGTGAGTGATATATTGTAGCTAATATATAATCTATTCGTTTCAAAAAAATAGTCTCATATTGTCATTTTCGTACGTCTCAAAATAATAGTCTATTTTTTATTTTTGTAACTAATTCTCCATACTTTTTTACATTAATTACATAAAGTAAAAACGTTTTGCTCTTTTAAAAATATTTTTACGCTCACTAGTAATATAATATTATTATTTCTTCATTCTCGTGTCCATACCAAATGTCCATATTATTTTAGGACGGAGGAAATATTATTTCGGCAGGAGATAATATGCATTTTTTTCGTTATCTATTAAATTTATATATAATCTATTTATAGTATAAAAATTATCAATTCATAATTTTGTTACTCATATTTTAATAAATAATAATCGATTTATTATTATTTTTTTTTTTTATTTAAATCACGTAGTGATTTTGGATGAAATGCTTTTGGTGTGATATAGAAAATTTGTAAAAAATATAAAATATATTATTTTAAATTGATTTTTTATTTTTGTAGTGACTTTTGTGTTTGTTTGTGGGTTTAAGTTTTGGGGTTTGGATTTTTGAATAATAAAAAATTGAATTTGAATAGTTGTTTGATGTGATATAAATAGATAATGATGTGAAGAAAATATAATGTATTTTGGAAGAAAATAAAATTTTAATGAAATAAATATATGATATTTAATTATGCACATATGTTAATTTTTGTACAATAAATATCAATCATTAATGCAAAAAATCTGCTTAAAATGGAAGATATCGTACAAATATTACATGCATAAATAGAACCATAATAAATTTGGCAACAAAATAAATTAATCTTGACAATAAAGGAAGGATATAATTAATATTTTCCGAAAAAAAGGCAATGATATAAAGATTTTGACGAGAAAGGAAAGTGCACAATCAAATCCGTCAAGAATGAAAAACGACATCCGATGGAAAATAAAAGATAATAAAATCTTCCTGTTGGCCAATTAAAACACGCCACCTGACACCATTCAAAAAAGAAGTCGAGGCCACACATCCCCTATAAATAGGAGCCATGGTCAATTCATTTGACACACCGAAGTTACATCGATGATTCAAGCAAATGGATAAGTCTCTAGACTCTCTGTATTGTTCTTCATGTTCTTCGTGTCCTTCGAAGCGTTCTTCGTCGAAAGTCACTAATTTGGACAAATGATCCAATATTGGTTGACGAATCGATGAAGTTAACGTTTTTCATCGTATGTCCAAGCCGGAGGAAGGATCAAAGCTTTCAAAGCCGTTGAGGAATTTGTCAAAGCCAAGGGAAGGTCTCCAAAGTTCCTCTCAAAGCTTCGAGATATTCATCGTGTTCTTCAACAAAGCATCAACTAGGCCCTCTTCGATCCAAAAGTCAAAGGGACACGCCGCCAAAAGTGTTATGGAGTACCAAATCCACCTCTTCAAGGATCAAAGCTCTCAAAGCCGTTGAGGAATTCGTCAAAGCCAAGGGAAGGTCTCCAAAGTTCTTCTCAAAGCTTCAAGATGTTTATCGCGTTCTTCAACAAAGCATCAATTAGGCCCTATTCAATCCAAAAGTCAAAGGGACACGCCGCCAAAAGTGTTATGAAGCATCAAAACCACCTCTTCAAGGATTAAAGCTCCAAAAGCTATTGAAGAGTCCATTAACGCCAAGGAAAAACATCCAAAGTTCATTCCAAAGCTTCGAGGTGTTCATTGCATTCTTCACCAAAGCAACAATTCGGCCCTTAAAGTTAAAGGGCTACGCCGCCAAAAGCGTTATGGAGCACCAAATCCACCTCCTCAAAGATCAAAGCTGCGGATCGTCCAAAGAATACATCAAATCCAAAGCCAATGATCAAGCCGCCTACACGGAGACCAAAGGCCTCCGAACGGAGGCAAAGACAAACCAAAGATCAAAGCCGCGGATCGTCTAAAGAAGACATTAAATCCAAAGCCGACGATCAAATCGTCCACACGGAGACCGAATCTCTCCAAAAGGCGGAAAAGACAAACCAAAGATCAAAGCCGCAGATCGTCCAAAGAAGACACAAAATCCAAAGCAGATGATCAAATTGCCCACACGGAGACCAAAGCTCTCCAAAATGCGGCAAAGCCAAACCAAATATCAAAGCTGCGGATCGTCCAAAGAAGACATCAAATCCAAAGCCGATGATCAAATCGCCCACATGGAAACTAAAGTCCTGCAAAAGCGGGCAAAGCCAAAACAAAGATCAAAGCCTCGGATCGTCTAAAGAAAATAGCAAATCAAAGCTGATGATCAAATTGCCCACGCGGAGACCAAAGTCCTCCTAAAGCGGCAAAGCCAAAGCAAAGATCAAAGCCTCGGATCGTCTAAAGAAAACATAAAATTCAAAGCCGATGATCGAATCGCCCACGCGGAGACCAAAGTCCTCCAAAAGCGGCAAAGACAAAGCAAAGATCAAAGTCTTGGATTATCTAAAGAAGACATCAAATCCAGAGCTAACGATCAAATCGCTAACACGGAAACCAAAGCCCTCCAAAAGGCGGCAAAGCCAAATCAAAGATCAAAGGCTCGGATCATCTAAAAAAGACGTCAAATCCAAATCCGATGATCAAATCGGCCACACGGAGACCAAAACTCTCCAAAAGTCGGCAAAGTCAAACCGAAGATCAAACCTCGGATCAAAGAAGCCATCGAAAACCAAGTTAGAAAACAAATCGACCCGGAAAAAAATCAAATAACCCATTTAAAAAATATGACCCGCTTTAAATCCAAATCAAATATAATTTGTAAAATTTTGTATTTCTTAAAAATAATACAATTTTTTTTGTCCATACTAACCATATATATCTATATATGTACTTGATCGGGTCCCGACACTAGATGAACATAATCAATTCGTTGTTAGCTGATTTGAGATAACTCTAACCATATATATCTATATATATATATACATATATGTACTTACATAGTCAATTCGAGCATGTGATTCAAGTCAGCAGTTACTTCAACACAAGCCACTCATTCGAATCTGATCCCATCTCATCGATCTCATCTAATCATTTAATAATCAATAACTCCAAATTCTCCTCTTCTTCTTCTTTCTTTCTCTTACCCATCATCCAACTCATATACATACTTTCTTTCCACTCCAAACAAAAAAAAAAAAAATCTTAATGAGCCAAGTGTAACAATATCTCATAACATAATGACGAGCAGTGACACTGGTAGCAGTAACTTGGGCTCGAGGGTGGTCCTGTTCCCCCTGCCGGCGCAGGGCCACATAAATCCGATGTTCCAGCTCGCGAACATCCTCCACTCCATCGGCTACGCCATCTCCATCGTCTACACTCCACACAACGCCCCGGATATCTCCCGTTTCCCTCATTTCCATTTTCAGCTCATTTCCGACTCTAACTCCCAATCCGATTACCCGATTTTTAAACCCCTCGACGTCGTGAGCTCCATAAATCAACTCAACGTCCACTACGCCGGCCCCTTCAAGATCTGCCTTGCGCGAATATTGTCTGACCATGAAAGCTTCGGTACCGTGCGCTGCATTGTTGCCGATGCCATTTGGCATTTCACGCAGGCTGTCGCCGATGAGCTCAACATCCCGCGGATCGTGCTCAGGACCAGCAGTGTTTGCTCGTTCTTGGCCTTCACGGCTCTCCCGCTCTTTCGGAAAATTGGATATCTTGCAAACTTGGGTATGTATAATTTTGATATATTGTCAGTTCGAGATATAAGTAGTAGAGTCTTCGATAAAATTAGTCGAACAGATCTTTGTGTCGTATATAGTTTGTATTGTGATAATTCAAAGCTCTAGCAATAAAATCAAGAAAATAGATCAATAAAAAATAAGGTAAAGCGACTGTAAATCGGAGGAGAACTGCAAGAGAATTATCATAGAGAATATTTTGTATATTTCTTGTATATTTCTCAGTTTTAATCTCAAATCTTCATTTTTAGAAAAGATATGATTGAAAAAGATCCTGATTGATCTGGGCATCCTGCCTCTGATAATTTAATCTAAACTTTTAGATTATAATTAGTCACGAGCATGACTAATTAATAAAAATAACACTCACCTAATAATGCAATCTTTATGTCTTCCCCATATACCCTCTATTTAATTATTGTATTACATTATACTAATATAATATATATATAAAAATATTATATTTAACACACAAATACATTATGAGTCATGCCAAATACACTAAGTTCCAACATATATATATATCCCAGCCACTACCAGTAGAAGATACAGACAACACATGTTTTTACACTAAGTTCCACCATATATATATATCCCAGCCACTACCAGTAGAAGATACAGACAACACATGTCTTTATCTGATACATATTGTGTATTGAGTAAAATAAAAAATGTACATTGCATAAAAGTAGATTATTGAAATTATTTATATGTTATTAGTTTATGTGCTATTTGTAGCAATGGCTATTGTCTATTAATATACTATTTGCTGTTAGTAAAATTCAATAACATAACCGCCCGTCATATATATTTTTGTTGAGTGAAAGAAAATGAAATAGAATTGAACCGTTAATAATTCTATTAATTAGAATAAACCAAAAAATTCTGAAAAAATTCGACCATGTTTCATACTTCCCAGAAGCAAGAGCAGAAGAAGCAGTCCAGGAGTTCCCGCCGATCAAAGTTAAGGACATCCCGACGATCGGCGACGGCGACCAAGACAGCACAATCGAACTCATATCCACAGTAGTCACAGAAACAAAAAAAAGCTCCGGCCTAATCTTCAATACCTTCCAAGAACTCGAACCGCCGGACCTAAACGAACTCCGCCGCCAATTCCGCATGCCGGTCTTCGCCGTCGGACCGTTCCACAAGCGCTTCTCCGCCGCGGAAACCAGCTTGCGCAAACAAGACAGAAGCTCCATAGATTGGCTCGACACGCAGGCGCCACAATCCGTGCTCTACGTTAGCTTCGGCAGCGTCGCGACAATGGATAAAACCGCATTTCTCGAAGCCGCCTGGGGACTGGCCAACAGCGGTCAGCCGTTTCTGTGGGTTGTCCGGCCGGGATCAATAAATGGCGCGGTGGCAGCGCCGGGATCGGAGATGCTTCCAGGTGAGTGGGCGGAGGAAGTTAGCCAACGGAGCTGCGTGGTGGAGTGGGCGCCGCAGCAGGAAGTGCTGGCGCATCCGTCGGTCGGGGGATTTTGGACGCACAGCGGATGGAATTCGACGTTGGAGAGCATCTGCGAAGGGGTGCCGATGATGTGCGCGCCGTGCTTCGGGGATCAAATGGTGAACGCTAGGTGGGTTAGCGACGTATGGCGGATCGGGATCAATTTGGAGAGAGTGTTCGCGAGAAGGGACGTCGAAGAGGGTGTTCGATGATTGATGACGATGGCGGAGGGGGCGGAGATGCGGCGGAGAGTGGCGGCTTTGAAGGAGACGGCGGCGGCGTGCTTGGGTTCCGGTGGGTCTTCTTATGAGGCACTTGAGGGTTTAAGTAAGTTTATTATGGAATTGGGTTGTTAAGAATTCAAAATAATGGACAATTGACGATTTTACTCTCGTTCTGTTTGCCGTTGTGATAAGTCATTTTATCTTTGGGAGCGATACAAGTGAAGTAGAGCACTATGGCTCGTAGATTGTTTTGTGGGAAGATGGCTCTTCGTCTCGGCTTGTTTTCTTCCCCCTTAACATATTTGTTGTTGATCTCCTTGTTGACGAGGATGTCTTTCCATCAAAACCCGAGTTGTTTGACTTGCCCACAACCGTTTCCGACGCCACTACTTCTACCGCCGCTCCCTTTTCTAGCATCAACGGATGCATGTTGATCCTATCAGTGATCTTCAGACTAATGCTAGAGAAGATGTTCATCTCTCCCAATAAGCCACGTGTCTCCATCCATTCACAAGCATATCAAAAGCAAGTTCAAATTTTCTTGAAACGGCAAAACATCATACTTGCATAGATAACTTCTTTTAATCTTACTCTTGCATTAGCAATTTTTCAAAGAAGTTAATTAAGAGAATATATCTCAACCTATCTTTCTTGCATGTCCGAAGGCAAACTTTTTAGATGAATTTACCATATGTGTTCCAATCTCCAAAATATGAGCCTTCCATATTGAATTCATCTTCTAAGGTTGTAGTAGAAGGAAATTAGGTGTCTCACACTTAGTAGATTTAGATGAACTTTAATTTCATCACAATTGACGACTTGTGCACCAAGTCCCTAGACAATTTTTTCGTCAAATTATCAGCTAGATTATATTGTGATTACACGAATTCCACTGAGATCATTCAATTCATGATTAATTTACAAATCATATTGTGTCTAAGACCCAAGTGTCTAGACTATCCATTATAGATTTGGTTATATGTCTCAACCATAATTGTTGTGCTATCAAAACAAATAGAATTAAGTGATACCGATTTCGTCCATAACGGAATCTCATAAATCAAATTATGAGGCAAATTTGTAAAATGAGTAATACAAGTTTTCTTCTTGAAATACCAACAAATGGAATCTCCCCAAACAAGAATACCTATCTAGACGTGGAAGAATGATCTTCTGTATAATTTATTTAATTAGCATCTCAATATTCCTCCATCGCCGAACAAAATTCATAATAATATAAATCATAGTTAATGATCCTTAGTTATTTCTTCCCCACGCGATTCGAGGAACTTCCCCACTTGTAATATGACCGTTCATATTATATTTTTCAAACAATATACATTTTTATCTATGTTTGAAATGTTTTCAATATGAGACAAGATTGGTAATCGTCACTATATCAACAATAATCCACTAAGATTCTTCATGTTCAATTATATATTCTCACATGAGATTATAAAATCAGATTACAGATAATTTGAATAATCACATCTAAAACTAATTTGTGTAAAATTCCAGATGTTTCATTTCATACAATCTCAATTGCATCAATTTCATGTATTTGAAACATCCAATTTACAAATCTCAGTTATAAAATCAATCAAACATTTGAACACAATGTAAGAAAAGTAACTTAGCATTAACATACTTGAATTTATATCAATTATGTACACGTCTTGAGACTTCAAGAAATTAACCACTAATTATTTACAGTAATTAGAATTCATTCGAATTATTAAAATTAGTTCGATCCTTTTGAACGGTTATTTCCTTACTTAAAAATATTTTGTATTTGTTCTTGTGTATTTGCTTGTCTCTCTATATTTGAATTTTTTATTTTTTATTTTCAGTTTCTGTTGTAAATTATTTTTAGAAGTCGTTTTGTCACTTCTGTAAATATTAACAAAAGCAAGATTTGGAAATTTTGTAGATGATGTCGGCAGAAGAAATTTGGCTTTGAAGTCTTGAATCAAGTTGATGAATTTTAAGCACAAGATTATGGTCCCGACACATTATGAACATATTTGATTTGAGCTACCTGTGATTTAAGTCACGTGGTCCAACACAAGCTAATCTGGACATCTGTATTGGGTTTTCTCCGAATGTCTTACTTATTAATTTAGGTAAAGTATAATTACTAAATAATTAAAAAATATATTAATAAAAATAATTATAGATTAAGATTAAGATAGTTAAATAGTTTAATTAAGATTAAAAAAAATTTAAATTTTAAATTTTAAAATATGATTAAAGTGTATAATTAATTTTCTAAAAAAGAAAAGGACAAATTATGTGAAACGAACGAAAATAGAAAATAGGGACAAATTATGTAGGACGGAGGAGTATTTATTTATAAAAAAAGAAAATATTTGTCCCACCTAAAATGATACTCCCTCTGTCCCACATAATTTGTCCATATTTTCTATTTTTGTCTGTCTCACATAACTTGTCCTTTCTATTTTTGGAAATATAATTATACACTTTAATCGCATTTTAAATTTTAAATTTTATAATTTTCTTAATTTTAATTAAACTATTTACTTATCTTAATCTTAATCTATAATTATTTTTACTAAATAATAATTATTGTTACTAATACACTTCTTAATTACTTACTAATTATATTTTACTTAAATTCTCGTATCTACAGTAATACACCCATATTACATGGGACGGAGGAAATACATTTGATTAGGAATATGTTTTTAAGGTGACTATATGTAATTAATTAACTAATTATAGTGAATTATGATAGTAATTTATTATTTTTTATTGAAGAAATATTCTTAGTAGTTTTAAAATAAAAAAATAATATATAAGATTGAAAAAAATTAGAATATATATTTAAAAATTATATTTCAATAAAATATATACAATATAGATATTATTTTGAAAAAAAGTACAATTTTATATGATATAAAAGAAATATATATTTATTTATGATTAATATAAATTAATTTTATAAAAAATAGTTTTAAATATAATACAATTGTTTATTAAAAAAAATAAAAATAAAAAGATTTTAAATAGATCACGATCTATGATATTATAGGCTATAAAATTAATTTAAATTAATTTAAATTTATTAAATACGTATTAAATTAATAAAATTTACTAAATATAAAAAAAATAATTGTATCATTTAAGGAGGACCGAAGGATCATAAAACATGATTGGGACAGGCGAACAACTCCAAAAATTTGGTATTAATTACCCTTTTTGCCACGTGTCTCATTTTAAAGGGGACACACGGCGGAAAGAAAAAATTTGTTATTTATTTTATACTTTTTTTTTCATTCCAAGCATCATACAATATTTCGTTTTTGATATGTTCCAAACGTCTTGCATCATTTTCAAAATAGGATATAATTAATTATACTCAATCTTAATCTCTACCCCACACTTTATTCTCTCACATCATCCAAATAAAAAAATAAAATATATATTTTTCTCTCCATCTCATCACCTAATTTCTAAATTATCATACTTAATACTACCCACCTAAAAACTCGTGCCAAAAATAAATGTTGCACCTTATTTGGAATGGAAGAGTATTTTATTTTAAAGATATGTATATATAATAATAAATATTTTTATATTATAATTATTTTATAAGGAAGATTAACGTTTATTTTTTAGTGTAAATTTTTTAATATTAGTATTATATTGGTTTATAATAAAAAGGACAATAATGCTTCTATTAAATTGTGTGATATTAAAAGTAATGATATTTGTGTAATATATTAGAAATTGTAATAGTATCATTGTTTTGAGATGGACAAAATTGTAAAATGATATTTTTCTTGTAAGACGGAGGGAGTATAAATTTTATTTTTTAATAAAATTATACTAATAGTGATATATTTTACTTAATAAAATTTTAATTAAAAATATAACTATTTATTTTAAATTAATTGTTAAATAAATAAAAATATTAATAACTCTGTATATTTAATAAAAAAATATTATTATTTAAAATATGTTAAAATATATAAGTTAATAATGTGAATGAAAGAGAATTTAAAATTTTTATAAATGATTTTTCTTTTTTTATGTGAATATAAAATAAAATGAGCTTTTTTCGCTCATAGTCACCAAAAAAAAAAAAAGAAAATGATGACTTAAGGATGACACTAGGTCAAGTTCAGCCAGACTCGAAACCGGAACCAAGTATACTTTATTAGACCTGAGATTTGAAATAGACTAGTTTTACTCGTTAACTTGACAAACTTGCCAATTTTTTTACAATTATTAAATTTTAATTTAAAATTGAATCTGAATTCAGATCCGAACCCCATATATATTAAACTAAAAAATATTTTTAATATAATTTATATAATTAGAAATTATTTATATATATATATATAATTAATATATTAATCAGGTCTGATTCATGTACACCCTTAGAGCTAAGACTAGATCAGGATCCGATAAAAGTATACAATATTCGATCCATACCCCCAATAATTAAACCCGACCGCAAACAAATAAGTGGGGTCTATTCAAACTCATTATCATCCCTATATGATATGAAAGAAAAAATGATGGATGGAAGAAACCCAAATCGAGTTTCATTGGCGTGGATGCTCTCGTTGGCTCGAGAAAATCATGTCGAGGGTGGTTCTCTTCCCCCATCCGGGACAGGGACACATAACTCCGATGTTCCAGCTGGCGAACATCCTCCACCACACGATGGGCTTCGCCATTTCCATCGTCTACACTCAGCACAACGGCCCCGACATCTCCCGCCACCCTCACTTCAACTTCCACCTCATTTCCGACCCCGTCACTGCTAATGATTCCCCGAATATTCCTTTCCGCGGCAACCCCATCAAACGCTTCAACGACCACTGCGCCCGACCCTTCAAGCTCTGCCTCGATGGCATATTGTCGTCTGATACTGTGCGCTGCATTGTTACCGACGCCATGTTGTATTCGACGCAGGCCGTCGCCGATGAGCTCAACATCCCGCGGATCGTGCTTAGGACCGCCGGTGTTCACTCCTTCGTGCTCTACGCAGCTGTCCCACTCCTTCATCAAACTGGATATCTCACTAACATGGGTATATCTATATCTATATCGATATATATGTGTGTGTGTTTATATGTTTCAATCTCCAGGGATAGATATAAACAACCATTTACAAAACTAAAATAAAATGAAACAAAGTTTTCTATTTGGAATTATTTAGGAGTTTCAAAATTAAACTTTGACCCAAAAATCGAATATGTTCGATTTGAAATTTTTTAGGTTCGGATTTGAGTGTTTCGGATTTGCAAAAAATCAGATCGATCCGAATTCGAAAAGAAAAAAATTAGTATCGTCTTCGTGTGGGGTTTCAAGTTTAGGGTTGATGTGATTTTTTTTATTATTTTAATTTATAATATTTATATTATATTCAAAAATAAAATAATGTAAAAATATTTTAAATTACTAATAAACAAACAAAATACTAAATCAGGTTTTCAAGTTTGTTTCGCGTTGGATTTGTTCGCGTTTCGAGTGACATAAAATTAAGTCAAATTGATCTGAACTGGACCCAAAAAAATTAGTGTTGTGTGGATCTAGAATTTCGAATCAAATTTTGAGTTCGAATTGACAGATTGTTACACTCATAGCTGATCAACTCGACATACATATTCAGAAAATACGAATTGACATCCTAGAATCGTTAAAAGGTTATTAAATAATCGTGTAACGTAAAACTTAAACTTTATCAAGGAATATGCATCATCTATTTATTTGTATATTATGGAGGTCATCTTCACGCGCAAGATGGACATACACAGCTTATGAATCTTGACGACGAATGGGTGGTATATTAAAGGATATTAAATAATCTCTGACCATTTTTTTATATTGTTTCCAGAAGCAAGAGCAGAAGAAGTGATCCCGGAGTTCCCGCCGATCAAACTTAAGGACATCCCGTTATTCGGCGACAACGACACAAACGGCAAAGTCGAAACATTTTCCAACATATTCACAGAGACGAAAAAATGCTCCGCCCTAATCTTCAATACCTTCGAAGAACTCGAATCGCCTGACTTGGCCAAACTTCGTCGCCAATTGGACATGCCGGTCTTCGCCATCGGACCGTTCAACAAGCGCTTCTCCGCTGCGGAAACCAGCATGCTCAAAGAAGATAGAAGCTCCATAGATTGGCTCGACACACAGGCGCTGGAATCGGTGCTCTACGTTAGCTTCGGCAGCATCGCGGCAATGGATAAAACCACATTTCTCGAAGTCGCCTGGGGACTGGCCAACAGCGGTCAGCCGTTTCTGTGGGTAATCCGCCCGGGATCGATCAACGGCGCGGCGTCGGCGGCATCGGAGATGCTGCCGGGTGAGTGGGCCGAAGAAGTTAGCGGGCGGAGCTGCGTTGTGGAGTGGGCGCCGCAAGAGAAAGTGCTGGCGCATTCGGCGGTCGGGGGATTTTGGACGCACAGTGGATGGAATTCGACGATGGAGAGCATATGCGAAGGGGTGCCGATGATGTGCGCGCCGTACTTCGCGGATCAAATGATAAATGCTAGGTGGGTTAGCGAAGTACTGAGGATCGCGATCAATTTGGAGAGAGTGTTCACGAGGAGGGACGTCGAAGAGGGTATTCGGCGATTGATGACGACGGCGGAGGGGGCAGAGATGCAGCGGAGAGTGGCGGCTTTGAAGGAGACGGCGGCGGCGTGCTTGGGTTCCGGTGGGTCTTCTTATGAAGCCCTTGAGAGTTTGAGTATGTTTATTATGGAATTGGGTTGATATATAATAAGGAATCAACCATAATTAAGAATTCAAAATAATGGACAATTGACTATGTTAGTCTTACTTTGTTTATTTCTATTAAAATACAAAAAAATGTTATACTCTCTCCGTCGTCAAAATCTGTGCTTTTTCTCTTTGTAACAAAAAGAATGAGCACAGATTTTCCCTTTGTATTAATAAAGGAAATGAGCATAGATTTTGATGAAGTAGTATAATTTAAAAAAAAAAAATTTAAAATTGAAAGAAGTATTGTGAATGTAAAGTTAAGTCAGACCGATGTATATAATAATTTACAATTTACTCAAGCTAGAGGAAGTAAAAATTACTCCATTGCTTTTTATAAATTATATTGTGGTCTCTATTTTTAGGAAGTAAAGAAGAGACTCTTAAACTTACTAACAACTTTAATAATGAAGTAAAGAGATTGGAGCTATAGAGGCGGCAAATACATAGTTTCATTTGAAGATTTTTGTGCCAACGATGGCATAATTTTACAAACATGGGCTCTAATTTTCTTCAATTGAACAGTGTTATAAAATCGAACGCCGAAGAACATGTTGGAACAAGGATTTTCTTCACCTATTTTGACATATAAGTTTTCATTCTTTTTTGCTGCTGTCTTTCACATATTTGTTTTGGAGTAATTTGTTTTGTCTGATTGTTGCAACAACCTGAATGCATTCCGTTTTGTCTTGTGTCTTGTGGTAGCTTTTCAAGACAAAAAGAATGGATACTTTGGGTTAGTCAACTTGGTATTAGAGTTCATGCAGGCATGTCATTCCATTTAGATGTAAGGGATTTTAATTTTGTTTGTCCTGCATAGTGACTATTTTGTTTACCGTGATTGGGAGTGTAGTTGTTATCAGGGTTTTGAGAGTGGAGTATAGTGAGAGAAAGTGAGTTAAATCCTCTCAACCACAACCCTTCCCTTCTCCATGTATTAAGTGAGTATGCCACATTTATTTCTCTGAAGAGTTCGCCGGATGAAGGATAAATCGGAGTTCCAATCAAGGAACACATCCAAATTTTGAGCAGCTTTACTATTTGGTAGTTGTCAGTATAAGCTTATGACGATGTATATTTGTGGAGGAGTTTTTCTAGATAACCAGTATTGTAGTATGGGTTGAAAGAGTATTGGTTATTTTTGTTCTTATTTAGCAGATTAGTGAACTACTCATGAATTGGAATCATCCGGATGTAAGTTGTTTATAACCGAACCTGGTAATCAAATATCTTGTCATTTATTGTTTTGGCCATTACGTTTATTTCGTTGGTTATAACTGTAACAATAACTACGTCTTCGGGAGTTGGCCCTTGAATAAACAATGGTTTGAAGTAGTATGAAATGCAATGTTTTTTCTTGTGTTTTAATGTGTGATTTATTAGTATGCATGGGGCGTGGATTATTTTATATCATCTCAAATCCATTACTTCATTTTTGTGATAAAAATGTGGTTCATTTATAATAATTTTATTTCAATTATAAACTTCAATATTTACTATAAAAATATATTCTCTATATATATTAATTTTTTATATAGTATTATTTTATATAACTTTTCATATTTATAAATTACCTCAACTTTTAAGTTATTTTTACATTATCACCCAAACATACATAATTTATATTTTATTAAAAATAACATATATAAAAATTAGCCTTCATAATTAATAATTATTACAAATAAAATTTTATACTTTCTTCGTTCCTTTAATAATCTATTTATTTTTTCATTTTGGTCTGTCTCATAGTATCAATTTCCTTTTTTTACTAATTGTACTATCTACCCAACGTTATAAAAACTCTTCCAATTTACAATATATTACACAAATATCATTACATTTATATTATACAAATATTTATAAAAACTCTGTGCAAAAAGTAAATAGATAGATAGATATGGGACAGAGGGAATATCACTTTTAAAAAATAAAATTACAGATTATTTAAAAAATAATAAAATAAAATATCATTTTCCAAAAAATAAAATTATATATCACTTTTAAAAATAAATTATACATTATTTTTAAAAAAAAAAAAAAAAAAAAGAAATTACATATCAATTTTGAAAATATAAAATTATATAAATAAAATTACACAATAAACTATAAAAAAATAACAAAAATGAAAACACCACATAAACTCCATGAAGGTATAGTACTACTACATTTATGAAATAACACTGTCGATGACCCCCAACTTCCATTTTTGGCCAACCCGCTGCACGGGTAGGTTGGAGAAGCCTTTAATAAAGAAAAGTAGTTTGTCTCCTTACAATAAAAGTATACATCACATATTTATGTTTGATTTCTTTAAATATTTTGTACTCCCTCCGTCTTAGTTACCGTGTCTATTTTTCTATTTCTGTATATCCCGCTTATTCTGTTCTTTTTTTTTTTTTGAAAAAATTATATATTTTAATTACATATTAATTTTTTAAATTTTAATTAGACTAATTGGTTATCTTAATTTTAATCTAAAATTATTTTTACTAATACATTTTAAATTATCTACTAATTATACCCCTTCTAAATTCTCGTATATATAGTAAACGGAATACGATAGCCGGGACGGAAGGAATATTTACTATTGTGTGTTTGCATTTCTCTCCATATTTGATTATTTATTTATTTATTTATTTCTGTTATAAATTATTTTTAGAATTCGTTTTGTCACTTCTGTAAATATCACTAAAGCAAGATTTGTAAATTATGGAGATGATGTCGGCAGAATAAATTTTGCTTTGAATTCTTGAATCAAGTTGATGAATTTGAACCACAAATATTATGGTCCCTACACATGATGAACATAATTGATTTGAGCTACCACTGATTTAAGTCGGTTGGTCCAACCAGTGACTAAATTAGCATCTAAATTTTGAGATGACAAAATATTATAATTTATTTAATATTTAATTAATAAATTTAAATAAATAATAATAACAGAATTATATATGAATTTAGATAATTTTAGAGAACAAATTGTATATAAATACATAAAAATTAATATTTTTTTATACAAAAAAATATAAAAAATTTGGTTTGGAGGGTCAATTTGTAGTTCCGTCCCTGGGTCAAACACATGTCATATTTATTTACAAAAAATAAAATACTCTTTCTATTCCGCTTGAAATGATACATTTGATTAAGGACACAATTTTGAAGGTAATGATCTATAATTAGTTAATATTCCCTCCATTTTACTTAATTTGTCTACTTTTTCTATTTTGTCCGTCTCATATAATTTGTCATTTTTTTTAAATATAATTATACACTTTAATCAAATTTTAAAATTCATAATTTATAATTATTTTAATTTTAATCTATAATTATTTTCATTAAATTATAATTATTTTTAATAATATATTTCTTAATTACTTAATAATTATACAATACCTAAAACTCGTTATCTAAACTAAATTAGACAAAATAGTTGAGAAGAAGGGATTAATACTAAATTATTATATTAATTTATTAATTTTTTTATAGAGGGGGTATTGTTAGTAATTTTAAAATAAGAAATTATTGTACATATGATTAAAAAGATTAGAATATGTATTTAAATATTTTAAAAATTATATCTCAATAAAATATATATAATATAGATATTATTTTAAAGATAATAAAATTTTATATAATAAAATATATTTATTTATTTATTATTAGCATAAACTAAGTTTATAAAAGATTGAGAGTTTTAAATATATATATATATATATATATGTATAAATACTAGTTTACTTGGAAAAATAGATAAAAATATCTAGCTTATAACAGTTGTTCATCCTCTATCGCTCACAACAAAACTTTTGTCCTCCAATAGACACAAACTCGCAAATTAATTATTTTGTCCATCGTTTCCGTCGCTGCTCCCGCTCCCGACTGAGCTTTTGTTCGTCGTCTCGGCCGCTCTCAACAAAGCTTGTGTTGGTTTCTATAATATTGTATGTTATAAAATTAATTAAATTGACTTGTATTTGTTAAGTGTGTGTTTGTTTGGAGGTTTGAATTTAGAGTTGGGATTTGAATAGTAAAAATTTTGAATTTGAATAGTTGTATGATATGATATAAATAGGTATTGATGTGATATTTTGAATGTAAATTAATTTTTAGTATAATATAAAAAATAAAAAATATGTGTTTGATTTGAATTTTTTTTTTCTTTAAAAAAAATAATATGAATAGTATATTTAAAATCATTCAACCAAAGAAACACAGCCAGGGACAAAAAAAAATATCATTTCACTACGGGACAAATTAAAATAAAAATTATATCATTTAAATTAATACGAAAGGACTATACAGCATGATTGGGAAAGGCCACCAACTCACAAAATGTGGTATTTATTTCTCTTTCCGTCTTTATATTTTATTTTAAATATATATAATAATATTTTTATCTGATATAAAATTTTATTTTATTTATAAAATACTACAAGTAATAATATAATTTATTTAATAAAATTTTAATTAAATATAACTATTTATTTTAAATTAAAATATTAAATAAATATTCATAAACTTGTATATTTAAATGAAACTATTATTATTTAAAATATTTTAAAATATATAATTTAATAATGTGAATGAAAGAGAATTTAAAATTTTCAGAAATGAGGTCTTTTTTTTTTTTTTCTTTTATATATGGGTATAAAATAAAATGAGTTTTTCTGCTTATCGTGGCAAAAAAGAATACGATGAATAATTGATGATAATGGGTTGAGTTCAATCATATCCGAGACCCGACACGAATATACTTTGTTAGACCTGAGATTTGAATTGGACCGGCTATACTTGAACTTGACTAGAACAATACTCGATGAACCCGACGAAAGACCCGCAGAATTTTTTTACAATTATTAAACTTTACTTAAAATTAAATCTGAATTTAGACCCGGACCTGACATATATTAAAATTTATGTAATTTATCAAAAATTTTATATAAATTAAAAATAATAAATAGATTATAATTTATATAGTTAGAATTTTTTTTTCATATACTATAAATTGATAAAATATTAATAAATTAATCGGATCTGGTCCGGATGGGATCCACCTTTAGACCTAAGATTCAATTTGGACCGGATAAAAATACACAATATTCGACTTATACCAAACTTGATACCCCGTGATTAAACCCGACCCCAAATAAATAAGTGAAGTCTAGTCCAAGTCATTGTCATCAGTACATAACATGGAAGAATAGAGATAGATGGAAGAAACCCAAATTAAGATTCATTGATGTGGATGCTCTCGTTTCGGTGTGGGCAAAAAACCCGAATCAAACCGTCGAACAGCTGAATCGAACTGAATCGAATTGAATTTTCGGTTAACCAAGCAAATTAGGTTCAAATACAAATACTGTATATTTTATATTTATTCGATTTGATTCAGTTTCGGTGTTTGATATTTTTTCGGTTCGGTTAACCGAACCGAATATATTTATACTATTATATCTTAAAATTTATATTAATAATTATATTTTTTAGGCAGTTCATAATATTTACAATATTTTTATTTAATTGAAATTTTAATTTTTTTTTAATGTATTTTTTTTTTTAATTTCGATTAGGTTCGAATTATTTGCAAATATTGCGAATATTTACAGATTTGCAATTTCGGGTATTTGTTGGATTCGATTCGAATATCAAATACCTCCGTATTTGCAAATAGACAATCGTTCCCACCCCTACTCTCGTTCACTCGATCTCATACGAATCGTGCACACCCCTACTCTCATTCACTCGATCTCATCTTGTATATAACATAATAATCAATCGATCGATCGAGGTCGAACTTGATCGATTAAATCATGTCGAGGGTAGTTCTCTTCCCGTATCCGGCGCAGGGACACATAAATCCGATGTTCCAGCTGGCCAACATCCTCCACCACACCATCGGCTTCGCCATCTCCGTCGTCTACACTCAGCACAACGCCCCCGATATCTCCCGATACCCTCACTTCCAGTTCCACCTCATTTCCGACCCCGTCACTGACGACAATTCCCTGATTCCTTTTCGCGGCAATGCCATCAATGTACTCAACGCCCGCTGCGCCCGACCCTTCAAGCTCTGCCTCGCCCGCATATTGTCTGAAGAAAACAACGCTACCGTGCGCTGCATTATTACGGACGCCATGTGGTATTCAACGCAGGCCGTCGCCGATGAGCTCAACGTCTCGCGGATCGTGCTTAGGACAGCCAGTGTTCACTCCTCCTTGGTCTACGCTGCTCTCCCGCTCTTTCATCAAACTGGATATCTTACTAGCATGGGTATATCTATCTATATATATATATGTTTATATGTTTCAATCTGCAGGGATAGATATATTACAGAAATCAACCTAACATACACAACTTACAAATCTTACACTTGGACGACAACGACGAATAGGTGGCCTTTTAAGAAATAAATAACTGATGAGACAGTGAGACTCGAACTCGAGACCTAAAGCTCTAATACTATGTTAGGTGTGTCGGTCTCAGAGCCTTAGGTCTCGAATTCGAGTCCCACCGTCTTCCATTTGTCCTCGTCCACGGGCAAGTTTAGTTTGGTAGCTACCATTTATCCCCTTGCCCATGATGGTGCTTACTTAAAAACTTAAGTTTTTATATGAGATAATATCTCACCATTTTTTTGTATATCCTTTCCAGAAGCAAGAGCGGAAGATGCAGTCCCAGAGTTCCAGCCGATCAAAGTTAAGGACATTCCGACGTTTGGTGCCAAAGACCAAAACAGCATAGTCGAATTCTTTTCAAACGTATTCACGGAGACAAAAAGATCCTCCGCGCTAATCTTCAATACCTTCGAAGAACTCGAATCGCCGGACTTGGCCAAACTTCGCCGACAATTCGACATGCCGGTCTTCGCAATCGGACCGTTCAACAAGCGCTTCTCTGCTGCGGAAACCAGCTTGCGCAAACAAGATAGAAGCTCCATAGATTGGCTCGACACGCAGGCGCCGCAATCCGTGCTCTACGTTAGCTTCGGCAGCATCGCGGCAATGGATAAAACCACATTTCTCGAAGTCGCCTGGGGACTGGCCAACAGCGGTCAGCCGTTTCTGTGGGTTGTCCGGCCGGGATCAATCAATGGCGCGGCGTCGGCGGGATCGGAGGTGCTGCCGGCCGAGTGGGCGGAAAAAGTTAGCGGGCGGAGCTGCGTGGTGGAGTGGGCCCCGCAGCAGGAAGTGCTGGCGCATTCGTCGGTCGGGGGATTTTGGACGCACAGCGGATGGAATTCGACGGTGGAGAGCATCTGTGAAGGGGTGCCGATGATGTGCGCGCCGTACTTTGCGGATCAAATGATAAATGCTAGGTGGGTTAGCGAAGTATGGCGGATCGCGATCAATTTGGAGAGAGTGTTCGCGAGAAGGGACGTCGAAGAGGGTATTCGGCGATTGATGACGACGGCGGAGGGGGTGGAGATGCGGCGGAGAGTGGCGGCTTTGAAGGAGACGGCGGCGGCGTGCTTGGGTCCCGGTGGTTCTTCTTATGAAGCTCTTGTGGGTTTAAGTAAGTTTATTATGGAATTGGGTTGATATGTATGCATACATTCCAAGAAGAGCCATCTATTAATATTGGCTACGCGAGTGTTCATCAGATGCATATGTTGAATTAACTTTTGTTTTGGTGACTGTTGGATATAAATGTTGGCAAAATAGCAAAAAATTCTATTGAATTTGTTCATTAGTTCTAAAATTTTATAAAACTTATTTTGATTTAAAAAATATTGAAAAATATTAATTTTCATGGTCCTAAAATTTTATAAAACTGACTGTGGTTTAAAAAAATTGCGGTGAGGGCATCTCGCTCGTCTAGATTGCTATCTTGGGTACAAAAATTGATATATCACTGTATAAAATTACAAAAATACTTTTCTTGAGTCATATATTAATTATCATAGAGGGACATTTTATTCATTTTACCTGTATATAAAAAATAAAAAAAATAAAAAAAAAATAAAAACTCTAATTAAATAAATAATAATAATAAATTTAATTTTCCTGATTCTTCTTCTTCGGTCGAACACATTCCCGAGTTTGCTCGATGCCGCTCACTGCTCCTTCGCTACCGCCCGCTGTTGCCAACCGCGGCGCACCACCAATCACCCATCTTATTCTTCTTTTCTTTTTCTTTTATATTTCTTTTTTTTTTATAAAATTGAAACACATTATATATTTTTTAGCAAAAATGGTTGGTTCAAATTGCAATCTTTCTTTGAAAATCAAATTCAAGGCAATCGTATCAATATCAGAATTCCACAACGTCAAATTCTTTCCTATCACTGACTGATCGGATTTGCACAAGTTTCACAAGTAAATTCTCATGGAAGTTGGGACGGAGGAGGGAGAGGCGGCTAGCGACGGTGATTCGTGCCTGAGGAAGGAGCTGTGCGACGCGATTGAAATTGGCGGAGAAGGGCGGTGCTCATGGTGGCGATAGTGGAGGAAGAAGAAAACGACGCTGGTGGGTGGTGGTTAGCAGCTGCTGGTGAGCGCAGTGGGCGGGGTGGGTTAAAGGAGGGAGAGAGGGGGAGGCTATGGCGTCCGTGAGAGAGACGGGCAATGAGAGAGAAAGAGGGATAAAGAAGAGAGATAAATTTTAAATTTGGACAACTTCTTATTTTAAATTTTAAAATTTAAATTTGGACAACTTTTTATTTTAAATTTTTAATTTTTTTTTTAATTTTAATTAAATTAATTAGTTATCTTAATTTTAATTTATTATTATTTATATTATAGAATAATTATTTTTATTAATATATTTTTAATTATTCATTAATTATATCTCTCCTAAAATACGGTTTTTGCAGTGCAGAAGGTCGGTACGTGCGACGCAGGGAGTAATAAACAATGAGTTATCTTTTCAAACCGCTGACACAAAAAAGCCTGAACAATGCTGGGTGAAACAGTCTTTTCCATGTGAGAGACGTAGAGATGTTATTGTGCAATATATCAAATTAAGAGCTTCTGTTTTAAATACAAGACAAATTAGTGATACTTTATTTTAGGGCCTTTTTTAGTAATGAATTATTGCACATGTTTTTACCATGGTTACTTCGTAAATGTAGGCAAAAGAAGCTTGAATTTTCAGATGAGATGATTATTATGCGCATTTGACAATACTGAAATTTTAAACTTGACAACACTTCTAAAGGTAAATCACTTTGATTAAATTATATAATCAATTTTTTATTTTTTTTATTTTTTTTATGATGCGAGAATCCGCAATCACTATCTGAAAGTAAAATTTTTTTTATTTTAATTGTTTTTGTGGAATAAAATCAAATTCTACCCAATCCGTCACCACCAAATCCATCAAGGTTTGGCTACTTCTTTGATTTGGATATATCAAACGGATTGAATAAAATTATCGGAATATTTAATGACTCAAGGAGAGACGTATTATGTACGGATGATTATGTAATGTCATATTTAAATTATAAATAATAAATCATCTTTTAGGATCAATATATTTTGTATATATATATATATGTGCAAATAATATAATTTACAAAATTTAAAAATATTAGTCATTACTCAAAACAAAATAATTAGAAAAACAATATACACAATAAAAATTAAAATAATAATAATTTGAAGTAAATAAGAATATCACTATAGATAATTAAAAAAGACATACACAATAAAAATAAAAGTAATAAAATAAAAATCAAATTAATATATATTAAAACTTATTATAAAGTTTGTTATGAATTCCACAATATTCATTCGTATCAAAAAATTTAGAAAAAGTTAGCATTATCTACAAACTTGAAAAAAAAAATAGAATATAATGATCTAAAAAACTCAATAATAAAAAAACACGTACACGGTAAGAATGTAAAAAGAATTGATTAATAGAATTAAAAACATAACAATAGATAATTGAAAAGATTCATACACAATAAAAATGAAAAATACTAGAATAAAAATAAAAATTTCATATATTAAAACTTACCTTCATTTTTAATATTAATCACAAATATTCCTTCAAATGTAAAGACTCAAAACATAATTTATAAAATTAAAAAAATATATATATATTAAAATATAATAGTTGAAACTAAATATTTTAAAAAAAATGCACACACAACATGAATAAAAAATGGATTAATAATATATATATATATATATATATAGATAAAACACAATATATACTTTTATATATAAAAAAAAACATATGGAAATAAGAATAAAATTATAAAAATAAAAATAAATTTTCAAAATATTAAAATTTACTATAATTTTTTTAATGAACTTTTCAAATATTTTTTCGAATGATAATATTTGAAATTTGAATATAATCTATAAAATAAAAAAATATATTATAATATAATACTCAAAATTAAATAATTATTAAAATAATACATATATAGTAAGAAAAGAATTTATTAGTAAAAAAGAGAGTACACAATAGATAATAAAAAAAACATATACAATAAGAATAATATGAATAAAATAAAAATAATTTTTATTATATATTAAAACTTACAATAATTCAATATGATTCCTCGAATATTTTTACAAATCAAAATATTTAAAATTTTATAAAATTAAAAAAGATTACAATAATATTTCAACCAAATAAATAAAAAAAAAAATACATTCATAATAAGAATAAAAAAGAACTTATTAGTAAAAAATTTAAAATAATTTAATATTACTATATAATAAAATTAATACATAATATTAACCATAGTTAATTAAAAAAAAAATCATACTCGATCCCTCTCCAACTTTTTTTTCTTTTCCTTTTTTCTCCTCTTATTTAAATAGTGGTTTGAAGTCAAGATTTTTATTTTTATTTCTTAAAAATATTTCCTTGTAAAAGTAAGAATGATATTTTTGAATATTCTCAATAAATGGCAAAATATGATTAACCAGTAGTTTGAAGTAGTATGGAATCCAATGTTTTTTCTGTGTTTTAATATGTGTGATTTGTTAGTGTGTATTTTTCTTTTCTTTTTTTTTTTTTTTTAATCAAGTGGGAACCAGCTGCAGTTATCCGAAAGTGCGCATTGGATAAATTTCCGATCGAACCTAATATCCTGCAGATTAGGCCCGACGAAAAAGTCACACTAGACTAACCATATGTGGCAGATGACGTGAGGCTTCGAGGATTTGAATTCATAATCTTACGATTACAAATCTGGTTACACCACCACCGAACATCCCTTACGAGACCTGTGTATTGTATGCATAGATTGTGGATTATTTTAGTGAAGAAAACTAGATTGTCTCCGTACAATAATGTTGTGTGTTTATTTTTTATTTCCTTAAATCTTTTGTACTATTTGCTATTGTACGTTTGCTTGTCTCTCCATATTTGAATTTTCTGTGTCTTTTTATTATTATTATTTTTTTCATTTTCTGTTGTAAATTATTTTTAGAATTTGTTTTATCACTTCTTAAATATTACTAAAGCAAGATTTGGAAATTTTGTTAAATAATGTAAATGATTAACTCACCTAAAGCGTTAGAATTTAAATTATTTATTTATTTATCTAAAAACGATATTCAACCAATACAGATCCTCACAGGTAAAGACTTAACCGGATAAACACCACCAAACTAAAAAGGGGTGCCGATGATGTGCGCGCCGTGCCTTGCGGATCAAATGATAAATGCTAGGTGGGTTAGCGAAGTATGGCGGATTGGGATCAATTTGGAGAGAGTGTTCGCGAGAAGGGACGTCGAAGAGGGTATTCGGCGATTGATGACGACGGCAGAGGGGGCGGAGATGCGGCGGAGAGTGGCGGCTTTGAAGGAGACGGCGGCGGCGTGCTTGGTTTCCAGTGGTTCTTCTTAAGAAGCTCTTGTGGGTTTAAGTAGGGTGTGTTTGTTCGAGGGTTTGGATTTTGAGTTGGGATTTGAATAGTAAAAATTTTGAATTTGAATAGTTGTATGATGTGATATAAATAGGTATTGATGTGATGTTTTGAATGTAAAATTGATTTTTAGTATAATATAAAAAATAAAAAATAGGTATTTGATTTGATGTTTTTGGAGGAAAAAAATAGGATGAATAGTAGAAATCCAAACAAAACCCTCAAACAAACACACCCTAAGTTTATTAAGGAATTGGGTTGACATACATACATTTTCATTCGCATCTACATACGATCAGTTGGGGGTAAAAGTGAGTAAGGGATCAATCATAATTAATTAAGAATTCATAATAATGGACAATGGACGATCTTACTTTAGTCTTTCGGGTGTACAAGCAAGTTCTACATCGGAAGATGTAGAAAAAATTTCAGTACGAGATCTTTTAAAGAAAGTTTAAAAATAAATTTGTAATTCACTTAAAATGGATAATATCATTCTAGTATTGAGTTGGTATGACTCCGAATGTACGAGTAGCTCGTAGAAAAGGTCCAAAAACAAGGATAACGTGGATGCACACGCTGCGAAAAAAAATTGCTAAGTAAAAATGATCTAACCGATGAATTTTTTAAATAAAATATATTGGCCACGTGCCAAGATATAATACCAACAAAAGAATATTCTTATTTTTACTTGAGTCACATATGATTTATTGCACATCAGATCATGTAAACAAATTCCATAAAGAGATTAATAAATTTAAATTTACTAAACCAAATGGAGCTCAACATCAACTAAAATTGTGATGTTTGTGTTGAAGCTAAAACCAAAAAAAAAAAAAAAAAAAAAAAAAAATCATTATTGAGTGTTGAAAGAATCATTACATATCTAGAACTAATTCACACCTATGTGTATAATTTCCTATTTATTCAAACTAGAGGAAGTAACAATTACTCAATAACTTTTTATAGATTATCATACTCAATATTGTTGCCTCTAATTTTAAGAAGTAAAGAAGAGACCTTAGACTTACTAGGGTGTGTTTGTTTGGGATTTGAATTTTGAGTTGGGGTTTGAATAGTAAAAAATTTAAATTAAAATAATTGTACGATGAGATTGATATAAATAAAAATTGATTTGATATTTTTAATGTAAAACTGATTTTTAGTATAATATAAAAATAAAAAATAAATATTTAATTTGATATTTTTAAAGAAAAAAATTATATGAATATTAGAAATTTACTAAAATCTTGCAAACGAACACACCCTAATTAATAATGGCGTTGATAATTAATTTGGCGTTTGAATCAAAGAGACTAGGAGCCGATAGAGGTAGCAACTACATAGTTTCATTTGAAGATTCTTGTATCACCGATTGCTAGATTTTACAAGCAAGGGCTCTGCATTTTCTTCAATTGAACGGTGCTATAAACCTACAAATCGAACACGGAAGGACATAATAAATATCTTGTCGATAAGTTTTGAATTATCTCAAAACATGTTGGGGGAAGCCGTGTTGAAAGTGTTTTATAATTTGAATAAAATTCTTGTAAAAAATAAGGACTTAATTCCTTATGAATTATGGAAATTCCATGAGCTTTCCAATAAATTACTTAAAGAAAATGGGGGACGACGAGTTAAATTATGAATAATATTTTTCTAAAAAAGTAAGGAAGTGGATCCTTTCAAGTTGTGGAAAGGCTATAAGATTTCCTACAAACACTTCAAGGTGCCTTGCTATCGTCCAGAAAATGATCGATTGCATAATTAAGGGCTATGTATTCTACACTAGCGATTATTAATTGTTTTCTCATTAACATACATATGAAAACATATCTTTTTGTTAGTGTTGAGGGGGGGGGGGGGGGGGGGGAAGAAATGATAAATGACAAAATATGATACAGAATCCAATATTTTTTTTATTTATTTAATTTTTTGTGTTTGCTATATGTGTTTGTTTGTGTCTCTATATTTATTTATTTCTGTTGTCAATTACATTTAGAAATCGTTTTGTCACTTGCGTGAACATCACCAAAGCAAGATTTGAAAATTTGAAGATGATGCCGGCAGCATACATTTGGGTTTTTGGATTCTTGAAGCAAGTTGATGAATTTGCGACGTCAAATAAGACACAGCTATTTATATTATATAATCTCGAGTTTAAACCCATAATATTAGAAAGAATATTTTATTTAGGGGTTTTTTATTTTTGTTTCCCCTTAGACCCTTTGAAAGTCAAGATTGGTATACGCAGTGGCGGATTCAGCCGGATTTTTAAGTGGGTGCACAATTTGATAAAGTATCATTACAATATAAAATATATTGATTACAATTGTCTTTTACTTGTTTTCATACATTAAAAACGTTTAATTACATTATTATTTGTAGTGAAAATTGAAGAAAAAATATATTTAGCTTACAAAGTTGCGATCAAAATGAAGATTGAAAAAATTATCGAATCTAAATTTATTCTCACTTTTTTTTTATTGTCATCTAAATTTATTCTCGACTTAGTAGAAAATATTTTTTTTTATATTTTCTTTACTCTAAAAAGTAAAAAAAAAAAAAATTATTTTTATCTATTTAAAACTCATACCAAATCAAATGACCACATACTTGGATGTAGGATGAAGCAATATATATATATTATATAATTAATTATTATTCTTTTAAAAAAAATCTAAAAGAATCCTCAAGTAATTATATAAATTAAGGAGTTTGTTATTTGGCTACTTTGAATAAAAGAAATTAAACAAACAAATTAATATATATATATATATATATTTATATAAATTCAAGTGGGGTCGTGCGACCCCACATCTCTAAAGGTAGATCCGCCGTATACGTATAAATTTAAAATTCATACAAGTTGGAGCATCTGATAGCCTTTTATCATAGTATCAAGTCGGGACATCCTATGTTCGAGCCTATCCCATGTTCGAGCCTTACAGTTTCCATTCGTCGATATTCTCTTCGTCTTCTTCTCTTACCCATCATATTATAAACCTTCTTTCCACTACAAGAATTAAATCGAACTCTGATAAGTAAAAATTAAGTAACAATGTTAGTCTCGAGGGTAGTCCTCTTCCCCCTGCCGGCGCAGGGCCACATAAATCCGATGTTCCAGCTGGCCAATATCCTCCACTCCATGGGCTTCGCCATCTCCGTAATCCACACTCGATTCAACGCCCCCGGCGGTGTCGATTCGCGCTACCCTCACTTCAACTTCCACCTCATTTCCGACCCTGTCACTGAGGACAATTCCTCGACTCCTTTGTCCGGAAATCCCGTTACTGCCATCAATCTCCTCAACGCCCGCTGTGCCGGACCCTTCAAGCTCTGCCTCTCCCGCATATTGTCTGAAGAAAGCAACGGTACCGTGCGCTGCATTATTACGGATGCCATTTGGTGTTTCGCGCAGGCCGTCGCCGATGAGCTTAACATCCCGCGGATCGTGCTTAGGACAACCAGTGTTCACTCCTTCCTTGTCTACGATGCTCTTCCACTCTTTCATCAAACTGGATATCTCACAAACATGGGTATATATATATATATATATATATATATGTGTTTCTTACTTTTAGTCTAATGATGCATTGTTACGAGCTTTGTCTGAAAAATACATACTATCTAGACCTTGCAATTGGTTGATTCGTGCCGTGTTTGAATTTTTTAAACCGATTAAATCAGAGAATTCTAACTCTGATCCGTTATTATCGTGTCATATTTGTGTTGACTAGGTATATAATTAGATTGAAATCTTTCACCGAAACTCAATTATTTTGTATCAAATTGTTACGTGTACTCCCTCCGTCTCAATACAATAATTTTGTTACTATTTTTTTTTTGTCCCAAACCAATAGTTTTATTTCTATAAATACTCATATCACCATAAAATTATTCCTATATTTTCATTATTATTACCACTACTTTTTACACTAATACACTTAAAAAGCAAAAAAGTCACTTGAATTTTTTACCAATTATCAATATAATATCATTATTCGTCAAATCTAGTGTCCAACACAAATAAGACTATAGTCCTGGACCGAAAAACACTAGTTTTTGCAAGCTCTAGTGTAATAGGTATAGTGAATTAGATTGAGTTAATTAAGATATGGCTTAATTTAAATTAATATGCGAGATAATTATTAGATAAAAATTATTAAACATATATATTATATCGGGAGTTCAAGTTGAAAGTATATCAATTATGTCGAAATTCTTGATTTAAATTCAATTATTTTGAATGCCATATTATCCAACTATTGTTGATATATCCTTTCCAGAAGCAAGAGCGGAAGAAGCGATCCCGGAGTTCCCGCCGATCAAAGTTAAGGACATCCCCACATTCGGTGCCAATGACCCAGACAGCACATTCGAAACCCTTTCCAAAATAGTCGGGGAAACGAAAAAATGCTCCGGCCTAATCTTCAATACCTTCAAAGAACTCGAATCGCCGGACCTGACCAAGCTTGGCCACCAATTCTGCATGCCGGTTTTCGCCATCGGACCGTTCCACAAGCGCTTCTCTGCCGCGGAAACCAGCTTGCTCAAACAAGATAGAAGCTCCATAGATTGGCTCGACAAACAGGCGCCGCAATCTGTTCTCTACGTTAGCTTCGGCAGCCTCGCCACGATGGATAAAACCACATTTCTCGAAGTCGCCTGGGGACTGGCCAACAGCGGTCAGCCGTTTCTGTGGGTTGTCCGGCCGGGATCAATTAATGGCACGGCGTCAACAGCGTCAGAGGTACTGCCGGGTGAGTGGGCGGAAGAAGTTAGCGGGCGGAGCTGCGTGGTGGAGTGGGCGCCGCAGCAGGAAGTGCTGGCGCATTCGTCGGTCGGCGGATTTTGGACGCACAGTGGATGGAATTCGACGTTGGAGAGCATCTGCGAAGGGGTGCCGATGATGTGCGCGCCGTGCTTTGCGGATCAAATGATAAATGCTAGGTGGGTTAGCGATGTATGGCGGATCGCGATCAATTTGGAGAGAGTGTTCGCGAGAAGGGACGTCGAAGAGAGTATTCGGCTATTGATGACGACGGCGGAGGGGGCAGAGATGCGGCGGAGAGTGGCGGCTTTGAAGGAGACGGCGGCGGCGTGCTTGGGTTCCGGTGGGTCTTCTTATGAAGCCCTTGAGGGTTTGAGTAAGTTTATTATGGAATTACGGAATCAACCATAATTAAGAATTCAAAATAATGGACGATGAGCCATTTTCTTCCTCATTAACTTGTATTTTATTTATTTATAATATGTTTATATCAATTTTGAAGAAAAAATCGAGTCACGATGTTAGGGTCGAGAGTAGTTCTCTTCCCCTTTCCGGTGCAAGGGCACATAAATCCGATGTTCCAGCTGGCCAATATCCTCCACTCCATGGGCTTCGCCATCTCCGTAATCCACACTCGATTCAACGCCCCCGGCGGTGTCGATTCGCGCTACCCTCACTTCAACTTCCACCTCATTTCCGACCCTGTCACTGAGGACAATTCCTCGACTCCTTTGTCCGGAAATCCCGTTACTGCCATCAATCTCCTCAACGCCCGCTGTGCCGGACCCTTCAAGCTCTGCCTCTCCCGCATATTGTCTGAAGAAAGCAACGGTACCGTGCGCTGCATTATTACGGATGCCATTTGGTATTCCGCGCAGGCCGTCGCCGATGAGCTTAACATCCCGCGGATCGTGCTTAGGACAACCAGTGTTCACTCCTTCCTTGTCTACGATGCTCTCCCACTCTTTCATCAAACTGGATATCTCACAAACATGGGTATATATATGTGTGTGTTTCTTACTTCTAGTCGAATGATGCATTGTTACTAGCTCTCACTGAAAAATACGGACAATCCGGCAATTGATCGATTCATGTCGAGTTTGTGTAGAGTTGAATTTTTCAAACGAATTAAATCTTCAATACTAAGTTGACCTATTTTGTTATTGTGTTGAACTCTATAGATAATTATATCAAAATCTTTAGCTCAAATTCAATTATTTTATATCAATTGTAGTAGTATTTACGTTAGTTTTTGAAGGTTCTAAGTATAATGTGTAAATTGAATTAGGTTGAGTTAATTAATATTAGGCTTAATTTTAATTAATATGTGAGATAATTATTAAATTATAATTATTTTATATATACAGTACTCTCGTCCTGCTAACAAATATCCATTTACCCTTATTTTTTTAGGGCAAAAGTAAGTATATGAGAGATATTTGTAAAAAGAATATGGTATTTAAACAATTAATTATTATGTAATTGATAATTCAAAATAAAAATATATATTTTTTCATAGGAAGGAGGGAGTAAATTAATTACTTAGTATTAATGTAATATGGGATTGTTGTGTCGGGTTCAGGGCATCAATCCTAACTTGATATGCTTATTAATTATTATCACGTGGAGTTCGTATTAATTCGTATAGATAATTAGGTCAAAAATCTTTATCCGCCATATTTTATATATCCTTTCCAGAAGCACGAGCGGAAGACACGATCCCGGATTCCCGCCGATCAAAGTTAAGGACATCCCGACATTCGGTGCCAACGACCCAGACAGCACAGTCGAAACCTTTCACAAAGTAGTAGCCGAAACGAAAAAATGTTCTGGCCTAATCTTCAATACCTTCCAAGAACTCGAATCGCCGGACGTGGCCAAACTTGGCCACAAATTCCGCATGCCGGTTTTCGCCGTCAGACCGTTCAACAAGCGCTTCTCTGCCGCCGAAACCAGCTTGCTCAAACAAGATAGAAGCTCCATAGATTGGCTCGACAAACAGGCGCCGCAATCCGTGCTCTACGTTAGCTTCGGCAGCCTCGCCACGATGGATAAAACCACATTTCTCGAAGTCGCCTGGGGACTGGCCAACAGCTGTCAGCCGTTTCTTTGGGTTGTCCGGCCAGGATCAATAAATGGCGCGGCGTCGGCGGCATCGGAGGTGCTGCCGGGTGAGTGGGCGGAGGAAGTCAGCGGGCAGAGCTGCGTGGTGGATTGGGCGTCGCAGCAGGAAGTGCTGGCGCATGCGTCGGTCGGGGGATTTTGGACGCACAGTGGATGGAATTCGACGGTGGAGAGCATCTGCGAAGGGGTGCCGATGATGTGCGCGCCGTGCTTCGCGGATCAAATGATAAATGCTAGGTGGGTTAACGAAGTATGGCGAATCGCGATCAATTTGGAGAAAGTTTTCACAAGAAGGGACGTCGAAGAGGGTATTCGGCGATTGATGACGACGGCGGAGGGGGCGGAGATTCGGCGGAGAGTGGCGGCTTTGAAGGAGACGGCGGCGGCGTGCTTGGGTTCCGGTGGGTCTTCTTCTCAAGCACTCGAGGATTTGAGTAAGTTTATTAGGGAATTGGCTTGTTGATGGACATAATAGAATCTGTTTGTTTGGGGATTGGATTTTGAGGTTAGTTTTGAATAGTATAATATTTGAATTTGAATAGTTGTACATATAAATAGGTGTTGACGTGATATTTTAAATGAAAAATTAATTTTTAAATATAATATAAAAAATAAAAAATATATATTTAATTTGATGATTTTTGAAAAAAAAAATGAAATGAATAGTGTATTTAGAGAAGATCCCAAACAAACACACTCTTACGTACTCAATGTTACTGTGGGTTTCTTTAACTTAAAACAAATTTCTATTATTCAATTATGCATTTTTTAAAAAAATAATATATACTTTTTATATAAAAAAATTTTATATAATATTTCAATATCAAACTTAAATTAAAAATTTTCAAATCCCATCAAAATAATTACACCCTTGGATTGATGAATTAATTGTTGTTTTGCTTGGTTAAGACATAATTCGATGGCACTATCTAAGGTAACGGCCAATTCTCTTATCAAATTTAACTCAATTTTTATTATAAAAATATATATAAAACAATATTAAATTAAATTTTTATTTTTAATTTTTTATATTACACTAAAAAATAATTTTATATTCAAAATATTATATCTAACTAAATTTAAAACACACTCGTATACTTCTCTTTGTCCCAAATTATTTTTTTAATTATTTTTGTTTATAATCAATAAAACGATAAATTATATAATTCTGTCTTATTTATTACGCTAAACCTTTTTCGTCTTAATATAAAATTTGAGTAAAAACCCCTTGTGTTGAGTTTGAGTTCGTCGCCACCGTCGCGTTTTCTGCCGGCGCCTATTAGCCACCGCATCCACCTGCGTCGGTCTCCTTTCTCGCATTTTGCTTTCATTTCTCAGCCCCCCTTTTCCGTTTGCGACCACTGTCTGCTCCAATTGTCGGTAAAATTAGGTAAATTCTGTCTGATTTTACTTTCGCTTCTTGCTGATTTTCAATTGAGTGTGATTTTAGTGGCATGGGTCAACCATTAAATTGGTATTCGAAATGCGATTTCGTTTCCCTGGGAGGAGGGTTTCTTTGGGCAGATTTGTGCAAGGTTTGCAGCTTAGTTAGATAGCTAACTAATTTTCGATGAGTTTTGTGTAGATTCGAGTCTTCAAATTAGCAACTCATTTTTATTGAATTATTGACCTCCTACTGCTCTGGCTTGATGTGTATATTAATGGCTGAATTGTGTTTCAAGATGTTGGGAAATTGACGTAGTCTGCTTCGAGTTCAATTACCTGTGCTTTGGTGATTTGTTTGGCTCAATTTTGTTAAGAAGTTCCCGGATTTCTTTAGTTGTGTTTGCATCAATAAATTTGTAATTGTTTAACTGATTTGTTGGGGGTGCAAATCCAAGTCCTACATGGAAAGATCCGAAGAAAATCTACACTTTATAGGTCGACATAAATTTTATTAATATGTGGTCTTTTGAAGAAAGTAAAAAAAAAAAACAAATTTATGCAAGCTTAACTCAAAGCTAATAATATCATACTAGTGTTAAGTTGGTCCAGTCCCATCGCTGGTGTCAGAGCCCGGTTTGGACTCAGTGGCATCGGGCATTGGTTGTAGTTGTGAGAAGCCCTCGTGATCTGCGGGAGTTTGGTCCTTGATTTAAGGGGACAATTTTTGAGATGCAAACTCAAGTTCTACGTTAAAAAATTTGAAGAAAAATGGTATTTTGGAGGAAGTCCAAAAAAAATATGTGTGGACTCAGCTCAAAGTGGACAATATCATAGTAGTATTCAGTTGGCCCAGTCCCTACATGATTGTGAGTTAAATTGGCTAGAGTTCGGTGACAATTGTTGAAATAGTTGGTGTGAGATTCACTTGAAGTTGGTTTGCTTGCTTTTGAGGAGAGGTATGCTAACTTAAAAAAAATTTAGGGATGATGTTGACATACTTGTTAAATGTTGGAATAATGAGTTCAGCTTAGTTATTTGTGGCATTGCCGCTTGTGCTTTAGCTTTTTGTAGCCTTTGCTGGTAGATAGTTTTTATTTGTATCTTTAGCTTAGTTTTAGTCCTTAGCTTTGCTTGTAGTTTAGTCCGGTTGGTGTGCTGCTTTGTAACTTGGCCTTGCTTGCTAGTGTAGTTTTAGTTGTCTTGTCAATGATAGATTCATTTTATCTAGATTAATCCTTGGTATTGTGTAGTTTAATTGTTTGAGTTAGTGTGTGTTAGCTATAGAGTTCATTTGGTTGATGTTTAGCATATATAGCTTTGGTCTGTTTAAGTTTTGCCCGATGCTTCGTTTTGTAGGGCTGTAGTTAGGATAGTCAATTTAGGCCTCCTGCTGTTGTATTGCATAATTTATTGTGGCACTCTAATTAAGCTTTGAGTCGTTGTCTAAATGCTCGAAGTTTGAATATATTTGAGAAGTGTAAATGTAGAATATTTGTAGACTAGCAATAATGCATAAATGGCTTATAATTAAATATGATTATTATGATACACCGTTGATTTTTTTTAGCTATTATTAACTAAACTTTTTATTTCAAAGGTACTTACTACTGTGCACGCAATGTGTCCGAGGATCGCCTCAGTTTCAGACTCGTGAGTCAGTCGGCGTTATGTCATCATAGAAATTTGAAACTCGAAACCTGATTCAGCAAATCAATCGTGATATATGTTATTCTCTGATCTCCACACATGACACGAACATGAGGAGGAAAATTGGATCGATCAAACCGGTGAATCTGGTGAGATTCGTCTGCTTGATCATCTCTTTTACGTTCATCGTCATACAGATTTATTCAGCGCTTCAACTCGGAAGCATCTCCTCAGAAACTTCATCCGCAGAACTTAAATTATTACCAAACACCAGAACTTCCAGCAGTAGTGAATTCGGAGAAACAGTGATTAAGATGTTGCCGGAAGATCTGAAGTTCACTATGTTTTTGCCTTCAGAGGAATCCTTCCGCCGTGATCTGAGATTGAATATGAACGACAGCAATTCATATGCAGTGCTAACTAGAGTGTTGGGATTCTCGGCTGTACCGAGATGGATAACTTTAGCAGAGCTGGAGTATGGCAAGGAAAAATGTTTCCAAACCATATCTGGATTCAATTTGTACGTATCGAAGGATTCGACCGGAATGGTCGTGGTTAATGGCGTAGTTTCAAACCAGGTAGGGTTGAAAATGAAGGACCTAATGGTGCATATTATGGATGGAGTGGTAATGGATGCTGAATTTGAGCAATCGATGGAGCCTGAAGAATACGATCTTGGAAGATGAAGATGATGACGTTATTTTAACGAGGTTAGTTTTATCGATTTAGAATTAATACTCGGGCAAATTATATAATATATCCTTGCATTTGATTTGTTTTAAAAAAAAAAATGCATAGAAGATTGTCTCATATAATATTAGGTTACACCCTCATTTCCATCTAAAATATATCCTTGTTACTAAATGGTAAAAATAAAATTTTTTTAATTGTGATTCATATAAAAGATTGTATCACTTTTTGTGTATATATATATATATATATGTGTGTGTAATATTTATATTCTATATGTTCACACAAAAGGTAAATATTTTGTTATTTTTATTTGTTCAAATACAGATATTCCTCTTAAAACTTTTCTCTTTATGTGTCAACTTGTTAGGAGCATTTATTTGACAGTTACTCGACCTCCTGCTTACATTGTCCACTTGTCTTCCTTAATTCTATTCAGTTATTTTGTTTAGTTCTATGTATTCTCTGTTATGTTAAGAAGATATTATTGCATGACTTACACTTCTCAGAGAAGTCTTCTTTTAACTCTATGGGTGTGTTTGTTTGGGGGTTTGAATTTCGGATTGGAATTTGAATAGTAAAAATTTTGAATTTGAACAGTTGTACGGTATGATATAAATAGTTGTTGATGTGATGTTTTGAATGTAAAATTGATTTTTAGTATATAATAAAAAAATAAAAAATAGGTGCTTGATTTGATGTTTTTGGGGAGAAAAAATTGGATGAATAGTTGAATTTAAATCCAATCCTCCAAACAAACACACCATATAAGTATTCTCTGTTATTTTAAGGGGATATTGTCGTTCCACCACCGGTTTTTTTTTTTTTGTGCTTATCTCTTGTCGTAGCAAAAAGCAAACAATCATCTGTCGTCCTAGCACAGAAATCTGATTATTGCATCCTTACTGACTCTATTTCTGAGCTCTTGTGGCTTCATTGACTACTTATTGACCTTATGGTATCTCAGTTATCTCATATTTCTTTGCATTCTACAATGGGAATGCTATTCAAAAAATTTCACAATAATGTTTTTTTATGAGTACGCCAAACAAATCCGAATCTATTGTTATCTTGTTCATCATTATGTTGCTCATAGAAACACGGCCCATATAACAAGCTACACCAATTAAGAAAGTGTAGAAGAATTCATTCATAAGGATCGCCGTTGTATAACCATTCATCACCGAAAGCTGCTTTCAAGATCGAGTAAAAGTGCAAACAAGGAGCAATAAACTATTTCTTGTTCTATCGAGAAAATTTATGAACGTCAGGCTATATTTTGTCATCCTATTCTGTTTCAATTTCTTACACAAACTTAAATTGGCTTTTATGCATGTTTATTTGATTTTGACGAGACGTTGAAATATTTATATATTTATTTTAGTTTTTGCTATTATTTTTTAGGTTATCTGTTTTGTAATATACATATAAATAAATTTTGACTTTATTGTTAATAAAATTGTATTTTCTACAAAAAAAAATTTATATTGTTAATAAAATATGTTCTCCAATTTTCAATTTTTCATATTTAGGGTCTATTTTGTATTAATTTTATTATTTTTAGTTTTATTTTGTGTTGGAGTAATCTTGTTCAGTAGGATTATCAAGTGACTCGAAATAAAATAAAGTTAATATGACCTGATCTGAAAGAATTTGTATAGTAAGATTATCAAGTGACCCGAAATAAAATAAAGTTAATATGACCTGATCTGAAAGAATTTGTATAGTAAGATTATCAAGTGACCCGAAATAAAATAAAGTTAATATGACCTGATCGGAAAGAATTTGTATTGTATTTGAGACTTCACGTTTTGGGTTGAAAATCAAGTTCTGAGTTAGGCAGATTTTTTATTATATTCATGATTTAACTCAAATATGAGCACAATATGAAAACACAAATTGACATCCTAAAAGAGTATTAAGGAGGATAAAGCTTTATGATAAGTATTAAAAAGATGAAGGAAGTTTCATGAAAGCTTGATGAAAGGGATATTATAATTCTTCAGTAAATACTAGCGTTTAAACCGTGCTATGCATGGATTATTATAATTAAATTTAATTGTTATATTTTTTTATTTAATTTTATAAATATTTGAAATAAATAAATATATATCTTTAATTAAAAATACATAAAAATAAATTATTATAAAACTGTTAAATACTAATTTCAAAATAAAAACTACCTATATTTTTTTCCCTAAAAAATTTATAAATAAATAAAAAATAATTTATAAATTCCAAAAACTGAGAAGCCAGAAATTTGAAGTGTAAGGTCCACGCCTTTTGCTATAGTTATATATATATATATATATATATGATATGATAAGGGAATTGATGACTTTATTGAATAAAATTGTTGGAACATATGAGGTAATTCAATAAGAGATTAATGAAGAGATTTAAAAGGGAATAAAATGCAAAAGGGAAGGTGACTTACAACACTTCAAAAAATTACATTTTCTTTGTATTTTTTGTTTTCTCTTATATTGCACTTTCTTTTACTTAGAATATGATTATCCTCCAAAATATCAGCTTTTTAACTGACCTAAAACAATCCAATCATCGAAAAAACCAATTTCAGTAGAGAACAGTCTTATTTTGATATTTTTTTGGAATATTGCGACGAATGCAATAAAAATAATAAAAAAATAAAAAGAATCAACAAACAGAATTGCGAGGTTCATCAAGAGAGGTGTTGGCTACATCCACTGCAAAAGATGAATAATTTTATTAGGATTTTAAAATATAAGTATTATCAGAATTACATCACAATCACTATTTATAATAATTCAAATCAAACTTAGTTGATTAGACTCCAAATACAAGTCCAACAGTCAAAATAGACTATAGAGCTAGCCCATAACATCTAGTTCCAAGGCGTCCTACGACTCAGCGAAATACAACAAACGTCAAAACACCGAATTTAAATCCCAACAAAAAATATACAAGAGAAAATAATTTCAAGACGCATAATGCGAAATTAGCAATAATCAAGCATATATATATATCATTACTCCGAAGCTAATATATATATATATATATACAGATTTTAAAAAATCTTTCAAGCATTTACAATTCAACAAAATCATTCTTGTCTCGAACTACAACTTATAATAAGATAGTTACTGCAAAATCAAGACCCGAATCTCTGATTAATGGTGCATAAGTTTTCCTTCTTCTTACGCCATTAAAATATCTAAACACAAAATAATAAATATAAATATAAATATCTATCACCATATGTCCGACCGTGAGGGTTAGTGCATAATTTATGGCATAGTGTCGAGATTAGGATTTACATCTAATGATCTAATTCAGGTTTTCACAACAAATATTGTGTAATTGTCTTATTTTTTAGGTAACTAAGGCCATCTCCAATCACACTCTATTTCTCCCGTCCCAACTCCATTTCTGCCGCCATCCAGCTCTAACCCAACGCCATTTGCAACACCATTTTTTGTGTTTGCTACAGTGCAATACCATTTTTGGTGTTGCACTGTAGCAAACGCCATTTATGGTGTATTTATTTTTTTTTTTAATTTTTAAAATTATAAATTTAATTTTTATTTTTTTAAAATTTTAAAAAAATTTATTTAAAATTATAAAAATAAAAAGCTGTTTAAAATAATAGGAAAAATTGATTATTTGAAGAATAATAGGAAAAAATAGAGTTATGGTTGAAGTAAAATTACCGTAGCAAGTATATTTGGAGATAAAACTGGATAAATAAAGTTGATGGGTTGGAAATGACTTAAGAAAAGTAATTTTCATGTACACGTAGTATTTGTACCTTATTCTTTATTATTGGAAAATTTTGTAACAAAAAGCATTTTTAATTTTTTGTTCTACAGCAGAAACAGTAATAAATAAATTTTTCAAGCGTTTTTAATAGGTGTTAGATCATCAACTTTTTGTTATGAAACTTGCCGACTCTTTGTTAGTTGACTTTTTTTAACGGTCAATTTTGTAGTTGTAAGACTTAATGGTATTGAAAAGCCACGTAAACCACCATGTCCACTTGGTAATAATAGAATCCAAACCATATATGATTAACTGAAACCTATCTTTGTATTAATGCGGAACATGTATATTAGAAGGGTGCGATAACAGGCATGATCACCGTTGACCAAAACAAATATGAATATATCCTCTCTTCCCTTAACAATCTATCTATTTTTTCATTTTGGTCTATTTCATAACAAAGTATTTTATTTTTTTTAGTAACTGTATTATTTACCTAATATTACAAATATCTTTTTAATTTACAATATATTACACAAATATCATTATCTTTATATCATATCATACTAATAAGGATAGTTTAGTCCTTTTATCTTTATTTCAACTTGATGGGGTGCAAATCCAAGTCCCACGTTGAAAATTGTAAAGAAAATTGCATACTTTATTAGTCCCAAGTGAACTCCACTTGTACGAGACATTTTGGAGAAAATCCAAAGACAAATCCGTACGGGACTCAGTCCCAACTCTAGTAATTGAGGTGGTCAGGGACACCGAGGCATTTTGAAGAAAATCAAAAAACAAATCCGTACGGGTTTAGCCCCAACACAACTATATTTCAATATAATAATAATATTTCTAAAACTCCCTATAAAAAGTGGTTTTGCCTAGCACACATAGTTTGTCTAATTTGACAACTCACAACTCACACGAAGAGTAAATAAAAAAAAAAAAATACATATTATTATTATTTCATAAACAAAAATACAAAAATTATACAACATATGAACTGAGGTGCTAGCTAGAAATCAACGGGGAGAAGGATGTGTACATACATATATATATATATAATTATAAATTATAAATTATTTATATATGGGCAGCATAACAGTCGATTGATCACACCATAATAGAGGGCGTATATTATTAATTAATTATCTCCTGTCCTGATATATAATAATTATTATTAATTAATTAATTAATAGACATCCTCGTAAGTTGACGAATCCCGTCTAGATCGCACCTTGATCTCCAACGGCTGAGCCATTTCACACGACAGCTTCAAAACCTCGCTCAAGTTCACAGGCAATGTTTGGCCATGGCGGAATTCGAATTCATGTAAAAGAGTGGCCAGCCAGTAGCTGACCGTGGTCAGCCCCAGATCCTTACCCGGGCACGACCTCCGACCCGACCCGAATGGTGCCGCTACGTCTTTGTGAATGTGGTCCGCTCCAACAACCAACCATCTCTCGGGTTTGAAGGTCAAAGGGTCATCCCAGACCTCCGGGTCCCGCATTATGGCCCACATATTGACCATTGCGGTGGTCCCCGCCGGCACGTGATGCCCGTCCACCGTGGAATCCCTTATGGAGAGGCGGGACCAGGAGAGGAGTGGGCCTGGCGGGTGCAGCCTCAGGACCTCCTTGACTAACGCCGTTAAGTAGACGAGGTCCGTTAGGTCGGATTCCGTCACCGCACGTGACCTCCCGACAAACTTATCCAGCTCTTCGTGGACCTTTGACTGGATGTCAGGGTGCATCGCTAGTCTCGCTAGTGTCCACTCCATCAGCACTGCCACTGTGTCCGTACCTCTGAATATCATCTCCTGCCCAATTAATCAAATAATCAATATATAATATAATATAATATTACATGAAGTCTACATAATTATTTTTAGCATTAAAAATATTTTTATATTTATATAATTTTTTATATAAATATAATTATATTAATATTATAAGATCAATAAAAATATTTTTGTCGTTTTTTATCGATTTGTATTATATTTTGATATAATAATTAATATTTATAAATTAATAAAAAATAAGGTAGTATAATATATGTTGTGACCAAATCGGTTGTTTATTCTTACCCAGAGAACGGCGATCATGTCGGAATCGGACAATCTATCAGCCCCATGCAGAGAGAGCAGAATATCCACGAAATCCCTGTCTCTCTCGCCGCCGCCGGCCTTCTTATGATCGGCGATGATCTGGCCTACGAATTGCTTGACACGTGGCACAATCCTGGAGCACCTGACCCTGATTCTCTGGAAATCAAAATCGGATAAAAATGGTAGGTGGTCGGACCAATTGACCTCCCCAAGTAGCTGGTACCCCTGATCGACTAAATCCTTCAATTCGCCGACGTCCGGGTCGTCTGCGCCGACGTTGTAGCTCCGGCCGAACACAGACGCCATCATGTTGCAGAGCGACGCGTCTTTGAGGAAATCCCGGACGCGGACGCTGCCGGCGGCGCGTCCCCGAGAAGCAACGGCGGCGGCGAGCTGGAGCCCTACGCGGCGGCGGTGGCGGTCAAAGTCCCGGAGCTGTTTGGGGCAGAAGAGGTGGGCGGCGGCGATCTTCCGGAGCATGGTCCAGTAGAGGCCGTAGGGGGCGAAGCCGATGGAGCGGTCGAACATGAGCCGGTAAGCCGATTCCTTGTGGGGGCGGTCGGCGAAGGCGGAGCTGTTGAGGATCTGCCTGGCCACGTCAGCGTGGCACGTGGCGATGACACGTGTCTGGCCGAGGCTGAAGGCCATCAGTCTTTTGGCGCGGCTGGCTTCGGCGGCGGCGGCTATTTTGCGGTGCGCCAAGCCGGCGACCAGATTCATGCTTCCAATGACTGGGAATCCGCGTGGGCCCGGAATTGTGGAGCTGGATTTGAAGCCGCGGCTGAGAAGGTGCTTCCCCCAAGCCGAGCCGGCGGGGTGAGCTCCCCAGTAGAAAATATTCAGGAGTAGCCATGAAAGCAGGAGGAGTAGCAGGAAGGAGAAGAAGATGGTGATGGTGTTCATAGACTTGGATTCGCATTTTGAAGCCAAGGCTACCAGGAGCCAGAGACTGTCCACGTCAGTCGCCATGGATATTGTATATATGTATGTATGTATGTATGTATGTATGTATATATGGATTGGAATTTAAGGAAGGTGGAGCTTGAAACGAGGAGCCAGTCTGGTTGAGGGTTTATATAGAGAGAGAGATGGGGAGAGAGAGAGGGAATAATGATGCCCAGATTCCCTCTTCTAGCTGTTATTCTTCAAATTTTAATAGAGACTATACTGCTCATAATAAATATATAAATAATTGTTGTTTGACAGTGAGTTCTTTTGTACAGCAAGATTACGAGGATGATGTGGGAACATGTATTTAGAGATATTGAGGGGAGTTTTTATTTGATATTAAAATAATATTTAATTATTTTGTTTTCAAATAAAGAAAGTTACTTATTAGTTTCATGCGTCCGCTTACAAAGTTTACATATTTCTATTTTGGGACGTTCAATTACAAAGTTTATATTTCATTAAATACCCTACTTTTTTCCACAAATATCTTTACTTTACATCACATCGTTACTTTTACACAAAAAAAGTAAAGGCAAAAATGTCATTACACTATTTTTAACTACTCACTATAATTAAAATACTATTATTTTTTAAACACCGCGTCAAAAGTAAATGTAACTCTTTTAAATGGAGAGAGGGAGTATGTAACTATTGAAATTTTGTACTAGATAATAATAATATTTTATTAGTTAATGAAAGTATACAAGATTTTTTGATGTTTTTATGTTTGTAATTTAAGTAATATTTTAGTATTAATATATAATTAATTTTTTATATATAAAAAAGAAATAGATAAATTGAAATAAGCCATAGGAAAATAATAAAAATGATATTTTATATTGAGATGAATGAAACATTATTTTGAAAAAAATATATATATAGGATTTAAATAGTAAAATTTGGATAAATTTTAAATATATATATATAGGATTTTAATAGTTTTGAAAATAGTAAAAATTTATACTCCTATCCAATTAGAAAGTATACATATTTTTTATTTTAGAATGTCCAATTATAAAGTAAATATTTTATTAAATATTTTACTTTTTAAAAATATATATTTGATGTATTATTATTTTTTAAGAAATTAATGATGCAACAATAAATGAATATAGCAAAAAGGCTATCCTAGTCTTTACTTTTGTATTAATGATCTTAAAATTACAATTTATGATTAAAATTTATCTTGTTGAATTAATAATTTCAGCTTGTGATCCACAATGTCAAAAAACATAATTTAAAAATATTGTAAAAAGCTGTTTTTTTAGTTGTGGTATGAAATCGATTTGAAATAATATATTGATTTGAATTTTTGTTTAAATAATATTTTAACGTGATATTTTGTAAAAATATATATATTTATTAAAAATTGTGCCCAATAAATAATGTTAATTTTAATTTGAAATAGTAAAAGAACAAACTACGGTCCAATATATTTTGGTGTTAGATTTTGAGATGAAATCAGTTTAATGTAATAAATAATTCAGCATAGGCTGAAATTAATCTTCACTTTTAATTTAAATTTAATTATTCTAAGTAAACAAATAATTCAATTAATTAATAGTGGATATTATTAGAAATTTTAGGGGAAAATAATGAGATTTGTCTTATTATCGTCAAAATAAGGAGCCTATATATAGGCCATACAAAAGAGACTCGATAGACTCAAATCTAAGTAATCTAGATATAAATCTACTAAATCTAAAAGTGAATATCTAAAATATCTCAACAACAGATATCAAGTTCAAGAATGGTGAATTCATTATAAGTTATCCACTTTGTTGTTATATAAATGATATTTGTTCTCAATTAGTTTGATCATTATATTAGTCAACTATAGCAAATTCTTACTAACCTATTACTTTCCTCAAATGGGATTTATTATTTTTAAATATCATAACATTTTGTTTTGGTGTTCCCTTCTATTCAACAAAAGATACCAATTGACCTTTGTATCATTTAATTATTATTATTATTATTATTATTATTATTATCATTATCTTCAACCCCAAACAACATCGAAACGTTACATACCCCAAGAAGTGACTGTTTAGCATTCTTGATAGGCCAAAATATCTAATAGAAAAGTCTTCAAGTTGAGTTTTCTTGTCTACTACTCATAATAATACTTATTATATATATCATGCTTCTTCAATTTTTTGTAGCAAAATTTGCTAAGACTAGGTTTGTTTATTTCAACTCAATTCCCACTGCTTTAATCCAAACAATATGCTCCCTCCGTCTGCTTTTAAGAGTTACATTTACCTTTTGAGTCATTGTAATTAGTATTAAAAATATCATTATATTTGTATAATTTTTTTTTTTTACAAACGTCCTTCTATTAGTATTACAAGACACTAATGAAAGTGTTTTTGCAATTTTTTTCTTTATTTGTACTATGTTTTGATATAATAATTAATATTCAAATATCAACATGCAAAAAGTAAATAAGACACTTAGAGTCGGACGGAGGTAGTATTACTCTCTCCGTCGTGTAAAGTGCAAGTGCAATATTTTGATTTCGACACAAAAATTTTAATAGGTAAAATAAAATGATAATTAAGTGACGTGATTAGAGATAGAAATATATATTTATTTTTTTTTGTATTTGAATAGTATCATATGATAAAATATAATTAATTATTCAAATGACGTAGAAATTTACTGTCGCTATTAAAACATTCGCAATGAAGAAATCTCTCCTCCCTCCTCCACCTCAGCTCTATGTAAGCAAAATCTTTTTTAAAAAAATGAAAATTCTTTTGGGCATCTCCACAAAGATGCCCAAGAGATGCCATTTATTTTATTTTACATATATATATATATTAATATTATATAAACTTTTATTTTTTTATAAAATAATATAGATATATATATATATATTGATATACTTTTATTTATATTTATTTTCAAAAATAAATAAAATTGATATAAATATATATTGTTTTATTAAAATAGAAAAAAAAATATGAGGCGGAGAAAAGAGAGTATATAAAAAAGATGATGAGATACTTTTGAAAAAAATCTTTCTTGCAGTTGCTCTTATGATTGATATCAATAAGTTTATATTTATTTCATTTATTTTTATATAACGTGGTAATCCTCAATCGTTATTATTCGAACGTGTTTTAGGTAAACTCTGGTCAAACCTAATTAACCTCACGATTACAAGTTCACTCTACAGTACTAGGCTGCTTGTTCTTACTCGACGCTTATATTTATTTGATTGATTAGAAGGGATGTGGATATGCCAAAACAAATGTAGTGGGCATGCATCAATCACTCACTCACTCGCTCGTGCACCTTTTAATTAATTTTGTATATCTTGTTCTAGATTTGATTCCTTTCTTAATCATGCTTCTAGTCTACTTGATGATGTAATAATTTGACACAATCATGTTTGATTATTGGTTTATATGGATAATTCAATTCTACTAATGATGCAAATAACTAGAATATATATATATATATATATAATTAAGTATATAAAAGAGGGTATGATGATGATGCACACATATAAGATTAACAAAATAATTAGGTACATGATCAAATTGGATTACCTTAATAATCCCTTGATTTGGACAAGGTAATGAGGAGCTATACAATAGTTTAATTAATTAATTAATTAATTAAATAAAAAGATTAGAGACATTAGTGTTGTTAAAAGTTGGCAAGTTGTCATCCTCTCATATCATATACAAATATGGAATCCCCACTTGTTCCAATTATTATACACCAATTAGTATATTGTAGTATTCAAATAAACTCCAAGGATATATGATTGGATTCGATCCCACACACAAAATAAAATATATATATATATATATATGATAAATTGAAAAAGTTGGTGGGCTCTATATATATATATATATTATATGTATGTATTGTATGCTATTAGTTTGAGTGGTTTATCGGGTGAAAGTGGAGGCTACAGGGAGGTGACGATTGGTTCTTTAGTATTTTTATTTGAGTTTTCTTTTCTTTTTTTTTTTAAATTATAATTTAAAGAATTGTGTTGTTAATATAAACTACTGTTGGGTACTGATCCAAGTTCCACATTGGAAGATACAAATAAAATTTCACACCTTATAAGTCCAAGTAAACTCTACTAGTACGAGGCATTTTGGAGAATATCCAAAAATAAATCCGTGCGGAATTAGATACTATCGTTGAGTTGGCCCAGTCTCAACAACGTATATAATTTTTAGTGTTAAGTTTTTGCGAAACAACACGATATAAATATTTTAGAAATTGTGTCAGTAAAAATTATTGTGGGCTGTGTGTGTTTTTTTTGTTGAATTTGAGAAAAAGTGGTTTAAGTTTGGTATTAAAATAATGTTCGATGGGATATTTTATGAAAGAAAAAAATATAATTTTTTTGAGAAATGAAGAGTCCAAATAATAAAATTTGAAAAACTTTGGGTAAAGAAACAGACCCTAGACATACATACATACACACTTATATCTATATATATATATGAGCATGGAGTTTTATAGAGTTTACTAACATATATATTATATTATAACTGAACATATGCTATTACAATACAATATATGTTAAGATATGTATAAATATATCATACCTACTATTACTGCATATGTTGATACGATTAAATTAGTACTATACTGATTTGACTAGATCAACATGGAATTTGCAACCCATATATATATATATATATATAGAGAGAGAGAGAGAGAGAGAGAGAGAGAGAGAGAGAGAGAGAGAGAGAGAGAGAGAAAAACATATCTTAAAGAGAATTTCAAAGATTGGTGCATCTTTGAAAGTTTATGGAGACCGCATGGGATGGAGAGGAGGACATGTTCGATGATGATATATCAATCCTACAGCTTCATTATACATTATTATTATTATTATTATTATTATTATTAAAAATAATAATTAATTAGTTGAAAAATTAATTTGTATACTCGTTAAGCAAACAAGCTCGAGTTTGACTTAAATATATTTTTCAAATTGAGAAGATCAAGCGAGAGAGAGAGAGAGAGAGAGAGAGAGAGAGAGTTAATGTTGAGTTAAGCCAATTCAATTCAATAATTTAATTATATGATTATTTTTTGGAATTTGAATATTACTCATTCCGTCTCACATTGGATGTCTGGATCACCGTAGACATGGAAATTTAAAATAAGTATAATTAGTAGATAATTAAGAATATATTAGTAAAAATAATTATTCTATTTAAAGTTAATATAACTAATTAATTTAATTAAAATTAAAAAAAAATTAAACTAAAAAACTTAAAATAAAATTAAAATATATAATTATTTTAAAAAAAAAATGACATAAAACGTGAGACTGCTTTAATTAATTAGATGCATGTGTTGTGTATGTGTAGCTTAATTGAGTCAACCAAGTAATAGTCAATGGTATGTGTGTATGTAAGTATTGTGTATATATTCTTAATTTGACTTGAACAGTAGTTACGTCACTCATTAATATTTGATTCGATATGATATAGTCCAAGTCTAGTCTACATGTTTCATGGGAATATATATATATATATATATATATTCAAAGGCTGGCAATATAGTGAGGAAATTCACGATCAAATCTTTCCTCTTTTGGAAATCGAGGTTTTCAACTAGCCACTCTGCAACTTGCTCAGTCCACTAATAATACAACTTCATCACAAAAAACGAAAAATTATTTATGTCAATATGAAATAAAGCAAAATTATATATATTCGGGCAGCAAAATGGTACATTAAAAATTATACTCCTTTCGTTCCAAACACCGTGCAATATTTATATTTGGCATGATAATTTAGGTAGAAAATATTAAATATAGTAATTTGAAATATTTTGGATATTAAGTGATATGATTGGAGAGTGAAATGATTTTTTTTATTTTTTATTTGAGTGATGTGATTAGAGAGATAAATAATTTTTTTTTATTTGAGTGATGTAATAAGATAAAGTAAAGCGTATATAAATATATGTATATAAATATTATTAATTATTTTTAAATTTAAAAATATTACAGTAAATTTGAGACAAACAAAAAAAATATATTGTATTAAGTTTGAAACAAATATATATATATATATATTGCAAGAGACAGAGAGAGTATTTTTTTTAAAAAAATAAATAAATGAAGCTAAATGAAGAAAAACTACTCAACAAAAGCTTACCGACAAGCCAAACCGTCTGCTACAGGTTTCCTGATAAATATACATACTTCCATCCAAGAAGAATACTTCCTCCATCCCATATTTATATATATAAAAAGACTAAATTAACCTTACTAGTATTGTATGATATAAAGGTAATGACATTTATGTAATATATTGTAAATTGGAAGAGTATTTGTAATGTTAGGTAGGTAGTACAATTACTAAAAAAAAAATAGATATTTTGTTATGAGACGAACCAAAATGGAAAAATAGATAGATTATTAAGGAACAGAGGGAGTATTATTTTTTATTTTTTATAATTGTATTTTTTAACATAATTAATACTCTTATAATTTTTAATATATTACACAAATATCATTGTTTTTCTATTATACTATCTATTAGAGGCATTTTTGTCTTTTTAACTATAAATCAATATAATATTAATATTAAAAAATTTAAGTATAAAAAAGCAAATGTTGCTCTTTTTGCGAGACGAAATTAATATAATTTTATTGTCATTTTGTAATGAATTTGTTCATTCAACTATTTTTAAATAATACGATTTTCGATAAATATTATAAATAAATAATATATATAAAAAATATAATATATAATTTATACTTTAATCATTGATAAAAATTTAATAATTCAATATAAAATATTATTTTTTATATTATCGTATAAAAAATTCTTCATATTTAGTATATATATATATTAAAAAAAAAAAAAAAAAAAAAAAAAAAAAAAGAAAAGAAGAAAGAAAGAAAAAGCAAAACAAAACTAGGTTTTGGGATTGTCATGTTTGGGTTAATGGATTAGAAAGTCCAACGGATAATTGATGAGGTTTTGGTTAGTGTATTGGGCTATGGCTATTGGATTATGGGAAGGTTTTTTGACAAGGAAGAATTTCATTTTTGGTACATTAAGGATATGTTTGGCAATATGGAAATGAAAATAATTTTGTTTTTTGGTTTGTATCAGTGAATATATTGATTTAAAAATTTTCTTTTTTAAGATTGTATTTACTATTTTCATAATTTTTAAAGAAAAAAAAATTTATTTATTTTACAAAAAAAAAAAATTATTTATTTTACAAAAAAATTTATAATAAAACGTCAAGATCATAAACTAATCCTACATGTAAATACAAATTCTTATGATATATTTCTGTCTTTATTCTCAAATTATTTTAAAACAAACGTCTTTAACTCTATATAACTTTTTTATCCGTTTAATCCATAATCAACATTGGATAATAACTCATCCACCCAGTCACCTTCTTTATTGTCTTTGTGATTACTTTTCCGATTTTTATGATAACAATATTCGTTACATTTAATAAAAAATATAGTTATTATAAATTTATTATTTTTCTCAAAAACCGATTATCTTTAACAAAAATAATAAAAATTAATTAAATATTATTTTCATTTTTTTAAAATCTTAATATTTCAAATTTTAAATTCAATAAAAATTATCTATATATATATATATTTAAAACTCATTAAAATTATCTTTTTTATCTCTACTTTTTTTCTATTCAAATTTTAAAATAGTAAATTATATGCTTCAAAATTATTAAAATTTACCTAAATTAATATTTAAAAATTAAAATATAATATTATATAAAAATATTATTAAACAATAAAAATATAGAACTATATATAAATAAATAAATTATTTTTATTATATTACTACATAATAAAATAATATAAAAATAAATAAATTATTATAGGTATTATAAAATAATAACTATAGTAAGTTAAAAGGTAATTAACTAGGTGATAAAAAAAGGTAATGTGAGGGATAAAGAAAATAATATCCAACTATGACGGATGCTCTTAGGTATCTCCAACTTTGGGCAAAAAATTTTATGATGTTGTGTTCTTTTTTTTTATATATATATATTTTTTTTATATTACACTTAATACTTCTAATTTATTTTTAAATATAATAATAATTTATTACTATTTTTATGTTAAAGAAAAATTAAAAGTAGTGTCCGAGCAGGGAGTATTAAATTTTTTATTTAAACTTTTTAAATTTTGAATTGAAGTAAAAATACTACATAAATATAATTTGTGAGTTAGTTGCGAGTTTTAAGAAATCTTGCTAACCCCATTTTGAGAGACTAAATACACCTAAAAAAAAGTAAATATTTTTTTATAATTTTAGAAATTTAAAAATTAAAATTTTTAAAATTTATTGACAATTTATACACTTTAAATTAAATATCATTAAAAAAGAAAAAGTAAACACAAAATTTATAAAATCATAAGGTTATTTGATTTAGAAGCGCGGATATTTTGCATAATTTAGCCAATTTGGAAATTGTACGCAGTTAGGAACAATGAGCTTTTACAGTTAGAGTCGCAGTCAAAGAGAAACAGCAATGCATCCATCGATTCGCTGCCTCCAACATCAATCCAAAGGGAAATTACTTTAGCTAACAAAAACTTTTATTCATTAATCGGAAGAATCACAAACGTACATAATGGATGAACCATAACAACGAACATATCATATAATATCATAGCACAACAAAACAAACACACAATCACAATTAAGCAGTGCCACATAACAGAGCATAATCACACAGAAAATTCATTCCAAATTGTAGGCATAGACGACGAATTTCAAATCTCAGCCAGAAATTTCAATGGATTTCACCTCAGGTTTCTTCACTTCCTCCTTGGGGATCGTCACCGTCAGCACGCCGTTCTCCATATTAGCCTTGATCTGCTCCATCTTCGCATTCTCCGGCAACCGGAACCGCCGGAAGAAGCTTCCATGGCTCCTCTCCACGCGGTGCCACGACTCGTCCTTCTCCTCCTTCTCTCGCTTCCGCTCGCCGCTAATCTGGAGGACATTCCCTTCCTCCACCTCCACCTTCACCTCCTCCTTCTTCAGCCCTGGCACATCTGCCTTGAACACGTGCGCCTCCGGCGTCTCCTTCCAGTCCACGCGCGTCGCCGCGAACTGCGACGTCTCGTTGGAGGAGCTCATCAATGGCCAATCGCGGAACGGATCCAACACGTCCAGTGAGAACGGATCGGAGCTTCGCCTCCCAAAGAAACTCGGAATCAGCGACATTTTCTAATTACACGAAAAATCAAATTAGGGAAGAAAAGACCTAATTGAAAAAACTTCTTCGATTGGATTGTGCTTGCTTGGTAGTGTTGTGAATTATGTGAGCTTGAGTGGAAGAAGGCTAGGCTATATATAGGCACGCCGTTTGTCCGTGAAATTGTTGCGTGGAAGTGTATGGAAATTTCAGGAACTTATCATAATAATAAAATAATATTTTATTTTTAATAATATGTATATTATTTTGTTTAGGAGAATTCTGGAGCATTTTTCCGGAAAAGGAATGAAGATTCTGGATAAGTCCACCGCTCCGAGACTGGCACAATCACATCCGCCACGTGTCGTGCTTACCGTTCTTTGATCAACATAGTTACGTCATAACGGGTAAAAAATACATATCATTAATTTTACATATTATAGAAGACAAAATAGTCTTGTTGAATTAGAGCCCTAAAAAATGAATTCAACTCGTTGGGTTAGCCCACTAATCTTAATTTTAAAGAAGATTGGGTTGCAATTTTTTAAACCCGTTAAAATATGAGTTTAAATGGGCCAATCAGCATAAACCGCGGTTGAGGGTGAGTTAGTCTACATTAGCTTACGGGTCAAATAAATATAATAATTAATCTCATTCGTCTAACTAAATGTATTTGTTACTATTTTTTACTATCATAGTAAAAATTATAATAAAACTAATCAAATATTAAAATAAAAATATTTTTTAATTTTTTATAAATTACAAATATATCATTATAAATAAGTTAAGACGAATAAAATAAAAACTTTTATTAGCTTAAATAAATTATCAATATTGTCTACACGGTTGTTTTTCTTCTCTAACTATGTTATTCATGACATTGTTATTTGTTTCGATTTTTCATCATTTTTTTTGTTTGTCTTCCATTTTATTATTTTATAATTTTACAAATTAATAAAATTAATTATAATTTATTTTTAAAATGAAGTATTTTTTATTATTCATTTTTTTAATGCACCAATTAATAATATTTAGAATTGAGAATTTTTATATTTTTTATTTATATTAAAATATTTATTATTTAAATTCTATAATAAAACTATTTTTAGCTATTTTTAAATACTCTCTCCGTTCCACGTACTATGTCCACGTTGTCGTTTCTGTCTGTTTCACATTCCATGTCACTTTTTTTTTTTTTAAAAATGATTACACACTTTAATCTCATTTTAAATTTTTTTATTTTTTTAAATTTTAATTAAATTAATTAGTTATCTTCATCTTAATTTATAATTATTTATATTATAGGAACTAATGCATTATTAATTATCTACTAATTACACTCCTCCTAAAATATCGTGTCTACAGTGTAGCAAACACGGTATATGGGACGGAGGGAATATTATTTACGAAAATATTTATAATATTAATATTCTTTTAATATTTTTAAAAAGCTCGTGGGCTAGCCCGCTTAGGTTGCCACCCGCCGTTGGGTTGGGTTGGGTTGTGCTGATGAAATTTTGATCTGCACCGCCGCGGGTTGGCCCAAAGACAATCCGCTTATTTGCAGGTCGGGTTAGGGTAGGTTGTGGGTCAATCCGCCCCACTAACCCGTTTTGACATGTCTATGTTGAATATTGTCCTTCATTTAAAGGTGAATGACAATTCCACCTATTACCAATTGGTTTTAGGTCAAAGCCCCAGACCCCTTTTTAAGATGACATCAGAATCATGGTGCCCTTATTGGGTATTGATTCGGTATGAATTTTTTAGATTATCATTTCGAGAGAAATAGTGTTGAAGATTGTAAAACATTGGATATGATGTGGAAACTCCCTTGGCTTATAAAAGTGAAGGTTACTCCTCCCCTATCACTAATTAATTTTATATTGAACACCTGAAATCCTTTTTAACAATGTGTTGATTGACTCTCGTTTCTAAATAAATAGTTAAATAATGTTATATCATAAAAGTTTAATTTTTTAGGTAAATTGATAATTTATATCATCTAACATAGTTTATACGGACAATCATAAAAATTAAATTTACATCCTAATAGCTTCGAAGTCGCTACGTATATGTGACATGCAATGATTATATTAAATATTATTTTAATATCAAACACAAATCTAAACATTTCACAAATCAATCAAAACAAAAAAAAGCAAATACTTCAAGTCATTAATATATTCTAATAAAATATATATATAATGTAATAGTTTATTGTTGTAAATAAATATTAGCAAAATTACACAAATTATACAGTTTAGGATAGAGCTGTTAAACGAATTGAGCCGTTCGTGAACTCAGATCGGTTAGGCTTGATTCGACTCGGTTTAAGCTCGTTCGCAAACGTTAATGAGTCGAACCGAACAACATAAATAGGCTCGTTTGGTTAACGAATGAGCTCGAGCTTTGTTCGCGAACGTTCGCTTAAATAATATATTTATTATAAATATTATATATACATATAAAATTATAATTTATAAATAAATAAAATATTAATTTAAAATATATAAATAAAATAATTTTAATTTTTGTATAATTTATATATAAATTTAAAAAAAAATAAGACAAACGAACTCGAACGAGCTTAATCGAATCTAAACGAGCTGAACACGAACACGAGCTCAAACATAAAAAATTTTTAACGAGCTGAGCTCGAACACTACGAACAAGCTCGAAAGTTTAACGAACAAACACAAGCCTCGTTCCCGAACATTAACAAATACTTAAATTTTAACTCAACTCGATTCGACTCAGATTGTTAACCGCTCTAGTATAGGAAAATCATTTAGGACCACAATGACATTCATGACTTTTACAGTCTCTATGTTGTAAACAAAGATAGTTGGATACATTTACACACCATAATAAAAATGAACAAATTTTTTTAAAACAAAAAAAAAATAGATACATCAACAACCAACGCCGTAATAGAGACATCAACATATATTTTCGGTACTTAAAAAATATCACTTCATACAATAAATACATGCTTATGGAAAGTATTTGAAAAATAATCGACAAGTACATCTATATTAACAAGTTTACTTATAATTTAAAATGCATCAAAATAATTTACATTTCAAATGACCGTTTCAATAGATTAAATGCACATTTTTACATTCAACATTTATTTATCATATTTGTCGCTATCTTTATTGTATATTTTTTTAATTCTATTTACTTATTAAGTAAATTTTTCAAAATATCCTCAAATACTTTTTACTTCTTTTTATTTTTTTAATAAAATATTTATTTTTCTTAATATCAATTCCAACGGAGCTCATTTTTGCTGATGGAGAAAGTATTTGTAAAATTAATTATAGTATAATACAAATATTATATATTAAAATTAAAAAAACTATAAAATTTAAAATAATATTAAAGTGTATAATTATATTTTTAAAAATAAAAAAAATAAATTACGTTGGACGAACAAAAACAAAAAAATAAAAATAAATTATATGAGACAAAGAAAATAATAGTTATAAATATATAGCATAATAGAAATATATATATATTTCTTTTACCAAGTGACATTAATAGAATTAAAAAAATGAACATAAAAGATAAAAATATTTCAATACTTAATTAAAAGGTACATTTATTATAAAAAAAAATAATAATAATAAATAAACACAAATAAAAAATAACAAAATTAAAAACATTTGACTCAAACTGAGAAAATATTATCTTTATTGAAACTAATTTAAAATTCAAATAAACATAAAAATTTGTAGTAGATTGTTTGAGGGATTTTGTTTGGATTTCCACTGTTCATCCTATTTTTTTTTCCCAAAAACATCGAATCAAACACCTATTTCTTATTTTTTATATTATACTAAAAATCAATTTTACATTCAAAACATCACATCAACACCTATTTATATCACATCATACAACTGTTCAAATTCAAAATTTTTACTATTCAAATTCAAAATTTTTACTATTCAAATCCCAATTCAAAATCCAAACCCTCAAACAAACACACAATGTAAAGGGCACACAAAATAAATGCTACTATATAAAAATAGGAACAACAATAAATACTAGTATAGGATGACGTTGTATGTACATTACATTCCATTGATGAACAAAACTACCATACCCTTACTTATTACATTCATACTTCTCATCAACACACCGTCTTCACCATTACTACCATTACCACAAGCCTGTCTCATCTGTGGCCATTGTAATTTACCAAAATACCCCCACATCAAACCTAGCAAACACCCCACCCAACCCCACCCCACTTCTTGAATCAAAGATTTTTTTGCACCCACCTCACTGAACAACATTCATCAATTCCCTTCTACTTCCCTACCAAATAATACAGAGTACATTTTCTATCTTCAAATCCCGCCACCCACCCCTCCCTCCCTTATGTTATTTTCATCCTCTAACTAAGCAACATAATTCTCATTGATGCAAACCATTTGAGGCATTACCATAGCAAAAGTGAACTAACTAACTAGCCTGTCTACACACACATATAATTATATATATATGTATGTATGTATATGTATATATCAGTAAGTCCAGTCCTGAGGAAGATATATACCAGCCATTGGAGAGGGCGACTGAAAGCTCGGTCGGCGCTGCTGTTGTAAGATCATCAGCGCAGCATTGCGGCGAGCCAAGAACAAATCCAATTCTGTCGTAAAAAAAACACCATGATAACTAACTAACATTAGCAAAAACACTAATCATGGGTTTTAATTTGTTATTACAGGATGGATTGGTGCTTACCATAGTTGGAGAGGAAGCTGCCCCTGCCCCTGCCCCTGTTGTAGGAGAACTTGGGAGGATTATTATTATTATTATTATTATTATTACTATTATTATAAGGTGGAGGAGGTTGAAATTGAGGTTGAACAAATCCCAGGGTCCCATTGAACTTGTTGCTTAGAAGATCTCCAGTGGCGTTTCTTTCTGGAAAATAAGTTGAACCTGCTCATAAGTTTCTTTCATTAGGACACAACACAACAGTATAGTACACTACACTAGTACATAGGCAATACCTATATTATTATTTATTACAGTATTATATTTTTAATAACAAAAATCCGCAATCGCTGCCCGGCCGAATCCAATACCCCACGAACTAAGTCTCGTGAGGTCACAGATCCAACTCCACACCTTCAAACAATCCTCTACGAGACTATTTTTATTATTATTATTATAGGTAGGGCTTGACTTGTAATGAAATGTGTTTTCCTTTCACATCTGTTTAGACACAATTTTGCAATTTAGAGAGCTTATAAGATTTAAAAGATTAAAAAAAAAAAAACTATTAAAATTATTAAGGTTTGATTGGATAAATAAATAAAAATAATAATATTTTAATAGTAAAATAAAGTAGATTAAAAGTAACATTCAATTATTATAACTTATTTATTAAATAATTCATAAAGTAATAGTAGAATATATAGAAAAATTATTAATAAATTTATTACTTTCACCTCCAATTTAAAATATTTTTTTTATTTTTATAGCTCTCATTTTAAGATATTCATTTCTTAAATTTTAAAAAAATAATTATATACTAATATAAAAATATTTTAAATTTTTACCTAAATTACAACTCTAAATTAAAGAAACAAAAATATCTAAAATATCTTACAATGTCACTGACTAAAAATAATTATTATTGTTTATTTACTACAAAATTTCAAAAAATATACTTAACAACGGACAAAAGAAGTATTATTTATTAAAATAAGAAAAAAAAAAAGTTTTATTTATTAAAAATGAATTATATATAAATTTCACGGCTAAAATAACGAAGGATATAATTTATAACGGATATCTATTGTAATTTGTCAAAATTTAAAAAATGTTGCAAAAACAAAGCTTAAGCATCGATCAAAGAGAGATGATTTTTGGAAGAAAGCCCAAATCTGGTTCTGGAGAAGATTTTGTGGAGGGCCGAGGCACAAAGTACGATACGTATAAATCTTTTGAGTCAAAAATGAAAAACACGTCCCATCAATTCAAATCTACAACACCCACCAGGTGAATAGAATAGATAGCGGGGGCCGGGACCCCAGCTCCATAATAATCAACCCACCGCACCGCCATTAACGCAACTTTGTAAATAAATAAATTAATTAAATATATAATTTTGAAATTAAATATATACCTGTCTTTTTGCGAGAAGAAAAGAAGCCGTTGCTGGTGGTGTTGTCGTTGTTACGAGGTAGGAAAACCCCTGTCCCAGACCTTGCCCGTTTCGCAGCAGCCATTCGGGTCGGGTTGTGGGTATGGATACGGGTATGGGTTTGTACAACATCCCAGCCCCCTCGGGTCATTTGGCTTTGGTACCACGCTCTCCCATTCTCTTTCTCTTGTTTCATTATGTAGTATTGCTGCTGCTGCTGTTGTAAAATAAAATAAAATAATATTATTATTATTAAATTAAATACTGACCGTTGGATTCGGGAATTCCGTATCGATCTTACGTGAATGTTCTGGAAAGCAGATTGACCGTAATTTACGGGAAGTTGGTTGGGATTTCTCCGGGCAGCTAAGGCTCCATCGTCGCCGTTCAATTTGAGCTTTGCGACCTGACCGGCGGCGAGATGAATCAGGTCTCCGATAGCGTCGTACTCCGCCGCACCTAACGGCGTCGTTGGAGGCGAATAGACGCCGTCAGGGCTGCCGTTACTCGAACCGCCGGCACTCCTCACCGACGACCCAATCCCGCCGTGGAGGAGCGTGGACTGCGGCGAAGTCGACATCACCTGCCGCTTCTGCAAACCAACAACGAAGAAAGAAAACTCCATAAACACTAACGGAGATTAAAAAAAAAAAAACTCCAAAAAGTGAAACCGTAAATAAATAAGATTTGCAGCGACGGAAATTACCCCAAAATGCGCGCAGGCGGGGGTTTCCGATTCGTACGGAAAGTCGGCAGGGAAGCAGAGACCGTCGCCGGAGTCGGTTTCTTTGTTGTTAAGAAGGTTGTCTTTCCCTGTGACGAAATCGTCGAAGAACTCGGCCGGCAACCAGAAGCCAGCTTCTTCTACTTCTCCGCTGTCCGCCATTGATGTTGGAGCTCGGAGAGCAGGAAGGGCTGATAAATGAGGAGTGAGGGGGTGGGGTGGGGGCTTGAGTATTTGCAGGCGGAGGGGGCCCAACGGAAAAATAAGAAGGGACGTTGAGGAGGGAAATGCTGAGGTGCACCAGTTTTTGTTGGATCCACGGTGTTGGAAGTCTCAATTAATTTAGACCGTTGGATTGAATTAATCGATTGTGTGGACTTGTTTGGCGTTGAGGTCCTGGGGCTTGGTAAGACTATTTTGTTTTACAGCTCAGAAATTTTCAAAATGAAACAGAATTTGAATTCGTAATTTGTATTCACCTTTTTTGGTTCGAATTTCAATTTTCAAAAAATTGAAAAAAAAGTCATGACATTAATAATTGCTCAGCCTGTGTATGAGAAAATTTAAGGATTTTGTTTTATCTTCTTAATTTGAATTGTTTTTTTTTCAGTAGTAAGAAAAATTATATTCCCTCGATTCCGAAACTATAGTCGTAGTAGTGTTGGAAACGAGATTTAAGATATTGATATTATATTGATAATGGATAAAAAGTACAGATAAAAAATATTTTTGTATTAGTATAAAAGATAATGGCAATTGTGTAATAATAATAAAAGAGAAACGATAATTATACAGTGATACAGTTATTTATGAAAATAAGACTATTGTTTTGAACAGACAAAAATAGTAAACAAGACTATTGTATTGAAACGAAGGAATGAGTACTATCTACATCTAGATACAATCACCCTATTAAGTTTTACACGTAAATTTTTTAATATTAGTATTATATTATTTTTTAATAAAAAATCACAAAAATACTTCTACTAATATGATATAATATAAAAATAATTGTATTTATATAATATATTATATGTTGTAAAGATATTTATTATATTAAGTACGTAGTATAATGATTAAATTAAAAAACAAATGACTCCTTTGTTTTGTTCTAAATCAAAATACTTTCTTTTACTATTAAACATAATGAATCGCAACTACATCAATAATATATATAAAATTGAAAGACATACAAAAGCTCACCCACATCACTATAACTGCGGTTCGAGTGATGACTTAACGGTGTCGGAGTGGACTTATGATTACGAAGTCATCTGCATGAAATAAAAGTACCTATTAATTTAAAATGGTCAAAGAGTTTACTTTTTTTATTTTAATATTAAATTAAATATTTTTTATATTCCGTTAGAAAGTATATATATTTATATCTTAGAACGGTCAATTATAAAGTAATTATTTAATTAAATATCTTATTTTTTTCACAAATATTTTTATTTTAAATCATATCATTACTTTTATAAAAAAAAAAAAGTATGGATAAAAATATCATTTCATTACTTTAACTACCCACTAATAAAGACTACATCCAAAAATAAATTTTACAGAGGAAGTATATATATTTAATTTTTTATATAGGCCACTTCGGACCAGATCCAGAATTGAGACCCAACTCAGCCGAGCCCAGCCCAACCCGAGAAAGTATTGCAACGAAAAAAAAAAAGAACGTTGTCACTTAGACTTATGCTCAAGGTCGTAATTACATCACAACCACAACCACAACCAAATTATATATATATATTTTTTTTAGTGAAAAAATAAAAAAAAAATTATATATTTTGCTAAAATGCCCCTCATATTCAAGCAATTATTTTTGTTCTTTCTTATTTTCTTCTTCATCTATTTTTCTTTAGTTTTGTTATTTTTCACCTTTACGATGTTGCCTCTAAGAAAAATCGAAAATAAAAGTATCGTGTCGAAAGTAAATCGACATTTTGCCCCCAGATTTCGAACGCTGGTTCCGCCGCTGACCACAACCGACATTTACACGGACAGGCGCCATCCCCCAATCCTCCATCCTTATGTATAATACAGTACAGTACAAGCTCAGCCATACTGATACATACATATATATACATACATATACATACATACAGACACACATACAATACAACAGTGAGTGAGCCAGACCACCTAAAACAAAACATCATCGTCACGAGAACAATCCCAAAGCCCCATCTTGACCATCTCCCTTTTCCACAGAAATCTGCACATTACATTATATTACCAAATTACTACTTTGAATACGAAGACGAACTCGAATAATATCCAATGCATGTTTACCAGCAGAAGATCCTCGTCCGTGCCGAACGATTTATGCGCCCACTCTAAACATCGACAACTAACCCGTTCCCGCTTCCTAAAACGATAAGAAAACACATAAATTATACGTCGAAACGCAACAACCACACCGCGCGCTTACCTCGAGCTTGCAGGATCTCGAATTTCAAACTCGTCCGTCGCACCGTCATACCCACATATAACAATGTAGTGTCCTGAGGCCATTTAATGTAATATAAAAACGACGACTACATCAGAATTATAACATAGTATTTGTTTCCATCGTCTGTACCTGTGTAGCTGCTGCTGCTGTACATGTCTGAATCATAATCGTCCGCCCCGCAGTGACTGCTCCCACCCCAAAAGCATAAATCAGAAATCAAGGTAAGAAATTTCTCAGAAGGCTGGGATCCAAGAACGCCGCGCCATACCTTAACTTGTATTGATCCACTAGAGCAATGGCCACGTATTTTCCAGACAATATAATCGTCGAAAGTTCTTTCGTGCCAACTGATCTGCACTGCATGCAATGAACAGCCTTTTTTCATTTATTTTTCGCGCATACGTTACATGAATCCGATTGTTGTAAAAAACAAATAGTATATGTTGTAAGGACCTACAAATATGCAGTTCTATGTTGTAATATAAGGCGCCATACAATCGAAAGAATATATATATATATACATACAGATACACTATATTGATATTTATGTTCAGAATCAGAAAATGGGAGGCTTATGAGATCATAGAAAAAATCGTAAAGAGAAAGACGACATAGGCGATAGCTGTTTATACCTCTATATGGATTCCGGCATGACGGGCTTCTTGGAACAACATATTTACTCTTACAAGATCATTAGACAATTGGTCCTGCAAAATTTGATCATTTTCTGGTAAAAACAGCTTTGCTTTCCGCATGTTGTCTTAATTCTTAAACATTATTCTACCTTGTAAAATGTCTCGACTGAGAAATCTGGATTGGCTCCCAATGTAACGGTACAATATGTAAAGCTCACGGAAAACTTCTGAAGCAAATACGCCAGATCGACGGTCCAGATGCTGCCAGAAATATGTCCAAAGCAATCAACACTTTGCCTATAATCTAAAAAATGCCGCAATCTTCATACACTTCATTAAGAGAATAGTCAAAAACAACAGAGTGTTTGAATCTGATTTCACTACAGCACAATCGAAAAGAATATACCTTGTTGTACGACAAATCTCGCCAAGTTCAAGAAGACTACAACTGTAAACATTGAGGGATCTTAGAACCATTAGTACACAGGCGAGGCCGCAATCCCACATACACTCTTGGTTTATGTGAGGGACCTGTCGAGAACATAGTTGGATCGTATATGCCAATGTTAGAATTGAGCAGGAATCACAAGAAGAGGAAATGCGAAACTCACGTCTATAAAATAGGACAACATCGGCGATTTGTTTGGCGAAGGTAATATGCTGCTTAAGTTTGCAATAAAGCTAAAATGATGCCCGGCGGCCGCGGACTCTTCGAAATTTTCTTCGTCCGCCTTCAAAAGTTTGCTCAGTAAAAGATGTATTGACCACATCATTTAGGAACTTTTACGAACATTCCAACACTAACACAGAAATTAAATAAATCGATTATGCAGTTGTGAAGATAGCTTCTCCATACACAGATAATTCAATCAATTGAAGAAGGAAATCGAAGAACATGAGTTCAAAATAGAGCCTGAATTTGAAGTATACAATCAAACAAACAAACAAACACACAGTTCATTGGATCAAATCAACAGAGCATGAATAAATTCATGATTTACTTAGCTTGCTCGTTCGAAATGAGGTTTTCACCATCAATCAAATTTGATTTTCAATTAACCAATCTTCAGAGACAGCAATCAAACTCGATTTGTTTTTCAACGACTTTGAATCATTCAATCGACAACAGCAATTGGAGCATCGAAACCAAGCAAGCAAGCAATCAATCCAACGACAGCCAACAAACAAAACGAAGAAAAACTGTAAATTAAAAACCCCTAAAAGAGAAAGACTTACGCAACAAGTCCTCATCAATAATTTCGATTTTGCTGCTGTGTTTTTGTTCGAAAACGTCGCCGACATACGACAAAGCGTAAGAAAGGGCCAATCAGAGATGAGAAGCTTCTAGTGTTCTTCCCTAATTGGCACAGAATCTGCTGGGGTGGGTGGGTGGGTGGGGCGTTGGGTATTTGGTAATGGAATTTCTATACAAAGAAGAGAAAACGCAAGAAGGCAGAGAAGGTCAAAGTTACCGCCATTCTTAATTTCCTTCGTTTCTCTCTTTCTTCTCAGGGCAGACAATCAGAATTACAGGCGGATCTGTTATAAATTAGGGCATTTAATTAAATTAGAGTTGGGAATGAATTGATTCCATCAAAGAAGAGAGGCATGTGAATGATATGGTTCACCTGCCCGATCTGATCTGATCAATTCCCCCATTTCATGTTCTTCATCGATTAACTTGAGTTAAGGCATTATTTGTATGTGTATATCTATTAGTCTGTATGTATGAATTGATGGATCCTTTCTGGATGCATCCATTTCTCTCTCTTAAAAAAGTATAAATACAAACGTGCAAAGCATTGACATTTCCCTTTATGCTTATCCATTTTCGGTACCTTATTAATTTCAGTATTTAATATAGAATGTCTAAAATTATTGCTCTTTTCTTTTCAATTCAAACAGAATGTCTAAAATTATTGCTCTTTTCTTTTCAATTCAAACTTTCTATTTATTATTCCCTTCGTTTTCACGTAATTTGTCTCTATTTTTTATTTTTGACAGTTTTACATTATTTTTAGAAATATAATTATGCACTTTAATCGTATTTTAAATTTTAAATTTTATAATTTTTTTAATTTTAATTAAACTATTTACTTATTTTAATCTTAATCTATAATTATTTTTACTAAATAATAATTATTTTTACTAATACACTTCTTAATTGCTTAGTAATTATACATTACCTAAATTCCGGTGTCTACAGTGATACATCCATATTATATAGGACAGAGAGAGTATTATTATTAGATTATTTAATTAATTTAAAAATAATAATATTTTATTAATCGATAAAAATATTTTTTTATTTTTACAAATACAAAAGAAATTAATAGTTTTATAAAAATTAAAATTATTTTAATATTTATAAATGAACTATTTTTATTATAATAGGAAAATAATACTTTTGAATTAAACATAGTGAAAGGATAAAAAAAAATATATTTGAGTTGAGTTGGAAAGAGAATGTTATCTATTTAGTTTGTATCAATGAATTTTTTTTTTTTAATTCGTGAATTTTTCATATTAATTGTGGAGAACTATCCTAATAATATAAAAATTAATATTTTATATTAAATTATTGGTCTTTTTTTAAAAAATATATATTTTTTCGTCCATCATTAATCTTTTTATTTATTTTTTATATATTAATATTTAAATATTAATTATTATATCAAAATATAGTATAAATAAAAGAAAAAAATGACAAAAATATTTCTACCAGTGTCTTATAATAATAATATAACGACATTTATACAAAAAATTACACAAAATATAAGAATACTTGTAAAATTAAAAACAATGATGTCAAATGCAAATTAAAAAATTAGTGGTGGACGGAGGAAGTATTAGATAGGCAAAATTGACCGCAACTGTCATTTGGTTTCGAAACTCAAAATAAAATTTCTTTATATTTTAATAATTGTTTGACGTTTCTTTACATTCTAAAAAATGTTGCATAAAACTCTTTGTCATACAAAAAAAATATAGATAAAAAATCATCTTCTTATCAAATAAAAAAATAAACAAAAAATAATTTCACGCAATGCTTTTTAAAGTATAAGAGACACCATATAATTTTTAAAGTAAAAAGAAATTTATATAAGTTTCGAAACTACAAAAGAATTATGAACAATTTTGCCTATTATATACTCTTTCGTTCCTTAAGTAGATATTCATTTGTTTTTTTGTACGGAGTTTTATATATATTAGTATTATATCGATATATTGATATATAGTAAGAATAAAATATAAAAGACTAAAATAATCCTATTAGTATTTTATGATATAAAGATAATAACATTTGTGTAATATATTGTAAATTGTAAATGTATTTTTAATGCTAGATAAATAATACAATTACTACAAAATAAATAAATATTTTTTTTTTTGGAATGGATCAAAATAAATATATATATAATTTATTTGAAGATAGAGAAAGTATTATGTTGATAAACATATATTTTATTTTTTAATATTAATAATTTTGAAAAATCATAACATCAAAACGCTAAGCGAATACACTTATATATATATAATTTTATACGATATATTTTATATAACATACAATAATTATATACTTTAAAAAAATAAAAATCAAACTCCAAAAGAGAGCCGAAAGCCCCACATATGATAGGGAAATGGGAATTGAATATTTGGTGTTTTTTTTTTTTATTATTATTTAGTTTATTGTTATTTTTTATATAAATAGATAAAAAATTGATAATATAAAAAATAATATATTATATTATGTTAATTTAATAATAATAATATATATTTATACATATTAAAAATTATATAGGTACAAAAATAATTGGACCGATAAATCCATTTTTATTTATTTTATTTTTTTTGTGCGAATCACTTCAAAAAAGTTAAAAAACCTACTTATATAATTGTAAATGGCAAGTAAATTACGATGTGTTTTTTTTTTCGAAAAAGATCTAATATATTTTTCAAAAAATATAAGTCTTTCTATCTCCTTTACTATGTCCGTAACCACGAGAAACTATGATAAGTATAACTAATAAATAATTAAAAATGTATTAATAAAAATAATTATAATATAATATAAATTACGATTAAAATAACTATTTATTCTAATTAAAATTAAAAAAATATAAATTCTAAATTCTAAAATAAAATTAAGGTGTGTAATCAATTTTTTCAAAAAAAATAAAATTACATGAGATGTTAGATAGACAGAAACGGTAACGTAGACACGGTAGGTGGCCTGAGGAAATACTATATTATACACACTTATTATTTTTATATTTTTTATACTATTTTCTATATCTTACATAAAATATATATATTTATATATATATAACATTTTAAACCAAAACACAAAACAAACAAACCCGATTATATAAATTTATAACAAAAATAGATAATTAATTGAAATATATATACAAATAATTACAATTATATTTATAAAAATTATATACTTCATCCGAACGACAAGAAAGTATACATATTTTTATTTAAGTTGTCCAATTATAAAATAATTATTTTATTAAATACTTTATTTTTTCAAAAATATTTCTCGATTACCATGATTATTACTTTTACAAAAAAAAAAAAAATAAATAAATAAATAAATAAAAAATCTTCAAATTTCTTTTAATTGCTCGTTTTAATAAAAATATTGGTACTTCTTAAACTCTGCGCTGAACCAAGGAAATATGTTTCAATCATGTTTTTTTTTTCGTTTATTTATTAATAATCCTTTATTTAAATTTAAAATACTAAAAATACAAAAAATTATATTTAAAAGTTATACTCCCTTCGTCCCATAAATAAATATCTATTTGCTTTTTGCACGTAATTTTAAAAATATTAATATTATATTGGGATATAGTAAAAATAAAGTAGAAATAACTAAAATAATCTTATTAGTATGTGTGATATAAAGGTAATGACATTTGTGTAATATATTGTAAGTTGCAAGGGCATTTGTAATATTATGGGACGAACTAAAATAAAAAAATAAATACTTTGTTATGGAACAAAGTAAGTATTAATTTATCTATATATATACACAAATAAAATATTAATTTTTATTTTTCTTAATTTTTGAAAAAAATCAAATTTATAATTTCAAACTCAAACAAATAATAAAAATGCTCCTTTTCATGTACAAAGAGTACAGTGTATTTATTTTTTTAATATATATTTATATTAAATATAAATAATTAGTATAAATTTTTTATAAGTAAATAATATATACAATTATATTACATTTTTTTTTTGTAATATTTGAAAAAAAAATTGTATGTGCAAAAAATTGTTGAAATACTTCTACATTTATATTATTTTTTAAATAGAATTTGCAAATTGCAAATATATTTCAAATTAAAAGTAGCATTTAAAGATTTAGGCTGCGAGCTTTTAAAACTCTTTACTTCAAAACCACTCACTTTACTAAAAGTCAGTTTTGCTTAAATTTTAATTTAGAAGAAAACAATAAATAAAGCTATTTCTTTTTTGCTTTTATTTATTTCAAAATTTGAACTCCTATAAGAATACTAAAATAAATCTGTTATTTTTCTTTTAATCTGATTTTCCCTCTCACTCCATTTTGAATACGTGACAAGTTTTTCATGTTTTAAAGAAAAAAAAAATGCAACAAAAATAATAATCTCTTTTTCAAAAAATAATTATTTGGATATTTCGTAGGCTAAATTTTTAGGACTTCAGCTACAATAATCATAATCAACCACCCTAAAGTAGAGCCGACAAAAACTGACCCGACACAATAACCCGACACAAAATAATTGAGTTTGAATCAAATATTTCAATTCAATTATGTATACGGGTTGACACGAACCCGACACAATAGTAAACGGGTCGGGTTAGGGTTGAGGCTCTCAACTCGAATCCGACACGACAACCCGATTATAATATATTAATCTTGATTAATATATTTATTATGTGTATAAAATAATCATAATTTAATAATTTTCTAGTAAATTAATTTAAACTAAGTTCAATTTTAAATAATCATAACATAATTTACGTTCAAACCAATAAAAACTAACATAACACGACAACATAACAAAAAGTTATTTAATTTGAATTAAAAAATTCGACTTAATTATGTATACGGGTCAACTTGAACTCGAGACAATAATAAACGGGTCAATACGACCTGACACGATCATAAACGGATCGAATTAAGATTGAGTAATTTAACCCGACACGAATCGACCCATTGTCGTCAGCTCTACCCTAAGGGCAAAGGGTGCAACAAAATAAGATATAGTATATAAATTAATAAATTATGTGTAGTTATTTATATAGAATATATTTTTTTATTTAAATACATATTTAATATGAGAATTAAGAATTGCATACGAAAGAAATTGAAATCAGATTTCAAATATATAGCCATAAATAATAGATCTGGTGTAGTTATTATATAAATTAAGTTATATATACATAAATTAATTAAAGATAAATGTGCAATAAGATCAGCTTTATTTCATCAATTCATTTAAATAACTATTATATCCTTATTTTAAAACTTAGTATTTTTTAAGGGTATAATAATCATTTAAATGAATGGATTAAATAAAAATTGATTTTAACGAATTAATTAAATAGAAAATATTGTTATAAGTAGCTTTATTGGATTGAATGGAACATAAAGCACAGACGAAATTGGAACAGAAGATTTGAACTCGGCCTAGTCAGTCCATTTTGTGTTCTCATCATACATGATTTCCTAAACTATTATTTTAAAAATTTAATGTATGATATATATATATAAATCAATAAAAACGGACAAATATTTGTGTTTTATCTCAAATAGCATCGATTCAAGAGTAAAAAAAAATATCGATCAAAATTTTAAAAAGCATAGATCAAACACTCATTTTAAATATAGCATATATTTTTATTTAGCAGAGCATTTTCTATCTAAAATTTTAATCGATATTGTCTGAAGTCTTGATGCGTTGTTTGGGAAACTACGGCCATAGATATTCATCTCACTTATCAAAAATGTTTATATATTACCGGATCATATTTTTTATTTTTTTTTCCTTCTTTTTGCTATACATGATTTTTTAAAAATAAATAGATATTATTTTTATCATAATATCTTATACATAAATATCATTTAAGAAAAACATTTATGAATAAAAGAGGAGTTTGGTGTCCCTAAATCACAGATTGCTTCCGAAAGAACAGTTTGGTATAAGTTTGGTGAAATTAATTGCATGCAAAATGTTAAATATTTAATAAGGAGTTATTAAATCGTTGTTTTATAATAGTTGATTGGAAAAAAAAATTATTTTTTTTCTAATATAATCAAAATTTATTGATTTTTGTCCAAATATAAAATATTTATCTCTCAATATAACCAAAACTCATCATTTTTTGTTCCAATATAATCAAACTTTATCTTTTTGATCCTACCGTCAACAAATCGATGAAAAATGCTGATGTGGGCTTGCAAGATTGTGCAATTTCTTCAAATATAAATATAATGTTTGATATTTTTTCACGTCAGCATTTTCGGTCAGTTTATTGACGGTGGAACCAAAAAAATAAGATTTGATTATATTTGGACAAAAAATAAAGTTTTTATTATATTATGACTAAAATTGATAAAAAAATTTATATTTAGATAAAAAAATGATGAATTTTGGTTATATTGAGACCAAAATTGATAAAAATTTTATATTTGGATCAAAATTAATGAATTTTAGTTAGATTGAGACTAAAAATATTTTTTTCCCTAGTTTATATATATTAATACAACAAGATAATAAAAGACCAAAAAAAAAGAAGAAAGAAATGAAAAAAAAAAAGACATAAACATGTTAGGAAATGCATATTTGGAAATAATTAGAAAGCGTATTATTTTAATTCCACAATCAGTTTTCAAAATAGCAAATTGGGGGAAGATAAACAAAATTGATTTGAACGAAAGGAAACCCTAATTTGGAGAGCTGATCAAAGGGGGGGTCCCGATTTGTAAAGAAATCCAAGGAATTGAACCCAAGATACGAAAAAGCTAACATCCAATTTGAAAATTCCTCAGTTCTTAGTCAAAATCATTCTCGTCGTTACTGAGGTTAATGAGATTCATCTGGCAGAAAGGGTAAAATCGAATTCCATTCACATTTGAACGATCCGACACGACATCTCTTCTCGTCGTCAATTCCATATTCATTCGAGTTTTTATTTATGATAATATATATAAATACTTTCGAATGTGATTCCCCGAGATTGAGAGTAGAGCGAAGGCGTTTTTGCAGTTTGCAGTAATCTGCGCCTCGGAAACGCAAAAATTCTTGCAGGAGGATCCAAATCTCGACTCTGCGGGATGGGTGAGAAGGCCCGGCCCGGCCCGCATGTCTGGTTCTGAATAGGGGAAAGTGGATTCGATTCGCTTTTTAGCTTTTTAGGGTGTTTTTAAAAATGGAGATTCGGAAGAGGGAAACTGATTGTAGCAGCAGCAGCAGAGCGAGCTGTGCGAACTCTTTGTGTTCTTCACTCCAATTGAGTTCTTCTAATGGTGAATTGGATTTGGAGCTAACGAAGAAGAAGAGTAGTTCAGGTTAGTTATTTACCTGTTTCTGTTTCTATTAATTCCCCATTTGATTGATCGATTGATCGATCTGTGCTTGGAATCTGAATCAGAAGTGTTATTATTGGAGTCGGAGATGATGAAGGAGAGGTTTGCGAAGCTGTTGCTGGGCGAGGACATGTCAGGAGGTGCCAAGGGAGTCTCCTCAGCCCTAACCATTTCCAACGCCATAACCAATCTCTGTGGTAATTTAACCTAATTAACAATCAAACAAGTTTTGTTTAATCTTCGACAAACATCCATCGATCAACAAACCTTAATCAATCTGTTCTGTTGCTAGCAGCATCTGTGTTCGGGCAAATGTGGAGATTGGAGCCATTGCCATCGGAGAAGAAAGAAATGTGGCGAAGGGAGATGGATTGGCTTCTCTGCGTTAGCGATCATATCGTCGAGATGATACCTTCGTGGCAGACATTCCCTAACGGCCATAAACTCGAGGTAATGACATGCCAGCCTCGATCCGATCTGAGGATCAACCTCCCTGCACTTGCAAAGCTCGACAACATGCTACTTGTAAGAAAAATTCTTTCTCGTATTGTAGTATTTGTAATTGACTGCTTTAAATGAATCGAACTTATCGATATTGCAGGAAATCTTAGATAGTTTTAGTACAGACACAGATTTTTGGTACGTCGATCAAGGGATAGGAACCCCGGAAGCCGACAAGCGACAAACGGACAAATGGTGGCTTCCTGTGCCACGTGTACCTCCGGGAGGCCTTCCCGACGGCGAAAGAAAGAAACTGCGACAGAAGCGCGAATGCGCCAACCAGATTCTTAAAGCTGCTACGGCGATCAACACCATTGCTATAGGCGAGATGGAAGTTCCCGCGTCGTACATGGAAACTCTGCCTAAGGTATAATTCTGAAGCCCGATTTTAGTTAGTTGATGATGATCGAAAGATTTTCTAATAAAATGTGAATTGTATATATATAGAATGGCCGAGCTTGTCTTGGGGATGTTATCTATCGTTACGTCACGTCAGATCAGTTCTCGCCGGAGTGTCTGCTTGACTGCCTCGACCTGTCGTCAGAACACGCTGCTTTGGAAATAGCGAATCGGGTGGAGTCTGCGATCTACGTGTGGCGGGGAAATATTCGTCACCGCGATCATCATCATCATCATCAGTCGTTGTCGCATCTGAGCCATTCCTCGAAATTGTCGTGGGAAATGGTAAGAGATCTCATGTTACACGCGGACAGGCGCGAATTGCTCGCTGAACGAGCCGACTCCCTTTTACTCTCCTTAAAACTCCGCTTCCCGGGGCTCCCTCAGACAACTCTCGACACCACAAAAATACACTGCAACAAGGTTGTCATTCTTGTCTCGTCGTTTTCTTCGATTTACTTGTGCTCTATGTATGAATTGTTCGATCTTGATTCTTGACGGGGTTTCGGTTTGTTTGTTAAGGATGTCGGGAAATCGATTCTGGAGAGCTACTCGCGGGTTTTGGAGAGCCTGGCGTTCAACATAGCCGCAAGAATCGAGGATCTACTGTACGTTGACGAAATCACGAAGCAATCTTCGTCGTCGTCGGTTGGTCTAGCTTCGACGAACAAGAAGGTTCCGGTTCCGTACACGGTGCCTGCCTCAGGCACTCCCTACCGATCGGGTTACACTACGCCAAGCTTTTCTCCGGCGAGAGGCGAGAAGAGGACGCCGGGTCTGAGCGGGAACTGCAACAAGTCGGGACGTCGGGGATTGGGAGTCAGACGGGTCTTGTCGAATTACCTCGGCGGCGGCGGCGGAGGCGATGCTGCCAAGGTGAAGAACTGGGAACATCCCGATCCCGTTGACGATACCGACTCCGGCTCCGGCGCCGGCGCGGGTTCGACGGAGAGTGTAAAAGATAAGAATGATCTTGCGACGGTGATGAGCCGGGGGGATAAGAAATAGAGATGTAGTCTGTAGTTAAGTTAAATTTGGAAGAGGTTAGAAATGTGATGTAGTAATTTTCTTTATTTAAGTTTTTGTTGTATGTATCTATGTATGCATTTTTGGTGATTAATATGAAATTTGGAGTGTAGGTTGCAGATCTGAAACTATTTTGCTTTGATTTGAAATGTGTAAAAAGATATAAGTTATGTAGAAGAACATTTGTTTTTTTAAAAAAAGGGTTATTATTAATAAAATGGGGCATTCCGAGAATTGAACTCGGGACCTCTCGCACCCTAAGCGAGAATCATACCACTAGACCAAATGCCCAGTTATGTATCTTTCAAATTTATTATTAATTTTCTTGTTTACTAGAGTGTCAATGATATGGTCATTCTTTGTGCTTAATTATTACGAAAATGAGATGTTTTTAAATAATGAAATATTGACTCGTAATACCTATTGAAGAGTCGGGTTTAGAAGCCCTAATCACCATTTTACTATTAGATCAAAATATAATTAAAGGGTAATTTGGATATTTTGGATTTATCAATTTTTGAACTCATGATTTCATGATGAATTAGTAGACATTGGAAGGGATCACCGGCCCATATTTGTCGAGCTCCATCAAATATATGGTTTATATATACAAAATATGCATGTATATGTGAGATATAAATTTATAATGTATATATGTAACTACACATTTTGTATATATACACCACTCTGTGTGATGAGCCTGAATTGGAGGCCAAAGTTTGAACTTAAAATCTCACAATTACAATTGCAGCATTAAATCATTAAGGTATATCTTAGGGTGCGGTTCTCCAACCTCAAATTTGGGATTTTTACTTTGCAACCAATCCGCCGACAATGGGCAGGTATGCTTTTATTTTTATTTTTATTTATTTTTTTAAAAAATTAAAATATTATTTAATATTTATTATAATTAAATGGAAAAAAATATATACAATATATATGTCATTTCGTAGAAAATAAAATTTTTTATAATACAAATAAATAAAAATTTAAATATATATATTGGGTATAATATAAATTCATAATCAAATCATACAATATAAATTTTATCAATTAAATTTAATACACATTTATATTATTTTATTCATTATTCATCAAATCAATACACATTAAAACTCCAACCAAATTCAAACACAAAAGAAATAACAAAATTTAAATCCATCCAAAATTTCAAATAAAAATCAAATCCAAACCCAATTTTCGCCTGAAGAATCACACCCTCGATACTTTATAAATATCAAATAATTAATGAACCTATTGAATTATGGGCGGACACTTCTCCCGTCTAGGCCAGGCCGCCCTAGTTACAATATCTTGACATTCAATTTAGGGTCTTGTGTTGAATATAATAATATTATACTTTTGTAACAATTGGTCATATTCATTGTAACCATATTATATAGTCCGACTCATATCAAAGTATCAATTTACTTTTTTAGTAACTATACTATCTATTTAACATTACAAATATCCTTACAACTTACAATATATTACACAAATGTCATTACCTTTGTATCACACATACTAATAAGGTTATTTTAGTCATTTTTACTTTATTCATACTATATTCCAATATAATACAAATATTTTTAAAACTACGTGTAAAAAGCAAATTGATATTTCTTTATGGGACGAAGGGAGTATAAATGATCTCTTGTAAACATTATTGTTAAAATAAAGAAATCGTTCTTTAGAATATATATGCAAATTTAGATTCAAATTCATATTTGCAAAAATCAAATCATTCATTTCCCATTGTCACCTCAATAAAGAACATTATTTTTTATTGTTTTACTGCGATTTACCTTATCAAATCTAGTTTGCAGTCTATTAAATTTGATCGATAGTTTATCCAAAGCACACTCCCGAAAAATAGCTGTTGTGAATTTCACGATATTAAAGGGAAAAAAAAAATAATAAAAATTCATACTAATTGAATTTTGATACGTATCCATGATGGAGCCTTTTAAGTGAATTTTGGAAATCGACCGTTGGCAAAGAAACGCTTAAAGCGCCAATTGAGTGGTAGCACGCTTTCACCTCGCAATCTTATTCAGTCAGTCTTCTTCATCATCGATTCATCATCTCCACTCAACCTGCACCAACCGCTCCCGCCCGCGCAATCCTCTTCCGCTCTCTCTCTCCCTCTCGTTAGTATGCACTTGTGTTTCTGGTAATCCAACTGGAATTTAATTTGATCGAGGCTTTGAATCTCTGAGGGAATGTCTCGAGGTAAACTAAGCATTCGGAATTCGAACTAATTAAATTGGAGGAGTAGTTAGTTATTTATCATGAATTCAGTTTATTTTGTTTCGATGTAGAATCTAATTGGAAATTCTGTCGACTCATCATTTGTGTCCTTTTAGTTGATGTATTGTAGTGTAGTGTTTGCTTGAAGTTAGTTACCATGTCTCTTGGAAAGTGTTCGCTCGTTCTCTTTTATGTGATTTTTCTCTAGCTCGTTGGATTTCTTTGTTTGATGCTGTTAAAGATGGAAGTGGATCAGATAAATATGCGATGTTGGACGAGGCAATGGAGCTTTTGTCTTCGCTGATAACCAAGCGAATTCGTGCTGATAACAGCAACCAGGGGGATCGCTTTGATTTGTTATTTGATTATCTTAAGGTTTGTACGTTAACCTATATTTCGATCTCCTGCTTAATAGACTTCACTATTGAGCATTTACTTCTTCTTCTTTGATGTTGAAAGGAAGATGTTGGAATTGGAGGAGCCAATAAAACAACTGAAGATTATCCATGTGGCTGGCACCAAAGGGAAGGTAAAGTAAAGTAACTAATTGTTTTGCAGAATATTAGTTCCTTCAATTTTGTGTCGTTTGCCAAAAATTTTCAGTTGATACCAATCTGGTTGTAAGGAGTACTGTTTGTGTTATTTCACTAGCATATCATAGAATCCATATTCCCACTGATATAGATTTTATTTTGTGCACTGGAATTTGAAGGGATCAACTTGCACATTCACAGAATCTATTCTGCGTAATTGTGGATTTCATACTGGACTTTTCACATCTCCTCACCTTATTGATGTTCGAGAAAGATTCAAGTTAGATGGGTAATTATCTAATCTATGGATTGGATTGTATGTTTTCCAGGATCATATAAGACATGTTCTTTTATGATGCATTTCTCTCTCTCTCTCTCTCTCTCTCTCTATCTTCTTTTGATATTCAGTGTAGATATTTGTGAAGAGAAGTTTTTGGCATACTTCCGGTGGTGTTGGGATAGACTGAAGGCATGTGGAATGCTTCTTCCTAAAATAATCTATGAGATGGCATTTATGTTACAGTATACATCTGATTTTCCTACTGTTCTTTACAAGTTCATTTTTATTTCGATGATGCCAAATGCGCTGTTTTATAGTCTTATCGAAATTACGCAATGGCTTTGTGCTTCTAGTGGGCCTTTTTGCGGTTTGTTCTTCGCTTCATTCATCTTGAATATATTCCCCGCAGAAAGGCACTTGTGATGATGTACCAATGCCAACATATTTCCATTTCCTTGCATTGCTTGCCTTCAAGATCTTTGTAGCTGAGCAGGTGACGTTAAACTTATTTACATTATAATAAAATGATGCCTATTTGTCAGGTTTGTTCAACTCACACTGATATTAATGAATACAGGTAGATGTTGTCATCTTGGAAGTTGGTTTAGGTGGAAAGTACGATGCTACAAATGTGGTATACATATCACTATCATGCCCGATTGATTAGTAACTTATAGTGAAATCGTTAAGCTGTTTTTGGGTCTCTTAACGTCACGAGGAATGGCATTTCTTTAGGTGGAAAATCCAGTTGTATGTGGTATAGCATCACTTGGGTATGACCACATGGAAATTCTTGGTTAGTTGCTCTCTCCATGATTCTTAGGTAACTGCTTAACCTGATTAATTCTAATCCATGGCTATGACAACATGCAATCGACGAATTAACTAACAGAGGATCTAGTATTAACAACAATGGTTTATAAGGATGGGGAGGGAGTGAAATAGGATATTGTCTGTGAGAAGTCCAATTCTGCTTCTTTATTGGATAACCATTTCTTCTATGCCACGAATAGGAGATACTTTGGGAAAAATTGCTGGTGAGAAGGCTGGGATTTTCAAGGTAGTATAATTTACCAAGAGCTTTGGTTTTCTTGTTCATGGTGCTTTTGTGTTAACGAACAAGTGTCTGAATTATCTTCCCTTTTCTCATTATTTATTCTCCTTTTGCTGCCTAGAGTGGAGTGCCTGCCTTTACTGTACCCCAACCTGAAGAAGCAATGAGGGTTCTTGAAGACAAAGCCTCACAGTTGGGTGTGAGTTTGATTTCTATACATTGATTTCTATCAACAACTTGAATCAGGTGGTCCTAATCATACTATTGCATTTAATTCAATGAAAATGTACTGATCTTGATGCCCAAAGCTTTGAAATCATAAGAACTAGAGGCCTAATAGCTTTCCAGAGAGTCTTTTCTTACAAGCTAATTACCAGTAGATTAATAAAAAGAATGCATTGTATCATGAGTTTAATTAAGTTTATATGAGACAACTAACACAGCACTGGAACAGGTGAGTCTTCAAGTTGTTCTTCCTTTGGATCCTAGCCGTATGAACGGCGTCCGACTGGGTTTGGATGGCGAGCACCAACACTTAAATGCTGGCCTTGCAGTTGCACTTTGCTCAACTTGGCTGCAGAGGACTGGTCATGTTGGAATCAGTTGCTTAAATCCGACCGTAAGCTTTATCAAGCAGAGGTTTACGATTACATTAATTTCCCCGTTACTGTAGTTGCTCCAAGATCACACTCTTTTTCTTATATGGAATTAGACCTCTCTACCAGAGGAATTCATCAAAGGGCTAGCAAATGCTTCTCTGCAAGGGCGTTCTCAAATTGTGCCCGATCAATTCCTTGAGGAAGAAAACACCAGAAATCTAGTTTTCTTCTTGGATGGTGCCCACAGTCCTGAAAGTATGGATGTATGTGCAAAATGGTTTAGCCTTGCAATCAAGGAAGACTACAGTTCTCCAAATGGATTGGATATTGATAACTTGAAAGGATCTCAAGAATCCAGCCATTATAGGACTGTGAGAAAGAATTCTACTCAGGTATGCTTCTTAGTACACATAATGCTGCACGGTGGTTTCTGATCAACTCTTTATATGTCATAATTATCCCGTTTTTCATTTAGCCTGCTTTTCTTAGCAAAATACTAAGATGGCTGCGAGCATAGCAAGTGTTTTGTGATAAATTTGCACAGGTGATCATATGACATTAGCTATCCAAGAAATAAGGAACTTGACACTCTTAGCCAAATAGTCCATTCTTTTTGCTTAGGTAGATGATGAATTAAATCAAAGTGAACATAAAACAATTGAGTCATCAAAGTGGCTTTATACTAGAGGAAAAAAATCTGAAACTGATAAATTATCAACTGGACAAGGTAAGCATAATTACTAGTGAAACCTAAGATATCGACCAAATGGAATTCATTTTTTAGAGTATCCAAATGTAGAAATATAGCATAGAGAGACCTCCTCTCCGGCTAATTTCAACAAGCATATATACAAAATGCTCTGAAAGAGAGACATTTTTATTCAGTTCTCAATAAATTTGTCTCTTTATCTTCTCAGTTATTCATTTGAGGATGCTGATTAGTGTAATTTGTTGGTATATGCACAGATTTTGCTGTTCAATTGTATGTCTGTAAGGGACCCTAAGTTGCTTCTTCCCCGTCTAGTGAATGCATGTGCTAGCCACGGTAAATACCAGCCAGCTGCCATACGGAAAAATGCTTCGACATTCCTTTGCATCGGGCAGAAACCGATTAGATATTCTTCTTCTAAACTGTTTCACTAGCCTGCTCCATTGGAATATTTTCATTTCATAAATTTTTTACTGCTTCATTCAACTGATTATTTTTCAGGAGTAAGTTTCAACAGGGCATTGTTCATTCCAAACACATCAGTCTATCACAAAGTGGGTACAAGGAACTCATGGGAGGCGGATGCTCGAGCGGATGTGTCATGGCAGAGAACTCTTCAAAGAATATGGGAAAACGTCGTTCCTAGGAGGGAAGGTGATTTTCTGTAGTGCTAATAGTAGTTACATTCTTCAAAAATAATTACCACCTAATTAGCGGTCCAATATATAATCCACATAACATATGCCTCTACGCCATAACTTCAATGTTTGAATTTCCAGGGACAGAGGCGAAGAATGCAGACTTATCTCATGAGGTGATTGGGACTGAAGCTGAGAGGGATGCTCACGGAAGCAGTGCAGTTTTTCCGTCGCTTCCATTGGCAATAAACTGGCTAAGGGACAGAGCCCGAAAACATACATCCACGCACTTTCAGGTAATTTACATTTGGCATCTAATCAATCCATTTCAGCTTGCAGATCATCATACTCATGTTTATTTTTTGCTGGTTCTGTTTCTTTCATAGGTTCTGGTGACGGGTTCACTGCACTTAGTAGGCGACGTATTGCGGCTCATTAAGAAGTAAAGAGAGGTACAACTAACTTCTGCAACATTCAGTTGCCTCCAACATAAGAACCATTTTAGGACCTTTCGATAGAGGCATGTGAAATGAACCCAGTCTACATTACATTTAACTCAATTCATGGGAAGTTCGAGTTCTTCTTTCCTAAGGCCAAATTCTTATTGTGCGGAAGCACCCTAATACAAATTTGATAAAAGAGGGGTACTCGGGATTTCATAAAACCATGAATCGCAACAAGAGAAGGAAACATGGGATAGAGCAATTAAGCTCAATTACCAAAATAACCAACACGTGACACGGCACAAACAATAGAGACTGGAAAAGAACCCATTATCTAAGCTGGTGTTTTAGTTCAGACGACAAACAAGGATTCCCCAAAGTTCAGTTGGAATCCACAAAATAACATTAAGAGTAGGTCAAATTTTTATGGTGTAAGAGAAATTTAGCAGTCTAAAATTCAGAAACATGACAGGTCCAAATTTATCTACATAAAAACACAGGCTGCGCCCTTTTATTACAAGGGTGCAGAGAGCGAGTACAACTAGCTCCACTCCCCTGAATCAGCAGTAACAAAAACCTCATTCATAAAAGCACAATAATAAATATTTGGGATAAAATATATTGCCAGATTCTTATTCACCGCTTCACAGGGGGGGGGGGGGGGCAATTGTAACTTGTTCGGGTTCGAGCATGGGGCCTGTAGTAAGAAGATGAATAATGATTGCAGAATTAGCATGGAAAATTAATTTTTGTATCAAGATCAGAAGAGAAAATTATAAGCATTTATAGTGAGATTGTGCTTTTGATTATCACATAGAGAAGAGACATGCGTCAGCTAAAACTTAAAAACGCCTTATGTAACCGAATTGGCAAATTAATAAGCATGAAATAAAGATTTTTAAATCATGGATCCCAAATAATATGCAGAACAGCTAAATTATATGCAGATATACGTGTCAGTCATTTGAAAGGAACTTTAATATACAGATCTTTTCCAAATTTCACTTCAACTTTGCAGCCCGGATTTTTTATAATCTCAGTTTATTTGTGAGACACCACAGTTAAATATTCCCCCACTGTCCACATTGTCCATCTCCTCCTCAGTCTCCATTGAACAAAACCCATCCCATCATTGGCAGCAAAACATTCTTAAACATACTTTCTTTTAGAATTACATAGCAGGAAAAATATATGATAACATAAACACTCTAACGATAACAAAATAATGGCAAAGTAAATGCATCAAGTTATTTGCCAAACGTTTCCATGGCCACCATTTACCCTAGTTATATATATATATGAAGGAGAAAAACATTGCCATATCAATACCTAGAAACAAAATTGGTACCCAATACCACCAATTGTTTTTGTTCTTATTGTATAATTTAGGAAAAATAAGGTTTAACTATATTAGCTTCAATGTCTGTAATTTCACTGATATGTGGATTCACTGCACATAACTGAACTAGTTTTATGTGGTTTGGTAATAGCATTAGAGAAACCTCTCATTAGCTTTCATACCATTATAATTATCTAAGAAACTGGTCAGGTGAAGGGAATTTTCCATGAAAAGTGAGACAAACGCATCCATGACATTATTTGATAATGAAAACAAGAAGAGAGAAAAAGAGAATTGAACAATATATTGATCTGACCTTGAGATTAGAAAGTAGAGGGGAATCACATTTTAGTAGACATCGTAAACTTGTTTTTCCTTTCTGCCGGCTTGAGGATTTGGAACGAGCACATCAAATTTTCATCAACACTCATCATTGCACCTGCATTATCAAATTCACCACAATAGTTTGGAGCAGAGAAGATTGTAACAAGCTGCCTGTCTGCGAAGAATTCATAACCATCTTCCACAACCTGCAAAATAAGTAGCAATAAATGACAGCTGACTTACAGAAAAGTGGAAACACAAGAATTCTTTTTACCTGATGAGCACGACAGACAAGATCCAAATCGTGCTTTGTCAAAAACTCTGAGACTTTGTCTGAGCCAAAAGTAAATGAAACTCCCCTATCATTCATTCCCCACCCTTTAACATCTTTACCGGGATCCGACCAGAGAAGATCACAAAGCAAGCCAGTATCTGGAATAGCAGTTGGACGAGGCAAATTTCTAATCTGATCAAGGTTATTCAGATCAGGAGAGAGACCGCCGTGCATGCACAATATCTTGTCATCAATGAGTGCAGCAACAGGAAGGCAGTTAAAGCAATCAGTGAAGGCTTTCCACAGTTTCACATTGAAGCGGCGCTTGCATTCATCATAAAATCCGTAGATTCTGTTTATAGATGCACATTCATGGTTTCCTCTGAGAAGGAAGAAATTCTCTGGATATTTAATTTTATACGCAAGTAGCAAACATATTGTCTCCAAGCTCTGCTTCCCTCGATCTACATAGTCACCCAAGAATAGATAATTGGATTTTGGAGGAAAACCTCCATACTCAAAAAGCCTTAAAAGATCGCTGTATTGCCCATGAATATCGCCTGAAATAAAAAAATGTAGGAGCCATTAGTTCAAGAAAACTCATATAGGGCAACAATGATGCAAGGTACTGAAACTTCACAAACTTCAGATAAAAAATGCCAAGCCGATTTCACATAAAATGTCTGTATGACCGCATCATTTTGCACAGATGTGAGTCACAAGAAATCAGTTGTAGCAAGTTGTCTTATGCGATGCAACTTCTAGTTATGGTGTTTAAACTTCATCGCAACATTGAAATAATAAGCAACGACCTCTACAAAATCTAAAAGCATTTGCATATTCTATGGTAATTATAAGTGGAGTACAGTGCATTCCGTAAGTATTAATAATTAATATATAATCCGTATGCAAATATACATGCAATAAATATATATTTGCATTGTGATACTCTCCCACAAGATGTTGTGAATGTTGCGATATCTCTATACCATAGTTCCACAATGAATTCTTTCCAACTAATAATGTAGTTATTTTTCAGCTAGAAAAACCAAAATAAAATTAAAATCATGGGTGTATATTGTTGTGTTTTGGATTTAGACAAAAAGTAGTTGAATTATATGTTTTATACAGTGTATACGTATTTAATGTTTTTTGGACTGGAATGTGTTTTTTAACCATGATTTGCATAATGTGAATAGGTGTTGAGAATCCAAAGTGAGTAAAGCCCATAATATTTATTTACTAATATTAAGTTGTTTATTTTTTATTTCAAACCTAAATTACACTATTCAATCTACACGGTTCCCAATAAAGAGATACATTATTTCCTCTAACAAAATATCACATCAACATACTATTAAAACCAAATCTCAAACTCGTATAAAAACCAAACACACTTATAGATTAAAATAAAATTAAAAACCATAAGAAAGAAGTGGACTAGAGCGAAAACTTAAGGGATTGGGAATCAAAGGTTAGAGGCTATTTTAAAGCTAGAAAGCCCAACAAATTGAGATTTTAAGAAATAATTAACAAAATTAACTCAGCTGCGGCGAACCTCTCAGCACCAGGGCAAAGGTGCAGAAGCACACCTTGCCGTACAAATTACGGCAACATTGCGACTCGTGCTACGGGGCACGCCATTGCGCACCTTTAATAACTACTATCCACATTAAAGATCAAGTAAAATACAAATGATTCAAGTATGATTTTCCGTGGGACTTCATCCAGACAGTCAATTTCTGTTACCAAATTCTTGAAATGACAAAAAACTACATTTGTCAGCTTCCGCCACCGAAAAAGTGGCATTATGCAATAACAGAAGTAAACATCCTTATTAACATTGATTAACTTCCCCAAGGCCAAAGCCAACACCAACAAAACTAATAAAATTCTTCAACAATCATGAATTTTTACAGTCTCTAGCAGAAACATTCAAGAACAAAGAGAAAACTCAAAATCTTAAGCTATGCTAAAGTAACTAAAACTTAAAAATAAATAAATAAATAATTAAAAATAAGCTTATGTTCGTTCGTTCTTATGAGGTTCAGGGAAAACAAAAGGTTCAGTAAAAGATGTAGTCGCTACAAGGAAACACAATCTCTTAGGGTCCTCAAAACGAATCACCAGCAAAATCGTACAGTGCAAGATTAATTGAATAAACTTTAAAAATCCACTAATCGATCGCATGTTAGCAGCAAAAATCCCAAGGAAACCTAGAAAAACAAGACCACATAGAACGAAATCTCGAAACACAAACACTCGAAAAAAATTGAAATAAAGTACCACAAATCTTGATAGGGGCCTCAAGTTCGAGCAGATTAGGCTGGTTGATGAAGATTTCCCTGGACGCAACGCAGAGCTGCTTAATCTCGGACTCCGTGAGCAGAACGGGTTTCCCCGGCTTGGAGGAGCGGACTTCGACCAGTTTATCGATTAGCTTGTCTAATAGGACGGGGTCCATGGCTCCAGTTGTACCGATACCGATGGTGGCGCCCCCTCTCCGCCTCGCCTTGCCTCGTTTCCTCTTTTCTGGTCTAGGGTTTCCGCAGGGACATGAGTGTGGTGTTTTGTGTTTTGTGGATTTCTCCAAAAGGTTTTTTTTTTTTTTGTTTTCTGTTTTCCTTTCTTTGTTTTGTTTTGTTTTGTTTCGTGGGTCTGTTCCGATCTTCCTTCGACTATGTACTTTTTCTCGGCGTTTCGTTTCTTTTTATTTTTTTATCTATTATTATTATTATTATTATTAGTTTTAATAAAAAAAAATTATCAATTCTAATTTAAATATACTTTCAATGTTCTCTAAAAATAGTCTAATTCAATAAAAATAATATTTTATTGAAAAAAATAATAAGTAATTGAAAGTATTTTTATAAATTTGGTTAGAAATAAAAGTAAATTAACAAAAGAATGTAATAAGGTCAGTGATATTTATTGTAAACAAATATTGAATGAATGATAATAATTAAATATTAATTTGTTGATTTGTAAGACTAAAAAAAATGTCAATAAATTTGACGGATAGATGGAACAATAAATTAGACAATTTTAATTAATTATTATTTTTTTTGTTGGATATGATAGTATAAAGGTAAAAATTGAAATACAATGTAAATGAGATTTTAAAGTAATATGAATAGATACTTTAATACTAAAAAAATATTTGATTAGAATTTTAAAATGACAAAAACTTTCAATTTTATCATCTACTTTGTAATCAAATATAAATTTATTAATATTGAGAAAATTACACCACGAACTAGAGAACACTATCGGGATATATTTATTTTGTGGAGAGAAATCATACCTCAATTCGACATATTTATTAAATTTATTTTTATATTATTGATCTCGCAATATTTTTCTACAATAATCTTCAAATAAATTTCGATCTTAATCAAATGGGATTTAAATGTTTTCTATATTTTGATTTCTATGTAATGATTCTTCCTGGGATTAAAAGTTGTAGAAAGATATTTTGAGGAGGATAATATATAGTGAGTTGGATTATCCTCGCAATTTTCTTAACTTGTGATTGAAAATCTTGATCCATCGTTAGAAGCTCAATAGTAAAATTATCAAACTATCTAGAAAGTTGAACAAACTGATTTTTAATGTGACCTACAACATACACAATAGTTTATTGAAAAAAATTACCTCCATTTATTACGTGCTACCGACCCCACTAATTACGGGTATATTTACTTGTGAGATTTTGATTTTTTGTTTTAGTTTTAAATAGTAAAATTTTAAATTAAAATAGTTGTTTGATGTGATATAAATATGTACTGATGTGATGTTTTGGAGGTAAAATTTAATTTTAGTGTATTATAATAAATAAAATATAGGTGTTTGATTTGATATTTTTGGGAAAAAAAAATCGAAATAGTAAAACGAAAAAACAAATCTCATTTTAAAATAAAACAATATTTGATAAAAAAAAAAATGTCATTTCTCTCTTGGCTTGGAGATGCCATCAACTGACCAAGTTGCCTTCACTTTCTTGTCTTCAAAACTAGTTCATTTTGCCATTTTTCTTTTGTTGGTCTTGATAAAAAGCTTGAAGCATAGGAGGGGGTTGTCCAAATATAAGCTAATGTACATACTCTTAAAGAAGATAGCGTAAGGGTAGTGTGGGGAGTGAACTTGTGATCGTAAAAACTCCGAAATTTTAAGGTATTGAGGTAGGAAACTAGCTTGTTTCATTAGTTAATGTTTCATGAATATACTACACAATAAAAAAAAAATAAAAATAAGAGAGACTTTTTGTAGTGATTAGAAAATTATACCATATGGTCTTTTTTTCATGCAAAATACATTTTTATCATGACTTTATTATGCATTTTTTCTATTAACATGTACTTACAATGTATAACTGACATTTCTATTGTGCGTTACGAATAGAATCCATAGTATAACAAATACATTTTCTTATTTTTTTACGATAAAAAAATATTTCCTCCGTCCACTTACAATGTTTACATATTTCTATTTTGGGATGTCCAATTACAAAGTTAACATTTCATTAAATACTATATTTTTTTTCCACAAATACTCTTAGTTTACATCACATCGTTACTTTTACACAAAAAAGTAAGGGCAAAAATATCATTACACTACTTTTCACTACTCACTATAGTTAAAATACTATTATTTATTAAATACCGCGCCAAAAGTAAATGTAAACTTTGTAAATGAACGGAGGGAGTAATTGTTAAATCCAAGTCAATGCAATATTTTCCTGCAACATTTGATGCACATGAATTTTCATAATTAATAGGGTAAATTATACAACAATCCTTTGTATTTTAGTAAAAATACACAAAGCACTCTATGTTTTATTTATTGCGTGAAACTCCTTTTGCTAATATAAAGTTTGCACGAAACACTTTTTTTTGTTCAAAACTAACATTTAGTTTTAAATAAATACCTAAATTATGGGAGTTTTATACAAATAAAAAGTGCAAAATAGTTTAAATAATTTTTTTGCATTAAATAAATAAATAAATAATTTATTAATCCTTTATTTTATAGTTTTTGGAGATAAATTGTTGTCTGATTTTTATAAAAATTATAAAAATAAATGATTGATCAATTATTTATTTATTTATTTTATTAAAAAAATTTATTTAAGATATATATTTTACGTTTTTTATTTGTATAAAACTTACTGTCTTTATTTCGAACCAAACATCAGTTTTGGACAAGGAGAATGTTCTATGCAAATTTCGCATTAACACAAGGGAGTTTCAAGTAATAAATAAAACACATGGTGTTTTGTGCATTTTTAGTAAAATACAAAGATGTGTTATATAATTTACCCTAATTAATAATCCATAATTAATTTTTATATTATCACTTGGAATACGTTTATTTCGGATACAAAACGATGCAAGAAAATGACATGATCGACAAAACTGGTTGAACCATATAACGAGCTAGATTGTCGAGCAAAATATGGGTATGAACCCTAAATTCAAAGTTGAAAAATAACTATAAAAAAACTCAAAAATATCAATCACTAACACTTCAACTAAATCCAGTACTCCTATCAACACATAAGAATAGTAAAAATTTTGAATTTGAATAGTTGTGTGATATGATATAAATAGATGTTGATTTGATGTTTTGAATGTATAATTAATTTTTAGTATAATATAAAAAATAAAAAATAGATGTTTAATTTGGTGTTTTTAAAGAAAAAAAATTGAAATAAATAATGAATTTAAAATTCAATCCCCAATCAAACACACCAATAAATACATCGGTACACACAAAGGTAGTTTGTTACGAGAGTTAATGCTTCTTCACTTGGAATGTAAAATCGATAATTTATTTTGCATTGAGACCCATAGTCTTCAAAATTATTTTAAATGTACATATATATTTTTGTATTTGTAATTATTTATAAAATAAAATATAATAAAAAATATATGTTTTTATAAATTATTTTAATATTGATTTTATAGTATTTATTTTCAAAAATTTTTATTAGTGGTGTGTTCATTTATGCTATTATTATTATTAAAGATATATTTTTTTAAAAAAATAAAATATAAAAATCAACCAGTTATAATACATAATAATAAAACATCTAAAATATGTGTCACTTATTAATATATATATATATATATATTTATAAATCGCGGCCACTTCCGTGTTGAATTTTAAAAATTCAGAATTGCGCTGAATATCATATCGTGTGCTGTTAGATAATACATAATATTACTACAAACAGCACACTGTATAATATTAATATAATACAAATACAACACATGAACAAAATACACATGCTATAGTCTCAACAACACACAATATTACTATTTTTGCAATAATACAAATATATCACATGAACTAACAACATATGTTATATCATACCACATACACAACAGTTGATTTTAGCAGATGACATACTTGTATACAACGCACTTGTTATTATTAAAAAAATAGCACATATATTTATTATACATAACATATACTGTGTGTAATAGTAATATGTATTATTTTTGCATATATAATATGCGCTGATGTGAAAAATCAGCATTCTTATTTTTTTCCGTAACCACACTTAAAAATGATTTTGGCTTTATCCTATGTGGAAATAAATACGTTGGCAAAGTGACAATCTCCACCACTTTTGAGTTGAAGTATTCTTAATTATAATCGATTTATAATTTCAAGAACCGACTCAATGAGGTAAAGAATCACTAACTTGTATACAACGCACTTGGTGTCTCCTCTTTAATCATTTTTGCTTCTCATAAAAAGAAATTGCAGTAACTTATTGTAGAACTATATTATATGGAACTTTCAAATGATGATTTTCGAATATGCAATGGCTCTGTTAGCCCAACATTTTTAGATGAATTAATTTTTATATAATTTTAAGTTGAATTTTTTGATTTTTCGTCTTTTTATAATGAATATTTGATTATTTCTTTTTATTTTTTGACATTTATATAATATATGTGTATTGTTTATTATTATTTTTTGGGAATCGCAATTAAAAAATAGTGTTGTGTGAACAAAGCCAATGTTCATATCCAATGTTACGAGAGATTAGAAATATAAAAAATTCTAAATGAACTTTTTATCAAACTTGTTGAGACAAATATCAAATATCATTTTTGTTTGCCCCGAAAAACGATTAACTCATACACAATAGCAACAAATCTAAAAAATCAACACAGAAAAATCCATCAGTATAGACGGGTTGTTCGTTGGACGATCGAACTGCGAATGAACATACTGGTGACGAAGAACAATAAAAACACTATGAAATGATAATCTGCACCAACCTACATTTTGGGGTTCCAACACAGTCGAAACTCACTACTAAACCCACTGAAACACAAGATGTGTGGATACAATTGAGCTACACACTCAAGAAATCTATCTATCCATTTCTTGATGATTTCCCGTACTCAACTTATCCCCTAAACTCCTCACTTTCAATGTTTGATTTTTCTAATTCAATACTCTACTATAAAATTATGAGAATATACCCTTAACAATTTTATTTGCTTCACTACCAAATTAATTATAACAAATTTAGATTCCCTCCATAGATGCTTCATCAATCTGTTACACGTCTCTCGATTTTGGATCCACAGTCACCACAAACAGGCTTTTGGGACAATAATAATGTGGGCCTTAATAATTTTTAGGCTCAAGTCGCGATAGCCCAATCTCCTGCCGCAGTCCATTCGATGTCCAGACAGCCTGCAAACATCAATCAAAATCCAATAGAAAAAATAACTAGCAATAATTTTAAATAATAACTATATAATCAAAAATAAATTAGGGAATAACATATAAGAACAATTATTAAATGAATGTTTAGTTACTTCCTAAGAAAATAGATAGAGATACGTTTATGAATATTAGATAAATGTAACAAAAATATATGATCTCATCATCATGAAACATGTAACTATTTTAATGTGTATTAGCTGTTGTTAATTTGATTGTTCTCCATACTTATTAAAATTAATTATATACTAATTATCAACAAATTAAATCAATTTCAAAATCCTAAATCCTATGATGGTACAAAGTATCAAAATCGAACCCCAAAAAGTATAAGTATATATGTTAATAAAAAAGTTTGTAAAGACTTGTGGGGTTGGGGAGGCAATTTAGGGGCACATGTGGTTTCAGGTCCACATGTAATAATAATAATATAAATAAAGAGAAAGGATATATATATATTCATGCATTACTAAAAATATACTCTCTCCGTCCATAAATATAGTTTTAATTGGATTTGGCACAAAATTTAAGAAATGTTATATTATAATAATAGTGAGTAAAAAGTATGAATAAATTTTTTTTGCTGACAATTGTGTAATAAAAATTAAAAAGTATGGATAATTTTATAGTGATATGATTATTTATGAAAATAAGACTATTTTTTTAAAACGGATAAAATGGTAAATAAGATTATTGTATCGAGACGGATGAAGCATATAAGATAGTTGGATAAGATTCTCTCCCAAAGGACTCGAAACTAATATATTCCCACCAAATGTATGTTCATCTGGAAGGTTGGATATAAATTTTAATGAATATAATATAATATTATTTAATTACATAAAATAAAATAGAGATATTTTTGGGTCATTGAATTAATAGAATAAAAGAAGATTTACGATAGATTGAATATTTAAGTAGTTATGATATTTTTAAAATTAATATTATACTACATCTGTCTGGTTATAAGCGTTTTATTTACTTTTTGCGTGTTGATTTTTTTAATATTAATTATTATAAAAATATAATACAAATTTAAAAAATATAAAAATACTGATTGATGTTTTATAATACTAATAGAAGAATATTTGTACAAAAAATTATATAAATATAAATATATTTAATGTTAAGTATAATAATATAAAAAATAAATGTGACCGTTAAAGTCGATCAACTAATATTAAACAACATGTAAAAATATTTTTTTTTTCGAAGAATAGGAAAAGAAAGTCAAAATAGACATAAATTCGATGGAGTGATAAGGATATCCACACCACACATACTTTAAAGGTCAAAGTCAAACAAGATGCCCTACTACTTTCTATCTCCCAAAAATAAATTTGTCACGTGCATTGACCCCACCCAGCCAGTAACTCGTAATGAAGAAAAGAAGGAATCAACGGTGCAGATCTCTTTGATCGATCGACGGATAGAGATTAGAATTGCGTAAGGCATAGACATATACATACATGGTGATGGTGGGGGTGGGGGTGGGGGTGGGGGGTGCCTATAAATAAATATATAGAGTGAGTGAATTGCCAGGCCACTCAATAATCCCTCCCCTATTCACAAACAAAAAACCTATAGAGCACTAGCTAGTTGCTATACATATATATATATATTCTAATGGAGAAAGCTGGTGGTAGTGGTAGCGGTGGCGGCGGCGCCGGCGGTGTTGCGGCGGCGTCGTCAGCCTCCTGCAACTCGAATTCTTCCGCCGGTCAGTCTCAGTTTGGAGCATTTTTTGGCCCCCCAACTCCCTCTAACTCTCAACTTCTACTCCTACTACAGGTCTCTCTCTCTCTCTCTTTTAATTAGTTATTACTATCATTTTTGTCGCAACACAATTAGTCTGTTCACTTAACACTTAGATGAATTGATTTTTTTATATAGTACGTGGAATTTTGTTGGTAATATAAAAAGGTAATACTATCTATGTTCCATAAAATCGGTAATATATATTTTTTTATATATTTTTTAATATTAATATTATATTGGTTTATAGTAAAAATGACAAAAGTACTTTTATTAAATTGTGTGATATAAAAGTAATGACAATTCTGTAATATATTGGAAGTTGTAAGAATATTAATTATGTTAAGTAGATAGTACAATTACTAAATTAGAAAATAGTACTCTTGTTTTAGGATGGACAAAATTAGAAATTTGTATCTATTCTTATGGGACGAAGGGAGTATTTTATATTGAATAGTTGACTTTTTATGAATGAATTATTATATTAACGTGGGTATATATTTGTATTTATATTAATAATATTTATGAGAAATTGTGTGCTGAGTGAATATACTCAATATATTTTAAAAAAAAACTACTACAACCTCATTTCAGCTTTAAAGGTTTTATTTACTTTTTAAGTATTTTTAATATTAATTATTATATCAAAATAGAGTACAAATTAAAAAAAAAATTGCAAAAATACTTCTATTAGTGTCTTATAATACTAATAGAAGGTCATTTATATAAAAAAAATAAAATTATACAAATATAAAAATATTTTTAATATTAAGTACAATGACGTAGAAAGATAAATACGATACTCAAGTATTATTTTCTTTCAGTAATTAATAATAATCATATTATACATATCAAGCAGGGCCGTGGGAAGCAGACTGCAGGAAACCACCCTCCCAATCCCACACTCGCAACTCCTAAAGGTTAAATTTTTGAGATTATTCTCAAACAAGATCTACTTAGGGTTTGTTTGTTTGGGTATTGGATTTTAAACCATTCAAAACATCACATCAATACCTATTTATATGACATCATACAACTATTTAAATTCAAAAATTTTTCTATTAAAATATCAACTCAAAATTCAAACTCCCAAACAAACATTTTCTTAGAAGCTCTGGTTAAAGAGCTAAGCTAAGAAGGTAATCACTTACAAAACTAAAGTTATACTTTATTTGTCCGAGCTAATTATGCAATTTTATTTGGATACAAAAACTAAACAATAAAGAAAAAAAATACTTATAATTCACCTGTAGTTTATAAAGTATGCACTATTTTTTTTTTTTTCATAATTTAGAAATTATATGAGATTTTTTTTATGTTTTCAAATTATTGCACAAGATTTTTTATCAGAAGATTATGTACAATATTTTTGAAAACATGAAGGAGTTTTATGCAAATTTTTTTAAAAAACTGTGCAATATCTTTTAAAATACAAGAAAATCTTATGCAAATTTAAATCATAATGAAGTATTGTGCAAACTTTTTCAGGTAGGTAAAATATAAAGTGAAGATAATATAAAAATAAAATTAAAAAATTGATAAGAAAATAGTATGATAAGTAGAAAAGGTAACGATAAATTAGTTATTATTTGTGAAAGTACGAGTAATAAAATTACAAATGAATAAAATTATTTATTGATTGTAAATAAGTTTAATGGACAAGTGGACGGAAAGAGTTTTTTTTTTTTCATAATTATAAACTATGCATATATATAAATATATATAGGGGGCGGAATTACACGAGGGCTAAGAGGGTCAATTGACCACCCAGCCCGCAAAATATATGTATTTTTAATATAAAAAAAATTATATATTTTATAGTAATTTGTCTCTTCTAATTTTTTATTTTGTAAGTATAAAAAATCATAAAATTTTTATCCGTATGTTGATTTATACTTTTAGTCTTTAAATTTTATTTTTTATAGTAAAAAAATATTAAATTTTATGTAATTTCATTGAAAACAACATTGAATTAATAAAAAAAAAAATCGATTTTATCCCCCGAACTTTTACTGGTTCATTCACTGTGTATATATATATATAGCGTGTGTGCATGCATATATATATATATCTATGTGTAAGCAATTAGATGAATAATTATATTTTAACCTTTTTTAAAAAAAAAAAAAATTAGATTACAAGGTAGCCCAAATGGAAGAGAGGAAGAATTCGAATAATTTCAATAATTATGGTGATGGGAATGGGAAGACGATTGAGCCCTGCTATTTCAACTCATCAATCTACTATGGTGCCCAAGAAGTTTATTTTCCTACAAATCACCCTACCAATAATATTAATAATAGTGTAAGCATGCATTCAATTTTTATTTTTATTTTTTCTGTCTTAATTAATTAATTAATATTCTTAGATGTAATTAATCATATAATTTGATTTGATTATATATATATATATATATATTCAGTTGAACAAGGAAGGAGAAGATCAAAGCGAAAGCCATTCGACCTGTGCTTCCAGAGGAAATTGGTGGCAAGGTATATAATATATATATATATTATCAATCACTTCTAATTATTTTAGACCTTATTTATTTATTTATTTCAATTTATTTTATTTTATGATCTATATATATATTTATATATATATATATATTCCAACGTGTGACAAATGCATGCATGTTGCAGGGTCCCTCTATTACTAGCTAGCCCTGAGAGGATCATGACCAGGACAAATACATGGGAATATATATATATATATATATATACCTACTTTATTATGGTCTAGGTGAGATGTTGTGACTATACTACAATATTTTAAATGTATTGTGATTATACATTGTTTGAAATACTTTAAAACTATATTTTGAACTATTTATATTATTTGTTTAAATTTAATATTCTAAATTTTCAATACCAAAACAGATTTATTTATTTATTTTTATGACGTAAAAATCTGCAACGGCTACTTTTCAAGTATATTTTGGGTAAATCACGACGAACTTAATATTCTACAAATTCGATTCAACGAAACAAATCATACTAGGTGAACTGTGAATAGATAAAACCCAGGGCAAGGGGTTCAATCTCAAAATAGATTTTAATAGCTTCAAATGTAGGTTCAAAAAGAAAATTTTAAAACAAAATAATAATATCTTAATGACATAAATTAGAGATTCCTATGCCAATATAGAAATAAATAGGGTCAAATTACTTATTAGTCTTGCATTTGATCTTTTGATCATTATAGAACTCTAAATAGATCATATCTAAAAATAATTCCGCAAAAAAAAAATTGGGTTTTAAATAAAAAAAAAACTAAATTTTCAGTGGCGCTGGCATTTCAGCCGCATCAACATCGGCAGTCAGGTTGGTGAATCCAACGCCGGAGGATTATTTGCGCAAAAAAAATAATTTACTTGCCAAATTACTTTCTGAGTTGGTCTATTTAAAGTTCTAAAATAATAAGATGTCAAGAACTAAAAAAAAGTTTATCCAAATAAATATTAATTTTTAATAAACTTAGATGTATCCATCCTTATTTTTATATGGATAAATTACATACACACATACTCCCTGTCCCACAAGAGACGTCTTGTAGGGAGTTGACACGAGAATTAAAAAATAATAGTATTTAACCGAATGTGGATGTAAAGTAGTATGTAAAATACTAAAATACTCTTACTTTTTGAAGAATTTTAAAAAGTAGTGTAGAGTAATAATTATGGATAGTTTGAAAAAAAGTGGAAATAATTTTGTTATAAAGTGGAGACCACGGTTACTAAATAAAGAAACAAGACAATTGTTTTGTGATGAATAAAAATGAAAAAACAAGACAACTCTTTTGCAACGAAGAAAGTATATTTTATCATAAATATATAAAATATATTGTGTGTTATTTATTATCTGAATTCCGTCGTATTATATTAAAAAAAGAAGCACGAAACACCCTTTACATCCAAGCCGACGTTTGTAAATACATGACTATGCAAATGTTATACAAATAAATTGGATGAAATATTTTAAGTTCTTTAAATAAAAAAAATGGACCAATTATTCATTTCACAGTTTATAAAAACTCACTTAAAACTCATCTTTATTTTACAAATTATGAAAACAAAGAATTGATTTTTTTTTTCTTTATTTATTTTATTCAAATAATAATAATAATTTTATTTTACCAAATTTATTTGCATAATACTTACATACGTTATTATTAGCTAGTAAAGCCTTTGTCACAGGTCAATACTAAAATATGGTGGACTTTGCTTACATCAAATAACTTTTAGCAGTAATCTTTCTCATGGTTGCTAAGTACATAGAAATTTCACTTTGAAGGAAAGACTTCCTTGAAGAAGAATTTTTTTATCATTTTTTTTTAATGACGTAGAATCCGTAGCCGCTATCCGAAAGTGCGCACTAAGTAATACCCTGCAAATTAGGTCCGATATAGAAGTCACACTATATGAACATGTGTGGTTGATGACAACCTGAAGACTATATTTACTCAACTTTAAATTTTGGATGAAACTTCATACCTTTTTCACGAACATTTTATACAAAATATATCATTCGTCACTTGGTTCATATCAAGTCATATACAATGATAATATATGTTATAAATTATATATTGCAATGATTTTGCATAAAAATATTGATAATAGACATATTTTCAAAGAAAAAACTTAACTTGCTTAATATTAAGTTTATCGAACCTCTTCACCTCAAATCTTTATTTATTATCGAATAAATCTGAAGAGTCCGCTAACATCTCTTTCTTGGCCACCTTCTCCCAACTCCCAAGATTACAACTTTGATTTTTGGCAATTTGTCGGTCGCTTTAGGGCTTTATCTTAGTCATCTTCCTCCACATGTTTGGGCATGGTAGTTCTAAGTAAGTAAATAACCGAGGAGGTGGAGAAAAATTCAAAATTTTGAAGTTGTTTTATTAAATTTTATCAAATTAGTCTTTCGGATAATACAATTTTAATAGTGTTGTATATTTATGTTTTATTTTTTGTTTGGAATAATTTTGTAAATAATTTTTAGAACAATATAAATAAAAATTATTTTTAAAAATATAAAAATTAAAAATTATTGGAATTAATGGAATAATATTATTTCTCTACTAAAATTAGGGTTACATCGTCATATATATATATATACATATTGATATATTACCATAAATATAGTTATATTTATTACAATATATATCAACATACCCCTCAAATTCAAGGTGGGAGTGTGGAAACCAGCTTGAGTTTGCTCAAGAACGACTGGAAGCGGCTGGGTAAATGAGGCTTGGTGAAGCCATCAGGAGACGTTGCCGTTAGCAATGCGATGACGGACAAGGTGACAATCGATCTCAATGTGTTTCGTACGCTCGTGAAAAACATCATTCATCGAAATCTTCATGGCACTCTGACTGTCACAATGAATAGTGGTAGCAGAGGGCTGAGACACACCGAGATCAGCCAGTAGCCATCGAAGCCATAGAAGCTCGGCAGTAGTATCGGCAAGAGCTCGATAATCGGATTCCGCACTGGACCGGGAGACGACCGTCTGTTTCTTGTTGTGCCAAGAAATAAGCGAATCACCGAGAAAGAAACAAAAGTCAATAGTTGAGCTACGATCGGTGGGATCTCCCGCACAATCAGCATCAGAGTACCCAGTTAAAACCAAGGACGAGCGAGCTGAATAATGGAGACCATGGAGAAGAGTGTCTTTGACATATTGAAGAATCCGCAGAACAACAGGGTAATGAGTCGTTCGAGGAGTGGACATGAACTTACTGACGATATGAACAACATAGGCAATGTCATGTCAAGTAACAGTCAGATATATCAGGCTTCTCACCAGCTGCTGATATAAGGTAGGATCGTCAAGAGGGGCACCATCAATTGGAGTAAGGCGACAGTCAAACTCAAGAGGCGTAGGCACGGTCTTAAAGTCAGTAAGACCTGCTCTAGACAGAAGGCCAGAGGCATACTTAGCTTGAGAAAGATAGTACTCGTCGGAGGTGTCCGAGATCTCAAGACCGAGAAAGTACCGAAGAGGCCCCAAGCTCTTCACTTCAAAGTGGTTGTGGAGATGATCCTATAGTTCAGAGATGCCGGATTGATCAGCTTTTGTGATAAGCATGTCATCCACATAAAGTAACAGTATAGTAACACCAACGGACCGGCGTCGAGTGAATAAAGTAGAATCATGATAGCTGGAAGTAAATCCAAGCTGGAGCAGAGCAGAGCTAAATTCGAAAACCAAGCTTAGGGTGCCTGTTTCAAACCGTATAGAGCACGATGTAGTTTACATACCTTGGAGGATGTGGGAAAACCAGAGGAGGAGACATGTAGATGTCCTCAGATAGATCACCATGCAGGAATGCATTCTTCACATCGAGCTAATGTAGGGGCCAGTAACGAGCGGCAACGATAGCTATAAGATAGCGAACGGAGGTGAGACGTGCAACGGGAGCAAAAGTCTCCTCATAGTCGATACCGTACTCCTAAGTGTAGCCTTTAGCTGCCAAACGAGTCTTGTAGCACTCTATGGATCCATAAAAGTGTGTTTTGATCCGGAATATCCACTTACAGTCGATAGATTTCTTGCCTCGAGGAAGATCAACCATATTTTAAGTGTGGGTTTTCTCCAAATCCTGTAACTCCTCAGACATGGTCTGCCGCCACAACGGATCCGCATACGCCTCACGAAAGAACCTGGGCTCATGGTGGGACAAGATGACAAAGAAGCAATGATAATTGAGTAAGTGAGTAGGGAGATGACTTACCCAAATGGAACGGCGAGGTGAAGATAGGGTCCGAGGTCGAAGTAGTGTCAGCATCTGGTGGTGGTGACAGATCAAAAGTAATATTAATCGGAACATGGACATCCATCTTTTCCATATGAAAAGAGAAAGAAGCAACCACAAATAAAATCTAACGTCAAAATCGCATGATCAAAAGTAGCCGACAGAAGCACGGACAAAGGATCGAATCGGATCCAAAATCCAAAAGATAAGATGATCAAAAAATAGTGCTCAAAAGGGAAAACAAATTATACCATGAGAGACAAAATCAAATTCCGAGCAAGACGCCGGAAAAAGCTCCTGCCGCCGCCGCCGCATGCGCCGTCACGCGCCGCCTGAGCGTCCGATGGCGAAACTTCGTCACATGTGTGAGATTGCCACGCGCCGCCGTTCGCCATGAAATTTCGGGTGCCGGCCGGTCTCGCGGTGGCGCATTTGATGGTGGGTACGGTGTCGATCGAGGATAGCCGAAAAGATAGGTAACAGAACGGGCAGTGTGATTTGGTTATACGGGGAAAATAGAAACTCTGATATCATATTGAAATTAATGGAATAATATTACTTTTCTAGGGTTACATCGTGACATATATATATATATTACCATAAATATATATATTACAATATATATCAACAAAAATAACTCTACTTTTAAATATTGGAGTTTAAAATTTTAAGTTATATATGTGTATTTTGATGTAAGTATTTTTAAATTTAAAAGCTAATTGTAATGTGTGTGCTGAAAATACAAACAATAGCGTGAATGCAAATATGAATAAAAAAGCCTACAAAAAAGTGCACGTACACGTTCATTAGGGCTCCCACTGTTGGTCGTACATTTATTGCTTCTCCATTGATTCGACGAGTTGAATCCGAATATGGTGTGGTGATTCATTGCGTGAAGCTGCTTTTGCTCCTCTCTAGATTGCTTGGATCCAATGGAAGAATCGTATGGCAATCTCCCAGCCAGCCATTCTGTTGGCTCTGTTCCCGTAAGCTATTGAATCTTTCATAGTTTCATGCCATTTTTGTTAACTCCGTCTGCGGTTTTTTACTATTTTGCTTTTTTATGCATCTAATTTTTGAAACGATTGAGGCTAAAGTAGCATTGTATTTGGGATTTTTGTTGATCGCATTCTGGTGAAGCGGTTCGTAAACAGCGAAAGAAGCTTTGAACGGACGAAATGTGGGAAATGGAAAATATTAATCGTGTGTGCTTCTCTTTTGCTACGAGACTTTTTCTTTAGGGATTTTCTCGACGTTTTGTTTTTATGTAAATTATTGGAGGTTTCTGCAACATGGAGTGTATTTGCTGTTGGATTGAAGATTTCGTGTTTAAGAGGTTTTGAACTATCTCAGTGCATTGAAATGATTTGCAATTTTCGTAATTTAATAACCAATTTTAGATGACTTGATCACATTAGGTAGCAGAGATACAGAAGAGTAGTATGATCAATGCTATTTATTCAAGTACATTTCATATGTTCTAAACGCAAACCAGTCTTTGGCTGTTCTTTTAAAAACTAAATACATCTCCTATTTATGTGTTATGTGATTTTTTACATGTTCGCAGGCTGTTGTGGGTGAAGATAGTAAAACTAACCAGGAAGGTGCAAGACCTTAATTAAATATTGGTACATTAATGTTCCTTAATGTTTTTCTTTGAGCATTGCAAGCTTTAATGTGGCCATCAAACAACATGTAGTTCCTGGTGCAACATTGCAAACACATCAACATACTAGTGCTGGAAGTGGTGGTCCAGGATACCAAAGAATTGGCCGTAACAATGGTATGCAGCATTACATGTTTCTTGGGAAATATATATCTATATATCTCATTAGGGCAGATAGAGTACTTAACAGAAGCATCCTGTGCTTGTGTTTGTTGTTGGAAACTAGCATATTCTATGTGGTTTCGTTGTTTTGTTAATATAATGTGTTCACCATTTATCTATCAATTGTCAGCTTGTGTTGTATGTTTTCACTTGCTTTTCAGTTCTCATCATCTATGTATATATATATATATTGGTAGAATGGTAGCACAATTGGTGCCACAATTGACTTTTTTACTATGAACAAGAAAACAAATTACATTAAGTAAGCCTCCTATACTCGTTTCAACTTCTGGGTTTTGCAATATAGACTTCAATTCAGATGGAGACTGTTCATACTTTGTCACATGTGAGTCAAGCGAGTAATTGGTCTTTTTCCATTTTTTTTTCTTTTTTAAATTTCTGTCGTGTATCCATTTTGCTCTGAAATTCTCCTCACTGGTTTTTGCACATTGAACTGAGAGGTCATGAACCATTTTATCTTCCATTTCTACAGTCATGGTGAGTGGATGTGCTTAATTAGAAAGCTTCATGAAAATTGACAACTCCTGTTGAAGAATTCTGTAGGACACTTTATCATCAATGTTTGATTAATGCATGATGTTTTTTTACCTTTAATGGTGAACTCCCTCAGTTAACCATTAGTAGAATGTAGGCATCTCTTCACAGAAGTTAAAAAGGAGATGCATGATTGTTACTTTTAATGGTGAACTCCCATAGAGGTTAATAAAGAGAGCATATATTACGTGGAACTTTTGAGTCAGCAATTACAGGTTCTTAATGATAGCTAGGCTTAATTATTTGATATTTTAGTTGAACGGGACCTTGGATTCATACTTCAATATGTACAGGTTGAATAATCCTATAAATGATTCACACTGTCACAATGCCTCCCTAATAATGGCAATGCTCTACAAAAAGAATCAAGCCGAGGTCAAAGAAAATAAAATGCTTTTATCTGAAACATGAAGAAACATAGAATGCCATTAAATCATCCATTTGGAAGCCTAAACACATATATTCGTACAATTTTGTATAACTTACACAAACATCTGCAAAGTTATTATCATTTCTTTAGCGAATTTTTATTCTTGGAAATAAATGGTTAGTGTAATATGATATCGATTTCTTGAAATGTTAGGAAAATAAACTCATATAGGTCTTCTGCTTGCAGAAAAGTATTCTCCTTTGTTCTCTCTTATCTCCCAATTAATGGGATGTATGCAAGTTGGCGTTGTTTGTTAGTGTTTTAGTGTCTTGAATCTTTTTCGAAATAGTAAAAACCACTTGAATAAATATTAGTCATTTGATGTGACATATATAGACGTTTGATGTGATGTTTAGAAAATATATATTTGATGTAATATTATAAATAAAATTATAGGCGATTGATATAATATCTTTTAGGGTTGGGATAGAGAGAAATAGTGTGTTGTGTTGAAAGCACACCCAAAAACATACTTTGCGTGAAAATAATGGTAGTCTTTTGTTTTCATAAGGAACCCATGTCTTTTTAAAGTGGTGATCAATTATAAACATTGGCTACTTTATGAATCAAATCATTTAATTGTTCCATGCTAGTAAAGAAACAGTTACTCTGGCCTAAAATAGCTGAGTTATACCGTACCTATCTTTGCAGATGAAGGTGCACAACAGTCTTCAAACAACTGGAAGGGAATTTTCGACATTTCTTCATATACACAATATTTTAATGTAGATACAGACATTGTGGTGAACAGACTGCTAAGTTCTTTACATCCCACGAGTGGAGATTTTGTCAACAAAATTGATGCAAACCCAGACCTGTAAGTTGTACGTGATATAATGAGTCCTTGTACAGTATTTTGATTTTTGTATGAAACGCCACCTCTGAGTTTAGCTATACCCATGGTTGTATGCTTTCGTGGCGGTGGGTTCAATTGATAAAGAATTGAAACTTAACATATTATGTGAAAATTTTGCATAATGCAATTAATGGTATGTTGCTACTAATTTGGACTTGAATATGCTTTTTAGTGTTCTTTGGTTATGTGTAAATTTTATTTACTTGTGTGCTCCCTATTGCAAAAACCCATTGAAGTCTGCACACAGAATCAGCTGCTTACAAATGTTTTGTTTGCACATTATCATTAAGAAAACATATTAAATTGATTAACGCTGCAGTTGATCTACCGGTGCATGGTTTAAAAAAGAGAGAAGGTGAAGTTAACTAATCTGAAACGCTTATTTCATAACCTTTTCCTGGACATTGAGAACAAGAATGTATTGTATTTTTGTCATGTTGTGCATTTCCATAACCATGGATGATTCGGTGACATTTGCTTTCTCAATGAATCCTGATTCAATGAAATTTAGTGAGCATACTGAATATTATGGTGCATTGCATTGGCTTGATTAGGCTGCAAATTTTATTTCATTTCATTAGATGAATTACATCACAGGTAGATATGTGCAAGATCTCAGCAAGAACAGGAAAATTTGAGAGAAGCTAAGATCTATTCTCTCTGATAATGTTCTGAACTTTTTGTTCCCGACTAACATATGCATCGATTTACTCCTTTCAGATATGGACTCGTCTGGATCTCCACAACTTTGGTTTTCTTGATAGCCTCTTTTGGAAATTGTGCCACCTACTTAATGAACAAGAGGAGCGAAAAAAGCATTTCATGGGATTTCGATGTCAGCTATGTACACGTTGCTGCAGGCTCCATTTATGGTTATGTCATCATAGTTCCCCTGGGATACTACTTTTTGCTTCAGTACTTGGGTTCAAGCGTCAGCCTCATACGCTTTTGGTGCTTGTGGGGATATTCCCTTTTCATTCTCATCCCGACTTCTGTGAGTATCTACATATCCATTTTCTTTTATCTTCTGCAACATTGCAATTAAAATTTTTATACAAACACCAGAATGGTAAAGTATGATTGAATTATATGCACTACTTGCCTAAATGTGCCGAATATTCAGAATGCCATAGAGTCTTAACTGCGCTCGACTGTTTGGTTTTATTTGATTACTCTTCATATTTTCCAGCTACTTTTGGTTATTCCAGTTGAGTTTCTGCGCTGGGTTATCATATTAGCTGCCGGCGCTGCTTCATCCAGCTTTATTGGGCTGAACCTCGGATCATACATAGAATCAGTCGACCTCTCTATTGTGGCTGTCTCAGCATTCGTCTTGCAAATGGGCTTGTCTATCTTCATCAAAGTGCGATTTTTCCCTTAGCTCCGGACTGGTATGTTCTACCATCTCTTGGCTTCGCCTTGAAATTTTTATTTATTTGTTTGTTTGTTTATGTTTCAGATTTAAGTCTATGATCCAGGAGGTTCCTACCTATAACTAGTGAATACAGATTTTATCTTTTAGATTTGAAGGTGTTTGCAATGGGAAAATATTGAAAGGTAACAAAGAAAAAAATTGCATTTGGTTTTGCTATGAACATGCTTACACTTTCTTATGAATTCTATACTCTTGTCCAATATTGCCTCATTTTCTTCATTCATTTTTGTTATTATTTTCCCCTATTATGTATGCAATTATCTACATATATTCGTTCGTTATAAAATAATTTGATGATGTTGAATTTGATGTTAAAATATATATGTATCATGTATGGAACTACGAGAGAAATTTGTGACACGGATTGGAACCAAAAATTTCGATTAACAAAAAATATTTGCAATATTTGTAAATAACTTAAATAATTTAACCAACCAAAATTTAAAAGAGTATGATACTTTTGTCCCATAAGAACAATATTGTTTGTGTAATTATGTTTAACATTAAAAATATTTTTATATTTGTATAATTTATTTTTTTTTAATTTTTTTATGGTAGTATTAACAATGATTAAAATTCCAATTAAATAAAATATTTATAAACATTTCAAATAAAATTGAATATAATATAATTATTACTATAAAATTTAAAATATAATAATATAAATATATTCAGTTTGTTAATCAAAACTAAATAAATATAAAATATATACTGCTCCATTCGGCTCTAAATTAATATTTGATATCGGCTCTAAATTAATATTTGATAACGCAAAAGGTAGATGTGGCCCTTAGAAAGGGACAGAGAGAACAATATTTATAGTCAAACCAAATTTGTTTGATTAATCGAAAATTAAATTTGATTCGGTTCAACGGCTTGATTTAGTTTTTTCCCACCCCGACTTGGCAGGCCTTCTCAACTCCTTCCATAGACAACTTGTGGGAGATGGTACAGTAGAAGCCTAACAAATTTGATTCCATCACAATCTTCAATACTCCTCTAAAAATAATGCTCTTGATTGAATCAACAAATTTTTTTCTAAGATCGCAAAGGGAGTGTAGTTCAAGCAATTGAATGCTTCCTTTATATGCTTCAGATTGGGAGTTCGATATTGTATAGCTACTATCTACCTGCACATCTAACAAATGATTTAGAAACAAAAAGACCGTTGAGTCGGAGACAAAATTAGCCACACATTACTTGTGTTCCAAATTCATAATCAGTTAGATTCGTCTTCTGTTATCCGTCTGCACCCTCTTGGAAGAACTACCTTCCGATGGCAGAGAACTTGATCGTATCTGAAGAGGAATTGAGCGCGACAATGTAAAGCTCATAGAATCAATCGTGCTGAGGAAAGAAAAGGGACATAATTATTGGTTCAGCAGCATACCTTATCAAGCTTGTCCCTCACATGATGAACTGTTCGGTTCATAGATTCCGAGGGGAAATATTCCTGAAAAATCATTCAAATGAGGTCACGGTTCATTGAATGTTGTCTTTAGCAAGAAATTATACGGTTGGGGAAACAACAATTCATCCGATAATCATTCTTAGTCAATCAATGTTCGGGATGAGTTTCCTGGTTCGTCATCGATCATTTGTTTCGTCGGAATGAAAATTGAAATCAACAAGAAGATGCTGCAATGGCATTCATTGTTATGTAAATTATCACTAATGTTTCATACAAATTTTAAGTAGAGCTGGCAAAAATTAACCAGACGCGACAACTCAATACGAAATAATTGTGTTTGGGTCAAATATTTCAACCCAATTATGTATGCGTGTTGATACGAACTCGACACGATAATAAACGGATCGGGTTAGGATTGAGACTCTCAACTCGAATTCAATACGGCAACCTGATTATAATATATTCATATTGATTAATATATTTATTATATATGTAAAACAATTATAATTTAATAATTTGTTCATATATTAATTTAATTTAAGTTCAATTTTAAATAGTTCAATCTAATTCATTGTACACATTAAGCTCGAACCAATAAACACTAATATGACAACACGACAAAACTTTTTAATTTGAATCAAGAATTTCGACTTAATTATGAACCCGACACGATAATAAACGGGTCAACACGACAATAAATGAGTCAGGTTAGGATTGAGTGATTTAACCGATTTAAAGTATTCAACCTGACATGAATCGACCCATTGCCAACTTTAATTTTAAGAACCGAAGAAGCAGAAGCATCTCCTTCAACCCCACTTATGTTTAAAGCAACTGAAAACCTGAAATTTTCGAACACTACTCTTCCCATGACCCTAACTAGAATAAACCCCACATATGAATTTTTACCATCAGGCGAACATACCACTTGATAAGCACTATAGCAAAAGAAACGAAATTCAACAAGTACACTAACCTTATCAGTGGAAACAGATGGCTTGGAAGGTGCACCCCGACTGACTGTAGTTTTCAACTCACTAAACGACTGCCTACAATAAGAAAAACAAAATAAGAATCTTTCTCAAGGTAAAGAAATATGGAAAATTTCTCGTGGGTCTTATTCGAAATATGCCTGAAAACACCTTTGAGCCAAGGAAGATGCTGTAGGCGAAGAATCGTTCAGCAAAGTCGTAGAAGCTGGCAAAGGTTCGGTCAAAGAATCATAAGGGCGTTTAGACCTTCCAGCTGAAATTAATCGAGATTCAGCCGTGTTAACTCTAGGTTGGATAATGCAAAGGGCATATAAAAGAGAAGAACATAATGCATAACTCGCTTCACTGTCCACTTACGGTTCAATCGTGCTAGAACTTCCTTTCTCCTCCCTTCTAGCTTCTCTTTTGTTTCAGAGATGCTTTCGTATTCAGGCGCATATGATATTTGTAGTCTGTTTCCTAGAAAAACGAAATCATCTAACTTCCTCTTCCCGAACCTATCACCAAATATAGTTTCAAATCTTAGAAATGCACATAATTCACAGTTCCCCAATTTGCCTATTACAGATATGAACATGCATTTGTAGTGATAAACAATTTGTGTTATACATATCATATCCACAAAGGACAACTGTCGCGTGAGGATCACATACATACATATATATATATATATATATAGATATATACCCAATTGAAGGTAAAGTATTGAGCAAATAAGAATACCTGGCATTACTGATTTGACGAAATTTGATCCAGTAAACATCAGTATATGGCTCACAGTCTTCGGCATCCATAGGTTTACATCTGAACAGATAGTAACAACATTATTATCTAAATCAAAACTTTCAGATGACTCAGTTCTACTAGCAACAGAATTCGAAATTAAAAAAATCATTATTTTCTTTCTCAAGCATTCAAAACTCGTTATGATATCAACGATTGAGTCTACACTCTACCATTCATACAAATTTAAGCGCATATAGAAGGACAGATGCTTACTCTTCCACTTCCCCATAACTCGAAAATAATTTCAAGACCTGATCCCCACATCCCAAAGATGGAATGTTCCTCACAATTAGATACCTGCAGTATATAATAAAAGAAATTTTCTCAAAAACTAAAATACAAATTTTCAGTCAAGAAACAACAGCCAACTACATACTTGGATTCGTCACAAACTGTATAGACGCGAACTGCACGAGGCTCATCTTTGTACTTAGGCATCCTCCTTGATCGATGAAGTCTCCTTGTCCAGAATGTTGATTAAGCTAAAAGAAAAATAAAACCAAAACAGGCAGGTTTAAGAAAGAGAAATGACTCATAAATGGCTGTCAATTTATTCTAGTTACATGGATTTTGATTTAATATATTAACACACTGTTAAAAAGCTTTAAACCAATTAAATTCCTGTGTATCAAAGTCAAAGTCAAACTCAATGAATTCAAGGTACACTCATATCTTCGGTTTCAACTTGTTTTATCGGATATTGCCAAGTCCACAAAATATCTATCATTAGGACTTGCTACGGTCAGGATAATTCAGTCAAACTCGAGATAATTCGAAAGTTCAAAAAAATCCACAAGGTGTTCAATGTGGTCGTCATTAATCCATGATTAAAATCTTGATTTCAAAGTTAAGGAAGGCGCCATCCTGCCGTCACCCTGTTAAGTGGATATAAACCCGAACTCCTACACACCCTTCTTGCATCCATTAGGATCGCGATTGAGGTTAGCATATGAATTCCTAAATTACCAGAAAACAATACAGAGGGTCAGACCCCAATATAGAACTAATCCAACACCAATTTAAAAAGCTTGTTATGCCTTCACACCCTCGCATTAACCACCCTTTTCTTCCAGCAAATTGGCAATACAAAGACGATATGATAAAAATAAAAATAAAAATAAAAATAATAATAATAACACACCTATGTCAACCCATGACTTCTCAAGTGTATTAAAAAATCCATTTAAATAAGTTTACCCCAACACTCAATTCTTTTCAATGGGATTTTGAAATTCATTACTTGGAATAGTGAGTTTCGCATCCAAATATCCAAAACGTGAAGGAATTTAAATCTCTTTGAAAGGAATTAAAGCCAAGTATCCATACCAATGACCGCTTTTAATTCACAACCCAAAAACTGAAGTATACTATTTTGCACAAATATAGAAACTGCAGGCATTATATATTAGCATGCTAACACGAAAAATAATCGTGTTAATAATAATAAGGTAGCCAAAATTCCCTATATATATATCACAACTTAACCACATTAAGCAATAGGCTACCAAATCAAGACTTGATGCATTTTGAACCAAGACTGATCTTGAACTCTTAAAATTACATGAAAAGTAAATGATTTTAAATTTCCAGAGTATCCAAATGCTCGAATCCACTAAAATACATTCCAAAACTCAACTTAACATGTGTTTATTCCAAAAGCTTCTGTGGCTTAGAAGACAAGTTTGAAACCAAATCAAGTCCAAACAAATGAGTTCACAAAGAACATAAGAAAAACACATTCTCTAATGCAGCAAACCATAACGAAGATTCGACCAACTTCAAACCGTTTTGTAAAAAATTACAATATATTCTCCAAATTTATTCTTATACAACACAAATAACCTCATTTACAGCACCCAAGTTAAGGCAACAACATTAACAATAACGATTACTCACGATAATTAACTAACATACTCCAAGGCATAAAATTAATAATAATAAAACATCGTTAATATACCTAGACGGGACAGCTACACGTCCGGCGGTCACAAGAATGGTTCTACTTTAGTCCAAGCTCGCCGGAGTTTCTGCCCAGCACCAAACTCCATCCAAGACCGTTGTCACTGCTGGAGAAACCCTGCCAGAAACCACCGACGTACGTGGCGCGTCTCCTCACTCGCCCCACTCACTGCTCCGAGAACACGATCGGATGCCGGAAATCAGACTCGACGGAGGATGTCGCACCGCTGCTGCCCTGATCGATCGCCGCCGGAATTCAAAGACGATTGAAAAGCTGATGCCCCTCACCGCCGTCACTCAAACCTTGGTCTCTTCGGGATTTGACATTATTTGGATCTTATATGGGTCGGGTCATGGATTATCGTGGGTTGGTTGGGTTTGATTTAGGTAGACTTGCAATCCGGTTCTGAACTGCCGGTTCTCTGATTTTCGAACCGGCTGTTACGGTGCAAGTCCGAAATCGGATTCCGTTCGAACCGAAACCGTCGTTTAAGGTTGGATTTCGGTTTGTGTATCCGCCAGTTCAAACCGCTGGTTTACGGTTTGAACCGGAAATTCGGTCATATTTATACCAGCGGCGGCGACGGCGAAATGTAAGAAACTGGTGTCGTTGCGGCGGCTGGGGAGTGGATGTATTAGGTCAAATTTTTAATTAAAAATAATAATAATTCATTTATAATTATTTTTCTTTATTTTAATTCAAAAGTTAATTTAATTATTTGTTAAATTTATTATTTTAAATTATTTTTATATTATAATAATTTAATCAATTATTATTTATATAATTTTTACATAATAAATATATATTTAAATAAAAAATAAAAATGATTATTTTTTTAATAAAATTCAAATTTTAAAAAAATAGAAAATTAAAAAAAAAATCAAAATAAATATACAAAAATATGCCGTTCAAATGGTAACTCTAACGATTTTTAATCTGTAATCCAAATTATTATTGAAAAAGTTCGATTTTGTTTTAATATTTCAACAAGTTGTAATCGGCCTTTTGAACCATTTGGGCAAGTCTAAACGTTATCCGGTATCGATCCACCAGTTTTGAAGCTGCCGGAACCGTCTATAAATTGGAACCAAAATCGAATTTATAATCATTCGTTTCAATTCTAGTTTTTTGAGACCGTAAATTATCTATTTTCAGTTTAAATCAATAATTTCGATTTTTTTTTATTATTTTAAACCCTAATGTGAAGATGTGAACGACACATCTGGGTATAGCTAACCGGTTGTAATTTGGGGAACAATGGCAATTATGGCAAAATGAAAAAAAAAAAAAAAAAGGAAACAGTAAAAAAATAATAAATAAAAAAAGATTATAGAAAAATTCAGCATCATTAAACATTAAGAGTATAGATACACACTTTATAAATACATACATATGACAAATAGTCATCAGTATATACAGGTGGCAAATAGTCATCAGCATCACAAATCAAACATTATCAAACATTGGGTGTATAGATAGATACACACTGGAAAATGATTTACCAGCATCAGCTCCCTACTCCAACCCGGCATCATCAAATATTGAATGTATAAATACACTTATATATTTATAAAGTTACGTATTTATAAAATCACTTTATAAATACACATGTGACAACGGATCACCAGCATCAGTGTTCCTGCTCTAACCCAACATCATCAAATATTAGATGTATAGATACACACGTGGCACCGAATCACCAACATTGGTGCTCTTTGCCCCAACTCGGCATCATCAAACATTGGATGTATAAATACACACTTGTTTATCTATAAAGTCATCAGTACTCTATTTCTCAATCCAACATCATGAAATATTGGGTATATAGATACACATGTGATAGCGAATCACCAACATCAATGTCCCTGCCCAAACTCAGTACTATCAAATACACACATGGCAGCAAATAACCAGCTTCAGTGCTTCTGCCCCAACAAACATCGTCAAACATTGGGTGTCTAAATACACACGTGACAGCGGATTACTGGCATCAGTACTCTCTGCTTAAATCCAGCATCATCAAACATTGAATGTATAGATACACACATCACATCGGATCACCTACATTAGTGGTCCCTACCCCTACCCAGCATCATCAAACATTGAGTGTATAGATACACACATGTGTATTTATAAAGTTACTTTATAGATACACATGTGACAGCTGCTCGCCTGTATCAATGCTCTCAGCCCCAACTCAACATCATCAAACATTGGGTGTATAGATATATACATGACAATGGATCATCAACATCAGTACTCCATACATCAACCCAACATCATCAAATATTTGGTGTATAGATACATATGAGTATCTATAAAGTCACTTTACAAATACACATGTATATGTAATAGTGGATTACGATCACCGGTATTCCCTGCCAAACAAAAAATTATCAAATATGGACTGTATAGATACATATGTGGCAGCAATCACCAACATCAGTGCTTCATGCCCCCATTTAGCATTATCAAACATTTGGTGTATTGATACGCGCGTGGTAGCCGGGTTACCAGCATCAATGTTCTCTGCCCCAAACCAAAATTATCAAACATTAGATGTATAGATACACACGTGGCAACGGATCACTAACATCAGCACTCCTTGTCCTAATATTGAGTGTATAAATACACATTTATGTATGTATAAAGTCACATTATAAATACACATATAGCAGCAGCGGGTTTCATGCCCAAAATAATATCATTAAACATTGGGTATAAAAAGCCAATGTTAGCACTATAAAAAAACACATCATCATACAACAACCATATTAAAAAATTAGTATGTTATTGTATCTTAAATAGCACAATAGAATATTATACGTAGTATATTCTTATTTTTTAAATAAAAAAAAATCATTTAAAATTATAATCATATCCTTAATATTAATCTCAACTATTAGATTAATTGCTAATCCAATAAATTAAAACTAATTAACCCAAATGAGAGACTAACCAAAGCTATAATTAAAATAAATGTTAAAAATGGAAAGTAGACATGAAACATACAAATAATATATAATAAGTTATTTTGGAACTCTTACCATAAAATGCCTATTGATGTATTTTGTGGACTATTTTGGATTGTTTTATATTTTAAAATTTTTTAGGTGAAAATAGATACTACGAGTGATACTTAAAATGCAAAAGATATAATGGATCGTGGATGTGATAATTAATTTGGAGAGAAAAATAAAAATCCGTTTTATATTAAACAGTATAAAATTTTAAAATAATAATAAAGAAATAAATAAATAAATTTGTGATTTTCTAAAGTCTATTGGAAAAAGTTGCATCTCCTTTAGCTAAAAAATACTTTAAGGGTATGTTTGTTTGGGGATTGGATTTTAAATACACTATTTTTTTTTTTTTCTAAAAATATTAAATTAAACATTTATTTTTTATTTTTTATATTATACTAAAAATCAATTTTACATTTAAAACATCACGTCAACACATATTTATATCACATTATACACCTATTTAAATTCAAAATTTTTATTATTTAAATCCCAACTCAAAATCTAAAGCACCGAACAAACACACCCTAAATATATCTTGATGCATATAATGTTTTGAAAGTTAGGCTTGATAAATCCGACAAATTATTTTTCTACTCTTTTTTTTTCTTTATTTTATTTTTACTACATAAGGTGTATCCTCATAGAAAGTGAAGTTGGTGCTGTGATAAAAAAATAGAAATATTATTATTATTATTATTATTAATATTATTGGTGTTGTTGTTGTTGAATTAAAAATATAAATATAAATATTTGATAGAGATATTAGCCAACCTAAAATGATAGTCAAACTTTGATCTCCGTTTGGATTAATTTCTATAAAGTACTTGTGACTTCTACTTATAAATAAATATTTTAGGTTTGTATTAGTTTTTTTTTTTTTTTTTTTTTAAGTAGAAATAGATTTACTATCTAAATTACAATTTTTTTAATAATAATAATAATAATAAATTAAATAATTATTCATTTATATATTTTATTTTAATTAAATTTAAAATTTATGTTTGAGAATATCAAATTTTAAAATTATAAATTTTAATTATATAGTAGATGATTTAATATTTTTAAATATAATTTATAAAGTTAATATAATTTGTCGAATAGTATTATATAAATTTAATTATATTTTTATTTTATTTTTATAAAAAAAATACAAATATAATTTATACATAAAATTTAATAAATATATTTTCAATTAGTTTAGATAATTAAAATTTTTAAATATAATTATAAAATTCTAAATAAATTAGAAAATTTTAATCAACAATATACTATTTACATTATTATGTCATATTTAGTCATTTTAACAGTTTAAAAGCACTTTTAACTTTATTGTATCCAAACAATTTTTTTATAAAAAGGTGCTTTTATAATTATTATCCATATATAAAATCGAATTGCTTCTGCTTTTGGCTTTTGCTTTTGCTTCTGCTTATTTTTTTAAGCCAATCCAAACATGTCCTTAATTAAATACTCTCTATGTCTCAAAACTATACTCTTAATTGAGTTGGACACGGTATTTATCGATATTATATTTAAAAGACCTTTTTGCCCTTGTGAGTGTATTAGTGTAAAAAATAGTAGCAATTGTGTAATAAAAATAAAAAAGTATGAGTAGTTTCATGGTAGTATGATTATTTATAAAAATAAGACTATTGTTTTGAAATAGACAAAACTAATATACAAGACTATTGTATTTGAACAAAAATTATTCTGAATTCATGTTGCGATAAATCCTTCTTTTTATCCACTTTTGAAACTTTGCTCTTTCCAAATCAATGTGCAAATTGATACAGACCCGCCGGAAAGTTAAATCACTTCTAAGTGCAATATATATATATATATATTTAAAATGGTTAGAAGAGATTTTCTTTAGGTTTTGGTTGATTTATTTTCTAGAAATTTTATGGAAGGATGTTTTGGTTTTTCTATTTAGTATTATTTATTAATTTTATTATTATCTTATATGTTGAAAATTATATTGGTAATATAAAAAATACTTCATTTGTCTTTTAATAATTTTTTCATTTTGATCCGCTTCATAATAAAGTATCAATTTCATTTTTTTTTAGTAATTGTACTATCGATTTAACATTACAAATATTTTTTCAATTTACAATATATTACACAAATGTCATTATCTTTTCATCATACGATACTAATAAGTTAGTTTAGTTTTTTTTTTTTTTTTTTTTTTTTTTACTTTGATTTTTACTACATTCCAATATAATACAAATATTTTTAAAATTCTGTAAAAAAAATAAATAGATAGATAGATATGAGACGAAGGAGAAATTATTTTATATTAAATTGTGGAACTTTTTTTTTAACGAATAAAGTTTATATATTATATTAATATATGTATATATTTATAAGAAATTATGCTTTCTAAAAATACAATATGAATAATTATTAAAACTCTAGTTAGATCGGATGTCGACAATGATTATGGTTGTGTGTGTGTGTGTGTTTTTTTCTTAAATTAATAGTAGAGTTTTTTTTTTTTTTTTTTAACAAATATTATATTTAAAATATACTTTTTAAAATCTAAATTCAATATATATTTTTTATATAAAATATCTATTAAAAAGAGAAAAGCATAAGTTTGAAACAAGTCAAATGTTTCATAAAGTACAATGAATTATTTAGTTGTTTTCGAAATGTTTTGAGAACTCTTTCATGTTTGTGTGTATTTTCATTTGGATGACGTGAGAATCCGCAGCCGCTACCCGAAGGTACGCACTGAGTAAATCTTCGGCCGAACCTAATACCCTGTAAAACAGGCCCGACGGGAAAATCACACTAGACGAATTATCTGTGGCAGGTAACCTGAGACATAAATTACAATCTATTTGAATTTTAATTTTATGAGCCTAATAATTGATAATTTTTTGAATTTATAACCCTTAATAACAATTGATAAATATTTATTCAATGCTTTAAAACAACTAAAAAGATTACATTCTCTACACTTTTACTTACATTTATTCTTTTGTTGCCATATCCCACAAATATACACATAACATTATAACATTTTTTTTCCATTTTGTTACATAAATAGTTACACAGATATTTTGATATTTTATATGATTATTTTTACTATAATTAGAAATATATACTTTTGAATGAGACAGAAAAAAACAATAAAATAAATATATTGAATTGGAATGAAGAAAGGAATAGAGAAAATATTTGTTTAACTTTTTATATTTTAATGAAAAATTGTTTTTATAAAATACTATATATTGAATATAATTTTATTTTTAATAAATAATTTTGTTATAAATATAAAAGATATATATTTTTTTGATATAGTAAAACAAAAATATGGTATAAAATGTAAATACACTCGTATAATAATTTTTTTTTTTTTTGATAATGTGAAAATATGTCATTTTTGTCTGAACCTTACTGTCTATTTATAATAGGCAAAATCAGACAGCATAACAGAGTTTTGAATGATAACTTCATAGTCATGAATTCACATAACATAAATATACATATATATATATATATACTAATGAATAATTGCAAATAAATAACATGAATATATTGAAAAGGGTGTGTTTGTTTGAATGTTTGGATTTTGGATTGACATTTGAACAATAAAAAAATTGAATTTGAATAATAGTATGATGTAATATAAATAAATATTGATATGATATTTTGAATGTAAATTTGATTTTTAGTATAATATAAAAAATAAAAAATAAGTATTTAATAAATTAAAGAAATTTTTTTATGTAAATAGTGAAAATCCTCCAAAATTCTTAACAAACACACCTAGTAGAAGTTGCACTTAATATTAATAAATCCTATATCAGATATTTTTTTTTAATTGAAATACAATAATTATGTTACTAAAACATATTAAAATAAATAAACATACATATAAATATTGGTGTATTCTTTTTTGAAAAAATTAATATATTACAAATATTTATTATTTTTATATTATTTATACTAATATTTTTTTCTTAAACAAAATACAAAAAAAATAAAATATTACAGTGAATCAATCCCATCGAATATTCTAACGACCTCAAAACAATTGCAATTAGTTACCAGCTTTCTCTTCCGCACGATCCAGCCGCCTCAATTACAGAATTGCGTGAGCCCGTTTTCCGGCCCGGCCCGGCCCGATCCGACCACAGCCTCCACGTTCCTTGCTGTCGTTGCTTGCGAGTCACACAAAAAAAACCCCAAAGCCAAACTGCTCAACACAAAATGAGCACAATAGTGTTTTTAATTCGTGTGCATATGGAATAAGTCCATGTGCAAAAACCCTTATAAATACCAAGTCTTGGTCTGTCTATTCACGGGTCATCTCGAACACAATCTGCGGCCGCGGGTGGGTCTCCTCTGTATTTGCACTTCTTGTTTCTATTTGAAATACAGCGGAGAGCGGGAGGGCCTCGGCTTAGCAATGGAGGACATGGATTCCACTCGTGCGTTTGTCAAGGACGTCAAGCGTGTGGTCGTCAAGGTAAGGTTTTTCTCTTTGAGATTTGCAGCGTGCATTGGTGTTTTTCTTTGCCACCGCGAGAAGTTGGGAACCACGCACACACACACATCAATATATGTTTTTATAGAGACACATTTTCATGCCCACCATCTGTTTGATGAAGTTTCTGGTGGATCGAAGTAATGGTGAAACTTGGTTTTTGAAGTAATTTATTTATGTATTAGAAACTAGGTTTCTGATTCTTTGGGATTAAGATAATTCTGTTGGAGTTGAATGAATTTAGCCGTTGACCAATGTGGTGAAATTTTTTGAAGGGCAAAAACTATGATTAGTTATGGAGCTTTTGAGATTGTAATGGGAAAATGACTTAATGTGGAATAAAGATAACCTTAGTTGTTTCTATGATTTTTCTGAAGGGCAAAAACTATGATTAGTTATGGAGCTTTTGGTGTACTGGGAAAATGACTTAAGGTGGAATAAAGACAACCTTAAGTTTTTTTTTTTTTGTATCGGAAAGATATTAATACCCAAAGAATAAAAGAACAAATAGGCCGTGCATACCCGAGAGATCAACAAAGCGCCCAAAAATCGACAGCTAGGCGAGGGTCCAAACGAAAGGACCTAATGTTCCAACAAGACTCAAGCAACAGACTAAACTCAAACAAAAATAGAACAAAATACACCGGGCATATGGGGAAAAAAAAATAATAAACTTAAGTTGTTTCAGTTTTAATTGGGTTATTTTTGTATTTGGCGATGGATTAACAAATGTGGGATTATTGCAAAAGTGTTGACTGTTTTGAAACTTTATATTTTTTATGATTAAGGTTGGAACTGCTGTTGTTACGCGAGCTGATGGGCGATTGGCTCTTGGGAGGTTAGGGGCACTGTGCGAGCAGGTTATTTTGCAGTATGTTAGCTATATTTCTTGAATATGTATGATTGGTGTTTAACATTTAGTATGATGCAGATTCAGGAACTGAACTCTCAGGGCTACGAGGTTATTTTGGTGACATCAGGTGCAGTTGGTGTGGGCCGGCAACGACTTAGATACAGGAAATTAATCCACAGCAGGTTTTTCTTCTTCATCTGCATTAAGATTTTATGATACTAATTTTGGGGAATTTTATGTCTGATTAATTCCCCTTTTTGAGTATGTTTGAGAGATGTAGTAGTAGAGTTTGTTGTTGAATTGAGTTGCCATAATGTCTGCTTTGATTTTGCAGTTTTGCTGACCTCCAAAAGCCCCAGGTGGAACTTGATGGGAAAGCTTGTGCTGCCGTTGGACAAAATGGACTTATGGCGCTCTATGATAATTTGTTTAGCCAGGTGATATCACAGAGGGGCTTTAATTTTTTTTTTTTTAATTTATGTTGGTTTATATTCTTTAACTGTATGTTGATCTTTAGAAAAACATGTATCTACATCTAATGAAGTTATTGTTTTATTTTTTTACATACATGCCAGTGTTGATGACTTTGCTCGTTTGCATGCAGTTGGATGTGACATCTGCTCAGCTTCTCGTTACTGATAATGATTTCAGAGATCCAGCATTTAGGAGACAACTCAATGAGACTGTTAAGTCTCTGTTGTCAATGAAAGTTATTCCTATATTTAATGAAAATGATGCAATAAGTACCAGGAAAGCTCCTTATGAGGTGAGTTAATCTGCCTTTTCGCTCACTGAAATATGTTAAGCTTACATATTCTTTAGTGCTGCATGAGACTTATGTGGAAAGCGTCCAGTGAGGTTCACAAAATTTCCCACTTTCAAATTTTTGTTGCTTGCCTGAATTGGACCGATTACATTAATTCAATGATGTTATTACTGTTTCCCTTTAGTAACATATTATTAGATGTTAAGTGTGTGTGTATGTGTGTGTGTATATATATAAGAAATAACAGTTTTGAATTTTGCAGGACTCTTCTGGAATATTTTGGGACAATGACAGCTTAGCTGCTCTACTAGCACTAGAGCTAAAGGCAAACCTTCTAATTTTGTTGAGTGATGTAGATGGTCTTTATAGTGGCCCACCGAGGGATCCACATTCTCAGCTAATCCATACATACGTTAAGGAAACTCATGAGGGGCTGATTACATTTGGTGACAAATCAAGGGTGGGTACAGGTGGAATGACAGCCAAAGTAAAAGCTGCAGTTTATGCTGCTTATGCTGGAATCCCTGTTGTTATCACCAGGTAAGCTGTCTTGCTGGTAAACAGTCAATTAATTGTCGAGCCTGAGGTTCATTTGTTTATAAAGTAAATAGTTTGAAGGTGAATGAATCATCTATATGAAATGTAATTTGATGTTCTGGATGTTATATTGAAATGTTGAAAGACTGTAGTCATGGATTCAACTAGGTGATTCATTTGAATGAGAAGAAATCACATTTCTTAGTTTTCAGGACATGGAGAATATCAATTCTTTTTAATGTAGAAAATTACCTGTTTGTAAGAATTGACTGTATATACATATATAATATTCTTCTTCCATCTCATAATTCCATGGGCAGTTATAGCTTAAATTCGACAGAACCTAGTTGATAATTTATTGAAGTCTGCGGTAGTTTGATGCTCCTGTTGGTTATCAGAATTTAGATTACAGTTTCTTAGCCTGTTGAATCACTCCAATACTTATATGTTGATATCTATCTCTAGGTTTAGCATTTCCGTACATACCTTAACCATAAGTCTGTCTTGAATGTTCCGTTCTTTTTTTTCCTATCTTACTTCTTTAGGAAACTCAGGGTATGTTTCTTTTGATAAGTTTGGGAAAATTTTAGTTTGAGTTTGGTATTAAAATAATGTATGATGGGATGTTTTGTGAGAGAAAAAATTGTAATTTTTTCGTGAAACGCAGAGTCCAAATAGTAGAAATGTGGGGTTTAGTGACTAAAGAAACAAACCCTCAATTATGTAAAATAGGGAGTTAATCTGGCTACTTTGTCAGTAACTTATAAGTTTATGTTATCTCTAGTAGTAAATAGGCAATTGAGAAAATTCTTTGCAGATCAGTGGATGGGTGGGATACAGGAATCATGAATTCTTAGAGCAGCTATCTTCTCATTGCTGGCTGATATTAATTTTCAAAACTTTTAGTATATGGCAGTTACTCCTCTTCTTTTTAGATGATATTGAATGTTAGCTACGGAAGTGGGATTTTGAAAGATGCTTATATATTTGGAACTCATAAAGGCAAATATACTTAGTTGAAAAAATCAATTCAAGAATCTTGTGTGATGCATATCATTTATATTGATGCTTTTTCAGTGGTTCCCGTTTTTTCTTTTGCAGTAATAGGTTGTGTTAGCTGAACCTTCACTACATGTTTGTGTGTATAGAAGACACTATTTGTTCCTTGCCCATGTATACACTTACCAAACATGTTGAAGTGAAGATCCTTAAGTTTGGTTATTAGGACACATAAACAAGTTGTTTCACACTTTCAACATCTTGATTGTTCAACTTTTACCTGTAGTGATAATTGTGCAATATTATAGTAAATCCTATCCCAAGAATGTGCATTTGTAAATTAAAACCTACATTGTTGCCTTCTCTTGTGAGAATTATTGGTTTGATTATTTACTTGTTACTTCCTCTTTTTTTATTTTTGTCTCTTTCTGTTGTTGAAGTGGTTTTGCTGTTGATAATATTCTCAAAGTTCTAAATGGTAAGCGCATTGGTACACTTTTTCACCGTGATGCTAATGAGTGGATCCCGAAAGGAGAGATTGGTGCCCGTGACATGGCAGTGGCAGCCAGAGAAAGTTCAAGACGACTGCAGGTGATCATTATTGAACCAGAGATCTTTCGCAATTGTTACTGAGGATAAGTCAAAATATTAGTAAAAAATTTGTCAATATTTTTTCTTGAAGGCTTTGTCTTCGCAAGAGAGAAATAAGATCTTGCTTGATATAGCTGATGCTTTGGAAGCAAATGAGAAGCAGATCATTGCTGAAAATGCAGCTGATGTTGCTGACGCTGAGCAGGCTGGATACGAAAAATCATTGGTGTCTAGGCTGGCATTGAAGCCCGGTAAGGTAAGATGGTCCTGCCAAAGCATATTTGCTTTTGCAAAATAATTTTAACATAATAGTTGTAGCCACGGCGCATCTGCTGTGGTGGTGCTAATTTAGTTGCATTCTTATACTATTGATTTGGCTTCACGAAAGTACACTTAGGTTGAACTTGCTCGCTAGCTATTACTTTCTTTTTATTTTTCTGGCATTTGTCTTTTTCAATCTATATAGTTATTTAAATTTGTTATTTATTATGTAAAACTTGTTTCTATTTTTATAAATTGTAAATGATTAATAGTATAAATATACTATATTATCTTGTGTTGACTTATTGTGCTGGCAGTCCATGGTCACAAGATGACCTTTGTACTATTGCATGCCACGCTCCGTTGGCTTCTATGGTGCCATATGCAGCTGTATATTTGATTCTCCACACTGTGCAACACTTATCTCTTTATATTTATATATCTTTATTCTGCATGTAGATTTCAAGTCTTGCAAATGCAATACGTGTGCTTGCAAACATGGAGGAACCTGTTGGTCAAGTTTTGAAAAGAACAGAGGTAATAGGAGATGGTGTAATACTCTTTTTTAGATACGACGAATATCTGACTTAAATTTACGATTATGTGAGTGGGGCGGGCTGTGAAGCTATGTAAACAGCTACCGGACTTGTGTTCCCTTTTGCTAATACTGTTTCTGAAAACCAGTTAAAATCCAAAATTTTTATTTTCTTAGTCGATCATCAGTATGGCGCTTGTTTTAAGCCCTACTCATTCTAAGATAAAAGGAGATTTGAGGTGCATGCCTTGATTTTCTTTGATTCATTTTTGATGTAATGCAAATATATATATATTGGAAGCTTGGGACAAATATTATTCGGATATATCTTGTTTTGATTTTCTAAAAATTATAAATGCAGCTTTCAGAAGGTCTGATATTGGAGAAAACATCATCTCCCCTGGGGGTTCTTTTGATCATTTTTGAGTCTCGACCTGATGCTCTGGTTCAGGTAAACTATACACAGCTTTGTCGTGGTTCTTTCTAGTTACTTTGATAACTGTACGAGGCACTTGAAAATTAAGCACTTCTTTTCAGCTTGGGACAAAAGCACGTGGAATTATTTATCATTCATTTGATTTTCCAAAGTCGCTTGTTTAACAGATAGCTTCATTAGCAATACGGAGTGGAAATGGACTCCTTCTAAAAGGAGGAAAAGAAGCTAGACGATCAAATGCTATCCTACACAAGGTTTTATTAGTGATAGTAATTTTATCTAGTCACTACTCTCTTAGAAGATTGTATTTTACTGTTGCCTAATATGCTGATTGTTTCCTCGTAATAAGGTAATTACTTCGGCCATTCCAGAAACCGTTGGAGAAAGGCTTATTGGACTGGTGACAACCAGGGAAGAGATCCCTGAATTGCTCAAGGTTTGTTGAATTAAATTTTAATTTCAACCAAACTAAAGATAAGTTTCTTAGCAATACGTGATGAAAATTTGGAACTGAATTTCTATGTTTGTGGCAAAGTTGGATGATGTAATCGATCTTGTAATTCCAAGAGGCAGCAACAAACTCGTTACACAAATTAAGAGTTCAACGAAAATTCCTGTTCTTGGCCACGCCGGTAAGAAATATTCTTCTAATACCCGTTTGCAAATACATTATATCTTCGATGATTAAAAAGATTCGGTTTTCCTTTCCAGACGGAATCTGTCATGTTTACATAGACAAGGCGGCTAGCAAGGATATGGCGAAACAGATTGTTGTGGATGCGAAAACAGATTACCCCGCTGCCTGCAATGCTATGGTACATTCGCTCCTACTACGATTCGTTCAAACATTCATGTTCAAATGCATATGATGGAGCTCTAACTAAGTTGCAATATTTTTAAATAAGGAAACACTGCTTGTACACAAGGATTTGGTGAAGAACGGCACCCTACATGAACTCATTGTGGAACTTCAAATCAAAGGTCGTCATCTTTTGGAGGCTTGTCTCCTTTTCCTTAAATATTTTCTATATCGCCTTAAGGAATATTAGTTCGATTTTTTTTATTTTTTTTTGGTTGATGGAAATCTTGGCGAATGATATTAAGTCGGTCCGAGGAAATAATTTTGCAATAATAGTGGTACTGGTGAGAATATGTTTCAGGTGTGAAAGTATATGGTGGACCTCGGGCAAGCTCTCAATTGAACATTCCCGAGGCACCTTCGTTGCATCATGAATATAGTTCTCTTGCATGCACTGTCGAGATCGTGGATGATGTAAACGCTGCCATCGATCATATACACAGTCATGGAAGGCACATTTTTTTGAAAATTCTGTTTGTATATTCGTTCTCACCTAAATGCATTTGTAAGAACGTTGGCTTCATTTTGTGTTTGGTCTTTAATGGCAGCGCACATACGGACAGCATCATAACTGAAGATCAAGAAGCCGCGGAAGTCTTTTTACGCCGAGTGGACAGGTGAGTTTTGTAATTATATTACTCCCTATGTCCAATTTGAAAGTATACATTTACTTTTGACGCAAAGTTTAAGAAATAATATTATTCCCACCGAAAGGGTGGCGCTTGTTTCTTGTACGTAGATTTTTTAATATTAGTATTATATTGGATTGTAGTAAAAAAAAAAAAGACAAAAATGCCTCTATTAGTATGGTGTAATATAAAAGGATATTTGTGTAATATATTGTAAATCGAAATGATATTTATTATGTTAGGTAGGTAGTACAAATTACTAAATTAGAAAATAATAATTTTGTTTTGGAACGGACGTAGATAGAACCTGACAACTTTTCAAGAGGACAGAGAGAATATTTTAATTGTAGTGGACAATTAAAAGTAACGTAAAGACAATTTTGATTTTTTTTAGTGTGTAAAATGAGATATTTTTTAAATGATTACTTTGTAATTGTATAATCTAAAACGAAAATATGTATATTAATGTTTTATCTTGTATTATGAGACTTTGTAATAAAGTGGTTTTGTGTTATCAGTGCTGCTGTTTTCCACAACGCGAGCACGAGGTTTAGCGATGGCTTCCGATTTGGATTAGGCGCAGAGGTATGCCATAACGGATTTCTTTTGGGTCGTTTGATTCTTGTCGATCCAATGTAGTTTCAATTTGTTAACCTATTTTCAAATAGGTCGGAATTAGCACAAGCCGGATCCATGCGCGTGGCCCTGTTGGTGTCGAAGGGTTGCTTACAACTCGATGGTACGCCTCTACACCATTTTTTCACTCCTTACTCATCGAGTAATTTACTGTTAAGTAAACGCATAGGGTGTGTTTGGCTTGTACTTTAGTTTTGAGTTATGGTTTAATATCGTTACATTAGGCTGGCAAGAGGAGGCGGGCATGTTGTAAATGGCGACAAAGACATCGTCTACACTCACAGGGTGTTGAATCCGTAGAGACAGGCAAGAATGTCTACCTTCGAAATTTCTATGAATTATAATGTTGTTTTTCTGTATCCTAATTTATTGGGATTCATATGTATTGTGTCATTTCTAATGTACTACTGCTTTACTGATCCCACAGCAGATTATGTATCTATCATGTAAGAGTCATGCAAGTTTCAAGATTTCTATGATATGAAATAAGTTGGACTGTCAAAAGACCAATTCTTGAAAACATCAATTCTTGAAATTTCATTCATGGATACTTGTTTGTACCTATAACAATGGTGGGCTTTCATGATCCATCAAAATTGCTGCAATTCGATCTATGCCTCGACGAACTTGTGCAAGTTCTTAAGCCAAGTTATGTATTCTCTGTCGTCTTTCTCGAGCATGTACCCGTGCAAGAAATTGGTCGTGCTGGGCTTGATTCCCCGAACCTCCAAGAACTTGTGGAAAGCCTTCTGCAAGTTCTCATCCAAGTCCCTAAAAGTGAAATAGAATGGTAAGTGAACAGCTGAATAATCAAGAATAATGACCGGTGTTCGAGCATTATGTTGTATTGAAAGAAAGAAACTTACGCAAAATCAGGTCCTTCATATGCCATTTGATCCTCGGAACCAGTGGGATCCTTGATGGACAATGTATCAATGATAATCTCGTCGGGGTATGCAGTACAACCAAACTCGAGAAATGGTTCATCCTTCACAGAGACTCTAACAACCAGAGGTATACTCGGTTGACTTCCCGATTCTTTCATCTCTTCCTCACCTTTGTCATCATCCTCATTTTCCTCGGCAGCAGTGAGGTCAGGCATGTGAACTTCCACAGTAATATCTTCGACTTTGTTATTTGCACGGGTGTATTTTCGAGTTAACGTTATAGTCTGCTCACCTGGATGATCTTCAATTTTGTATGGGAAATCCTGTGGAGCTTCCTCGACCTAGAGAGCAATGGAGAAGGTAAAAGACACTACCAATCATGCTGTGAATTGCAGAGAATAACATCAACAGAATCTCAAAAAAGATGCTCAATAAATGCAACTGTATCTTCAATTCGATGCAAATCATTTCGTTTTAAGAACTTAATTCTAAACAACTGGAAGAAGATCATTCTTGGTTGAGGGTTATGTGAAAATCCGTGGATCATGGAGTTAATAGTTTCAAGTGAATTTGATCAAATTTATCACAAAGGTCTCACTAATTATATCAAATTTAGTTCAGTATTGTTAAATCTGTCAATTTTTAAGTGTCGAAGCTCAAAAAAAAAAAAAAAAAAAAACAATAAACCAGAGGCAGATATAGCATATAGCACATCGAATATCCCAAATCATATAATCAGATCTCAAGGAATTACAGGCAATCGACTTTTAAGCCATCCTGTTGAATGAGTTATAACATATGAGATAAATCACAGGAAATTCCTCAGTGATTTGCAGAAACACAGTTAACCATCCAAAACTTTCGAAATACAAGAGCTCTCTAACTGAATCGACCCGAGTTTTGGAAGGAAACCAGGAAATGTAAAACACTTTCACCAAAAGAACAAGACATTGATTATCTGCAGGAACTAGAGAACCGTAAGTGAAGCAAAACCTGATCCGGATCCTGCGACTCCTCAGCACATTGGATTTCAGACTCGATTACTCGGAGAAGTGACTCATCAGAGCTTGGTTTGCTGGAGTACCGACGGATAAGCGACGGAGATGTCCTCTGAAAAAGGTCCAGCAGATTGTTGACTCCGGCGACGGCGAAAACAGCAGAGGTTTGGTGGTGGTGCAGGTATCTATGGACTCCGGCAGAGGCGGTGGCCGCCAAAGGTACAAATCTCGAAGCGGAGGGTACGAATTTGGCAGCAACAGTTCGAAGAGCGTAGTTAAGCGCCATTAGGGTTTTGGCAAGAGAGAAAGGAACGATGAGTTTTAGGGTTTTAGCTTTGTCTACAGTGTACCCTTAACTGTAATTTTCATTTTTATAAGAGATTTTCCTGTCTTCAAAATACAATCGCTTCTAGAAGTTACCCTTTCTAAAATACACTAACAATTTTATTTTTATTTTAAAATGATTATTAAAATAACAAATAAAAATATTACTTTCCCATTGGAAAATTTTAGTATCATTCTTTATAAAGAAAATAGAAATAAATAGGATTAGATTTATCCATATATTACCGAATAAAATAAAATGCTTATATTTTTTATTTTGGTTCATCATTGTTAATATATAAATTAAAATTTAAGTAAAATATAATTAATAAATAATTAAAAAATTATATTAGTAAAAATAATAATTAAATAATTTAATTAAAATTTAAAAAATTATAAATGATGAAATTTAAAATATAATTAAAATTTATAATAATATTTTTTTTAAAAAATAACATTTTATAAAAAAATAAAATAAAGTAAATATTACTCCCTTCGTCCCAGTTATCATGTCCACGATGCTGTTTCTGTCCGTCCCACGTACCATGTCACTTTCATATTTTGAAAAATAATTACACACTTTAATTTTATTTTAAATTTTATAATTTTATTTTTTTTTAAATTTTAATTAAACTAATTAGTTATTTTAATTTTAATTTATAATTATAATTATTTTACTAATAAATTTTTAATTATCTATTAATCTTGGGGACGGAGAGAGTATTTATATAATTTTTTACAGCGAAAAGTATATATTCAAATGACTTCACTGGACAAACCCTGACAAAGAAACACGTCCTTTTAAAACATACAACACGTCAAAGTATTTTAATTGAAATGAATAATGACGTCTTGACTTTGTAAGAAATTGCATCATTTTATTATTATTATTATTATTATTATTATTATTATTTATAAAAGCATAATTATTGATTATTAATTTATTAAAAGCTTCATCAGCATGCCCTGTTCTCAGACCCAACCATTACCGAACCGCTTTTCTCTTCCTCTCCAAATCAAATTGGTTACAGAGCAGCCCTCACTTTCTTTATTTTTACCCAAAAGCAGTTTCGTGATTTGTGGAAAGATCTTCTCTCCTCCGACGGTAGCCGCTTTTGTTTTCTTTGTCAGCCATATTCACAATTACTTTCGCAAAGCAACGCCCGATGTTGCCATAAATCTGACTATTCTTCAACAGTGACCAAAAGAGGGAATTTGGGCGTAGTGTAATGCTCGGCCCCATCTTTCTTGGGAGAAAGAACCCACCCAACATAATTCAATCTTGACCACAATTCTGTATCTATCTATATATATATATAGAGAGAGAGAGAGAGGGGGGGGGGGAGAGATGAAGGAAATGTTTGGGAGTCCAGGGAAGAAGAGTGGGCTGATGTTGAGGATGGGGCAGTGTTTATTTGCGGCGGCCTCAATTGGAGTTATGGCCTCTGCTTCTGGCTTTTCTACCACTACTGCCTTCTGGTATCAGATTTATTTATCACTTTTTTCTGATTAATTAATTAGTTAATTGATCTGATTCTTTGATGAATTTTGTGTGAAATGAAATACCATTAGGCAAGAGCAAGGCAATTGTGGCTATGGATTCTTGCCCCCTTTATCACATTTGATTCTTCTTACAATGACAAGAAAATTTCTGAATTGTCAGCCCATTTGCTTGCCTGCTCTCAGAATGGCTTCTTAGTGATATGCCCAAACATTACCTACACACGCAACACATACTATAATGTTAGTAATGTTTGGTGGCCTTCTTGAACTCTTCCTTTTATGTAAATTGCAATGGTTGATATGCCTTCAATATAGTTTGTCACTTGAGTTTTTACGGCTGTCTCGTGGATAGCGAGTCGGTGGTCAAGGGGTGAAGTCCCAGGACCCTTGCCTGGTCCGGGGGCGCGGAGTGGCCTCAGTCCGATGGTATGGAGTATTGGGCTTTTGAGTTCGCATTGGGTTGAGCCTGTATAATATATTCTCTTGGTGTATTTGAATAAACTTATAGATTTACGATATGGGTTAATTTGTATAAGAAATCAGTATCTGTAATCTATAACCTACCTAGCCGCTTCAATAAATCTGTTCTCCATTTCCGTCGTGGACATAGCCAATACGTTGTTGGTGAACCACGTAAATCTGTGTCTTCTATATGTTTCTGTTTGCTAATCGATCATTAATTCTAATCTGTCACACACCTATTGTCACAACTTTTGTTTGCTGTTTATGCTTTCTGCTTCCCTAAGGTAAGCTGGTTTGTTTAATTAATGGCTCCTACCTTTGTCTTTCTTGGCAGAAATACATAAGTATAGTTTTGTATTTTGTTATTTCCACCTAAGAGTGGAATTATTGTCGGCTTTGATGTTGTCCTAGCCCTTTCCTTGTCCAATTTTGTCATGTCCGTTTGGGTTCATCTTTGAACTTTTCTGTGCTGCTATATATGATCTTTGTTAAGTGTCATTGGCTGTTTTCGGATACTAATGGTTTATTGGTGTTGGATGAATTTTTTTTTTGCTAGCTACTTAATTGCATCGATGGGGCTTCAGCTTTTGTGGAGCTTCGGACTTGCTTGCTTCGACATTCATGCCCTCAGGTTCAACAAGGATTTATACAACCATATTGTAATAAGCTTGTTTGTCGTTGGCGATTGGGTAAAGCCTCTTTCGATCTTGAATCCTCCAATCTCATATATTTTTTGAATGAAATTTGTTATAGTGTTGATTAGTTCCGGTCAGCACATTGTAATTAATGATAAACACAATGCGTGTTTATCATTATCATGTGTTGTTTGTGTTGTACTAACATGTGATGTGCTGAGATCAATGATGACATATGATGTGTAGACTATTTTCATGTGTTGTTAGTCAATATAGTGTAATTATATTATATTAACATAAATTGTGTTGTTTGTTCATTTGGTTATGTCTGGCTTAACCATGCTGAATATATTGATTCGACATACTAACATTGAATATATAGTTAAAGAAAGTGTGATTTATGTATTTGGTTGCGGGTTTGGATTTTGAGTTTGTGTTTTGATATTAAAAAATTTGACTTGAAATAATTGTATGATATGATATAAATATATATTGAAATAGTAAAAAAGGTGAATCTAGACGTCTTACAAAGTTCTCCAACCAAACACACATTCGGGTAGAACACACTAATTTATCGATCTTATCTTACACTACAAAAACATTCGGGCTGTCCTAACTCAATCTTGTGCGCGTTTTTTGTGTGGTGTTGAGAAATCTTGTTCATTAATTCTCGGTGCAGGTGACTGCAGCTCTGTCATTGGCCGCAGCATGCTCATCTGCGGGCGTGATTGCTCTTTTCACTCGGGACACGACCATCTGCGCCGTGGAGACCAGATTTTCTTGCAACATGTTTCAGATATCCGTAGCTTTTGCTTTCGCCGCATGGTTCCTTCTTGCAATATCTTCGTGCGTCATGTTTTGGCTTGTGGCATCGCTTTAAGTAATATTCGGAATGTCTAATTGATTTGAAATGCATCCGAGCACACGCGCTCACAGCAATGAGGTTTGTGCGCCGCGATGGCAAACTTTTCGACGACTCGGTTTGGCTGAAAAGAACTAGTTTTTTTGGATTTCTTGGATGTACTGTTGAGGCATTAACTTGTGGTTAGGTGTTTTCCATTTGACAGTGTAAATATATTACTCTACTGTCCTAGTTTTTGCATCATAGTGTTTGTTTGTATGTATGTATGTGTATGTATGGATATGATGTTGGGAGTGAGTCAGTTCTTGGACATTTTCATGGCCAAAATAGAAGTTTTTTTCCAGCAGGTGTGATCAGAGGAGAGGAGAGGGCATAGAATATAATGAAAAGGCTGGCCGTTTTTGTGTTCGAAGATGGAATTGTTGACTAATAATCCGAAGCTTTGTAGTATTCTTTAGCAGCTCAAAATGCTGACTAATTTGATCAGCAAATTTATTGCATTCACAGCACAGTCAGTCAGACAGGAAATGGTTCTTGACAAACATGCATTCACATCCATTCCTGGGTGAATCAGTGATAGCTAAAGCCTATTGTGTCTTTTTTTTTTTTTAATTTTTATACGTAAAAATTCTCAGTCGGTACCCGAAAGTGTGGTAAACCTCCGGACAAACTTAATACCCTACAAATTAGGCTTGACAGACAAGTTACACTAAGCGAACCATGTGTGGCGCATGATCCGAATCTATTGTGTGTTTTTACATTCATTAGTAGGTGAATCAGTGATAGCTAAAACCTATTGTGTGTTTTTACATTGGCTGTAGCTACTAGATGTAAAATTTAGCATTGTGCTAAATAGTATCCAATAAATTCACAAAAAGTACATTATTCACATTAATATAATACAAATACAACACATGAACGAACAACACATAATATAGATTGAGATAACACACACAACTATTGATTTTAGTCCATGTTATACACATTATAATTATGAACAAATCACATATTTTTATTACAAACAACACATGTGAAATAAAAAATATATTATTTTTATATTTTATGCTGCGTTGTTGCTAAATTTCTCAAATCAGTATTGTAATCTTCCTACTTTATATGAGTTTTGAATTTGAAATAATAAAATTTTGAATTCTAACAAGAGTGTTATACATAATTAAAAATAGATGATGTAATATTATTAATATAGCATTAACTTATGAGATTCTATTTTCTGTTTAATAATAGGTATTCAGCTAGCCATATAATTGAGTTTCTTTTAAGGGTCTGTTCGGTTGGTGGAGTCGACTTAATGTCTACTGTACAATTACTGTACAAATTTAAAAATTAAAATCCAAACCTTACTAACCTACAGGGTAGATTGAAGATAGCCTGTTGAGATTCTCTGCAATCCGTCAAGTTCATTCGACAACAACGACTTATGTGATTGAAGATACAGGCTGGTAGGTGTTACGTGAGACAATATATACACAACTTTAATAATATAAAATATTTATATTTTTTTAAACATCACATCAAACTTTCATTTCAACTATTTCAAAATTAATTTTCAATTATATTTAAATACCATTTAATTCAAACTATCACATCAACCTATCATATCTCTCAATATAATAATAATTTTATATCTCAATATAATAATAATTTTTTCCAACATAATCAATACAAAATTTAATCCCCAAACAAACAACTTACAAATCCATACTTTAAAATCCTCAAAAATCCAACTCTAAAATTCAATCCCCCGTACAAACACACCTACTTCTATCTAATTCTTTTATTAACTTCTAGATTGAAAGAGAAAACAATAATAATAAAAAATAATAATAATAATAATAAAATATACCTGTATGAAATCAACACTAAGGATGTGTTCATTTGTAGGATTTTGTCAAAATTTTACTATTCATCCAAAAATTTTCTCCGAACATCAAATCAAACACCTATTTTTTATTTTTTATATTATACTAAAAATTAATTTTACATTAAAAACATCACATCAACAGTTTATATCACATCATATAACTATTCAAATTCAAAATTTTTACTATTCAAATCTCAATCCAAAATCTAAACCCCGAAACAAACACACCCTAAAAAGAACATGACAACTAAACTACTCATTTCAAAATCCAAACAACAAAAAGGCCCTATATATCCATAGTATATATCACATTCCACAATTAATATAATACGATCAAACTCCAACCAAACACAAACACACACCAGCAGATAATACAAAACATCAACCTCATGAAATGCAAGATCACATTATAATCTTTATTCTCAGCAAAAAAAAACTAAAAATCTACTCACGATGATCCATCTGCCGGCGGCGGCGGCGGAGCGGTGGCAATGCTGATGATATACTGAATCTCCTCCGCGACCTCCTTCATCGACGGCCTATTCTGGCGGCGCTCCTCCAGACAACCCACTGCCAGGAACCCCAAGGCTTTCATGGTCTCCATCTCCAGCGCGCTCGCCCCCTCCTTCAGCACCGGATCCACCGCCTCCATCACCCTCTCCTCCCCGACCAGCCGCTGCACGTAAACCGCAAGGTTCACATCATCTGCCGCCCGGTTGAAGTCGATCGCCTTCTGCCCTGTCAGTAGCTCGAGAAGAACCACCCCGAAGCTGTACACGTCGCTCTTGTCCGTCAGCTGATAGTTCCGGTAGTACTCGGGGTCCAAGTACCTACAGTAAAGAATAAATCACGTTAAACGATCATTTTACTTAAAAATTTAAAATTTGAAAGGATAAATATGATTAAAGATATGCTGATTTGACTCAATCAGTAAATATAATATAATAAAGGGGGAGAATGCATGCTTTTATATAGCACAACGGACCCAAATACCTACCAACGAAAAAATAATCATATTAAATGATTATTTCTTTTAAAAGTTTAAGCTTATAGGGGTAAATATGACTAAAGATCTGCTCATTTGACCTAATCAGCACATATAATATAATTGGGGCGGATAGTGCATGTTTTTATATAGCACAACATAACGATGTGCAATATCAAAATATGTGTTGTGTAGTTTATTATACTAAAATTCATAATATATTGTGCTAGATGAAATTATATCATGTGTTCGGGCATGAATCAGCTGCTGATCAAATCAGCGTCATACTGACTTAATCTTATTAACATAGGATCTCCAGCCCATGTGTTCTATATTATATTATTAATCAGCTAAATAGGCTCCCTCATGTGAAATGTGAATTTATACGTACCCGAGCGTGCCTTGAGCGCACGTTGAAATGTGGCTCATGTCGGTGTGAGCCAACCGGGAGAGGCCGAAATCCGAGACCTTCCCGTGCAACTTCTCATCCAACAAAATGTTACTCGATTTCACGTCGCGGTGGTAGATAGGTGGCACCGCCGAGAAATGCAGGTACGCCAACCCCTCGGCCGTCTCGTGCGCGATCTCGAGGCGGCGCTTCCATGGCAGCGACGCGCGGTTCGCGCCCTGCAGGCGGTCGAGAAGCGTGCCGTTGGGAACGTACTCGTAGACGAGCAACGGCTGCGCCAAGTCGACGCAGCAGCCGAGGAGGCCGACGAGGCTGCGGTGGTTCACCTGGCAGAGGATCCGGACCTCGTTCAGGACCTGATCGGTGCCTTTCGTGTTGCCGACCTTCGCGCATTTGACGGCCACCGGAGTGCCGTCGTCGAGGATGCCTTTGTAGACTTCTCCGTAGCCGCCGGAGCCGAGGAGGCGGTCCTTGGCGAAGTTGTTGGTGGCCTTCTTGATTTCCTTTCCGGTGAAGTTCTTGGCGGACTTGCCGCCGCCGGCGTTGAGGATTTCTTCGCGCTCCCGGGTCAGGCGGTCCTGCTCCTCTTTCATGCGCCGGTGCCGCTTGTACACCAATACTGCTATTAAGGATGCTAACACGGCTACACCAAGCCCTGCGGTTAAACCTGCAAGTAGAATTATTTTATTATTACTGCTCTCAGTCTCATATCTATTTTTTTTCACATAATTTTAAAAATATCAATATTATATAAAAATATAACGAAAAAAAAAAAAAAAAAAAATTTAATCTTAAAAATGTACATGGCAAAAAGTTATTGGTAGATGTAAGAACACAATTTGAACATAATAATGTTAATAGCTGTAATATATTATAAATTAAAAAAATATTTTTAATATTAAATATATTAGTAAATAAATAAATAGATATTTTGTTATAAGCAAGATCAAATTCAAAAGAAAAAAATAAAGAATTTGTTAAGTTATATATTGATTTTTTGAATATATTAATAAATTGTCTAACTAACTCTTTATTACTCCTACTATATTTAATTACAATTATTAGCTGTACACGTCCGGTTTTGTTGACTTATTTTTCAATGTCACTAAAAGTCAAACGTTGCGGATAAATCGAAAATTTAAAGTCAACATCATAGGCACTGAAAAATATTTGTCCTCGCCATTGACCAGCCAATCTTTTCCCTGTGTTCTCTCGTGGATTTTTCATAAAAATGGTTTATTTTATTTTATTTTTTTAAATAAAAATATTTTTTTTATTATTAAAAAATTTAAATAAAATCTTTTGCGAATTTTCTCCATACTATACAATTTCACTCGGCCACTTTTAAAAAAATAGATATATTGTTTTTCTTTATGCATAAAACATTCAATTAAATATTATTTTAATATAAAATTTAAAGTAATTTTGCCATAGTCAGAAATTCACAAACAAATTAAGGATAGTAAATCACAAAATTTACCTGCAATGAGCGGAGTTCGATCTTTGCCACACCCATCTGGATCTTGACACTCTGGAAATTTGTAAATTTTATTTAATATGTTGCGAGAAAAAATAATATATTTATATAATATTTTTTAAAAAATAAATATAATCAAATAAAGATACCTATGATTCTCGTGTACATATTTAGGAGTAAACCATTAAAAATTAATGCAAAAAATAAAAAATAAAGCAGTAGCATTTCTGACCTTTCGCACAGACCCCTCTGATGGGATCCCATTTCAATCCGGAGCTACAGAAGCACCGGCTGACGCCGCGGTTCGAATTCGGTTCGGGTTTGCAGGAGGATCCGGACCCGCAATCCGCCTGAGCGGCGCAAATGGGCTCCGCCGGCGGGATCCATAGCAGCTCGACGCCGGGCTGCGGCCAGGCGGAGACGGGCAGAGAGGGGTCAAGGTTGACGAAGCTCCGGTAGGCGCGGCAGCCGTCCTGGCGGACACGTATGCGGTAAGAGGTGGTGGAGCCGCCGGCGCGGAAGGCGCAGCAGGGGAGGTCGGCGCAGGCGGTGGCGGCGGAGGCGGAGGCGTTGGAGTAGACGTGGCAGGGGCTGGTGGCGGTGCAGTCGAGAGGGGAGTTGAGGATGGAGGCGGAGCAGTTGAGGTAGAAGATGGTGTTGCTGCTGGTGATGTTGAAGGGGGCGGAGGGGTCGAGCTGGAGGCCGTTGGTGGGGAGGTCGCCGGCGAGGCAGGTGCCGGGGAGGAGAGACGACGGCGCCACCACCAGGCGCTGGGAGGAGGGGGAGATGGAGGTGATCGGGTAGGTGTTGTTGGAGGAGTCGAAGAAGAGGGCGCCGCCGGAGCAGCGGATCTTGTAAGAAGGGTCGCCGCAGGTGGAGGCGGTGCTGAGGGGGTAGGGGACGGCCGCGCCGCCGCAGGGTGGGCAGGGAGGGAGGGAGAGTGCGGAGATGGCGTACGTTAGCAGGAGGATGAGGAGGAGGGGGTTAGCGTGCGCCATGCAGGTGGGTGGTAGATGGATGGATGGATGGAGGCTTGCTTTGCTGGTGTATTTATTTGAAATTAAATTATTTCTTTAATAGTAGTTTTATTTATTTTTTGTAATAGGCTGTTTTGGTCAAATGTTTGAACATATTATGCGTCTCAGACATACTGCACTATCATTGTTGTGGTGGTGCGTTGACTCTTGAGATTATTGCACACTTATATACCATTACACTTATTTATCCATTCTTTCTATTTATATATATCTTATATAATTTTTTTTCTATTTTAAAAAATATAATTATATTTTAAAATTTATAATTTTTTTTATTTTAAATATAATATCTTGTTAAAGTTAAATGAGACAAATTAGCTGAGATAAAATATTATTTGTTTTGGATAATTAATTTACTTATTTATTCTTGATTAATTTCTTTAATTCTCTTGTCTATTTCAATAAAAATTTGGATTCTTTTTATGAAAATTAGAGAATTCATTTAAATTCCGCACTTCGACAGCTGATAAGCTGTCGATCAAAATTTTGAACGACAACAATTATTTAAACTAAATCTTTAAAAATTTACTTTAAAAATAATTACTATATAATTTGTATCCATTAATCATATTTAACTATTTATTACATGCATGATTTGAATAAATAAAGTCAAAGATTTTATTTCGAATCTTATGATGAAGAATTTTTAAGGGTGTGTTTGTTTGGAGGATTAGATTTAATTTCCACTATTCATCCCATTTTTTCTCCCAAAAACATCAAATCAAACATCTATTTTTCATTTTTTATATTATACTAAAAATCAATTTTACATTCAAAACATCACATCAACACCTATTTATATCACATCATACAACTATTTAAATTCAAAATTTTTACTATTCAAATCCCAACTCAAAATCCAAACCCCGAACAAACAGTTTATCTTATGTATATACACACGTTGATAATGATAATGATCGTGAGTTGACCATATTATCCATTGACTTTAAATGGGCTTCTAGAAAAGAAAAAAATAAAAATAAAATATTTTTTTCTTAATTAATATTTTTTCTAGAATTATTTTAGTACAATACAAAATATTTCTTTCCAATCAAAATTGTATTCTCTTATCTGACATTTGATTTTTTTTAATTTTTTTTAATTTTAGTTTGTCTGATAATAATTTCAATTTTTTTTTTTAAATTTTAAATGAATCGATCAATTTTAAATATACTTTATAAATAAAAATCAATTCAATTAAAATTTTAATATCTTATAAATAAGATCTATTCAAAATTATTTTTATTTTTACATTTCTCCCCTATATATATTTTAAACAGAAGAAATGGTTGTGCATCCGAACATAATTTAAGTTGAAGTTCAAATTGAAATCAGGAAAGTACCGTAATTTAGTTTATTGTCATTTATTCGTACCAAATTCTTTGTGTTTTTGTATATTTTGCATTAACTGTTGTGCACTTTAATGTTTTTGAAAAAGTTTTTCACAATATCTATTTATTTTTATTATGACGTGAAAATCTGCAACTAGCTTCTATTGGAATATTTATATTTAATTGAAATTTAATATTTAAAAAGTTGATTTTATAAATTAATATGTGATAGAATAGAAAATAATTACACCCTCCGTCCAAAAAAATACGAGATTATTATTGTATATACGAAAATTTAGGTAAAGTATAATTAGTAAGTAATTAAAAAGTGTATTAGTAAAAATAATTATAGATTAAGATTAAGATTAAGATAAGTAAATAGTTTAGTTAAAATTATAAAATTCAAAATGCGATTAAAGTGTATAATTATATTTCTAAAAATAGAAACAACAAATTACGTGGGACGGACGAAAATAAAAAATAGAGACAAATTATGTGCGACGGAAAGAGTATTTCTAAAATAATTTATTTATTTAGAATTTTATTCTACCAAAAGAATTTATACAATAAGATTTTCAATGAATAGTTTCAAATTATAGGAAAACCGTAATTTTGGTGTATTTGTTTTGTATTTTTTAATTAGCTTGAATTTTTCTATGTTAAATTAATTAAACATATTATAATATAAAAAATAATATTTTATTTTAAATTATTAACTTTATCAACTAACTTTCATGTTACATTAATTTATTGACTTTATATATATATAGATAGAGTATATATCGTATATTTTGTGTGAATATATTAATATAGTGTATTTTTTTATAATATTAATTTGGAAGAATGTCATTTTTTTTTTTTTTAATATTGAAAATACACACTTTTTAATATAAAGAACAAGTATAAAGAGAAAGAACGACGAAAACCAAACAACGCAACTTTAGTTTATTTATTATATATCCGACTAAATTTAGATAGAAATGCATTGCGCTTTGAGTACAAGTAATGTGAAGCAAGCAATGTCATTGTCACATATTATTAAACTAGCGATAAAATTATTCAAAGTCATGATCGAGAATATAACCATCCTGACATACTATATAGTAATGTTTCCATTTTGTCGACTCGAGCATAATGTACGATCTATCCTCCCCTTCTTATGCCCCTCACGAAAATCCTCACGACGTGTTTTACCAATTTTTCCCCTCGAAGCTTTCTTCCCGGCATGTTGCTCGATAATTGAGGTTCTTTCATATCATTAAAATCTTCAACATTAACGCTAGAGTCGTCCTTTACTGCCACACCTGACGGCATATTCTCCGCGCCATTCTGGCCGTATATTTCCTTCGAAACAATCAAACTAATGAATAAAAATATCACCATTGTGCTCTTAATGAACCCTTTCAAAGCTCCCATTTTAATTTGTAGGAATTGAAGGGGGAAAGGATTATTGTTTCTTTTCTTGTTGCTATGGAAATGTTTATGGAGATGTGTTACATTACCTTGTTTATATAGAGAATCATAAATGAATTTTTTTATTACTATTATTATTGAATAAATTATTGTTATTGATATTATATCCTACATTTAATTTTGTCACCTATAATTTATGTAATTGTGGTACCTATTTTTTTGGGTAGGTGATTATAGAGTATGTACATAGTTTGGTCCCAATATTTTTTCAAGTGTTATTGTGTTAATGATGCATTGATTTTGCTTAAATTATTTGTACTAAGTAATTATACGTGGAATGACATATTTGTAATTTAAATAAAAAATTAAGAATATTTTGGTATTAATGTATAATTATTTTATTAAAATAAAAAATTGATAACTTGAAGTGGAACGAACGAAAAAAAAATGAAACTTTAAATTGAAACAAAAGAAATATATTGCGTCAATATATATAAAAATATATATTATATATTTTTTAATACTTAAAGAAATCGTGCCACTCAAAAAATTTGGTGAGCAAATCCGTACAATCAATTTTTATCAACTATGCGTAATCATTTTATTGATTATATTATAATAAAATTATAGTAATTATTATTTAAGATTTTAGAAATGGGTAAAATACAATATGTTTTTTTTTTTTTAAATGTAAATATATTATACTCTCTCCGTTCCATAACTATTGTCTGAGTTGAATTTGGCACATGATTTAAAGAATATTAATATTATATTGATAGTGGGTAAAAAGTACGGATAAAAGACTTTTTTGTCCTTGTGAGTGTATTAATGTAAAAAGTAGTAACAATTGTATAATAATAATGAAAAAGTAAAATTTAGTTTTAATTTCGAGCAATAGTTGATGTGATATTTGGTTCTTCTGTCTTTGATAGAATCGGCTATTGAATAGGCCGACACTTATCAGTAGTTAGTGATATTGGGCCATTATATGAGCCAAATCTATTTAATCAAATCACGACTTTTGATTCTTATTTAGGGCTGAATTTCTAGTGTAACAATTAAAAAAAAAAAAAAAGTGTACTCGATTGATCTCTTCTCGTTTAACATCTATAGATACCAACTGTAACATAAGGGACTCAACTTCGAGACTTAAGACTATAATATCACGTTAGATGATGTAAATGATTGTCTCGCCTAAAAATTTAAGCTATTAGGAATACATATCATTTATTTATTTATCTGCAAATAACAATCCATCAACCTGGTCAAAACAATTTGATAGTTTATGCAACAAACTAATTATTTGTCACCGATGTCTTGCAAATATTGAACATATATCAATAGTAAATGTGTATTAAAAAATTGGAAAAAAATTAATTTTGGTCCCAATATAACTAAAATTTATCAATTTTGGTCATAATATAAAAAATTCATCAATTTTAGTCCCATTATAAACAATTTCAATTAATTTTGATCTCATTATAAACGATTTCAATCAATTTTGGTCTTATCGTTAAAAAACTAACAGAAATTGCTGACGTAGACATAAAGGAGGTGATGTGGCAGCTGACTTGGAAACTATACGGCCATGTACAATTATACACGGTCGTGTTGTTATATGGTCACATATATTTCAATGTATAATTATAAATGACCATGTTGTTAAACGATCATGTTATTACATGACCATTTATATTTCAGTGGATAATTATATATGTTCATGTTGTTACACGGTCATGTATAATTCTACATGGCCGTGTACATTTCTGTTTTGGTCTAATTTATTTTATTTTTTTTGAATTTAGAATAGTTGATATAGTTAAAATGGAAAAAAAATCAATAATAATCATAATATAATTAAAATGTATCAATTTTAGTTCAAATATAAATATTTATGGAGTATGTTCTTTTTGGAAGATTTTGTCTAAAATTCTACTATTTACCCAAAAAATTTCTCTTACAAACATCTGTATTGAAATAATAAATTAATTTTTAATACTATTATAATATGAAAAATAAAAAATAGTTGTATAATTGGATGTTTGTAAGAGGAATTTTTTTTATGAATAATAGAATTTTAGATAAAACCTTTCAAAAAATTATATTTTATAAATTTTTATATTTGAATTAAAATTGATAAAGTTTAATTATATTATGATTACTATTATTTTGTTCATTTTAACTATATCAACTATTTTTAAATTCAAAATATTTTTTTTTTAAATATAAAAAACAAATAAAACTTTAGACTAAAACAGAAATGTACACGACCATGTAAAATTATACACTGAAATATACATGGCCGTGTAACAACATGATCGTGTATAATTGTACATGGCCGTGTAGATTTCAGGTCAGTTGCCACGTCACCTCCGTTATATCCATGTCACCAATTTCTGTTACTTTTTTTCAACGGTAGGACCAAAATTGATTGAAATTATTTATAATTGAACTAAAATTGATGAGTTTTTTATATTATAACTAAAATTAATTTTTTCTCAAATTAATATTTGTATCAATATAATAAAAAAATATATATATATCAATTTTGGTCTTTAAAGTAAAATATTTATAAATTTTAGCCCAATTATAAATAAATTTAATAAATTATAATGTCACTATTATAAAACTAAAGAAAAATGCTAACATAAACATATAATCAGAGCGGATCTAAACTACACAGGGCTGAATGATGAACAAACACGCCATGTTCAATTTCATACGAATAGGAAGGAAGCATGGTCTGAAGAAATTGGGGGATTCATTTTGTAATAGAGAAGGCCTGACATGGCATAATTCCTGTTAATAATACTCCCCGCTTCCCATTTTAAAGGAGTATATTGAAGTTTTGCCATCTTTTAAAAAATAATAATATTTTATCGATTAATAAAAATATATAAAAATATTTTTATTTTTGAATAATTTGAAAATAATTTGTAAATTATATCCGAAAAACAAGTAAAATTAAGAGGCAAAATACATTCTTGATGTTTGTTTAATTGTATGTTTTAATTTAAATAAAAATTTAAAATATTTTTAAATTAATACATAATTACTTTTATTATAAAAAAAATATTTTAAATGTAATGTACTGTCAAGTCTATTAGTCCGAAAGCGCCATTCGGACCTATAGATAATAATGTTGACACTAGTTGATACTTTTTCCGTCTCAGATACCGTGTCTGCTATACAGTAGACACGGTATTTTAAGAGGAATATAATTAGTAGATAATTAATAATGTATTAGTGAAATTAATTATTCTATAATATAAATAATTATAAATTAAGATTAAGATAATTAATTAGTTTAATTAAAATTAAAAAAAATTAAAAAATTAAAAATGAGATTAAAGTGTGTAATCATTTAAAAAAAAAAAAAAGTGACATAGGTACGTGGGACAGACAGAAACGGCAACGTGGACACAACAATTTAAAAAGATATAATTGGAAAATAATGAAGAATGTATTATTAAAAATAAATATTTTATAATAAAAACAATTATAAATTAAAATTAATATAATTTTAAATTAAATTTTTAAAAATTATAAATTAAAAAATATAAAATAAAATTAGACGGAAATAAAAAGATATACATGATGAGTGGGAAGAAAAAGAGCAGGATAATTTATATACTAAAATTGGGCTAATCAGTTAAAAGACCAGTCTTTCAGCCGAGTACCCGTAGGCATTCAGGTTTCTTCCTGCCGCAAAACCCGCCGGAAAATGCAGCGCCGTTCGCATCACTTCGCTTTCGCTTCTGATTCACTCTTCTTCTACTACTCCTTTACCCCTTCTTCCCCTTCCGCCTCACATTGAACTAAGATTCATCAAATTCGATTCATGATTTGTTCTTCATAATTCGTTTGTAATTAATTGATCGATATATAGGTACTGGCACTGTCAGTGCTTCCACGGTCAAGATCTGTGGGCTTTTTCGCAATGAAAGCCCTCGGCACAGGTGGCGGTGCTTTGGATCTCTGCAAATCCGCCACACTCGTCAGAATCTCGGGGTTTATATTGATTTCTGTGATCTTCTTCTACTTAGGAAAGCATTTCAGCGATGGCTCCTCCCAGCAGCTCATATTCTTTTCATTTGGCCAAAGCTCTGCGCCACGCCAGGTGGACTCACACTCTGGTACTGTTTCACTGTCTCCGAATTTTAACAAGACATACGATGTTTCTGCGTTGATAAATGGCACTACAACCTCGCCCGCGTCGCAGCAGAGTGAACCACGGAAAGCCCCTGCACCTCCTCCTCCGCCAGCGTTGCAGAGGATGGGAGTGGTGGACGAGAATGGAAGGATGTCGGATAATTTTGAGGTGGGGGAGTATGATCCTGAATTGGTCGATAATTGGGGGAAAACAAATGAGAGCGAGGGAGCGGGGAGTGATGGAAATGGGGATAATGTTAGGGTTAGGGTTAAGAAGTTCCCATTGTGCCCGGAGAGTATGAGGGAGTATATACCTTGTTTGGACAACGAAGAAGCAATTAAGAAGTTGACTTCTACGGAAAAGGGGGAAAAATTTGAGCGTCATTGTCCTGAACCAGGAAAGGGCTTAGATTGTTTGGTCCCTGCTCCTAAAGGATACAGAACTCCGATTCCTTGGCCCAGAAGTCGTGATGAGGTAAGAATTGAACCACTTCTTGGTTCATTAGCTCTCATACAATTTGAATTGGATAGGAAGGAGTACCATATCTTAGGAATCTGAATTACAATGTGTACTTTTGGAGCTAGAAATAACCAATTTTCATATCTGGATACCTCTTCAAGTAGTTTACAGAAGATTGTTGATCTTTTTATGGTGTACAGGTTTGGTTTAGCAATGTGCCGCATGCTCGGTTGGCAGAGGATAAGGGTGGTCAAAACTGGATCACCATTGACAAGGACAAGTTCAAGTTTCCTGGAGGTGGGACACAATTCATTCATGGGGCAGATCAGTATTTGAATCAGATTGAGAAGGTGTGTGTGTGTATTAAAATTATATTTAACAACCAATGTCACATATGAATTATGTTTGGTCTAACAGGAATGTATGATTGTTTTTAAAATGCCCTTTATAATATGTAGATGCTACCGGAAATTGCATTTGGCCGACATACTCGAGTTGCTTTAGATGTTGGTTGTGGAGTTGCAAGCTTTGGCGCTTATTTATTGTCAAGGAACGTCACAACCCTCTCTATTGCCCCAAAGGATGTTCATGAGAACCAGATTCAATTTGCCCTTGAGCGTGGAGTTCCTGCAATGGTGGCAGCATTCACAACACGACGCTTACCTTATGCAAGTCAAGCATTTGATTTAATTCACTGTTCAAGGTGTAGAATCAACTGGACTCGAGATGGTAAGAATTTTAACATAATATTATGTTGGTCTTGATGATATATTATTAGGGTTTATTTACTCATGATGATTTAATCATTCTGCTATAAGTATAACATGATTAGTAAATAATTGTGCATAGTAAATAGACCCTTAGAAGACTCTTTTAATCATGCCTATGCTTAGCAAGTTAATGTGATTGAGGGAGGGGGAAAGATTGTGAGAATAGTCGAATACCGAGCTGATAATTCTCATTGATGCACAAGTTATAAATCGAATACAAGGGTAGGCAGTTTATTATTAGTGAAGAGGGTAATGAAGGAGTTAACTAGGAAGCTATTCTAGGAGATAACCAGGGAAAATTTCCAAAAGCCACCACAGTGTCAATTAGGAGAGGAGCCGATGTTTAGATTGGACTGAAATCACTGAAGATGGCAGAATCCATTTAAGGAGTGAATCAGTGATCAAGTCAATTGGTGGTTGTCATATCTGGGGATGTCCTGGAGAAATTTCAATGATCTTAAAAACGATCTTCAGATTGCATTCAGATTTTCTCCTGGATTATGGTAACTATATATTTTCATGTACTTGTTACTCCCTCCGCCCACTCCAAAAGGGTCCTTTGGAGTTTTGTAGTAAATTAAGAAATAATAGTATTTTATTGGTTATTGGAAGTGGGTAAGAGGTTTTGTCATTTTTGCCATTTGATTTTAAGTATAAAGTAATTGTATGGGTAATGATATGTTTGTAATTTAGGTAAAAGTTAAAAAGTATTTTGTTATTAGTATATGATTATTTTTACTAAAATAGGAAAGAAATACTTTGAAATGGGACGGGCGTAAAAAGGGGGGGAGTATTTATTTGTGCTGTGCAAGTTCGTAATCTTTCGGGGTTTTTTTGTCATTATTTAATTTTGGCGCCCGAGTTTTTACTGTTAGTTGCTGTATTCTACACTGGATATGACCATTACATAGTGATACTAAATTTCTCCTGTGCTATTTGTTTGGTCAGTCAAGATAGCTTTCCTTCGGAACTATCACTCATTTCCATGCTTGTTTCTTATGTACTATTGTGTAGATGGGATTTTGCTACTTGAGGTTAATCGGATGCTCAGGGCAGGAGGTTATTTTGTTTGGGCAGCACAACCTGTTTATAAGCATGAGCCTGCCCTTGAAGAACAATGGGAAGGTAAACTATTTTATAGATTTGTCTACACCACTAACCTGCTATGAAAATGTTTGAACTTGTCGTATATGCATGTTGATATGTCACCAATAAGTATAACTTACTGTCTTCATTTCTAATTGCATTGGTCTTATGCGTTTTATGAAGGCATCTTTGGCTATTCAGGCAGGAACTGAATTAATTTTTGTTAACCCATTTATAATGATATTGCTTTCAGAAATGTCTAACCTCACCAGTCGGATTTGTTGGACATTAGTAAAGAAAGAGGGTTACATTGCTATATGGAAGAAGCCCCTTAATAACAGCTGTTATTTGAGCCGTCAGGAAGGAGCCCAACCTCCATTATGTAAACCTGAGGATGATCCAGACAATGTGTGGTGGGTTTTTGTGTTCATATTTTTATTCATTCTGAAAAATGGCCTATTCTAGATTTTTTTTTCTTCTTTATTGAGAGAGAAGACATCTGCATGTGGAATGCAATATCTCAGGCTTATATCGAAGTAACCTGCAGATGATAGGTTAAATTCTGGTGCTACTAAGCCTTCGGTACTAATATGCAAAAGGGAAATAAATTTGTGTGGCTGATTGACTTGTTCAATGTGTTTTGCATAAATAATATCATGAGTGTATTAATAATAACATGCCTAAGATGTGTTAATATTAGTGATATGAGTAATGAAAGAGATGGGGGCAAGGTTTTCTTGTTTGATGATTGCTTCATGGATAACTCGGCAACTACTGCCAAGAAACTTTAGTCATTCTTCCATTTTATGTACTCCTAGTAACTAAGTTCTTGAATAATTTCGAGTTCGAGATGAACAAAGAACCTAGCTTGAATTCTAACATTTTACGTTTCGAAAATATCATAGGTATGTAGATTTGAAGCCATGCATTGCACGCTTACCCAACGAAGGTTACGGTTCGAATATTACTATGTGGCCAGAGCGCTTACAGAATCCCCCGGATAGGCTTCAGAGCATACAACTTGATGCCTACATATCAAGGAGAGAGCTTTTCCGGGCAGAATCAAGATACTGGTTTGAAATAATTGAAAGCTATGTCCGTGGTTTGCATTGGGGTACGATGAAATTCAGAAATGTACTGGACATGAGAGCAGGATTTGGAGGGTAAACACGTCTGATCATAAATGATCTTATTAATATTATTATTATTATTATGGAGATCGAACTTACATTGCTAAATCCTTGGGGTCCCATATAGTTGTTTGGATCAACTAATTAGTTCCTTATCCTTGCAGTTTCGCAGCAGCTCTAATTGAAAACAAACTGGATTGCTGGGTGCTCAATGTTGTTCCTGTCAGCGGCCGCAATACATTGCCTGTTATATATGATCGTGGTCTTATAGGAGTTATGCATGACTGGTATGGATTTGTTGATGAAATTCTTAAATAGTAATTAAGCATAATCAAAGGGGAAAAATGCGGGGAAAATGCAGGAAAACTGCAATAAATATTTTGTATCTTTGGCCAATTATCTCTCTTATCCTTTAATTGTCACTGTCACTTTTTTGCGATTTTCGTCCTTTAGCTGCGCGTCAAGTTCACTACGGATGCTATCTCACGCGCAAGGATAAAAATCGCAAAAAACCGACACCCGTGGGATATATTTTAACTTTCATCATGGCAAATATATACATGTGTCACTTTTTCGCCATTTTTGTCTTCTAACCGCAGTCAAGTTCATAACGGTGTTGGTGCGAGTGGGATAGTACGCCGAGGATGAAAGTCGCAAAAAAAATGACACATATAGGATATATTTTGTCATGTTGACAATTAAAGAACAAAAGTGATAATGGACATGGGTACATGATATTTATTGCAATTTTCTCGAAAATATGCTTATGTCTTTATTCAAGACTAGGAGAAAGGGGGTGGGGTTTAAGTATAAACATAATGTGTTAGAAATGTAGAAAGTTGGTTACATGAGGTATATAAGCAGCAGAAATCTGAATATACGAAAACCTCTTCAAATCTCATGTTAAAACATTGATTCAATTTGTTTTATCACCCTCATTTGTTTGATAGATGAGCTTCTGCACTGTAAAATTTAGTACAAGTGTTTAAGGGATGAATCCATGGCATTTTCAGGTGCGAGCCGTTTGATACTTATCCAAGAACCTACGACTTGATTCATGCTGCCGGACTTTTCTCTATAGAACGAAAAAGGTACCAATCTCTTTCATCCTTCAATTCTGACACGATGCTGTGTTAGTATTTCATCAATGAACTTGTACTATTCGTTCTAATTACAAGAACTAATGGTGTTTTCTGGAAATATTAATGCTGTAATGATATGTTACATCTAGGTGCAATATCTCTACCATCATGCTTGAGATGGATCGAATCTTGAGGCCTGGAGGACGTGTATACATCCGCGATTCTCTGGCAATAATGGATGAACTTGAAGAAATTGGAAACGCCCTCGGTTGGCACGTAGCATTGAGGGATACTTCTGAAGGTCCCCACGCGAGTTACAGGATCTTGACGGCCGACAAGCGCCTCATACGCGCATGACACACCATCAAATAAAAAAAAAAAAAAAACTAGCTCCAAATTCAGGTCTGCCTCTATCGATATCGAAATCTACATATTAGATAGCATGGAATTGAAATGAAATGTTATTTTCTACCATAATAGATGAAAGAAACAGGAAAAGCATAATTGTTGAAATCCCTTTCTGTGCTGCTGCATTTGACTCGTGTGGAATATTATTTGATTTTTACCACTTTTTTTAGAGGAAGAAGGAAGGATCATTATCATCACTCGATTCTAATATCAATTCATGTATTTGAATAATTAATTTTTATTTATTTTTTTATTTTTTTATGGATGTCTGTCTCGTAGACATTATTGGTTTTGCTTTGCTTTGGATTGCAAGTATCTGATGCAGCTGTAGGTTGACATGGACCTCCATTTGCACGCCTTTTGCTCAGAGTCAAATGTTTATTTACCTATCTTATAAATATATATATATATATATATATATACATTTATATGTGACAAAGCTTTCGGATTAGTATAGATTAGTTGATGATTGGATCAAGTCAGAATTGTGTTAATTTAATTGGATCAACATATGTAATAGAAATAATCAATATATATTAGCATATTTATAATATAATATATTTTATATTATAATTCAGTCTATGTTGTACCAGAGGATACGTGTATTTTCATATTGTCTAAAATTTTCAAAATTCATTTAGTAAATCTATATATATATATTCTAAAAGTTATATTATAATAAATATTTATTTATTTTTGTTTGTTATTCCTTATTCTTGAATGCTTGCTTAAGCCCTGTCCAGATAATTGTGCATATAAATTAGTATAATTTGACCATTGCATAAAGTCAGCCTAGCTCAATTACGAGATGCTGTGTGTCATCGAATATTGATATATATATATATATTTCTGTATTAATTATTATGTATAGAGTTAATTAATAATGAAAGAACGTGGCAGTTTTGTGGAAAGGTACCTAACAAGAAAGCGCCGGCACCAATTACTATCGGATACAGCTAATGTGCACCCACCCTGCATTACCAACGATCATTACGTGTGCATGGCCCCACAATTTTTAATTATTATTTTTTTCTTTTTACTGCTTATTATTATTTTTTTTATTTTCCCATAATGGCCCAATATTTGAAAGATAACATGTAAAGAGTCAATCGTGTAATTAATTATTAAGGAAGTGTTTGGACAGTGTTGATTGAACATGGAAAAGGAGAATACTTAACTATTTATATTAGGAAATTTTTTTCTAACATTTCTTTTAAATTGTCTAATCGTTGTTTGCCCGTGATAGTCTTACTAGACTTTAGGGGATTTTACCTAAAAATTTACTATTAATCAAAAAAATATTAAATTAAATATCTATTTTTTATTTTTTATATTACACTAAAATTTAAATTTATATTCAAAACATCACATAAAAAAAAAAAAAAAGGATTGGACTATCGTCCCTGTCATGATTAGTTCCATTAACAAATACTACTTTCGTCCGGCTCTAAAAATTTCATTTACTTTTTACATATTTATTTTTGAATATCAATAAATATGAAAATATAGTACAAATCAAGAGAAAATGATAAAAATACTTATATTAGTGACTTATAATACTTATTATAGTGATATTTGTGCAAAAAAATTATACAAATATAAAAAAAAAATTAATGTTAAAGACAATGACGTAAAATGTGAATGATATAGTGTGTTGTTTTCAACTTATTATATTTTGTCTTTTACACTTTTGTTCAAATAACTTTTTAATATGAAATTATATAAGAAAAATAATACTCCATTAGTCTCAAAGCAACATTTTTTTTTTCCAAACTAACTGCAATATTTTTCAAATTTAGAAATAATTAATAATATATATACATATATTAATATACACTTCACTTTATCTTATCACATCACTTAATATTTAAATTATCTCAAATTATCGTACTTAATACTCTCACCTAAATTCTCGTACCAAACACAATGTTTTACAATATTTGCGACGAAAATAGTATAATTTTATTAAAATTAAAATTAAAATTAGTAAAATAAAACTATATAAAAAAAAGCCGAAATATATATACATATTAAAATGATTGCTACTCCATAATACTCCATCTGTTTCATGTAATATGGGTGTATTACCGTAGACACGAGAATTTAGATAAATTATAATTAGTAAGTAATTAAGAAGTGTATTAATAAAAATAATTATAGATTAAGATGAAGATAAATAAATAGTTTAATTAAAATTAAAAAAAATTATAAAATTTAAAATATAAAATGCGATTAAAGTGCATAATTATATTTTAAAAAATAAAAAGAACAAATTATATGGGACGGACGAAAATAAAAAATATGGAAAAATTATGTCGAACGGAAGGAGTATTAATTGGTGCGACAGACGTCAAATTGTTAGGGTTTCACGAAGTCGCAGTTCGCCTAATTCGTAAATCAGTAGTAATTATAAAGGGGATGGCGTTGGCGAATGGCAATTGGCACACCGCTACCTATACAAACTATAAATATATAAATAAATAATTAAAATTATATTATTTATTATTTTGGACTTCTTTTTATTTTATTTAAAATTAAAATTAAAATTATTTTATTTTGTATTATTTTAATTAAAGGTAAATTATTTTTTGTTATAAATGATCAAATTAAAATATTCTCTCCTTTCCACTAAGAAGGAATACAGTGTTTTAAGTAATGTAAATTAATAATTATTATTAATATATTATGATATTATTTTATTATTTTTTAAATGAGTAATATTATTCGTATTTTAAATATTTTCATAATTATATTTTAATATAATATATATAATATAGATATCATTTTATAGATATATAATAAAATTTTATACTTCTTTCGTTCCATAAATATAGTTTTAATTGGGTTGGACACGCGATTTAAGAAATATTGATATTATATTGGTAGTTAGGTAAAAAATATGGATAAAAGATTTTTTTTTTGCCCTTATGAGTATATTAGTGTAAAAAGTAGTGACAATTATATAATAATAATGAAAAAATAAAAATGTTTTATGGTAATATTGTTATTTATGGAAATAAGACTATTGTTTTGAGACGAACAAAAATGATAAACAAGACTATTGTATTGGGACGGAAGAGTATAATATAAATAAAAAAAAAATTATATATTAACTTAAAACTAAATTTATAAAATAAATTGAGAAATTTAAAATATAAATAAAAATATTTATTTATTGTGGAGATATATAAAATAAAGGGTTTCAAATAATTTTGAATGTATAAAAAATTTAAAAATTTAATTAATATTTATTAAATATGTTTAAAATAAATAAATTTACTAAAAATAAAAAAAAAATATCAGTATTTTACATGAATGACAATAAAGAAAAAAAAAGTTATGAAAACGAACGGAGTATTATTTAAATAAAATTTAAAATTAATAGTATTTTATTTATTTTTCTTCTCACTCATAATTATGGTTTGGTTAAACACGGAAAACCATGATTACTTTAATTAATACTCTCTCTGGCCATGTAATATAGGTGTATTACCGTAGATACGAGAATTTAGGTAAAGTATAATTAAAATTAAGATAACTAAATAGTTTAATTAAGATTAAAAAAAATTAAATTTTAAAATTTAAAATATGATTAAAGTGTATAATTAATTTTTCAAAAAATGAAAGGACAAATTACGCGAGACGAACGAAAATAAAAAATATAGACAAATTAAATAAGACGGAGGGAGGAAGTCCTAAAAAAAACATGGCCTACTCGTACTTGCTTTGTTCTGTACGTGACACGTGCCAAAGCTAGCTAATCCTCCAAATTGATGTTCTAACTTCACACGAATTACTCCCACCTATCATTTTTAATCATTCAAAAATATTTATTTAATTTTTTTTAAAAAAAATATATAAATTTTATAACAATAGATCACGCATACGTGCTATATATATATTTTTTAAAAAAATTATATTTATTTGTTGAAATAAAAATAAGCACGGGAACATGTGTTCAATTTTTTTAAATATATATATATATTACATTAATAATATTATATCAAATTAAAATAAATATAATACTCTCGCATAAAAAAGACCTTTAAGTTACTGTCACAATATATAATCCCTACATTTTTGTCTAAATTATATTCTCTCTTCCGTCACATATCTATATATTCATTTACTTTTTAAACGAAGTTTAAAAATATTAGTATTATATTAGGATAAAGTATAAATAAATGTAAAAATATTAAATTAATTCTATTAGTATTTTATGATATAAAAAGGTAATAACATTTGTGTAATATATTGTAAATTAGAAGGGTATTTGTAATGTTAGGTAGATAGTACAATTACTAAAAAAAAAAATGAATACTTTGTTATGGAACGGACCAAAATGAGTATATGAGAATTTAGGTAAAATATAATTAATAAGTGTATTAGTAAAATTAATTAGTTAAGATTAAAGTTACTAAATAATTTAATTAAAATTAAAAAATTATAAATTATAAATTTTAAAATATACTTAAAGTATTTAATTATATTTCTATTATTATTGTTATTATGTTTTGTTTTTATGTAAATCAGACCAAAATGTAAAATATAAATATTTATTAAATTTCATATAAAAAATAAATGAAACATATCGAACATAAGAAGGGAATGATAGTTTTACTTTTTAAATAATTTTTTTCTACTTACTTTGAATTATTGTTTTTAAAAAAATTATATCTTTATAAAATATATTATTTTCATTCATTTTAGTAACAAATATTTATATTTAACATGTAATTTAAGACATATTGTATATTAGTAATAGTGAATGATAATTTTAATATTAAAAAACAATATACACTTATAATTGAAAAATGAGTGTAAAGATAAATAAAATCAAATATACTAAGTACTAAAATAACATAATTTAAAATATTTTTAAAAAATATATTCCTTGGCCCCCATTTTAATTGATAGTTTTATTTTTTACTTTTTGGGTTTGTCCAATAATTGGTGGTAAAATTTACTGAATCAAAATATAATTAACAAATAAAAACTAAAAAATATATAATACTCCCTCCGTCCACTTACAATGTTGGCATATTTCTATTTTGGGATGTCCAATTACAAAGTTAACATTTCATTATATATCCTACTTTTTTTCACAAATACCCTTACTTTACATCACATCATTACTTTTACACAAAAAAGTAAGGGCAAAAATATCATTACACTACTTTTAACAACTCACTGTTAAAATATTATTATTTTTTAAACACTGCGTCAAAAGTAAACGTAAACCTTGTAAATGGACGGAGGGAGTATAAAACATCATATATATATATCATCTATTTTTATCACTTTCTTAAAAAATTAAATATTTTTATAGACTATTTTATAAATTATAAATAAATAAACATATTTTTTATTTATTTGTATTATAAAAAATTTTAATTTTTACAAAATACTAATATTTATCTTACTTATTTTTTATTTTTTATTGTCATATAATTTTTAAAATATTTAAATAAATAAATATTTTAAAACTTTTAATAATATATATTAAATTTATTTTAAAATTATTAATATTATTTATTAAATAATATAATATTTTAAATTATTATTTTGAATTAATTTAATATCATTATTTTAAATATAATATCATTAATAAAAATGCTCTTTAGCCTAAAATTCTCAATTTAGACTTTATGTTCCTTAATAAAAATATAATTTTTTTTCTCACAGATATTTTATCAAATTTTATTGTAATATTAAATTTAAATCAAACAAACAAATCCATATATTCCCAATCTTATTTTAATACTAAATTTAAATCAAACAAACAAATCAATATATTCCTCCGCCCGACAAAAAAATTGTCATTTTTTGCATGATTATACTTAATATTAAAAATATACTTCCTCCATTCTATTAGAAGAATGACGTTTATTTTTTACACATAAATTTTTTAATATTAGTATTATATTGAATTATAGTAAAAAATATGGTATAATATAAAAGTAATAACATTTGTGTAATATATTGTAAGTTGAAAGGATTTTTATTATGCTAAGTAGGGAGTACAATTACTAAATTAGAAAATAATAACCTTATTTTGGGACAAAAAAATAAAAAATTATAATATTTTAATAGAACAAATAAAATATTATATTTATATAATATATTCGATAAATATTACTGTATATATATTATAAAAAATTAATAAATATATATTTATTTTTTATATATATAATATGTATTAATATAATAATTAATATTTAAATATTTAAAGCTCGACTCTCAAATGACGTGAAAGTGCAGTGAAGAAGTAAGAATATATACATGATCTTTACTTTCGAATTCATTCACTACAGAAACAAACACCTGTCAACACTTCGAATAGGGACTTCACAGCTGTAACTCTACAACTCCTTTAAATTATTGTAAGGCACCACCTTTCCGCCTAATTCCAATTTCCAATTACATTTCAACATTTATATAACTGCACCTTTCCACAATTTTCAAAATTTACACACTCATCTCCAACAATTACAATTATAACTTTTACCCCCAAAATTAGGATTAATATCAATCAATTACCTAAATTATTTACTTAATAATCCATTATTGAAATCCCTCAACGAGCAGAAGAGTATTCATAATTCATACTCACAGGCCTTTCCTCAAATCAACGACGACGACGCTGACGTTATCCGTACTGCGACGCGCCAACGCCAGTTTCGTCAGCAGAATCGACGCGTCGGAGCAGGCCTTGCCGGAGCTCTCCTCCGGTTGAGGTTTCCGAGACTGGAGGCACATCCGAGCTACTCCGCACGCCGTCTCGTTTGACACCACGTCCCAGAGGCCGTCGCTCGCCAGGATCAGGCACTCGTCGTCCGCCGTACGCGCCGTCACCGTCACCTCCGGCTCCGATATCACGTACGGCTTCAGATAATTGTCGCCTGAAGTTCATCGGAAATGTTATTTTACGAATGACTGAATTTTTGGGGGAATTGAAAATTCGAATTTGGAATTGATTTGGGGATTACCGATTGCTCTAGACATGGCTAAAACTCCGAGAACCCTTGGACCGTCCCAGTATATGACTCGGCCGCCAGCTTCCCGTATCCGGTTCAGCTCGTCCGGCCGGTCCGGCTGGCAACAAAAAAATAACCGCCACAATGTTAGTTTCTTAGCTAGTTAGTTACAAACACAAAATAATAATAAATCCTCTCGCTTACTTTGTGATCCACCGAGAGGGGGAATGCGACGCCGTTTCGACAGAGTACGGCACGCGAATCGCCGCAGTTGGAGACGACGATCTCGCCGGGAGTTACGACGGCGACGACGGCGGTCGATCCGACGGCGTCGCATTGAGGAGTCCGGAGCTCGCAGCGGCAGCCGGAGGCGGAGGTGGATTTGTGGCCGGCGCCGCACTGAGTGACTTCTCTATCCATCTTTAAGAAGGTTTCCTTCATTCTCCGCTCCCATGACTGTTCTCCGATTTGGAGCTCCTCCTTCAGTATTTCGTGCATCCTCTCCTTGCACCTAGTCGCTACCTGCAATTATTCAGACGAATCAAATCAAACTCCATCCATATATATATATATATATACACACAGTAAGTACATAAGAGGTTGTGATTTGTGAAGCTCACGTGAGAGCATCCATGGCCGTCGTAGACTCCAAAAAAATGCAAATCGCTAGGGCAAAAAGAGGAGTGAATCGACACAGCGTCTTCCATGTCTCGCCTCCTTCCGCAAACAGAGGTCACACCAAATTTCAGATCCATTGAGGAGAACGATTTGCCAATCGCCGCCTCCGCTCCGCCGTTCAAAAGGTTCACCTCCTTATTTTCCTTTTCCTCATGAAAATCAGACTTCGGAGCCACAACCGGAGCCACGGCGGCGATCTTCTGCCTTTTCCTCCTTCCTCCGGCGGCCGAATCGGTAGGCGCAAAATTGAATTGATGAATCTCCATCCTCCTCCTCCTCCTCGGCGAAGCAGCCTCCGTTTCTCCAATACTAACTCCACAGCACATCCCCGCCATAGCTCGTCAAATCCAAAGCAACAAATATAGCTCCACAACCGCAGAAATTGAGCAAACAGCGAGAAAAGAAGACGAAGTTGTGAAAATCACGAAAAAGGAAAGTCCGTAAGAGAAGAGCTGAAAGAGAATGAGAGGTCCATTTATTATAACCGTACTTGATTGATCGGGCAGCTGCCCGCCACCTTCTCGGGCAGGAAAGCGACATGTATCCGACACGCACCGTTGGTGCGACGCAGAAACCGCTGATTGCCGGAAAGCCGATCTGAGCCGTCCGATCAACGGCCATCTCGATCGAGGAGTCAACACGTGTCAACAATTTTGCTACGTGGACCAATAGAAAGACGACACGAGTTGTTTCAAACCGGGGGCCTTCCACGGCTGACACGCATATGGTCAACTTGTCTTTGCGGGACCCACTGATACTATTTTATGGTATCTATTTTATAATTTTCTGTGGCCTACACAAATAACATGTTTGTTTTTAAAATGTTTTTCATTTTTTTGGTTGAAAATAGGAAAGTTTTAGACGTAAAGAAATTTGCTTGATATTATATATTTGAGAAAAAATAAATTGAGGAAGAGTTTGTTTAAATTTGGCCTTTAATTAAAACTAAAATTATTCAAATAGTATATAATTTTTAAAAAAATTATACTTTCAGTCTCAATACAATAATATTATTTATTATTTTTATTTATTTTAAAATAATAGACTAATTTTCATAAATCTTCATATTACAATAATTTTTTTATTATTATTATACAAATATTCCTATTTTTTAAATTAATACATTAATAAAATATTATTATTTTTAAAATCTAGTGTCTAATATAAATAGCACTCTAATTCTGAAATAAACCAAATATTATTTTTTCTTATAAATAATTACATTAGAATAATAATAATATATAAAATAAAATCAAAAAAAAAAAAAAAATATATATATATATATATATAAAATCAACCAAACAAACCCTAGTTAAATCTCTTTGATAAATAAATTATTTGTATTCAATTCATTTCCAGATTTTGTTGGATTGCATGAGTGTTCTTTAGATATTTTTATTTTTGGCAAAATTATTCATTATTCTCTTGTGTCGTCTTGAAATTTATCGTAAATCTTTATATACTTTAAAAAATTGCATACCAATCTTTTTTTTATGCTAAGTTTCAAATTCATAGGAAAATTATGAAGAATTTTGCCTTTTATTTTTGTAGCATATTACTCTCATTTCATATTTTTACACCTTACATCCGATTAGACAAACGCAACAATTAATTATTTATTCGTATAAATATGGACGGTGAGATTCGAACTCAAGAACTAGCCCAAGCTTTGATAAGTGGAGTAACATTTTACCTTTATAAACAAAGAAAAATCTCACATTTTTTTTTTCCCAATGTGAGATATATTTAACTTTGGGATAGAGAAATATATCGAACATACCGAAATACAGACGCATCGTACCGTATTGTATCGTGTCGAAAATACCAAAAATTTCGGTATGGTATCGATATGAATTTACAGAAAATTTGGTATTTCGGTATGATACTGTATCGATATTATTTTTATTAAATAATTTAAATATTAATATAAATAATAATTATTAATTTTTTTTTTAAAATCATAACAAAAAATATGTAAACTATTAAAAATTTATTGATTTTTTCGTAATATTTTTGTGGTGGAGAATTGTGATATTTATTAATTTTTTAATTATTTGAAATTTAAAATTATATTTTCGGTATAATCGGTATATACCAATCTCTACCGAAATCAAAATTTTCGGTATAAACGGTACAATACCGGTATGTATTTTCGTCATACCAAAAAGTTTGGTACGATATCAGTATCGACCGATATTTTCGGTACGGTACGGTATGTCATCCCTAGTTCAACTGATTCAAATAAATTTGGACCACTCACTCAGTATCGTTATCGTCAGTGCCCCTAATTCGATTGCAAACTAAGCCTCACATGACAAGTCATATCAAAGGAACTATGTATATGAAATAAGATTAAAAAACATCAGAATTTGAATCTATGATCTTCAGTTACGAGTTTATCCCTACATCAATAGACTATCCTTTACTAAACATGACCATATCAGTATAAATAAATTAGTACAGGATAATTTATAAAATATCATTTATTTTATTTTAAATATCAATGTTTAATATGTAAAATAATTTGTATATATGCATATATAATTATTAATATGTAAAATTCATTAATTTGTCTTATAGTTTCTCCAATGTGAATAAATTGCCAAAAACAATTTGAGCACATATAAGTTATACCCATCCATACAACAAATAAAATTATCTTCTTATGATTCAAGAGTGTACCTACATTTTATTTTTTATTTTTTCTCCATTTATTTTGATAGAAATAGATAATCGTTTATATATATATATATATTTTTAATATTTTACAGTGAAGAAATACATATAAAAATTCAATAAAGATTGGATATTATTTTTTTAAACTAAAAATAAAAATAAAAATACTTCTAAATGAGCCAAAATAAGAAAACACATTACTTTTGGACCAAGAAGGAAATAAAGAATTTATTTGATTTTGATTTGAAATTGATTTTTTTTTTTTTTTTTTTTTTTAATGAGTTTGGACAAAAATAATTATTTAAATCAATGTTCTCACATTTTTTTTTTAAAAATATATAATTGACTTTGTAACTATCAAGCCTAAATTGCATTGTTAATTGCCTGATTGGGCCCAAATCACAAATATTGGGCTTATTGTTGGTTAAGTGTTGGTTTGATTGTGATTTTAATAAATTATTAGATTTTTAGTAAAAGTGCATTTATTTTTTATCTTACAAAATGTAATACTCGCTCCGTCTACAAACTAATATCCTATTTTTCTATTTTGGACGTCCAATAGTTGTTCTATTTCATTTTTTAAATACAAATTTTATATTTTTACCTTTTATTCATTTATTATTTTTCATCTCTACCATACAATTAAGGACAAATTTGTCAATTCATAACAAAAGACAATCACGGAGGGAGTATTAAAATAATATCTAATAAAAAATTCAAACAATATATTTCAAATCAATTTTAAAAGCACAAAAATTGTGGTTTATATCTGTTAAATTTTATAGAATTTATTATGATTAGTTTTTTACAATTATTTTTAAAATATATTATTATATTTAACTATAATAATTTTATTTTGTAAATATTTTTTTTCAAATGTATCTATTTTATCATTTATGTTTAACTAAAGAGTATTTTTTTTTAATAAAATATTTTCTAATTAAATATCAAACTAATCCTATTTTATTTCTTTTTTAATCTCACTAATATAAGGGGTAAAATCAACTCTATATTTCTTTATTATCTTATACATTTACAAAATATTAATATACCTAAATTTGCATGTAAAAGTCAAATTGATATTTTTCACTCGGACCCGTATAATTTTTAATAAAACATCAATCAAAATGCTATTTAAATAAATATCAAATCAATATTTCTTTTCAAATTAATTTCAAATTTCGCGAAATTCAAAACCCATATTAGTAAAAGTTAATATTGCTAACTGATCCATCAGATTATTTTGGAAAAAAACAATTAAATATAATGAATTTTCATTCCACGTCGGGTAATAGGTTTATATATTTCCATTTTATCTATGATTCTTACCCAATATTTTTGCCAATATCTACATAGATATTTATTTACATGCTAATCTGTTGAAAGAGTATTTGAAGTATATTACATGATAATTAATTTATTCCCAACTAATAATAATAATAATAATAACTAATAATAATAATAATAAATATAATAATAATAATAATATATTTATATTAAATGATGATAATAACAATATCGTGTTCTCGTCGTGCAGTCGGTTAATTCTTCAGTTCCAAACCACTCATAAATTCTCGTCCCTTTCCTCATAAATCATCGAAGAATTGTTCATCTCTTCCACCCAATAAATTCACGAAACTGAAATTCCCACAGATTCAAATGCAACCATAAAAGCAACCTGAGAATTTTCAGAAATCGAGGAGATGAGCCCGACCCGGCCGCAATCCCCACCCGACCCGTTTAAGGCATCCAAGGAGAAATCCGGCGACGCCCTAACCACATCCTTGAAGGCCGCGATTGCGATCATCTTATCCTTCTCTGTCTCCTTCGCTCTCTACACCCTTGTCCACGTCACCTCCGCCCGACCCGCTTTCTTCCGGTCGCCCGACCCGATACACCGCCAACAGAGACTCGGCTCCTCCGCCGCCGACGAACCGGCCACGAATATTTCCCACATAGCCTTCGGGATCGGCGGCTCGGCTCGGACGTGGCAGAGCCGGGGGCGCTATTCGGATCTCTGGTGGAAACCCGGCGCCACCCGGGGCTTCGTTTTCCTTGACGAAGAACCGGGCCGGGAGACCGGCCGGTTCAAAATCCAGCACCGGGTCTCGTCCGACTGGAGGCGGTTTAGGCACACGGCCGGGTCGGATTCGGCCGTTCGGATCGCCCGGATTGTGGCGGATTTGTTCCGTACTGAGTTGCCGGAGGTGCGGTGGCTGGTGATGGGGGATGACGACACCATCTTCTTCCCGGAGAACGTGGCGGCGGCGCTGGCGAGGTACGATCACCGGAAAATGGTGTACGTCGGCGGAAGCTCGGAGAGCGTGGAACAAGACGTGATGCATGCGTACGGCATGGCGTTTGGCGGCGGCGGTTTCGCAGTTAGTTATCCACTCGCGGCCGGTTTGGTGAGCGAGATCGACGGCTGTCTTGACAGGTACCATTATTTCTACGGCTCAGATCAGCGCGTGTGGGCGTGTGTGGCGGAGTTCGGTGTGGGATTGAGTAGAGAACCCGGTTTTCACCAGGTAACTTCGGTTCATGCATTTTGTTAAATTTGAATGATCCACGCCGTTCATCTCGCTAGCGAAAATGAACGGTGTAGATTCATCGTATGTTGTGTAGGAGTTTCACGCCGGTAGTCAAGTTGGCTGATTCCTACTACGGCCGGCTACCGGCTTTTTATGATGGACTGACACGTGTCATGTTGTGGAAATCTAAATGAGCACAGCTCACGCACACTACTCATTTGGGTTTCTGCCACGTGGCGGCTATATGTTCTAAGACCATGTATAAATAGGGGATGGGGTTTATAAGTATTCTTTTTAGAGTTAATCAATATTGAATAGGTAAATAAATAATTAAAAAAAAAATTGTTCATGTGTTATTGTATTATTTGATTTAAATTATTATATGTCATATTAAAAAAAAAAACCTGGAAATAAATAAATACAGTATATATTTTTGCACATATATATTCCACACACACAAGTCCACACGCAACTTAATTTCATTTAAAATTATACTAATCTTAAAATTCAATGCTCCGTAACGGCATATTTGTCTATTTTAATTAATTTAATGCTATATATAATAATTAATTACTGGACGTGTACGAAAAGGACAATCTTGTAGGTCTTTTCCAGAACTGACTAGGAATTAACCAATGACCTCATTCTTATGTTGAAATGCGATTCATGTGGATATTATTATTTATTAGAGAACTAAGACGACTTAGGATGCGTTTACCTATATTTTTCAAAAATAAAAATAACAATAATAATGATATAAAACAAGTGGTACTCATGTAAGGATATATATATATATATATTTTCTTTAAAGTAACGGTATTTTCTACTAATACCAGTATATTTTATAAATATTATTACTTTTATACTATACAATACTAGTAAAATTATTTTAATTTTTTTTACTCTGTACAAAAAGTAAACAAACCCCGTTTGGATTGGCTTTTGACGGGAGTTTTTGGCTTCTAATTATAAAAAAAGCAGTTTGCACCTGTTTATATTGGCTTCTGTCCAAAAGCATTTAGAAACACATTGAGAAAGTAGAAGTATTTTTCTGTTAAAATTACTGTTTTATCCTCGATGATAATAATGATAATGATAATAATAATAATAATAATATAATATTAAATTAAATAACTTATATATATTATATTTTAATACAATTTAAAAAATATAATTAATTTATGTATTATATTTGGATTAAAATTTAAAATTTAAATACTGAATGTAAATATGAGTATATAAATTTTTTAATTATACTTAAATTACTAAATATAATTAATAAAATTTAAAATAAATTATAAAATACAAATTATATAATATTATACTGTAATTTTATGTTTAATTGATATATTATTCTTAAATTAAAATTTTAAAATCTAAATAATCAAAATTTAAAATACATTTTTTATACTTTAATTTAAAATCTTTAAATATAATTTATAAAATTTAAATTAAATTATAAAAATGTTGTAGAAAAATACTAGTATTATATTAACCGCATGTCTTTTTAAATAATTTTAACAGTTTAAAAGCATAACGTCCAAATAATTTAAAAAATTGATTTTATAATAATTTATTCAAACATAAAATCGAAATCCAAACTAAACCTAAATAAATAAGAGACGGATAAAATATTATACTAGAAATTATTTTTACAACGAAAATATACTGTCAATCATTTCAAATCTCAAAATTCTAAATCCCAAACCAACGCATCCAATGTTTTTATTAAAGTTGCTGAGACTTATTTTGAAGATAATAAAAAACTTGTGTTTGAATTGTCCAGACCGACATTCGCGGCGATCCGTTCGGTCTCCTGTCGGCGCATCCGGTGGCTCCGCTGGCGTCGCTCCACCACCTGGACAACGTTAATCCGCTCTTCCCAGGCAAGACGCAGCTAGAATCACTGACACGTCTGTTCCAGGCGTACGAGTTCGATCCTTCTAGAACCCTCCAGCAGTGCTTCTGCTACCACGCCGACCGCCGGTGGTCGGTCTCCGTCGCCTGGGGCTACGCCGTCCAAATTTACCCTCTCTTCTTAACTCCGGCCGACCTGACCACGCCGGTCCTCACTTTTCAGACATGGCGGACCCGAAGCAACGGTCCTTTCACCTTCAACACTCGCCGTCTCGATCCCGACCCTTGCCGGCGACCGTTTGTCTTTTATATGGACTCTGTTAAGGATTCCGATTCCGGCGAGACATTGACGAGGTATCTTAAACTTGCAGAAAACCCTAACCCTCCACAGAACTGTGATCAAAGTTATGCACTTGCTATGGCTATTGAGGACATCCTCGTCTTCGCGCCAAAAATGGATCCTGGAGATTGGAAACAGGTTCAGGTTTGTTTTTATTTAGGTTTTGTTTTGGTTTTTATTTATTTGTTTGTTTATTTTGCATTTGTTGACTATATATCTTTGATGTTTTTAGTTGGTTTAATAATCATTAAAAAATTGCACAGAAAAGAGGAACTTATTTAAGGGGATAAAATTGAAAATATAAGTGTTTCATTTCAAGCATTATACATGTTTCGCTTCGATTGATTTTTATGTTGATTACGTCAAATCAATACTATCTAGCATATGCAATAAAAACAAACAACATATGTTCGATAGCAATGCTATAATTTTATGTAGTACACATGACATAATTTTATATAATACAATATATTATTGATTTTATCATGATATATATGTTCTTATACAGTATAATATATTATTGATTTCGTCACAATAAACATTTTTATACAGCACAAGACTAATATAAAATTTCATAGTACATACTTTCATATGACACATCATATTGTACTGTGTTGTAGTACATATAATCGAAACTACTGTCATATATATGGAGATGGTTAGGGTGCTGATATGAAAAAATTATCAGCACCATGATGATTTTTCAACTCAGCACACATTATATGTACAAACAACACAATATTATTATATACAACACATATTGTGTATAATAAATGTATGTGTTGTTTTTTTTTATAATAACAAGTGTGCTGTATAAAAATATGTCATGTTGCTAAAATAAACTGTTGTGTGTATTGTATGAGATTATAACATATGCTGTTAGTTTATATGCTGTTAGTTTATGTGTTGTGTTTGTATTATATTAACATATACAATGTGTTGTTTGTAATGATATTGTGTGTGCTGTTAGACAACACACGATGTGCTGTTGAGGTTATAGCATGTGTTCTTTGTTCATGTGATATATTTGTATTATATTAACACAACACACCATGTGCGGTTCAACAGCTGAATTTTTGCGCGTGTATATATATATATATATATATGTTGAGATGGTTGCAGTGATTAAACCCTAATTTTTGTGTGTCCTCCATTAATGATGATTGAAAGCTGTTTGTGTGACCGACCCACCCCTCCCAATAAGTCAATGTAATTACATGACTTAATCGACTTGTAATTTATGGATGAATTAATGTGCAGAGGCCAAGAAGGCATTGCTGTGAGATCATTCCAACAGGAAATAATACCACACAGACTGCTGGAACGTTGAGGATTCGAGTGAGAAAGTGTAAACCTGCAGAAAGGATATCCATTTGATCATCCTTCTGTAAGGCTTTTGTCTTTTTTCTTACACTGCACCAATATATATATATATATATTGATTGATTAACTGTTTGTAAATAATTAATTATTCAAATATTGTGATAGCACTGATCGGATTTTTTTGGCATTTTTATTTATTTTGTGACAACCCAATATCATATTATTATTATTATATTAAAAGATCTTGACTTTGTTAAAAAAAAAAAAAAAAAAAAAAACTGGGAAGATGTTGGTGCAGAGTGGGCATTGACATTGAGGAATAAGTCGAAGAGAATTTATGTTGCTTGACGACAAATTAAAATGTTTATATTATGGCGGTGTTATATCTTGTTGATTATGTAGAGAATAATTCAGCAATATTTTAATTTTTCTATGTAGTTGGATCAATTTATATTTACTCAGTTTGTACTAGTTTTCCAGTCGCAGTCGAATCCAAATTGTAATAAGTTTAGACAAGAAAGAACCAATTTATTGATAATGAATCCAAATTGTAATAGGCAAGACAAGAAAGAACCAAAGATTGATAATGAAACCCAATGGGATGTGAACTACCTTCACCTAATTCTCCTGTGTGGCGCAGTCCCATACACCACCGGAGTTTTATGAAATTGCGCCAAATCTTTCGTATTTTTAAAACTGCCTCAAACTTTCTCGTGGTTTCATAAACTATGCCTCTAATCCTCTTCCCGGTTCTTATTTATAGATATTTGACATAAATGCGTCCAAACTGCGAATAATTTTTAGAATCTCAATTTTTAAACCCCTAAAATTAAAAATATATTTATTTTTCTTATATTTAGCCTAAAAATACAGTAAAAATAAAATCTTAAAATCCGATAAAATAACTATTTTTGAGTATATTTACTATTTTTTCAAACTAAACATAAAAAACAAATATATTTGTAATTTTTTTAGGAGTTTATAAATTGATATTTTAAAATTTATTTGCAATTTGGGCGCATTTAGGTCAAATACCATTAAATAAGAACAACCGAGAGATTAGACGAGAGTTTGGTTTTGTGCAATTTAGCCTTTATTTATTTTTACCTTAACAGCAAATAAATAAATATATTGAAGGCCATAAGGTTCACATAATATAATACTTATATATATATATATATTTTAAATGTGGAATCCGCAGTTATTACTCGACGAGTGCGTTTTTGGTAAATCTCTGATTCACTACAAATTAGGTCCGATAAGACAAGTTACACTACACAAACATGTGACAGAGATTTGGAGACGTCGGAATTTGAACCCATAACCTATTCATCTCTACACCACGAGACCATCTTATGGGAGCTATATGCAATATATATATATATTATAATAAAATTTGTTTTTAAATAAACTGATAGCATAGAAAATTACAAGAGTTTATAAGGCACTATAATTACAAGCAATACCTACCCATAAGGTGTGAATCTTCATTCCAATATAGATCAAAAGGCAAAGCCCAATCCAAAATACTTGAGTTAGGTCAAATTTAAAACCCAAACCAAATATAAACTCACAAAAGAGAAAAAAAAAAAAAAAAAAAATCCAAATAGCCCTAAACACCAACCAAAACAATCTCAAGTCAAACAAACCAAATTAACATGTTTGGTAAGAAATGACGTAGGATCATAAAGTTTTATTAAATTCGATCTGAGGTTTACTCGATTCGGCGAATAAAATTGTAACACCCTCAGTTGGCTCATACTGGAAATGCTACCGCCACACTGCATCATGAGGTCGTCACCTCCTACTTCGGGCCTCACAACACAGTGTTAAGGCTAAAATTAATTATATAAGCATTTTATTATTTCCAAAAAAAACAAGTTTATAAATATTTACAAAAACATACTCCCAAAACGGGAGGTTTTTCTAGTTAGAATTTACATATAATACATCAGATACAGTTCACTCATTCAGCCCGTCTTTCTATCTCCCGAGACGTCCCCTGTCCCGGAGGTGCCATGCGTACCTGAATCAAATATTTTTCTTAAAAGCAGTCTAGAATTAAATCCATTTTAAGAACTAACATAAAATATGCCATGCCCATACTGAAATAATGTAACAATAATGTCAAAATCGACAACTCATGCACATATACCCATATACATATGTCAAAGTGAGCAGCCGGAATAACCTCGGCTCCATAATAACGGCTCACTAGACTATCATCAATAAATAGCCGGAAAATCCTCGGCTCAAGGAAGGACCTGGTAAACCCATAATAATATAACGGTCACCGGTCACTTCCATATACCCACCATACAACTCCCGCAATCAATACATGGATAGCCGAGCGTTGTCGCCATTAACCACAAGACACCCCATAGTCTGTGATAGCGAAGATAGGACCCTCCTGTCTAGCCCTACCCCGTGTAACGTAGTAGAATCCGTGCAACCTGGAATCACCCGAAGGAAACCCGGAAACTCTACTCCTCCTCGCACGCCCTAACGGGATCGTGTTTGGAGTTTGGCATATGATCCTAAACTACCGGTAGACCTCACTAGTAGCTACTCCAATGAGTGGAACAACACCGAACACGAATGATTAGACCAAATACGTCTCAACTGCAATGGGTCTAATCCCTGAATGACCGTGCGACTAAGTCACCCAGTTGTCCGACTACTATCGTCCACTATCGCCAAAGTGTTACGGTACATCGGGGTCGAATATCCTAACCCCAGATGATGCCCTCGCCTAGCACTACCGCACACGGCGACTAAACGATAGATCCATAAAACATATCCGATAAATCGTGCGATGTGTGCAGCATGTCAATAAGTGAATTTAATGAAAAGGGCTGGTGAGACGGCCCACCTATCCTCCATTTCATAAATTCACCAACACGATCAAATACGTATATCAAATATCGTAAAGCGAAGTTTCACACATGCATATATACACACATATATACATATATAGATGCACTGACCAAATGATTCCACATAATATCATATCAATATCAGAATCAGAATCACATGCAACATAAATACCTAATTTCTTAAAATTAGATTTAATTCCCTACTGCTTACCTCCTACCGATACTTTCTGGATTTTTATAACTTCACCCAAATCTCCTCCAACGTACACCTGTCCCATTATTTACTCAAATCAGATGAGCTTTATGCTTATTCTCAGGAGCTACCTGCTTATTCAAAAGCTAATTTCTATAATTAACTCGTCGGGCTCCAAACTTTTATATTTAGTAGAATATGATATTCTAGCTATAAAATCCTTCTACCTCATAATATTTATATTGCCCGATTATTAAATAAAAATACGCAAAGGTATGAACAAGCAGGCAGGTGCGATATACTGCCTTTTTTATTCGACTTGGATTGGTACGAAATTCTCAAAATATAACGTCGGCGCTACGAATAGGCTATTAGCTAAAGAAATTCATCGATTAAATAGCTAAATAGCCAATTTTGAATTTTTGAAGAATTTCTAATTTAATACTCCAATATCAAAATTCGTATTAAAATTTATAATCGGACTCTACGAATAGCAAGGAATACCATACCCAAGTCGGAATTGGAATCGGATGGCTAAATCTTTTTCTTTCTTTTTTTTTTTTCTCCTTTCTTCTCCTTCACGTTTCTTCCTCTGCCTTCCTTCGCTTCGCAGGTAAGTTTGCTTGTTTTTCTTTACTTAATAAATATATTTATATTATATTATATTATTATTATTATATATTATATTATATTATATTATACTATTATTAATGTTATTATTATTATTATTATTAACATCTTTATCCTCTTTATTTATTTATTATATTATATTATTAAATTATATATTATATTTTTATATTTATCCTTATCGATATTTATCCATTTAACAGTCTTTTCAATCATAATCAACATATAAAATATGAATAAGATTTATCCCAAAATATTTAATTTCTTGATTCCAAAATATTATAAAATATTTATTTGCTATAATAATATTATTTTATAAACTCCAAAATCGGAGTATTACAATTCACTCCCCCTTAAAAGATTTCGTCCTCGAAATCTAAACTCAAACGCATAATAACACTACTCAATTAAACAAATGTGGGTATGCTTTGAACATCTCTTGTTCTACTTCCCACGTGACCTCTTCTGCTCCATGCCGGGACCACATTACTTTCACCATACGGATATCTCGATTCCTCATGGTTCGGACCTTTGTGTCCATGATCCACAGAGGCTTTTCTTCATACGAAAGATCTTCATTCAGCTCTATCTCATCTGGAGATAAAATATGAGAAGGATCTGCGACATACCTACGAAGCTGAGATATATGAAACACATTATGGATACGCTCCATAGAATTCGGAAGTGCCAACCGATAAGCCCAATCACCAACTCGATCGACAATTTCATAAGGTCCAACATAACGCGGACTCAATTTTCCTTTAATCCCAAACCTTCTAATACCTTTCATTGGGGATACTTTCAATAAGACAAAATCTCCACTTTGAAATTGACCCTCACGTCGGGCTCTATCGGCATAACTCTTTTGACGATCTTGAGCTGCCTTCATCTTTTCTCTGATAATTCGAATCTTATTTTTCGATTCCTCAATCATTTCCGGACCCAGTATCAGTCGATCACTCATATCGTCCCAACTCAAAGGAGTTCTGCATTTTCGACCATAAAGAGCTTCAAAAGGAGCCATTCCGATACTTGCTTGATGGCTATTATTATATGAAAATTCCACTAAATCCAAGTGGTCTTCCCAACTCCCTTGAAATTCCATAGCACAAGCTCTTAGCATATCTTCCAGAATACGGATAGTTCTTTCTGACTGACCATCAGTCATAGGATGGAATGCAGTACTCATATGCAACTGAGTACCAAAGGCTTCCTGCAATTTTTGCCAAAATCGAGATTGAAAACGTGGATCACGATCTGATATGATCACCTCAGGAATACCGTGTCGTTTAACCACATAATGAACATATAATTTGGCTAATTTCTGCATACTCCAAGTCATACGTACTGGAATGAACACTGCTGACTTGGTCAATCTGTCTATAATCACCCAAATTGCATCTGTTCCCGACTTTGACCTTGGAAATCCTGTTACAAAATCCATTGCGATAGAATCCCATTTCCAGAGTGGAACTTCTAAAGGTTGTAGCAACCCCCTTGGTCTATGATGTTCTGCTTTTACCTTTTGACAATTTAAACATCGTGCAACAATTTGGCTACATCCTTCTTCATGCCCTTCCACCAAAAATGTTGACGTAGGTCATGATACATTTTATTTCCCCCCGGATGCACTGAGTATGGTGTATTATGAGCCTCACTCATAATCTGCTCTTTCAAATCATTTCGATCCTTTGGGATACACCACCTCCCGTGAAATCGAGGACTCCCATCTGGAGCAATATTAAAATTTTGAGTCTGACCGTACTGAACTTTCACTGCAAGCTCAACCATTTTATTATCTTCCATTTGAGCCGCTCTAATGCGATCATAAATTTCAGGCTCAACTTGTATCATTTGCAAATATCCCCGAGTCATACCCCGTCCAAGTACCTCAATTTCCATCCGCGCTAAATCTTGGCACAGTTCATCAGCAACCGACATGAAGCCCAAGTTATGCCTTGGTTTTCGACTTAAGGCATCGGCTACAACATTTGCTTTGCCTTCATGATACACAATTTCAAGATCATAATCCTTCACCAATTCTAACCATCTTCTTTGTCTTAAATTCAATTCTTTTTGGGTGAAGATATATTTCAAACTTTGATGGTCAGTAAATATTCTGCAATGGGCTCCATAAAGATAGTGTCTCCAAATCTTCAAAGCAAACACAACTGCTGCCATTTCCAAGTCGTGTGTCGGATAATTCTCTTCGTGAGGTTTTAGTTGTCGTGATGCATAAGCAATAACTCTTTGATTCTGCATTAAGACACATCCCAATCCCTGCTTCGAAGCATCACTATACACTTCAAAATCCTCACCTTCCACTGGTAAAGCCAAAATTGGCGCTGAAGTTAATCGATATTTCAATTCTAAAAAGGATGACTCACACTCGTGATCCCAGTTAATCTTTGCATCCTTTTTCAGCAAATTAGTTAATGGTTTTGCAACCTTCAAAAAATCAAGAACGAATCGCCGATAATATCCTGCCAAACCCAAAAAGCTTCTTACTTCTGATTGATTGGTAGGTCTTGGCCAATCCAAGATTGCCGCCACTTTAGAAGGATCTACTGAGATACCCTTTCCAGAAACAACATGCCCCAAGAAAGCAACCTCCTTCAACCAAAACTCGCATTTGGATAACTTGGCATATAACCTTCTTGCACGCAATATGTTTAATATTACATGCAAATGTTTTGCATGCGTCTTTTTATCTGGGGAATAGACCAAGATATCGTCAATAAATACCACCACAAACTGATCGAGGTATGGTTGAAAAATTCTATTCATCAACTCCATAAACGCAGCCGGGGCGTTAGTCAACCCAAAGGACATAACCGTGAATTCATAATGCCCGTATCTAGTCCGAAAAGCTGTCTTCGGAATGTCATGCTCTGCAATCCTTAGCTGATGATATCCAGATCTCAAGTCAATCTTTGAGAATATAGTTGCACCTCTCAGTTGATCAAATAGATCATCAATCCTCGGAAGAGGATATTTGTTCTTCACCGTGACTTTGTTCAGTCCACGGTAGTCAATACACAACCTCAAACTTCCATCTTTCTTTTTCACAAATAAAACTGGAGCTTACATCCAAAGTGACATACTTGGATAAATATATTCATTGTCCAACGATTCATGAAATGACAACTTAACCATGGGGAGCTCAAGGGTACTATCTGATGTGGGATTCTTATCACTCCGCCACACTTAAAACATGTCAATGGAACTTTATCACAACGGGTACCTGAATGACTTGTTCCACAATGTCGACAAACAACCCCCGATTGTTGAAACCTCTCTTGACTCGGTTCATTAATCGAAATCCCCTTATACGATGGCCCAGACCTAAACATTTGCCACCATTTCTTTTTACCCTTGGGTTCATCCTCCACTTTAGCTTTTCCCTTATCTCGAACCTGATGTTGATAACCTATTTCCTTCTCACTCTCCTTTTGTCTGACTTCCTGCTTCTGATAAAATCGGGCAGCACGCTCGTAAGCCTCATACAATGAACTGATATCCAACACCGCTAAAGCTTCTTGAATTCTGTGTTGCAACCCGTCTACAAAATGGTCAATTCTGTCTCGCTCACAGGAAAAGTAGTCAGGAACATACATCTCCAACTCATTAAACTTCACAAAATAATCCTCAACTGACATCGAGCCCTGCTTTAAGTCCAGCAATTCTTGCTTCTTCGCTTTTCGAATATGCGACGGTATAAACCTAGCCTTTAACTTTGCTTTAAATTCATCCCAAGTCATATCCACTTGGTCTACACCTGCAGCTTCTTCACCTAACCACCACCGATTTGCTCGGCCTTCCAAGAAATAGGCTCCAATATTAACTCGTTGATCTGGCGGAACCTGAACAACACGAAATATCTTTTCCATCTTTTCAACCCAAAACTCAAGGACTCCTGGCTCCACTGAACCAGAATATGTTGGTGGGTTATGCCGCATCACAGCATCAATGAAACTACTCTGTTGAGGCATCATCGCGGCCATAAACTGCCGAAAGAAATCCTGACTAGGTGCCTCTGTTGGTACATGCGCTGGCACAGGATACTGTGACTCATCAGACGAAGGGTCAAACTCTGGGCCTTGAATAGCCCTACGTACACCACCACCTCGAGAATTCGACATACTGCCCCCAATTTTTCCTGATTCAATATCAATTCAGCACACAGCTAAACCAAGCATAACAATAAAAGATAGATCACATTAACATGAATGCACCCGCAAAACCCAAACCTCACCAAACCAATTCAATATCATTATTATTTTCAAAACCTTTTTAATTCAAAGAGCCAAAATCTATCAAACCTAGGCTCTGATACCAACTTGTAACACCCCCAGTTGGCTCATACTGGAAATGCTACCGCCACACTGCATCATGAGGTCGTCACCTCCTACTTCGGGCCTCACAACACAGTGTTAAGGCTAAAATTAATTATATAAGCATTTTATTATTTCCAAAAAAAACAAGTTTATAAATATTTACAAAAACATACTCCCAAAACGGGAGGTTTTTCTAGTTAGAATTTACATATAATACATCAGATACAGTTCACTCATTCAGCCCGTCTTTCTATCTCCCGAGACGTCCCCTGTCCCGGAGGTGCCATGCGTACCTGAATCAAATATTTTTCTTAAAAGCAGTCTAGAATTAAATCCATTTTAAGAACTAACATAAAATATGCCATGCCCATACTGAAATAATGTAACAATAATGTCAAAATCGACAACTCATGCACATATACCCATATACATATGTCAAAGTGAGCAGCCGGAATAACCTCGGCTCCATAATAACGGCTCACTAGACTATCATCAATAAATAGCCGGAAAATCCTCGGCTCAAGGAAGGACCTGGTAAACCCATAATAATATAACGGTCACCGGTCACTTCCATATACCCACCATACGACTCCCGCAATCAATACATGGATAGCCGAGCGTTGTCGCCATTAACCACAAGACACCCCATAGTCTGTGATAGCGAAGATAGGACCCTCCTGTCTAGCCCTACCCCGTGTAACGTAGTAGAATCCGTGCAACCTGGAATCACCCGAAGGAAACCCGGAAACTCTACTCCTCCTCGCACGCCCTAACGGGATCGTGTTTGGAGTTTGGCATATGATCCTAAACTACCGGTAGACCTCACTAGTAGCTACTCCAATGAGTGGAACAACACCGAACACGAATGATTAGACCAAATACGTCTCAACTGCAATGGGTCTAATCCCTGAATGACCGTGCGACTAAGTCACCCAGTTGTCCGACTACTATCGTCCACTATCGCCAAAGTGTTACGGTACATCGGGGTCGAATATCCTAACCCCAGATGATGCCCTCGCCTAGCACTACCGCACACGGCGACTAAACGATAGATCCATAAAACATATCCGATAAATCGTGCGATGTGTGCAGCATGTCAATAAGTGAATTTAATGAAAAGGGCTGGTGAGACGGCCCACCTATCCTCCATTTCATAAATTCACCAACACGATCAAATACGTATATCAAATATCGTAAAGCGAAGTTTCACACATGCATATACACACACATATATACATATATAGATGCACTGACCAAATGATTCCACATAATATCATATCAATATCAGAATCAGAATCACATGCAACATAAATACCTAATTTCTTAAAATTAGATTTAATTCCCTACTGCTTACCTCCTACCGATACTTTCTGGATTTTTATAACTTCACCCAAATCTCCTCCAACGTACACCTGTCCCATTATTTACTCAAATCAGATGAGCTTTATGCTTATTCTCAGGAGCTACCTGCTTATTCAAAAGCTAATTTCTATAATTAACTCGTCGGGCTCCAAACTTTTATATTTAGTAGAATATGATATTCTAGCTATAAAATCCTTCTACCTCATAATATTTATATTGCCCGATTATTAAATAAAAATACGCAAAGGTATGAACAAGCAGGCATGTGCGATATACTGCCTTTTTTATTCGACTTGGATTGGTACGAAATTCTCAAAATATAACGTCGGCGCTACGAATAGGCTATTAGCTAAAGAAATTCATCGATTAAATAGCTAAATAGCCAATTTTGAATTTTTGAAGAATTTCTAATTTAATACTCCAATATCAAAATTCGTATTAAAATTTATAATCGGACTCTACGAATAGCAAGGAATACCATACCCAAGTCGGAATTGGAATCGGACGGCTAAATCTTTTTCTTTCTTTTTTTCTTTTTCTCCTTTCTTCTCCTTCACGTTTCTTCCTCTGCCTTCCTTCGCTTCGCAGGTAAGTTTGCTTGTTTTTCTTTACTTAATAAATATATTTATATTATATTATATTATTATTATTATATATTATATTATATTATATTATACTATTATTAATGTTATTATTATTATTATTATTAACATCTTTATCCTCTTTATTTATTTATTATATTATATTATTAAATTATATATTATATTTTTATATTTATCCTTATCGATATTTATCCATTTAACAGTCTTTTCAATCATAATCAACATATAAAATATGAATAAGATTTATCCCAAAATATTTAATTTCTTGATTCCAAAATATTATAAAATATTTATTTGCTATAATAATATTATTTTATAAACTCCAAAATCGGAGTATTACAAAAATAAAGAAATTAAAAGTTGGATCAAGTGCAACACTTATGCTGAAGGCTTAGAAATTAATTATTTTTATTTTGTATAATTAAATGTTATTATTAATATAAATATTAATTAATTTTAATGAATTTCAGCACAGATGCTGATCTTCTCCATAAAAATTAATGTGGAAAGCTCAGTTATTCTCATATAAAAATTTGTACTTCAATGTAATGAAATTTATAGAGGAACTGATTCTAAATGATACACAAGAGACAAGAGGTATTTAAATCCAAATGTCACGAATAATTCTAGAATCTAGATTGTTTTAAATTATGTTGTATTAATATAAATTAATATCTATTATAGATACGAGAATTTAGGATTGTATAACCATCAAATAATTAAGAATATATTAGTTAAAATAATAATCGTATAATAAAAATAATTTTAGATTAAAATAATTAATTAGTCTAACTAAAATTAAAAAATTATAAATTTAGAAAATTAAAATGAAATTAATATGTATAATTATTATTATTATTTTTTAAAAAAGTGACATAATAAGTGAGATAAAGGTGGACATAGGACAGAGAAAATATATTTTTGTATTATATAAATTTATAATATTTTTAAAATACAAAATACATATCTATTATATTTGTATTAATACATTTATAAAATCAAATTTAATTTTTTTTTATCAAATATATTAAATTTATACGGAAAAATTACTTATAATTTACTTCTAGTTTGAAAATTTTGCACTATATTATTTTGTAATGTAAAAATTGTAAGAAAGCCCTCATATTTTAAAAGTTATTGTACAATTTTTTCTAAAAATTACATAAAACCTCCTTTTTTTTTTTTTTTTTTTTTTTTTTTTTTTCTTGAATCCTTCAAAACTCAGAAATTGTTTCTGACCCGAAAGAATATACAAAATTTGAATGCTTTTTTTCTTTCTTTTTTTTTTTTTTTTTTTTTTTCATAACATAATAGTATTTTGTAAAAGTATTTTACTTCGTATTCACAATATTAGAAAAAAAAAAATAGATTAAGAAGATATTACAGAAAATATATATATAGTGCGAATGTGTGATGGCCATCGTCATCTCACGTCGCCCTTTTTAAACCTCACGTCGCCTAACAAACTACCCCCACCCCACCCCACCCCCAGAACCCATTATTGTAGTTTGCTAGATCCATTCTGGTTTCACCCAAACCCTAGCTAGCAAGCTTACCTCAAAACCATCTGTAAGTTCAACCCTTGGAATATTGTTTGAAATTATCATTTCATTTCGAAACTAAATCAATCTTTAGGTTTTGTTAGATCCAGGGTCAGAATTGTTTGCCCCTGTTGTTCTTTATTGCTGAAGAATGAAGGTACTGTAAATGTTAAAAGACTAGGAATCGTTCGTAAATCGTAAACACTCTACGATTTTTTAGTTACCTTTCTTAAGTGAAAATGCTTAACTGTTAGGGTTTTACTGTAATTTTTTATTTGAAGAGAGAAACTATGGCGGCGGAAGAAGAATTGGTGGCGAGCAAATGGTGGATTGTGGCAGGGAACAATTCCGCAGCAAATGTAGCAATCGAGGAAGACAATAACTTCTCCAGAGATCTAGCGATGCCGGCGCCGGCGTCAGGCTCCGGCGGGCGGCGCCGCCGTGGCCGTCCGCCGGGTTCCAAAAACAAACCTAAACCGCCGATCGTCGTCACTAAAGAAATCCCCAATTCTCTTCGGAGTCATATTTTCGAAATACGCAGCGGCGGCGACGTCTGGAAAAGCATCGCCGCCTACGCGCGGCGGCGCCACTACGGGGTGTCGATTCTGAGCGGCAACGGGACAGTCTCCGACGTGACGCTGCGGAGGCCGGCGGCGCCGGGAGGAGCGATTTATCTCCAAGGAAGATTCGAGATCCTATCCTTATCGGGGACGTACTTGCCTCGCCCGTCGCCGGCCGGCGCCGGCGGGTTGACAATTTTCTTGTCCGGGGAGCAAGGGCATGTCGCCGGCGGCGAAGTGATCGGCGCATTGACGGCGGCAGGACCGGTTGTGGTTGTTGCAGCCACTTTCGAGACCGCGGCATACGAAAGGTTGCCTTTGGAGAATGAATATGAACACGTCGCCGGAGAAGAAAACCGATTGCTGCCGGCGCCGCCGCCGTCAAGTCCTCCGTACAATTCAGGGTCTGATCGGAAGTGGGAAATGCGTCGTTTGGAATCCTGAGTGTGTGATTACCAATGAATATTAATTATTACTGTTTGTCATTTATTACTCTTTAAGTAGCATCATATCATCGTATTGATTCGAAACCCTAATTTGCAATCAATTTTGAAATTAATGAGTATGTTATATTGAAATTCTAAATATTACTCTTTGACAGAATTTTGAACTTTTGATCTTTTCTTCGACTTAATATACGACCAAAAATATTAAATTCATCCATTCTTCAACCAACATTGAATCATTTGTTCAAATCTGCGACTTTTCGACGAAAAATGCTTTGAAGTACATAAAGAACAATGCAAAATATAGAAAGATTTACCTTTACTTCAATCTAACCAAAACTCCTATTTGTAAAGGAGTGGTAGTATCGGCTTCCTTTTGGAATGGTGTCACGTGGCACGTTCCGATTGGCCCATGAAAAAATTTTGTAATCTTTCATTTCTCGTCGGATTCTATTTTTATTTGATTGCACATTTTTCGTCAAGATCATTTCATTTTCGGAAGATATTATTTATAATACTTCATTTATTGATAAAATTTACTTCCTCCGTCCAATTTAATTTGTCAACTGTTTATATTTCCGCATTTCCCACATAATGTCATTTTTTTTAAAAAAAATATAATTATACACTTTAATTACATTTTAAATTTTATAATTTATAAATTTGTTTTATTTTAATTAAATTATTTAGTCATTTTAATATCTATAATTATTTTTATTAAATTGTAATTATTTTTACTAATACACTTTTTAATTAATTACTAAAGTGGACAGAGGGAGTATTTAATTTATTGCCAAATCTATTTAATATTTGTACTATAATTTCTATTTTAAGCATATTTACATTAGTCGTTGATATTTATAATACAAAAATTAATATATATATGCATAATTAAAAATCATAGTATTTTATTTTATTAGAATTTTATTTTATATTTAATTGAATTTAGACATTTATTTTTAATAAATAAAAATTTAAGAAGTTTTACATAATAAATAAAACATCAAATATTTTAACATTTATATTAAAACACAGAATATTATCCATTAAAAAAAAAAAAAAGAAAGAAAAAAAGAGTTCTTTTTTTTTTTGGGCTGGACTCTATTTTTTTTTTTTAATCTAACTTCCAACCTTCATCCATCTTTACATTGGGCCTCCTCAATCTTAGGTAGTTATGTATAATATATATATATATCTTTACATTTTTATTATATTATTATTATTTTTATTTTTTTGAGTGGATAACAGAACCTACACAAAATCTAAAAAATATATAAAATGATAACAATAATAAAAATTGTTAACGTTTGTTTTTTGTGTGATTCTTTCAGTTTTAAATTAAAGAATTAAGAAAGTTTGTAGATATGGAGGAACAACGACGGGCTCAACTCAAGATTTGTTTGTATATTAATTAATCAAGTGCAACTATTCAAATTGAATTGAACCCACAAAATTATGTATGTGTCATATTCATGGAAACTTTCCAGAAATAAATAAAAAAAAAAAGATACTACAATTCACCAAAGGCCAAAATAAAATTAATTAAGCAAAGCCCAATTGAAAAAACAAAAAGAATAGTCTAGTAAGTCACCAAAAGCCAAGAGGTGTAGGACAAAACTAAACCCCATAATTGAAGAGTGACTGACTGGTAAGAAAGCACAGTGTACAAGAGAAGGTGTGGAGAAGATGAGAAGTGAATTTGTAGCCTCAGGACAGGACAGCAGTGGATAATGTCAAACCACAAGGCGCCACGTGGCAAGAAGGAAATCTTGTTTGTGTGGCCATGGCTTCCCATCTGCGTTCTGCTCTCTCTCTCTATATATAAAACCTTCACTGCACCAACCAAAGAGAAATCAATAATAATATATCCATACTATACATCTTCTAATTTGCAGTTGCAGTTGCAGTTGCAGTTGCTTCCAGTGACGACATCCATGGCGGCTGCCTTCTCCACCGTCGGTGCTGTCAACCGTGTCCCTGTACGTATATCTATCTGTCTTCATGGAATTATCTTATTGTTTTACATGATGTGAGATAGCTTTAGCTTAGCTTAGCTTCCAATTGTTGATGTTGTGTGTTTTAAGAACTTGATCATCAAGTAAGATTAATTAATTCTATCTAGATTGATTAATTGTTGAAATAATATTTGATAAATAATTTATTATATTGATAAATATTTTAAGGAAGATACAAATATTTTTCAAATTAATCAACAATTAATACCGACTTTACTATGTAGCTATATTTCGATCTTGCCAACGAAGGTGAAGCTGATACAATAAATATATAAGCGCGATCTATAAAAGTCTCAATAAACTTTTGTATTAACGACAGTGCCATTTTCTTTTCATATATTTAAAAGAATTATTAGTATAATAAAATAATTAACAATAAAGTAATACTCCATCTCCATCTATGGGAATTCAAAATACCATTTTTATTTCACATTTCAAAATAATCATACACTAATCAAAATATTTTTAATTTTTATTTAAATCACAGATATACTATTACACGTATAATTATTTTATACATAGAGTGCAAAAATATTAAAATTTCTTACATATTTCTACTAATATATAATTGTACTATTATTTTTTAATTATTACAAAATTCCAAAAGATTCATTTGAAATAAAATGATTAACATCAAAAGATGAACTCAGATTATTTATGTGTCAATTCTAAATTTATATGCATGCAGCTGAACTTGAACGGAAGCGGAGGCGGAGTAGTCTCAACATCATCGTTCCTCGGAATCACCTCTCTAAAGAAGACAAACTCAAACCTTCCCGGCGGGAAGGTGGTGTCCTCCTCCGGCAATGGCAACTTGAGGATAGCGGCGATGGCGGACGACGTGGATGAGAAAAAGCAGACGAGCACGGACAGGTGGCGGGGGCTGGTGACGGACGTGTCTGACGACCAGCAGGACATCGCCCGAGGGAAGGGGGTCGTGGACTCGCTGTTCCAGGCCCCCACGGGGATGGGTACCCACGACGCTGTCCTAAGCTCCTACGAGTACCTCAGCCAGGGCCTTCGCCAATACGATTTTGACAATACAATGAGCGGATTCTACATCGCCCCGGCTTTCATGGACAAGCTCGTCGTCCACATCACCAAGAACTTCATGACCTTGCCCAACATCAAGGTTTGCTCACCTCCTGTAATTGATTAATTGCTATGTGATCCATCAATTTGAAGTAATTAATGTACAGGTCCCTCTGATTCTGGGCATCTGGGGAGGTAAAGGTCAGGGCAAGTCCTTCCAATGTGAGCTTGTTTTCGCCAAGATGGGCATCAAGTAAGTCTCTTTGATTCAATGATTGTCCATAGACATCACATTATGTAATTACAGAAAATATATAGTTTGAAGTAAGGTAACATGGGGGCGCAAATTTGACCCAATCAAATAAGCATTGTATTAACATATGTTATAACATTAATATGTTACGATAATATATAATATATGTTCACTTCTTTTCTTACACGATCAAATTAGCAGTCAAAAACATGTATTGTCCGTACATTTTCAATAATCAGAATTGATCGAGTCAAATCAACATTAATAATCGAGCCGTAATTAATTAACAAACTATCAAATGCCAACGCAGCCCGATCATGATGAGCGCCGGAGAGCTAGAGAGCGGGAACGCCGGCGAGCCGGCGAAACTAATCCGGCAGCGGTACAGGGAGGCAGCGGACCGTATCAAGAAGGGAAAAATGTGCTGCCTCTTCATCAACGACCTCGACGCCGGCGCCGGCCGGATGGGCGGCACGACCCAGTACACGGTCAACAACCAGATGGTCAACGCCACCCTGATGAACATCGCCGACAACCCCACCAACGTCCAGCTCCCCGGAATGTACAACAAGGAGGAAAACCCCCGCGTCCCCATCGTCGTCACCGGCAACGACTTCTCCACCCTCTACGCCCCCCTCATCCGCGACGGCCGGATGGAGAAGTTCTACTGGGCCCCGACCCGGGAGGACCGGATCGGGGTCTGTAAGGGGATCTTCCGTACCGACAACATTCCCGACGAGGCTGTCGTCAAGCTCGTCGACACCTTCCCCGGACAGTCGATTGATTTCTTCGGCGCCGTCAGGTCGCGAGTTTACGACGACGAGGTCCGGAAGTGGATCTCCGAGGTCGGAGTCGACGCCATTGGGAAGAAGCTTGTGAACTCCCGGGAGGGCCCGCCCACGTTCGAGCAGCCGCGGATGACTCTTGAGAAGCTCCTGGAGTACGGCCACCTGCTGGTCCAGGAGCAGGAGAATGTTAAGAGGGTCCAGCTCTCTGATAAGTACCTCAAGGACGCTGCACTTGGAGATGCCAACAAGGATGCCATGGAAAGGGGAAGCTACTACGGTCCGTCTCTCTCTCTCTCTCTATACTCTTTCTCTCTCTATTTATATGTATATACATATATATGTATGTATAGAATCCGCCATGAATGTAGCTTGATGTGCAGGGAAGGCAGCGCAGCAGGTGGGAATACCAGTGCCTGAAGGGTGCACGGACCCCAACGCCAAGAACTTTGATCCGACGGCCAGGAGTGACGATGGAAGCTGCGTCTACAATCTCTGAACGTACGATCATCATCATTATTACATACATAGATAGAGCAGCAGCAGCAGCCTGGATCGGTCTGTTTGGGTATTAATTTTGTGAGTGGGTACCTGATCCATCGTCTGAATTTGGATTATTCATTGCTGATGTGTCTTGTTCGTGTATGGTCTGGTCTGTCTCCTACCTCTGTCAATTGGACTACTACTACTCCCCAACTGGTTTGGTTTTCTTAAGATTGTAAGATGCCAAATTATAAACATATTTCTTTTAATTCCAATACATGGATGACTACAAGCCTTGCCCGCCTGCCTTTTATTACATAATTTGCTCTCTTTATAGTATTCATTAATTGTGTTGGGATAATCAAAGATCAAAGATTTAAGAGACACATATTGAGGAATGTGTAGGAGTTTAACAATTACTTCATCTTTCAATTTTCTTACTTTCATAATACATGGGATTGTTTGATCTATCTACCAACTGTCAGCGTGCAATTGAATTTATTTAGAAATATTCTGGTGTTGTTTTGTTGTTCGTTATTCCTACAGTTTGGTTTTGAAAGAATTTGGAACTAACAAAAAAACTTTATCCCGAATAATCAACATTGGTGAAAAAAGCAAATCTTGATGCAAACACGTAAACATTTACAGGCAATCCTTTTGGGAAAAATCACAATAACAAAAGAACACATTCAATATCACGTAATAAAGTAAAACAAAATGCAAACATACTTCTTTTAAGACTTGGTCCAAATGAAAATCACCATAACTTAACAATAAGCAAGCTGAGTTGCAGTTGGACCACCTACCCTGTGTTGAAAACAAGCAAGGTAGTTGGCTAGAATTGATTTCGCTCGTGGGATTCACACGATAATATACATGTAATTGACCAAATTAGACAAGGGTAGTCGCACATATAGAACAAAGAGCAAACCAGAACCGGAAAAAAAGACAATGCATTAACAGTGTGTTAAGAACATACCTGTGAGAATGAATGCTTTATCAGGGATGAAGTCGAGCTTCAGCTGAAAAGGTCCAACTAATGGCTTCCACTGCTTTAAGATTATGCTTTCAATTTTCGAACATATATAGACAGACGATTAATAGTTTTTCTTTTTCAACTGCAGTACCAACTTAGATAACAGCTGATAGTCAGGACAGCAACACAAGTAAACTCAAAAAATGTAAACTACACAAACAGCGATAATGCATAACTTCACAAACCAGCAAGAATCAATATTTCACCGGGCAATTAATTGTACAGTCATGCGTCAACAAACACAGATTCAATAACTAAGCTTCACTCCATGTAGAAACAGAAATATTCTCAAATGATTGAATTAGGTAAAGATTTCAAGCAGCATGGGAATTGTAAGAAAATGAGATTTAATCATCTGAATGTTTACTAGAATTCAACCTTCTGATTCCTGGACACAAAATGGGGTGCAATTTTGAGACCCTTATTCTACATGTAAACATCCCCAGAAAATCGTAATGTTCATTACGGACAAAGAGCCTCAATGCCACACAGACGTTATGCATATGACCTACATAATCTGTACAAAATGTCCAAACTCACTCAGAGAGCAAGTTCCATGTAAACTATGAGCACAGGGTGTAATGCCCATAACTTGGTCAATAAATTAATCTCGAATTTGCAATGCACACTCTACCTCTGCCTGTGAGAAAAACCAGATTGGTATTGGCAAGAACCTAATTTTGGCCTACGTTCTCATCTCCATTTTCGTCCTCAGTTTCTTTCACCACCTCAAAAATTTCAAAATCATCAAATCCTGCAAATTGAAAGCAAGTGAAATGACTTCAGAGATGCATTGATTTCATAGTCTATGCCTCTAAGCAAAATAGCAAGTTACCTGAACCCAGTGCATCGTAGTCATCGGCCTGTTCTCCTAAGAGTGTGACATTACCTAAAGGTGGATCAACAGTCATCCACTCCCCAGAGCCCTCCGAGCCTAACTCTTTTTCCAGGACCCAATCTTCAGCAATATCCATGTGCTCATAAGAAATTGGGTCTGATGTTTCCTGATGCTTGTTGCTCAGACCCCTTCAATGAAAAACAAAGATTATATATGAAACTTTGCTTCTGAATTTTCTTAGTTTGTCATATACAACAAAGCTTATCTTATACTCACATTTGCTTCATCATCATGCTATATTGAACGAAAACAAGGTCACTGAGTCGTTGATGCTCCAAGGAATTTTTCCTCTCATGCATTAAGTCAAGAGGAATTTTACTTGGCTTACTCCGGACCAAGCAACAAGTTTGACTGAGAATGCGGGTGGCCAGGCGAGCCAAATTGGGGCAACTTCCAGCATATGCTAGCCACCACTCAGCTATATTCACACAATTGATGATTGTTAGTTGCAGAACAAAACCATATTAAGTATTGACAATGTCAAGAAAGCTTCTAACAGAAGAACAATATCAACTTTTTTTCAGCAGTCCATCATCAGCATATTAGATCTCTTAATATTGGGGCCAGTCAGCTTCTAATTTGCATATAAAACTACGGAATATGACATTACCAACCATCTTTAATTCACACAGTAATCGGTAAAGGCATGAAATTTTGAATAATCAAGGATAACAATATGTTCAGATTAATAAATAACAACCACATGAACAATAAAAAGTTGGGTAACTAAAAAGCGGATTGAATCGCTTGATATTGATTTATCATAGATTGTTTCTTATAAATTGAATCAAACATAAGTTTAGCCTTAATAATATAAATTACAAACTATACAGGGCCAGAGTAGATCCAGAAGTTTGGGGGAGGAAAAGTTCGAAGAGGTGATCTCATTCAAATTATTTCCAATTTTATACAATTAATTAATGCACAACATTGAGTTTACAAAATATGAAATCAAAAGAGGACTTACTGGGAAGTAAAGTGTCCCTAGCTCTGATAGCCATCTTCCGACCAAAATCTCCTGTACTGCCATGGTAAGAAGCAGTTTCCTTCATTATTTTATCTTGAATCTTAGCATCAGGAACCAGTTTCTCTATGCAATCATATACTAGCGACCGAATGTGGAGATGTGCATCTCCTTCAAGACTAAAAAAGAATTTTGGGTTCAAATAGAAACCTGCTGCAAGAAGTGGATGTCGCTGAAGTTCCCATCGACGATCTATGATATTCCAATAAACTGAATACTCTTCCTTTCTAACAAGTTCCTTTTTAATGGCTTCCTTGGCTCGATATAGTCCAGCATAGACATATCCCATAGAAGGCCTCTTTTCACTAGTAACTATTCTCAATAGTCGCAAGAGTGGATCCGATATATGTGCGAGCAAAGTACAAGAAGTCCAGAAGGACGGGCTACTAATCGAGTCTAACACTGCAAAGCCTTCTGGTTTCTTTGAGAAAGAGCTTTCCATCCACTCCTCAGAAGTAACCATCGACTGCAGATTATGCTTGATACTCACCATTCTTTTCAATGTCAAAAAATCAGTAGTAGCACGTGTATCTCCCAGATCAACTAAATCCAGTCCAAATGTGTATCGCCTCATCATGTTCAAGACATTACTGTTAGAGTAAATATATCTTGAGATGGATTTTGCTTGGTCCAGAGTCATCTTCACCGTTGGAAGTTCTCCTATATCCTCAAGTATAGAATCAATACAACGACCAGCACAAGGGGTCCAAAATACAGTAGGAAAAGTGTCAGTAAGTCTTTTACCGGCTATAACATATCGCTCTTCATTGCTGGTTACCACTTGCACCACGTTTCTTAGCCCAACCTCTTCCACGGTTTCTTTTAGCAATTCATAAAGGGTATCAGCAGAGTCTATTGCTTGTGATATATCAGCTGACCTCAGAAATATGGTTCCTTCAGGGCTATAGACCGTAAAGTTGACAAAGGTTTTACCCCTTCCGGAATTCCACTCATCCACCAAAATTGAGCATCCAGTTTTTCCCCAAGACCCAGTGCACTGATCAGTATCATATCTTGCTTCATGAACCAAATTCTTCAAAACCCACCCCCTTAGATCATGGTAGGAGGGACCAACAACTCCAGCACCCTGTGATGCAATTGCATCGATCATTGGCTGAAAGTAAGGAGATTTAGTGGCCTCCATGGGCAATCCAACATCACAAAAGAACCTACCAACTGCCATATTAACTGTATTACTATTTTTCTTTGGGGTTGCAGGTGGAGGAAAACTAGCCAAAACAAGAGCATTAGAATTAATCACATCAGGTGCTTTCCTAATCCTCCCTTTCTTCTTTCTTCCTATGGGTTTACCACTTTCACCTTCTTCTCTATTCACATACACATCGGCATCGTTCTCAATCATTTCAGGAACAGGAAGCAAAGCAATATCAGCAGTCAAGCTACACGAATTGTTCGCTACCTCAACACCACTGGGCCCAGGATTATCAAATCCTGTCACCTCCTCAGAAAGTTTCTGTTTCTTCCTCTTCTTCACTGCAACCCCATTCAGGCTCTCGATCATCTGGAGCCTCACATCATGTTGAACTCTCAAACAAGTGGCGGCATTTCCTTTCTGCCCCGCCAGATGTTCTTTAATACGATGAATCCCCCCACCCTTAAATATCTTCCCACAGTATATGCATTTTAGCTGAACCTTGTCCCCATTCTTAAACATCTGGCAGTGCTTCCATGCTGGATCATGCTTTTGCGAGGTCACGGCTACTGGTTCCATATCAGAATCCATTCCGTAAACCTATCTCCAAACAGGAACAACATCATCATCAAATCTTGGGGAGTAGTTAAAAATCTCCTCCAAAACATATTATCCAAAAATAACGTAATACAACAAAAAGCCACAAAGCCCATAAGCCAAACGAAACAAAACAATTCGCAACATGTAAACATGCTACGGTATTAGTGTCAATGCAGCAAAGCACGTACGAACACACACCCCACACATCAAAAGATAAAAATAACAAGTCATGAAATAGAAGACTCTCGTCGCACAGTAACACACACACAATGTCGAGCTGTACGAGAAATCAAATGGGTGTAAAGTAAAATCGAGAAAGAATGCAGGAATCGGCGAAAGAGAGAAAATTCGGTCGAGGGAGAGAGCTTACTTGAATTGGATCGCCCCAAATCTGTGGTCGAGTCGAAATCGATTCGAGTTAGGAACTAGGGTTTTTTGGGGAGAGTATATATAGAATGGTCAAGAGTCGAATGGACAACCGGATAGACCGGTCAGGCTAACGGCCTTTCACCTCTCTCCCCACCCCACCCCTTAATAATAATTTATTTATTTATTTATTTAAAGCATGGTAATTAGGAAAATTGAGTAAGTATGTGAAATTGTATAATTAAATAACTCATTAATCAAGATGAAGAATTTCTTCTTATTTTTTTTTAAGGCATGGTAATAGGGAAAAAAAATGAGTAAAATTATTTATTTTTATTTTTATTTTTATTTTTTATATATAGGAGTATTTATTTGTTAATATATTTATTATTTATTTTAAAATATATATAGGGTTGGTTCTCTTACTAAATTTACTTATATTTTTATCAATTTTTTTTTTCTAAAAAATATTAAATTACACACTATTTTTTATTTTTTATATTATATCAAAATTAATTTTATATTCAAAATATAATATTAAACTTTTTTTTATGTCGCATTATATAATTATTTAAATTCAAAATTTTTATTATTTAAATTAAAATCCACCCTTCCAAATAAATATGCCCTTAATTTATTGAATCGGGTGAAAAGCACGGCTCAATCTTAAAGCCCAGAGCCAATTCGGTTCATGGTCATGAACTGGCCTGAAAAGATTTTGAATCATTTATATCGTGTTGTCGTGTATTAGTTTTAATTGATTTAAATATAAATTATGTTAAATTATTTAAAATTAAATTAAATTTAAATTAATTTACGAACAAATTATTAAATTATAATTATTTTACATATATATATATAATAAATATAATAATTAATATTAATATATTATAATCTCGAATTGATAATCTAAACTCTAATATGACATGTTTATTATTATATCATATTAATATCAATTTGTATATATAATTGAATTAAAATATTTTATCAAAATTCAAATATTTCGTATGAGTCAGTCTTTTTGCCAATTCTAGAATCCACTATTGCACTTTGAACCCGACTTACCCGAATATTTGGACTCCACGGGTTAAAACTTAAAATCGGGTCGGATCGGATCGGATCGGATCTCGGCTCTACCTCCATTCCTAGAAGGGTGCCGAAACCCTATTCCGTGAATGATCGAATCCATCTCATTGGGGGGGATCGAATTCAAGTAAGTTCTTCCGATCCATTAAATGCCGATTCTTCTATCCTATTCTATTCTTCCTCGATTCTACTCTCGTTTCTCTGTATGTAACTCTGTGAATTCACATGAATACGCGACGCGACAACAGACACAGACAGAGTCTCGTATTTCATGACCTTCTTTTTTTTGTGTGTGTGTGTTCTTAAGTGCTTCGCTGCTTTGACAATGAGATTGTACGCGTTTTCTCCAATTTGAGGATATTTCTTTACCAGTAGTATTCATTTTTGTTTATGCTTCTAGTGTTCCTCGCAGCCGCAGGCAGACAGATCTACAAATCCAATCCGTCGATTGATTCTCCTCGCCCACACAACGCTCCAATGGCTCAGTACACGCAGCAGTTCCTCAACAGCGTCCTCTCCCAGCGTGGGCCGTCGGCGCTGCCGTACGCGGAGGACATGAAGTGGCACATCCGGCAGCACTTGTTGTACCTCACCGAGGCCTACCCTTCCCTGCAACCCAAGACCGCCGTCTTCACGCACAACGATGGCCGCACCGTCAACCTCCTACAGGCAGACGGCACCGTCCCTATGACTTTCCAAGGCGTCACGTACAACATCCCTGTCATCATCTGGCTCATGGAGTCCTACCCTCGCCACGCGCCGCTCGTCTTCGTCAATCCTACCCGCGACATGATCATCAAGCGCCCCCACCCCTTCGTCTCCCCCAACGGCGTCGTCTCCGTTCCTTACCTTCACTCTTGGGTCTTCCCGGCCTCCAATTTGGTCGAATTGGCTAGAAACTTGAGCCATTTCTTCGCCCGCGATCCGCCGCTGTACTCGCAGCGTAAGGCGTCAAACCCTAATTTGAATCAAAGCTACGGGAGCGCCAATTCTTCTGCTGGATCCACTCCGGCGCGGCCGGCGATCCCTCCGAGAGACTACCCCCCTTCCCCGACCCCACCCGCTCCGTATGGAAGCGGTAGGGTAATGGACGATCCGGCTGAGGTATTTAAGAAAAACGCCATAAATAAGCTCGTGGAGAGTCTGAATGGTGATATTAAGAACATGAGGAAGAGTAGGGAAGGGGAAATGGAAGGACTCTTTGCAACGCAGGCAGTGTTGCGAAAACGTGAGGAGGACTTAACCAAAGGCTTGAAGGAAATGCAGGATGAAAAGGAAGCACTCGAGCAGCAGCTACAAATGGTTTTGATGAACAGCGATGTTTTGGAGGGATGGATAAGGGAGAACGAATCGAAATTGAGGGGCAACGATGTCGGCAATATTGACATTGATGAATGCTTTGAGCCCTGTGATGCTCTGTCCAAACAAATGATGGATTGCACAGCATTGGATTTGGCGGTTGAGGATACTATATATGCTTTGGACAAGGCTGTGCAGGAAGGAGCAGTGCCATTTGATCAGTACTTGAGGAATGTGAGGCTTTTGGCACGAGAGCAGTTTTTCCACCGTGCCACCTCTTCGAAAGTTAGGGCCATCCAAATGCAGGCTCAGGTTGCTAGCATGGCTGCCAGGGCACCCCCCTCCCAGTATGCATTCTGATCAGGTTGTATATATCTTCTTCATTGTGATATTGTTTTTGTTTTCGTATGGTTTGGTGATATATGAATATTGCATGTGATTAATGACAGCTTCTTACTACAGATATATTCTGTTTCTGTAGAATAGGGAATGTTCTTTGTTCATTTTGTGTTTTGAGAAAGGGTCGTGGGTCTGAAGCTTACTTTTAACCTGCTATTGGGAGCACTGAAATTTGATTAACTTTTGTAGTTGTTTTGCTATTCGTCGCTACTTTAGAGGATATACAGAGATGGCTTTGTTATACAGAGGTTTTGATGTTAGATACTTTTACGAATTCTTGGTGTGTTATTGTTAGTCCGATGCTTCAAACTGTGACTTGATGCTCACCCTGTCTCTTTTTGGCTTATTTTATCGGCATACATAATCATTTGAAGTTCCAAGTTTTGCGAGATGGGATTACACTCAGTTTAGGATTTTGCTTGTTTTTTTATGTTGAAACAAGAAGCAGACTTGTGCGAACTGGAGAAGGAAGTATAACAGTTGAAAGAATGAATCACCATGGGGCAGGTGAAGTGAGAACTGTACATGTGTTTTTCTTGTGTGTTTGTATTTTGGTTTTGGGCGAAATAGTTGTTAGATTGATGTTTTCTATAAAAAAAATTGAAATTTCAAAAATCAAAAGTCACAGATTAGAGCCTTCTCAATCCGGTGAGCTTAGTGATGTTTCCGAAACTTTAATATGCTTGTCAAGTTATAAAGTCTGTCTCTTCTGATTGTTGTTTTGCTCTTATAGGAAAACTATTCAGGCACATTGTTATTGTAGGCGATGCAAAGTACAGTTTATTTAGTGGTTATATAAGTTATTTTCACTATGGATAAATACTCAACACTTATTCATGCTCTACTTATTCAGTTTATGCATGTAAAGCTTTACTCCAGTTCAGAGCATGCGTTGTTCGATTGGTTTTGTTTGTTGGTAAACATATGTTTAGGTACATCTCTCTCTCTCTGTTTCTTGGAATCCCATTGTTACTCTAATTTCTAAGTGAAAATTTTTGGCTTTAAAACCAGTTTCGGGTCTGGGAAAAAGCGAAGAAGCTACATTTTTCAAGAAAATTTCTTTTGTTTGCTCAGTTGTTGAAACAGCATAGCAAATGCAGTGTGAAATGTGAATGAAGGTGCAATTTTACTCTAGGTAGATAATATTCATATATGATGATATAGGACTGCGTTAGAAATGGTGAAATTTTGCTTTTGTTATATTGCTATTTGACTGAGACAGACTTGCTGAGTTTTAATTGTTTTAACTTGTAGCATTGCATATTATAGCCCGGAGGGGAGGACGTAGGGTTTGTTTGCCAGGTGATTTTGATTTTTCATTCTTTTGGTTTAAATTGAGAGTTACATATAATGCTTTATGTAAGGAAATAATAGATATATATATATATATATACATGTTTTTGTTTTTATAGATAATAGAGATAATTACATGATAAAATAATTAAAAAAAAAAGTTACTAAACAATCCCATGGTACAAGCTTCGAAACTTGCACTTGGACTAACAAACGACGAAGGTGATACTCGAACTCAAGATTTAAGGCTCTGATATCATATTAGATGAAATAAATGATGTCTCATCAAAAAATTTGAGGGTCCATACTCTGGTATGAGTTTTAGTTTGCATTTATTTATTTATTTTGATTTAGATGTTTTGGATCAAAAAATCACTGTAATAAAAATTTCAACGTCAAAGTGGCTTTAACCAATAATTCCTAGTATTTGCCCGAAAAATGTATGAATATAGCTGCCTCAAAGTGGGGGTTCTAATGGTGGCACTTTTCAACAATAATCTTCGATGAAGCCATAAAAGTAAGGATGACAATAAGTTGGATATGGATCGAGTTTTGATAGACACGATCGACCCATGAAAATTTTTATGATTTTTGAATTTTTAATTTAAAATTGAATTTAGACCCGGACTTTACATATATTAAGATTTATGTATTTTATTTCAAATATTATAATAAAATAATAAATAAATAAAAAAGGAAGTATTTTTTAATATAATTAGTATTGTTAAAAATTATATATATATAATTGATATATTATTAATATATTAATAAATAAATTAAATTTTTTATTGTCTTTTGGCTGATTGGCTTCCCGTTTGACTATATATAAATCACTAATATTTATTGTTAAATCACATTTATTAGTGTTAAAATAATTTAATTAGTGTGACACAAGGGAAGATAATCCGTTGGACGCGCGCGTGGCCCCCACGTTCAGAAACAAAGGCGTAGTCGATTGGTACAATAAGTAGTTGAAGTTCAGTCACCTGCGCGCATACATTCTTCCATACGTAATAATAATCATAACTAACGTGTCGTGTAATAACTAATTATCAATCCAACCCTAACTATAACATGAATATACAATAACATGGATCAAATATATGCTATATATTTACTCAATATATATTTATATATCTCAATATATTTATAATATAACATATGTTATGATCTCTTTCTCTCTTTTTTTTTCTTTTTATACGGAGTTTAAAATATATTAGTATTATATATAAATGTAATGATATTTGTGAAATATATTGTAAGTTATAAGATATTTGTAATGTTATGTAGATAGTACAGTTACTAGAAAAAATAAAACAAATATTTTGTTATGTGACGAACCAAAATGAAAAAATTGGATAGTTTATTAAGAGACAGAGAAAATATTATAATTCCACATATATTATTGTTAAGCACAAAAAATAATAATAATAGTAAGTGGCAGTAGGATTCTGGGTAGGGTCTGAATGAAAGCCAAAAGGTCTGGAGGTCGGACAGAATAAAGGTCGGGAAAAGGAAGAAAGGTCGGGCGGAGTCTAAAAAAAAAGGGTGTACCCAAGTCGGGTAAACCGTAGTCGGATGGAAGGCGAAGTCGGGCAGACGCGGAGGTTTGTCAAGAGGAAGGTCGGGCAAGGAAGAGGTACGGACAGACGCGGAGGTCTTCGGTCAAAGACGGAGGGCGGCTGATGCGGAGGTCGGCCCAAGTGAGGTCGGGCGAAGAAGCAGGTCGGGTGAAGGACGAAGTCGGGCAAAAGAAATTTGGCAGTGGACAGGCAGGTCGGGTAAGAGGCAGGTCTGAGTTCTGTGACTGGTGGGAACGGTTGAAGGAAGTTGTAATACGTGTCAATAGAGGAGAAATTGGTGGTCGGTTGACAGCGGTTGCTGTAACCGACCAGACGGCGGTTCAAACCGTTTTCTCTGAAAGGCTATTTAAATGATTCAAATCCGTCAGAAAAGGCATCTTCAATCAACTTCAACAAAGCAAAGTCAGATTTGGGGATCACCACTTTAAATTTCAGTCTTTTATTTTCCAGTTTATTTTCTGTACCATACAGTGTTTAGAGATTCCTAATCTCAGGCACTAATTAATCAAGTTTAAGGATATTTTCTATATCTTTGAATTTTACTTTATTTTTGTTGAAAAAATACATCAACAAATTGGCGACCACAGTGGGAGCAAGACAAAATTGCTCATTCCAATTCCGGCGATAATTTCATACGTCTTAGATCCGGCCGAATCATCGGAAGGGTTATGGCAGGTTCACAACCGCAATCATCTTCGACACCGGTGGGAGAATCCGTTCCACCACCCATTGTGCCAAATGCCGGGGAAATCCCACAACCACCAACTGATTGGTGGTCTTATGTTCAACAAATGAACAACCAGCATACCTTGGTTATGCAGAATATGTTGCGTGAGCAACAAACGAACTTGTTGCGTGAACAACAAAATCTAATGCAAAACATGTTGGATCAGGCATTCTCCAGATTCACCCTGTATCCAAACATGCTTCCAGCCGTGTCACCTTCTCGTTTTCAGGCGACTTTCTCAGGATCAACGTTTGCAGAACCATCATACGTTGACAGTACGTTTCCAAGCGTTACAACTTTCAACCGAACAGATATGGGGAAGATTCCTCTAACTTTCCCAGATAATGTTCCTTTGGGACCGAGGGTTGATAATACCCAGCCGAATGAGAGATTAGAGGGACAGACTCATAATCCCATCCCAGCCGAACCAGCCTTCTCCAGAGAAGAAAGATTGGGAGGTCAGACTCACGATCACATTCCAGTGTTCGACCATATTCCACCCAGAGTAGATCCGGAGGATATTGCTCAAGTTCTGCGGGTGCATTTCGGAATGAATCCGCAAACGGTGAACAGGCCGGTTTACCAGAGGCCATTTCCAGAAAGGATCATTAACGATCATCCTCTCCCGAGAAATTATAGGCCACCAGACTTCAATTCTTTTTCGGGAGAAGACGGAGCCTCTACCATTGAACATGTGGGTCGCTTCACGGCTCAATTGGGAGAAGTAGGCAACAATCCGTTTCACAAGTTACAATTGTTTGGGTTGTCGCTCACAAGAACAGCTTTTTCTTGGTATGCCAGTCTGCCGCCTGGACAGTTGCAAACTTGGGAAGATTTAGAGGCAGATTTTCATGCAAGGTTCTTTACTCCTCTGCCGACAGTCTCACTGATAGACCTTCTGGAGATCACGCAGATGCCGGAAGAGACCGGCTACCAATTCATAGAGAGGATGCGATTGATGAAGGGACGATGTCCTACGATGATCAATGAAAGCGAAATGACCAATCTGGTGGTCAGGAACATGCATACCAGACTTCGCGAGGCCCTGACAGCCCACGACTTTCAAGATCTGGCCAGTTTAGCATCCACGGCAAGAAGGTTAGAATCCTTTTTTACAGAAAATAATCATGACTTCCGTCAGGGGGGAGATGCTGAAGCAATGTTAGTGCAAGATCGACCAACGTCCAGGCCAGCACCATTCCGCGATAAATGGAGGTCGGGTCCAACGTAGCCTCGAAGGATGGAGGTCGGATCTGAGGCTGACGTAGCCTCGGATGCCGGCCTGCAAACTCCTAAAACATCACTGGAAGTGATGTTTAGGAGTCTTGAGGAGGAGGTTTATTGTTAAGCACAAAAAATAATAATAATAGTAAGTGGCAGTAGGATTCTGGGTAGGGTCTGAATGAAAGCCAAAAGGTCTGGAGGTCGGGCAGAATAAAGGTCGGGAAAAGGAAGAAAGGTCGGGCGGAGTCTAAAAAAAAAGGGTGTACCCAAGTCGGGTAAACCGTAGTCGGATGGAAGGCGAAGTCGGGCAGACGCGGAGGTTTGTCAAGAGGAAGGTCGGGCAAGGAAGAGGTACGGACAGACGCGGAGGTCTTCGGTCAAAGACGGAGGGCGGCTGATGCGGAGGTCGGCCCAAGTGAGGTCGGGCGAAGAAGCAGGTCGGGTGAAGGACGAAGTCGGGCAAAAGAAATTTGGCAGTGGACAGGCAGGTCGGGTAAGAGGCAGGTCTGAGTTCTGTGACTGGTGGGAACGGTTGAAGGAAGTTGTAATACGTGTCAATAGAGGAGAAATTGGTGGTCGGTTGACAGCGGTTGCTGTAACCGACCAGACGGCGGTTCAAACCGTTTTCTCTGAAAGGCTATTTAAATGATTCAAATCCGTCAGAAAAGGCATCTTCAATCAACTTCAACAAAGCAAAGTCAGATTTGGGGATCACCACTTTAAATTTCAGTCTTTTATTTTCCAGTTTATTTTCTGTACCATACAGTGTTTAGAGATTCCTAATCTCAGGCACTAATTAATCAAGTTTAAGGATATTTTCTATATCTTTGAATTTTACTTTATTTTTGTTGAAAAAATACATCAACAATTATATTATAACTCAATATATATTGTACTATATGTGAATATATATTGATTATATGTATAATTTATATTGATCTGATCAAATTAACATCATATTGATTTAACTGAATCAGCACATGATCTACAGCCTATCGAATAATATATTATTTATGGTTGCTAATTAATTACAACATCGGAAGTGCAGTGCAGGCAAGCTTGGTTGGTACTGTTCTGATCAACTGAATTCTGTTTCCAATTCCTCACAGTCGCATCCACTTTCATCTAATCAAACTTAATTAATCACATATCCTTTCTTCTTCTTCTTCTTCCTCTTCAAAAAAAACCCTAATTTTAATTTGCGATCTTCCATGCCATGCAATAATATTAGCCAGAGATCGAATCAGCTAGCTATCTGCAGTACCATTAATTAATGGAGGAGGAATTGAGTTGGGTTGTGTCGGAGCTGGAAGGTACGCTGTTGAAAGACCCCAGCGTCTTCGCCTACTTGATGCTTATTGCATTCGAAGCCTCCGGTCTGATCCGGTTCGCGCTCCTCCTCTCATCCTGGCCGTTCATTCGACTCCTCCACGCGATCGGCAGATCCGACGGTGGCCTGAGGCTCGCCGTTTTCGTCGCGACGGCTGGGATTCGTTTCTCCGAAATCGAAGCCGTGGCCAGAGCTGTCCTCCCCAAATTCTACCTCGACGATCTCGACATGGCAGCGTGGGGACTGTTTTCCGGCGGACAACGCCGCCGTGTCGTCGTGACCAGACTGCCGACGGTTATGGTGGAGAGGTTTGCCAAGGAGCATTTGATGGCCGACGAGGTTGTCGGAACTGAGCTGCGTGTCAACAGATTCGGATTCGTAACGGGCAAATTTGATGATGGTGATGATCGGAGGTTTCATCGGAGGGTTTCTCGACAGCCATGTTTGGGGATGGGAAGAAATCTCTGTGGCTCATCGTTTTTGCCCTTCTGCAAGGTGATTTGATAATTTGAATTTGTTGATATATTTTTAAGGCTAAATGACATCAAATTCACCCCTAATTTCACGAAATTGCGTAAAATTCCTTATACTGTGTCAAATATCTTCGTGATTTCACTCCTTTGCCATCTTTATTTAGACAGTATTTGACTTGCACACACTTAAAATACGAATAAATTTTAAAATATTTATTTTTAAACCCTTAAAATTACAAATTACAAATATACTTGTTATTCTTATTACTCAAGCTTCAAAAAACAATAAATATACTCAAATAGTTAATTTTTTTTTCAGATTTTAAAAGTTTTTTTTAATGTTATTTGGGGCTAAATATAAGAGAAATGAATATATTTATAATTTTAAAAGTTTCAAAATTAGTATTTTGAAATTCATTCGCAATTTGAGTGCGTGTAGATCAAACACCATTAAATAATAACGGACCAAGGATTAGACGCAAAGTTTATGAAAATCACCAGAGAGTATTACACAATTTTAATAGTAGGAAAGATTTTAGACAATTTTGTGAAACTATAGATGAATTTGGTACAATTTAGTCTATTTTTAAATTGAATTTAGTATTAAGTTGGAAACAAATTGTTTTTCAATTTCTAATAGGAAAAATGCTCTCCGCCGTTCATTGGAAACGAGAATCCCGATCACCGGCCGGCGCCGGTGATCTTCCACGACGGCCGTCTGGCGAAGCGTCCGACGCCGGCGGCGGCTCTCCTAATCCTCCTATGGATTCCGATCGGCGTCGTACTCGCCGTCGTCCGGATGACACTAGGATTAACGCTTCCTCTATGGACCTTCCGCCGCATCCGGCCGCTGCTCGGCGGCGAATTGGTGGTGAAAGGCACTCCTCCGCCACCACCGTCCGGCACTCACTCCGGCGTCCTCTTCGTCTGCACACACAGAACCCTACTGGACCCTGTAGTCCTCTCGTTCGTTCTCAGCCGTCGGATCCCGGCGGTTACCTACTCGATCTCCCGAATCTCGGAGATCCTCTCGCCAATCCCGACCGTCCGATTGACGCGGATCAGATCCGTCGACGCAGAGAGAATCCGGCGAGAGCTGGAGAAGGGTGACGTGGCGGTCTGCCCGGAGGGCACCACTTGCCGGGAGCCATTTCTGCTGCGATTCAGCGCTCTCTTCGCAGAACTGACCGATCAGATTGTGCCGGTCGCCATGAATTACAGAGTCGGATTCTTCCACGCGACGACGGCGAGGGGGTGGAAAGCCATGGATCCGATCTTCTTCTTCATGAACCCTCGTCCTGTTTATGAGGTGACGTTTCTGAACCAGTTGCCGGCCGACGCCACCTGCGCGGCGGGGAGAACGCCGCACGACGTCGCTAATTACGTGCAGAGGATCTTGGCGGCGGCGTTAGGGTTTGAGTGCACAAATTTTACGAGGAAGGATAAGTATAGCGTTCTTGCTGGGAACGACGGAAGCGTGTCTCTTAATTCCAGCTCCGCCATGGATCATCTGCTTCGAGCTTTGAGGAATTTCTGGCCACCAGTTTTATTCTACACTGCTAAAGGTAGTTGTACTCTCTGATTATAATGTTGTACTTGAGGGTTTTTTTAAAAAAATTATTTTGCCTTTTGAATGATACATAAACGTACGTTTTGTATTTTAAATCAAAATTTTACTATTTAATTTGTATGATATTTAATAAAAAATATTATTTTTTAATAATATCACAACCAAATACTATTTAAATCTAAATAACATAGGGATCAAATCATATCAAATAAAAAAAAAAACAAAAATGCTAAAATATTATAGGACCATAATATCTCCATAGTAGATTTGCACTTTTGTAAGTTTCTAACTTCACACACCAACATTATATTATTTAAAGAAAATGAAAAAATTATTTTACTGAAGAAATTAAAAAAATAATAAAATTATAAGATATATAATATTCCAAATATCTATAAATGATTGAATTAGATTGTATTTAATTGTATAATTTTATTATAGAAAACTTGTGATATTTGCTATTTTTATTTAGTTAATGGAGTGTAATGTCAATTAATGTATCTAATATATAATTAATATTTTCTCCGTCCATCAAATTTATTTTTATTTTTCTTTTTAATATAATATGTCTTCTAAATTTACCTTATTACTAATTTTAGAAAAGTTAACAAATTAATATTTAATTATTATCTTTCATTCAACATTTTTTATAATAAATACCATTGCATTTATTACATTGTCTTTTTTCATTTACTTTAATTTATAACTAAATTTTCAAAAATACATTTAACTACTTTATTATTTTTTTCATAAAATATTCATTTTTCTTAATTTTTGTATCTAACCCAAATGAACGAATTTTAATTTTTAATGGACGGGGAGAGTAGTTGTTATATTGTGAAGTCAATTATGTGGTTGTTTGGGGGATTCTCCCAAAAATACACTATTCATCCCTTTTTTGTTCCCCCAAAAATATCAAATCAAATACCTATTTTTCATTTTTTATATTATACTAAAAATCAATTTTACATTCAAAACATCACATCATCACCTATTTATATCACATCATACAACTATTCAAATTCAAAATTTTTACTATTCAAATTCCAACTCAAAATCCAAAACCCCCAAACAAATACAACTAGGGTTTCGTTAGCATGTATTAATATATAAGTCTAAAGTTTTTCAATCTTATTTATATATATATATTATTTCTATTACTTTTGATGTAATCCCATAATATTAGACTAGTGAAATATTTTGCTTGTTAGGGCTCCAAATGTAAATCAATTTGGACAGAGTTTATTAACCAAATTCTTTTCAATTTCACATTGTTTTCTTTTGATGTTGTAATATTTTCGTAATGGTGAAATTTTGAATAACCCCCACATTGATGATTTGAATTAGAGTTGGGTTAACCAATTGTATGTTTTTTTGTTGTTATTTGTTTCATGATCGGTATGTATTCAAAATCATTTTAAAAAATAATACTTGAAATAAATTGTTAAAAATTATCAATGCGGAATTCTTCACATAAAAAAAATAAAAAACAAAAAATAAAACAAAACAAAAAATTATACTAGTTGTTTAGTGCACTTTTGTTTGGAAAGGGGATGTACCATTTTTTATTATTAATGTTACAATAACAATATTTAAATTTACCATAATCATGGCTTTATTCTTTCACAATTTCCCATAAATATATTATTTTTGAAAAAAAATGATATATTACACACTTAATATTTTTATATTATTTATACAATTTTCTATACTTTTACATAAAAAAAAAATATTTTTTTCAAACAAACACACTCTACATCTTTGGTCTTTTTCATATTTACGATTTTTTTCTTGGTTATTATTGTAGTTTGTATAAATAGATTAGATCATATTCCGTTGGAATAATAAACTCATATTGAATTGGACTATATTAATAAATTTAAAAAATATTTTAATAATTTTCTTTGTTGGTAAAAGGCAACCATGATCAATTCTTCGTATTTCTAAAATGCATTTATTTATATATGATATTACGTAAATAAATTGGCAACATGAAATTTGGATAAGATCTTCTCAGTTACGTTACTAGTAATCATATATTTACCACATAAACTCAATTATGTTGTAATCTCAATAACAAATCTTAGAAATATAAACAGTGTTATTCATCAATTTTTTTTAAGCAATTGTATACAATGAAATCTATTTCTTTAGAACTGTACACACTGTTATTGTAATGCATGTTTTAGTAATTTTCCTCATAGTTTTATTATTTATTTTCATTAAAAATATCAAATAAAAAACATAATTTTTATATTTATATATTACACTAGAATTACATTATAAATATCACATCAATACATATTTATATTACATCAAATATATAACTATTTCAATTCAAAATTTTTCTATTTAAAACTAAAACTCAAAACTAAAATCCAAATAAACACACAATTCGTCAAATAATTATTATACGTGATATTTTATATGGAAAATATATATGTTTATATCAATGGTGTGTTTTTTTGGGTTTGGATTTTAAGTTGGAATTTGAATAGTAAAAATTTTGAATTAGAATAGTTATATGATGTAATACAAATAGGTGTTGATGTGATATTTTGGATGTATAATTAATTTTTAGTATAATATAAAAAATAAAAATAAGTGTTAGATTTGATGTTTTTTTTATATAAAAAAAATGATGACTAGTAAATTTTGGGGAAAATCCCTCAAACAAACACACCTTACGAATAATAGTGTGAATGTTGTGTTTTTGCTTATGAATTTTTTAAGGTGATAATAGTGATTTAATATAATATTTTGTATAATAATTAAGTTTCGAATGTCATATTTTGATTAAGAAATTATAAAAATTGAATATTAAAAAAAAAACATAGAATACAAGATAACAAAAGTGGAATGATATAAAAAAAAAATGTATCTATATTTTATATTTAATTATTAATTGAATATTAATTTTTATGATTAAAAATAATGTATTTTCAAAGACAATCCTAAGAGCTCCATAAAAATTACACATAGAAAGAATAAAATAAAGTGATATGTTATATATGTTGTATTTATTTATAAATCAAGTAACTTATTGACCATGAGATATTACAATTGATCAATAAGTGTTAGATGAATATTTTATTTGTACTCAATTTTGGCTTGTTATATATTTTGTTTGGTAAAGACATTAATAGTTTAACTTACCCATTAATTTAAGATGCATTTGGTAATATTTGTTCAAAATTTTTTTTTTCTACAATAATTAATCATTTTTTTCATTCATCAATTTGCTAAGTAGTCCATTTCGAAGAAGATATTTAACTTTGTGGCAATTAAATATCTCAAACTTCTAATCAAATTTTTATAAACCATATTTCTATATTTAGACAACTTTTATCTTTTCAGATATAGAGTTAAAATCAGTTTCAAATCTTCAATACTAAACCAAAAAATTATTTGTATTTTGTAGGAAGGAGGGGAGAGGATAGTCAATCCCACAAGTGAAGGGAAGAGAGGGGACATCTCAATTTTTTCGCATTTTTTAAATCCTAAAAGGAAGTGAAGTTATCCAATTTCTGATAGCTAGATCGCACCCTTCTACTATTGAATTATAATAATAACTCGTTGTCTCACCAGGAAACAACTCTCATGGGAAAGACAAGTTCGGTGGAACAAAGTGCTTTCTCGGAATCCAAGCACGATGAAGCTACAAGAACGGAAATCATTGGCAATATTTTTCCGTTGTTACTCTGTTCACTAACAATCCTGAGGTGTTTTGTAAATGCTTCACAACACGAAATAAACCAACTGATTGTACAATTCTTATATAGTTACCTTGATCCCTACTATGATGGTTGTACATTGTCTACAACCCCCATAGTATGACTCCTCAAGTGATGGCGGCAATTTTTTGCCATATCTCATTACCCGTTGATATTTCAAATGATAGTCCTATATAGGTCAATGTAAAGCAAAATTATGAAATTTTTCCAAGAAGACAAACTTTCTTTAAGTTTGAGGCTCAAAACAATTCTATCAAAAATCGAGAACCATATATGCACGAGTCTCACCACCAGCATGCTCTGATACCAAATAAAATGATATAATATAAGACGAAAGGTGGAAAACAAATATTGAAACTTTTTATTGCACTTTTGTAATTTCTTCTTTAACTTCACACACCAACACATACTACTAATCATGTAAAGAAAATGATATAACAAATTACTCCTAAAAATATGCAACATATATCAGGAAGAGACGCTATTAACAGACTTTGACTTGGTTTATAACAATAACCACAATTACCAATATTTCGACGTGTATGGTCATACGAACTCAATCAGTTGCTTATACTTTTGATATATATATCTTCAAATATTTGGTGTTCATACGTTATAACGAGAGTATTTTCAATCATCCTAATAAACATTGCATTCTATAGTTGATAGGCTTGATCTGCAGATTTTAGTACATGTTTTTTGGTTATGTGTGACTAAAGCATTAGTTTCACACATGTAATGTTGGAACCATAGATAGGTTTGTAGTATCTTAAGGACATATGTCAACTCTTTTGAAGATTTCAATTGAGCATATTTGGAGGGTTTCAAATGTACGAGCTTCTCGTTAGGTGATTCTCGAATGATTATGCATAAAATTACACATGATCGGATAGCGATGTTGTTCTAACTATTATGATTATCTTACAATGAAGATACAATATTTATATTTTTGTTCTAAATTCACGAGTCTATTATGATGCAATATATATATATATACTTTGTTATATTGACGAGTTTTATGTATAATTTTCTCTGTGTAATAAAATTGACTTACTATAATGAAGAAATTTAAAAAAATCATACGATGTATAATATTCCAAATATTTATATATGATTGAACTGGGTGTATCTAATAATTTTATCATACCTATTAGGAAGCTTGTTGATATTTGCTACTTTTATTTAGTTAATGGATTGATAAGACCTCATTTTAGAGATGTAAATACAATTGAGAAAGATAGCACAATATTAATATATTATATTTTAAACAGAGCAATCAACTTTATCATATTGACATGTGTTCGTATGTAATATATTTTTTTGTTTAATAGTAAATAAATTTATTGTGCAATTTATATATATTTATATTTTTTATGTTAAATATGAATAAATATGTCAATAATATAAAAAATAATATTTTATATTGTATATTATATTTAGGAATAAACACTAAAAATCATAAATTAAGTAGTTAGAGTGTAATGTCAAATAATGCATGTAATATATAATTAATAGTTGTATAGTGAAATTTTTGAATTGTCAATGCCCAAAATATAAATCAGTTTGGATACAACTAAGTAATCAAATTCTTTTGAATTATATATATATATATATTATTTTGTAATATCTTTGTAACAATAGTGAATATGTACTTAATATTTATTTTCCAAAATAATATTTGAAAGAAATTGTGAAAGAACATTTATAAAAGCAAAATCTTTCATATGAAAAATAATAAAAAAAAATTTAAAAAACTTCTACCAACTGTTTTGTCAATATTTTATTTGATTTACATTTGTAGTTTGTATTAGTAGATTGGATCATATTTACAATCAATGAACTCCCAAATATTGGATATTGCCAAAGTCCTGTTCTAGTGGCAGTGCTAATGTTATGAGTTTGGATTTGAATTTTAATATCTGAGGTAAGTAGTAGATTTTAAAAATTTAAATTCGATACAGGTCACAGGTTTAATTAAAAACTCGTCCCGAACTCAACTCTAGCCCGAATCTATTAAATTAGTAACTTTAAAAATTAATATTATACATATCTATAATTATTCATAAATTTATAATAGTATACCTTTCTCATTTTCATTATTTTTTATTTTCCAATTTATTTTCAATATGTTTATCTTCTCACTCTATAATCTATCACTTCTCGGACTTTCCATGGCTATATATCAAAAAAAAAATCAAATACTTGTTACATAAAATCAAAAAATCAAATATTCAACTTAAAAATAGTACTCCCTCCGTCTCTTAACAAACTATTTATTTTTTTATTTTGGTCCGTTCCATAACAAAGTATCAAATTTTTTTTTTGCAACTGTACTATACACATAACATTACAAATACCTTTACGATTTACAATATATTACACAAATATAACAACCTTATATCACACGTTAGTCATTCTTACTTCATGCCTATTATATATCAATATAATACTAATATATCAAAAAAAAACAAACAGATACCTACTTAAGGAACAAAAGGAGTATATTTTATACTTTTGATATAATTCTCCTACCACATACCAAAAATCAATATATCTATAAAAAAAAAAAAAAAAAAAAAAAAACACTAATTTAAGACGGGCAGATTTAAGATTGAATTCAGACAGGACATAGTTGGTCCTAGGACGTAAAATTTTAGTTATTTTTACTTTATGTCTACTACATATCAATATAATACTAATATACTTTAAACTCTGAACAAAAAGCAAACGGATACCTACTTAAGGGACGAGCGGAGTATATTTTATACTTTTGACATAATTCTCTTACCACACACCAAAAAACAATCTATCTAAAAACACTAATTTAAAACGGGGCAGATTTAAGACTGAAATTCAGACAGGACGGGGCCGGTCCTAGGGCGTAAGATTTTCTAGCTGGGCAGGATCTCGAGCCAGCAAAACCTGTCCCGAACCCGGCCCATTCTATCCCTAAACTCAAGAAATAAGAGGAGAAAACACAAATTCATCATTTCAAAACACTAAAATTTAATTTACATCCCATCCACCAAAGCAAACATTGGTCTTGAGCAAGTACATATATAATTAATAACAACATCTCGTTCACACAACATCCGAATCTTCAAACCGCTAACTATAAACACGACCATAAACTTAATGCGCAAGCGACAAATCTACATACATGTCCCAACTCCCAACGATTTGTTCTGCACTACAATCCCCAGAACATGCGACAGCAACAAATACATGTGTTAGTTAGGACTTACATAAATGCCTGCATTTCATATCCTTTGTCTGCCTCAATTCATGAAACAGCCCTTTGTTCCTCGCTCGTATAACCTTTACGCGAGAGCTTTCCATGCCGATTCTGGAACAAGATACCAAGAACCAAAACATTACAATTACAAGACCCTCTAATCAAAATCAGCATAGTAATTGTCTTCCGGGAGCAATGCCATAGACTCAATAGCATAAAGGAAAGTTTTTTAAAATAGAAAAATTCGTCATCCTTAAATTATCTCACCAAATTATATGCTCATCACTCGACCGGTCAGAAGATATTGGTCGGGCATACAAGAATCATCACATTGGGCAGTATTACCCATCTCCATGAATCAAGAACATATCAATTTCAGGCTTTCACCAACTATATATGAATAATATCGGCCCATCTATTAGAATACATCCGATTCTAGCATGCTCATTTCATTAAGCTAAGAGGCGATAATCGAACCCTTTTCATTTGAGTTCGTCAATTTTTATTAGAGATCATAATAGAAGTTCCATGAATCAAGAATATATCTATTTCAGGCTTTCACCAGCAATATATGAATAATATCGGCCCATCTATTAGAATACATCCGATTCTACCATGCTCATTTCATTAAGTTAAAGAGGCGATAATCAAACCCTTTTCATTTGAGTTCGTCAATTTTTTATTAGAGCTCATAATAGAAGTTCCATGAATCAAGAACATATCTATTTCAGGCTTTCACCAACAATATATTAATAATATCGGCAAATCTTTTAGAATATATCCGATTCTAGCATGCTCAATTCATTAAGTTAAGCGGCGATAATCGAACCCTTTTCATTTGAGTTCGTCAATTTTTTGTTAGAGCTCATAATAGAATCAAGAACATATCTATTTCAGGCTTTCACCAGCAATATATGAATAATATCGGCCCATCTATTAGATTACATCCGATTCTAGCATGCGCATTTCATTAAGTTAAGAGGCGATAATCAAACCCTTTTCATTTGAGTTCGTCAATTTTTTATTAGAGCTCATAATAGAAGTTCCATGAATCAAGAACATATCTATTTCAGGCTTTCACCAGCAATATATTAATAATATCGGCAAATCTTTTAGAATATATCCGATTTTAGCATGCTCAATTCATTAAGTTAAGAGGCGATAATCGAACCCTTTTCATTTGAGTTCGTCAATTTTTTGTTAGAGCTCATAATAGAATCAAGAACATATCTATTTCAGGCTTTCACCAGCAATATATGAATAATATCGGCCCATCTATTAGATTACATCCGATTCTAGCATGCGCATTTCATTAAGTTAAGAGGCGATAATCAAACCCTTTTCATTTGAGTTCGTCAATTTTTTATTAGAGCTGATAATAGAAGTTGCATGAATCAAGAACATATCTATTTCAGGCTTTCACCAGCAATATATGAATAATATCGGCCCATCTTTTAGAATATATCAGATTCTAGCATGCTCATTTCATTAAGTTAAGAGGCGATAATCGAACCCTTTTCATTTGAGTTCGTCAATTTTTTAATAGAGCTCATAATAGAAGTTCCATGAATCAAGAACATATCTATTTCAGGCTTTCACCAACAATATATAAATAATATCGGCCCATCTATTAGATTACATCCGATTCTAGCATGCGCATTTCATTAAGTTAACAGGCGATAATCAAACCCTTTTCATTTGAGTTCGTCAATTTTTTATTAGAGCTCATAATAGAAGTTCCATGAATCAAGAACATATCTATTTCAGGCTTTCACCAGCAATATATGAATAATATCAGCCCATCTTTTAGAATATATCCGATTCTAGCATGCTCAATTCATTAAGTTAAGAGGCGATAATCGAACCCTTTTCATTTGAGTTCGTCAATTTTTTATTAGAGCTCATAATAGAAGTTCCATGAATCAAGAACATATCCATTTCAGGCTTACACCAGCAATATATGAATAATATCGGCCCATCTATTAGATTACATCCGATTCAGCATGCGCATTTCATTAAGTTAAGAGGCAATAATCAAACCCTTTTCATTTGAGTTCGTCAATTTTTCATTAGAGCTCATAATAGAAGTTCCATGAATCAAGAACATATCTATTTCAGGCTTTCACCAGCAATATATTAATAATATCGGCAAATCTTTTAGAATATATCCGATTCTAGCATGCTCAATTCATTAAGTTAAGAGGCGATAATCGAACCCTTTTCATTTGAGTTCGTCAATTTTTTGTTAAAGCTCATAATAGAATCAAGAACATATCTATTTCAGGCTTACACCAGCAATATATGAATAATATCGGCCCATCTATTAGATTACATCCGATTCTAGCATGCGCATTTCATTAAGTTAACAGGCGATAATCAAACTCTTTTCATTTGAGTTCGTCAATATTTTATTAGAGCTCATAATAGAAGTTCCATGAATCAAGAACATATCTATTTCAGGTTTTCACCAGCAATATATGAATAATATCGGCCCATCTTTTAGAATATATCCGACTCTAGCATGCTCATTTCATTAAGTTAAGAGGCGACAATCGAACCCTTTTCATTTGAGTTCGTCATTTTTTTATTAGAGCTCATAATAGAAGTTTCATTCAAATGAATTTCAAAACGCAATTAAAGCAACACAGAATATGCCAGAATTCAACACCAATAAATACATGTAAACAAGAGCTGGAATGATCAAACATTTAATTTCGGCTTGTCAGAGATCATATCAAACATTTTTAGATAATTTATAGGGAAGATCAATAATTCCTGGGAATGAACATCACAGAATCGTTCAAGAACAATAATTAAAGAGATTCAACTATACGCATACATAAATTACTAACCTGTTCAGCACTTCGCAGGCGATCATTCCTCAGCAGAAAGACATCATTTCCTCCTGCAACGTCGCCTGCCTCCAAGGCGTTGCAATCCTTCGGGGTCTCGAAAAACGACAAGGAAAACTGCTTGGAAACCAACTCCACGTCGAAGTAAATGAGCCCGGAGCTCGGAATATCCACCCGGATACCCTTCACAGGCAGCCATAGAAACAGCTCTTCGGCCGCAACTCCAGTCAAATTTGCGATCCTTCCGTAATTCAGTTCGCCCGAAATCTCGCGTTGGTACCTCACCCGAGTCTCGAATTTGGCGTCGCACGGAGAAGGAGGCATCAAACGCAGAAAGAAACGTCCGGAGACAGGGTCGATGCTAAATTCCGAAATCCCCTTGGGGAAAATGCCGATTGGCAAACCGTTGGACGTGAGGATGTCGTAGAATTCTGCCGTCGGCGAAGATTTGTATCGGCCGAATAGGGCATTGTCCTCCGCCGAAGTTAAGATTGATCCGACTATGAGAAACAACGCAATTAATGGGCGGCTGCTAGAATCCATATTTTCGATTGAAGATGAAAAAAGATGGGAATCTGTTGGCGATGGAATTAGGGTTTATAGAAAGGGGATTTTCACATTTCCAGGGCGGAAGAAATAAGGAATGAATTGTTGAAAACAATTTTTTTAGTTTTTTTAGACGGTCGAATAAACAACAAATTTAACGAAATATTTTTTTACGCAAAATTGACTATAAAGAGTGGAAACTTTGCCTAATTTTTTCATTTGTTTAAGAATTGACGCTTAACAAAATTGCCATTTTTTTTTTTTTAATTACGTGGGAATTCACACCTGCTGTTCGAAAATACGTCACTGGGTAAATTCATGCTAAAATTGGCATATAATATTATTGCGTACAATGTACATTGTGTTAAGTGTAAACTATGAAAATTTTGATATTAATATATTAAAAAAATAAAAAATATCATGCAATTTTTAAATTATAAAATAGAATTGTACAAAGTTTTCAAATCATAAGTGAATTTTTTATTGTTCCGTCTATTTTATAACATAGATCTATCTATTCTCTTTCCGTGCTAAGAGTGTGTTTGATAGGAGCACTTGTCGTAGTTATCTTCCTTTTATTTTTATTATTATTTTTATTAGTTTATTTGTAATTCAATTTTATGTTTATTTTTTTTATTATTATAAAAGGAAATATTCATATTTTCTTATTTACTATAAAATATATATATATATTTTTACTTACTTTTTTAACGGATTAAATGAAAATAAATTTAAATAAAAGGAGGAATTATTATTTTCTCAGGTTTTAATATTTATTATTTTTATTAAAAAATATTATTAGATTATTACACATATATTTTTTTTTTCTCTTAATTCAAATAAATTTAGAAATAATACATGATGATTTTGTATTTTTCGTCTTTTATGTATAAATTAATGCTACTAATCTTGATATATAAAAAAAAAAATTAAAAAATATTTTAGTATTGGGATATAATTGAATATTTTCAATAGAACGTGAGGAAGTATTACATTTTTAACAATTGATTACCTCCAATAACAATAATAAAAAATTTGAATTAATTAATTAGTACCCAAATTTTAAAACCTGAAATTTATCAATAATTTATTCATATAAATACAAATCAATTTTTATTTTTTATTTTTTATTTTTTTAAGTCTTATGCTTATCTGGTTAAGTATTTTTCAATATCTATATTAGGAGTACGGATGATGCTATTTTCGTTTTCATTATATACAGAGTATTTTTTTTCAATGGTCTATTTTTTGTTATTACTTTGGTTATTTATCAATTTATTTTTATTGAAATAAATATTCGATTTATATGAATAATAATGTATGTTTCATTTGTATTTTTTCTTTTTACTTTTCATTCGTTTCTTTTAGTGAAAGTGTTTTAAGATAGTATCTACATTTTTTACTTTATAAGTATAAATGAAAATAATAATAATAATAATAAAATAAAATAATTTTTTTTTTTTTTGTAAAAATTAGAAATGTTTTAATATTTATATATAAATTACTTTCAGTATAATAAATAAAATTAATAAATAAACAAAAATAATAATAAAATAGATACATTAAATAGTTGGGATTGTATTTTGAGCTGGGATTTGAATAGTTGTATGACGTGACATAAACAGGTGTTGATGTGATGTTTTGAATGTAAAATTAATTTTTAGTATAATATAAAAAATAAAAAATAAGTGTTTGATTTGATATTTTTGAAGAAAAAAAATTGGGATGAATAGTGTATTTTTGGGAGAATCTCCCAAACAAACACACCCTAAATTGAAACTTAGCAAGAGGAATAATTAGTTACTATAAATTTTGAAGCCGCAAATCACAGTATAAACATTTAGCAGGCGTAATTAATGCGATGAACCCAGAGTATGCCTGCATGGTAGCGAGGCATGCAATGCAAAATAAGAGAAAAGACGATGATAAGAGACGAAGAAAAAAAAGTGTTTGCTTTTTGTAAAAAGAAAATTATTATTTTCAATATTGATTTTATAATTAGTTTGTTTAAAGACGAAAAAAAAATAATTACAAGTACAAATTTATTATTATTATATTTTACAATTACTTTAATATTAAGGGCGTGTTAGTTTGTGGTTTTTTAGTTTTTGGGTTTCGATTTTTGAATTGTAAAAATTTGAATTTAAATAATTATTTGATATGATATAAATAGAGGTTGACGTAATGTTTTGAACGTAAAATAAATGTGTAATATTCCCTCCTCCGTCTTCTAATAATATTAACATGTATTTATTTTCATACTTTCAATTCAAAGATCTATATATATATATATATATTTATCATCTTACTTTTACATGTTACCGCCACCACTAGCCATAATTTTCGCTATGTGCTTAAAAATATATACACCAACTTATTTTTAATAAAACTCATTTATTCTGTAATTTTATTTCAATAATAACTCCATTTTTCACTGACTGTTATTATTTGAATATTCAATTTTTTTCTATTATTTTAAACAACTTCTTATTTTTATAATTTAAAATAATTTTTTTAAATATTTAGAAAAATAAATTTTAAAATTAAAATAAAAAATTTTAAAATTGAAAAAAAAAAAAAAAAAAAAAGAGCAAAGTTGCACCGTAGCAAACGCCAAAAAAATGAAGCACACTTGATGGCATTGGGTTGGGAATGGCCTAAATGATCGTTGAAACACTGTAATGGAGACACTATTTAAAACATGCAATCAAGTTAGAAAGATCCCAGCAGCTGCAAAATCACTCTCAAAGTTTAATTGAGCCAAAAAAATCAGTACACAACTAAAACAGAATGAGGGTGATAGAACAAACAAGCAACTTGACCTAAGAGAATAGTCATCAGTTCAGTTATATATATATATATATATATAGAGAGAGAGAGAGAGAGAAGATACAGAGCTCAATGACTGTTGCATTGCTTCATTGTTAGTCCAGTCGACCAGCTCCCGTCGGCTAGTATCGCTCGTGACGCCTGCTGTCGGAAAACATTAAGAGCCAGTAAATGCAGGATTAGAAATTTGAACAATTCTATGTAGTACTAAATAAAGAGGGAGAAATAAAATTAATTAATTAGAATGATGGAGCAACATATCTTGTTTAAAACAAAAAGACTTAAAACCTGTAAAGATCACGATCTCGTGAGTGTTCTCTTGACCGGGATCGAGATCTCCGGTGACTCCTTGAGTCGTAGCTACGAGAACGATCACGCTCCCGATCATAGTCGCGGACATAATGCCTATCACGGTCTCTGCTCCTGCCACTGTAATCCCTTCCACGTTCGTAGCTACCACCCCTATCACGATCCTTGCTAGATTCCCTTTCACGGTCGCGGCTTCTTCGATCCCTTGACCTGACCCAAAAAGAATCGGAATTTGAAAGTGATCCAACTATGGAGGAAGGGCAAGCAAATGCTGCTGTCATAACAAAAATAAATAAATTATCACTCAAAGTCCTAACCTTCTTCCGTCTTCATAGGTTTTTCGTTTCTTGTTTTTCTCTTCCTGGCAATCACCCAACAATAATGAATTTGATACGGAAAATTTAAATTCCTCGATAAAGAAAATACCACAAAGAAAATACACTATTTTTTGTCTTTAGATACAAACACCAACAAAGTAAATTCATCAGAGCAAAGTGCCAACTATCTAAGTAACCAGTTTTCAATGCATACTTTATGGCCCAATTTGAGTCGAAGGCAATCAGAAAGAAGATACATGGTTGCGAGGACTATTAAATAATCCAAAAACGACAAGATCTTCAGAAGAAAGGTGCAACCACATTATATAGCACAACAGGAAGACAATTGATTTCTTTTATTTGGTGGTGGTAACACGTCAATTCAGATAATAGTTATTAGTTATTTTTTACACTGTTGATTTAGCATCAAAACACAAAATACACCTTGGACAGCACATTCTACAAATAACAAGCATAAGAGGATACCTAAGTGATTTAAAGTACCCACAATGTCATTTGAGATTTGGGGCCTATTGCTTGGTTGTAATTCACAAAATAAGTACATAAATAACATGGAGAAGTACAGCTAGAAATGGGGAAAGCTGAAGATTAAACAGGAATGCTAACTAACATTAATTTAGTTCCAACACAATAGCTTACTGAGGTCTGAAACATAACTTAAACTTTACTAGAAAGGATCACTGTTATTACAAAAAAAGACCCACCAGCAGCACAGCTGTCAAATTGTAGAGCAACAAATGGGAAACAACTTCGACCCACGAAAAAAAAAAGAATGACGCAGGAGAAATGTATGAAGCAACTGATTCTAATTATTATAGAGAATTCAGATCACTTTAGTACATTTAAGCAAGTAGTCCTCTGTATTTAGGTTTTTAAGAATTTTCTATTCTTATTTTCAAGTCCAGTTCAATTTATTCAACCAACTCCTTTCAAACTTAAAATTGCACTCCAGATCTTTCAAACGTAACACCACTTGCAGAGTTGCAGGTAACCCACATATTCATTCCACAAGGATGAAGACGGTTTATTCATGAGAAAGCCAATATGTTAGCCAATAAGGAATATGCATTCAATAAGAGTCAGAAAAATACTCATATTACAAGTAAACTTTGAAGCTCTACGAAATTGAAATAATATAGCAGAACATAAGCCAAAACATTGCCAGCTTAAATACTAAAGAATGTATGATCTTTCATATGCACAAGACAGAATGAACTAATCAATACAATTGCATATATAATACCAATAAAGATTTGTATCTCCCCGAATCGACGACTACACCTACCAACACAAGATCAACCATGGGTGTTTGGTTTGGAGATTTTACCCTGGATTTTACCGGTTACTAATTTCCCCCCAAAAAACATCAATCAAACACTTAATTTTTATTTTTTATATTATACTAAATATCAATTTTACATTTAAAACATAAAATAAACACATTTATATCATGTCATACAACTATTCAAATTCAAATATTTTACTATTCAAAACCCATATTCAAAATCCATACACTCAACCAAACACACCCCATATGAAAACTTAAAAAGTCAAGAGTCAAAACTGTAGAGACAGTAAAATGAGTTCATACCTGAAGCTCTGCTAATTTCTCACGAATTTGCATATAGCCCAAGTGGAGCTTTCCACCAAAATGATCAGCTAAACGGCGATCACTGAAAGCCACATATGCAATATATCTCTTGTCATAACAATCTAAACAACCTACTTCATAAGTGAAGTGAATAAAAGAACCAAGTAAATGTTTTAGCTACAGTATCATGATCAACAAACATAAACAGAAAAAAACGCACATTCTTTAGCAGCAAAAGTTATCCTCGTAAAACTGGGCCAAAAGCCTGCTGGTGACAAGGAGGTATCGCCATGTCAAACAAAGAAGTACCCAAAAGTCTGACAACTACTTTCTCACCCTTACTGGAAGCAACTAAATTCATTAAGCTAAGAAGCTAAGAAGCAATTACCTGTCATAAACACTCAAGAATGCTCCACAAATGTCGCACACACGAAGCTTTTGATCAGTCTGTAATAAAGCAAACATTGAATCAGAATCAAAGATTTCACAATTCCAACTACACTTGTCAGGTCCAATAATTAGGCTACATAGGCAAGAAGAAAATAGTGGATGCCTTAAACAAATTACATAGAAGTTTTAGACTGTCAGTAGATTAGGGAATTAATTAGGAGATATTTATCTAAACTAGGATCCCAAGAAGCTTTATTCTAAGTATATATACATTTATGTGTATTAAAGATTTGTGAATAACATGCATTTCTCTCTATAAATATGGTATCTGAGAAGTAGGTATCTGAGAAGTAGGTTAGGTTTTCATTCCTCCCCTCACTACTACCAACATCGAAGCTTCCACCCCATGTTCTCCGGAAGAAGACAGTGAACTCCACCAACTCCAGCCCATTTTCAGTGCATGTTGCTCCCCCGCACAGTCGTGTGACCACTCCGGTAACTGGCGACATCTCTGGCTAGTGTGTCCAAGCTCACCAAGTGGTCCCTTTCTCACTTCCAGTACATATTTCTAGTTTCTGTCCTTTAGGTGCTTCTCAAAACCATCTGTGATGACCTCCAGTGCTAAGAATAAACCACCCACTGTTGTTACCTAACTACCTACCCATAAAACTAAATAATAGAAACTATCTGTTGCAGCACGAGCCTTGAACTCTCAGAATAAATTAAAACATATTCTGGATGATCCTCCTGACTCCAAAGATAAAGATACCTCATCTCACAAGTAGCTGATAATTAACTAAACCTTAGTTTTAATGGCTGCTGCTGCCATTCGCCCCTGTCTTCTCCTTTCTCTCATTTCATTTCCATCCTGCAGGTACGCAACTCTTCTTCACTTCTCTTTTTCTTTTTCTTCCATACAACGTTACATAAAATTCTCCCACTTTTGTTTCTTTCACTCATCTTCCAACATGAATCTCTTTGACTTGCTGTCTTACTAACACTATGCTAAATCTTTTACATGACTATCAATGTTAGTAGTTTTCATTTAATGTGATTGTTGGATATAGTATATAATTTGTGTAATATTTAAATAGCAGTCAACCTCTAAAACACTATAGCACTATTGAGTATTAACAACTATGATTAGGTTATGAATTATACAAGTTCATTATGTTAAAAAATCAAATTGGAGAATAAGGACATTCAAAGAGGCCACTCCTAGGTATTGTCACTTCATTCATGAGGCACTTATGAACACAAAGATTTGTACTCCATCACACTCTTGTTAAAACAGGAAACCAATGTGCTCCCAAAAGCATAGGGGGTACAGCATTTTGTATTACAAATTGAACAAGACTAATATGTCTGCTCCAGCTAGAAAGTAAGTGTGGTGTGCATAGATTAGGGAATTAATTAGGAAATATTCAACATAGGATGCGATAGGTTCTATATCCATGTGTATCATCTTTGTATGTATATACACATATACATGTATGTATTCATGTAGAGATATGTGAATAATAAGAAGAATATTTTACTTTCCTCGATAGAGGACAAAGAGACCACAAAAAATGCATCATGTATCTAATTGACAACAAGAATGCACTAGATTCTCTAAAGGTCAAAAACAAAATATAAAATTAATATAACTGTTTGACATGGATCAACAGGAAATGGTAGCAACAAGTAATAAAAAGAGAAATAGAGATGGTAGACTTACAATGCGCACATCAACGGATGTGTACTTATTGGAATCCATCAGTGGTTCGTGTCGAGCAGGGAGCTGAATCAAATCAAACTATAGTGAATCAGTACACCCGGTTTCAACTTTGAATATGCCAAGTATATCAAATTGTGAATATCAATGTAAGCAAAACTGATTAGATATTTATTGGATTTATAATTTGCATGCATATGCATAAGATGAAAAAGGTACTGATTGTACATTTGTATTTACTATCAAAGTTCTTTGATAGAGTGAAAAATAGCAAAAAACCAAAAAATAAATATAATTCAGACAGTCTTTATTGGTTGGAATAGAGAAGTGTTAAGAGCAATAACAGTTGCGTCCACAGAAGTACAATCAATTTGCAGAAATGATGATAGAAATTCCTCAACACATGAAAAGCGTGCGGAATGGCATATAATTAAGTCATTAAGAACCTTTTTCAGTGCCTCAGCCTCTTCTAAAGCCTTTTGTGCTTCATCTACCATTCCTTGTTCACCTAAATAGCAAGTATATATATACATATATAACAAAAGCGCCCATGGTCAGACTGTCTAAGTACTATAAAGAAAAACACAAAATATAAAACATGACCAGAGCAAAAAAGTGGCACTAATTGACATGCTAGATACCGGGTATCGTGCAGCAACATAGAGTCCCTAATCTAACTTTAAATCTGGCTTAGTGGCTTATATTTTAATCCTAAGCCCTAGTCACAGTATATTTTTTTAATCTACAGGATAAATAATCAGGAACAATTTCTTTAAGTCTTAACATACATGCTCGCAATTTCATTCAGTTATATAATACTTTCATGTACAAGCTACAGATAGCACATCTCACCAAGATCTTCAGCTTTCTTTAGCTTCTCGTTTATCATTTCTTGTATGCGAGGATCCGGGACGGCTGTTTGCATGGGTTGTGAAGCATTTGTCAATGGCTGAGTGAGATGTGCACGATCCCTGTTGAAAGCATCCAAAAGAAGCATTGCCTAACATTTACAGAAAAATAATTAGAAGACACTCTCCCTGAAAACCAGTGATCATTCTCATTGGTAAAAGTAGCATAATTAAGTAGATATCTTATAGGCTTTGAAACCTGCTTGTCTGCTCTTTGAGTTCTTAGTTCTTCAACCTCTTCCAAAGCTCGAATCTTCACATCTGTTTGGCCTTCTAGATCTATCAAATCAGATTAAATACAGTAATATCAAGCAAATGTTAAGTATAGTTGGCAAATTTTCTGGAACAACTTAACACAATGAATCAGTGCACACAGATTTATGCAGAAGAGAGAATCATTAAATTATTGCTCATAGCATGAAGATCCTCATGTATAATTTTACATTACATTATTGTATTAACATAGCAATGATCTTTCACAGTTGAATAGCAATGATATCATTTGTATCAAAATAAACTCAACTGCATCTGTGCATAACATGAAGAATGTCCATCCACATATAACAATGTACAAAAGAGAAACCATTACCAGAATGAAAGACCTACCAGCTTTATCAGCTTCCTTTAGTTTTTCTTTAATTTGTTTTGATAGCTCAATAATCTCGGGTGTCTGCAGTTCCACATGGCTCACCAACTAAACTACAGACCATGTATAGTATGGGAGGCCTTAGGATGTGAATCTTATAAAAATTTACCTGGGTAACTTCTGATACTGAAATTGCAATAGCTGCTTTAGCATCCTCGTCATCAAGTCTCTTCAAAGCCCTGGCAATTTTACGATCACACTCAACAATAAGTCGGTCAATGTTATCCTCCAAGTCCCTGTCATAGTTATCTGTACCATTTGCTTTTGCCTCTTCATATCTAAATAAGAGTTAATAAATTCAAGAAACCATTCTTGTTTCAAAGTCACAGGATCACATACCCTAATATAACACTCAGTAGCCGCACAGGCATTTGGCTGTCAAAATGTATAACTTCTACATAAATCACATAAAACACACTTGCAAATTTACTTCTTCCATTTACCAACAGCACCTGAGAAATCAGAGAATCTTGTTTCTAGAAAAGGGAATATTCCCCAATTCTTTCTTCCACCAATAGGGAGAAAAATAAAATAAAAATAAGGGAAATTCTGAAAGGATCCTGTCTTAAAACGGAAATACAGGAAGGGAAATAAGAGCCTCATATTCTTCCTCTTGCTAGCCTTTAATAAAACAGAAATGTCTGCAACTCTAAAATATTGTCTTCCTAGTAGACATAATTACCCAGGAAATGTAGAAGCAATAATCATCAGACAATATCAACATCTAAGGAGCCAAAGGATACTCTTTCCTCAGCTGTAACGAGTGCAACTTGGGGCACGGTCCCTTGTCCATTTTCTGCAATCATTTAAAAAAAATAAAAATAAAAAATGTTCACCGGACAACCATGAATTGTATCTTATAAATTCCACAGCGAAATGAATACATCAATTTCATCCAACAATACGTGAAAATCTGCACGCATGAACGCTCTGAACGCACCGTAAGTTGGAAAAGCTCGTGAGGGCAGAGGCCGGAGAGGAAAAGGCGGCAGACGTCGCGATCGTAGTACTTACGCGTTACCTCCTGAGCATCGCCGTTGCGATTGGCTCCCATAAGAACATCCAGCTGCTTCCTCAGTGCATCCATGGCTTTTCCGATGCAATTCTCTCTTCAAATCAGTATAATCAGTATACCCTCACCCGGACTGTTAGGGTTTTGTTTGGTCCTGTTTATACCTGCTTCTTTGCAAGAAAAGCTCTCTGCGCGGAAATCGTTATTTTTGTTTAGATTCTTTAACTTCGTAGAAATATCGAATTAGCCACATCTAAAGTTTTTTCTTATGATCAATTTAGGGTGTGTTTGTTCGGGGTTTTGGATTTGAACAGTGGATTGGTACGATAAGTTAGGTGTTAACGTGATATTTTGAATATAAAATTAATTTATAGTATAATATAAAAAATAAAAAATAAATATTTAATTTGATATTTTTTTAAAAAAAAAATAGATAAATAATATATTTAAAATAAATCATCAAACACAATCTTTGAGGAATTTTCTTCAAAACATACTATTTCTTAAATTCTTTTTTTTTAAAATATTAAATCAAATAAAAAAAATTTAATTTTATATCAATCCATTTATATATTTCAATCCTACAATTATTCTAATTAAAAAAATTTTACTATTCAAATTTCAAATTCAACGAACCAAAATGGGTCTGAGTTAGGGTCATTCAATGTTGCTTGGCGGCAAGCAAACTAATTTCTATGCATGCTTTGAATTTGAATGTATTAATATTTTATTGAATATAAAATTTAATATTTTTATCTTGTAAAAAGTAATTATATATATAATTTTTTTAAAAAATAAAAAATAAAAACTTTAAAATATGATATTTTAAATTTGGACTAAGAAAATATAAATTCATAACATTAATATATATAATTCTAAAAATATTTAAAATACAATCATTTCATTCATATAAAAAAATAATAAAATAATATTATAATTTATTAATCTAAGTATTTCGACCAAATGCTCCTCTAAAGATTATTTATTTATTTTGGCGTTGCTAATTGAGTTAATTGACTTAGGAAACACTCGAGATCATTCCAAGACGAGCCTCCTTCTCCAACAGCCTTTCTCGCCATCTCCTTGTACCACTCAGCCCTCCGCCTGATCTCCACCTCCGACACGGCAGCGTCCACCGCCGCCGCCACCGCCTCCGCCGCGACGCCGCCGTCGTTCCCGAGCTGCTTCCATTTCTTATTCCCAACAGAAACCCCAATTCTGAGAACCCTAGTGACCAATTTCTCATTGTAAAACTGGTCTGCAAAGAGGGGCCACGTCACCATAGGCACCCCACTACAGATCCCTTCCACCACCGAATTCCATCCACAGTGCGTCACAAAAGCCCCCACTGAAGGATGATCAAGAATTGCCACTTGGGGGGCCCACCCCCTTATAATCACCCCCCTGTTTTTGGTCCTTTCTACAAAACCCTCTTCAGGCACCCAATTCTTATTATTATTATTATTGTGTTTATGTAATTTTCTTACAACCCAAATGAAATTGTGCCCTGAAATTTCAAGCCCTTTTGCAAGTTCTCGCAGCTGAGTTTGTGCAAACCTTCCAAGGCTCCCGAAACAGACGTATACGACTGATTTGGGATTCTTGGACTCCAGCCATGCCCAGTACCACTCACGTGATGCACGTGCACGTGCTTCTTCTTCTTCTTCTCTGGCTAACAAAAGGGGTCCTATGTTCCATGATTTTCTTCCCAAGACCTGTGTTGGGGAAAAATAACGAACTCAAATTCCACATCCAATAATATATATATATATATGGGCATGGATCAACGCCTAATTCTGTCAGGTGCTGATTTGACATGGTGGATATATTTATACATATTTATGTATATTTACGGTGTTCGTTTGAGCTTTGGATTTTTACTTGGAATATGAATAAAAAAAAAAAATTGAAATAGTTGTATGATAGGATATAAATAGGCGTTTGACGTGACGTGTAAAATTAATTTATAATATAATATAATTAAAAAAATAGGTATTTGATTTATATTTTTTGAGAAACAAAAGTTGATGAACAGTAAAAATTGTGGAAAAACTTTAAAACGGACACACCATTATAATACAATATACATTATTCTATTTTCTTCGTCCAATGATAATTTTCTCATTTCACTTTTGCATGCGAATTAAAAAAAAAAAAAAAAAATAGTATTTTATAGCTATGTAGGGTTAAAAGTAGTCTAATGTTTACCCTTAAAAAGTAATGTAAAAAAAGTAAAAAATAAAAATATTTTAGTATTTATTTGAGAGTTACTTTTTCAATAAAAAAAAATATGGAAAGTTTTGATTTGGACAAATTAAAATAGAAAATAAAAAATTTAGCAGTGGACGGAGAGTGTATAATTTAGCTTATTATATCATAACTAATCATATGCTGCTGATTTGGCCGATTCAGCACATGATTCGCAGTCATATATATATATGTATGAATTTAGTTCAAAGCTGATATTATTATACTAGTATGGATCGAATTGGACCAGTAACAACAACCTGTCTATAATGATCGACGTAATCGGGCTCCAACTCGTAGAAGCTATTCACCAAAACTCCGAAGCTTCGAGCATCGGTATCCATTACCAAAGGCGTCAGCTCGGCGAAGATGCTACCACGGTGATTTATTTCCTCCTCGACGACATATTCGGGGACTTGTGTCCGAACAAATTCTATGTCATGAGGGAGATCGGGGACAATAAATGGCTCGTCATCGGATGACACATTGTTGAAAGGCTTGCGGCGCCTCATGGCCATGGAAGCGCATAGGAAGAAGTTGGATGTCCCGTGGAAGACAACTCGGGGAATCCCGAATTTTGCAGCCGAATCGGTGGTCCATGGAAAGAACATGTCGGAAACAAGACAATCCGGACGGAGATTTTCGAGGATATCTTCGACGGGTTTTTCGAGTAAAGAGAGGGACTTGAAAGTGTGGTTGATTAGGTCGTCGGAGGCGAGCTGATCAAGGCTCGATATGTGATTGGGCAAGCCGGATTCCGGGGGAGGGAATTTTATTACAATTGAGGCGACGTAATCATCGTCGCGGGCAACATTTTCGACTGCAGTGGAAAATGCAGAGGTGGTAATGATGGTGGATTTGAGACCCTTGGAGGAGAAAAGCTTGGCCATGTGTATTGTTGGGAGAGTATGTCCGTGAGCCATTAGAGGAAGAAGTAAAATGTGAAGTTGTTTCATGGTCGTTGAATTAGGACACTAATGATTTTGGGAAGAAGAAGTTAACAGTGACCTATTACTTGCTACAGGGACATATAAATAGTAATGTATATGCCGAGCCCGAGCCCGAGCTTCGTTATTAACACTAATAAGTGGCAAAAATATATACGGTTCGAAAATTTGATCTGAACTCAGCACGAAAAAATCGTACTTGAACTTTAAAAAATAAGTTTGAAATTTTTTGGATAATAATGCTCAGCACGGTCCGATTTTTAAAAATTATATTTAGATATATTAACTATTGAAATAGTAAAAAAAAAATTAGACATGGCTTAATATTAAAATCTTTAAATTATTTACATTTGATTGTAAGTTCAATTCCCATTTAAATTATAAGCCGGTCAGGTCGGGTCGGCCAAGCACGAAAAAAAAATCGAACCGGTCTGAATTGTTATCCATCATTAATACGTGCCCCTAGTTTTAGGGATCCATTAATATATATGTTAACAATAAGTTAGTCATTTTTATTATTCTTACATTTACTTTTTAATATTGAAATTGTATTATTTGCAAAATATGTTATAACTTTTAATAAAATATTACATTTATGATTTTAAATAAAATGTTTTATCAAAAATATATTTTAATTTTATAGGGCTTATGGTATTAGACGTTAGTTGTGGTGGTAAAAAACTTTCGCCCTCGTGATTAGAATCTGCAGTGTGGCTAAGGCTGTTCAAAGTGAATCTGCAGTGTAGCTAAGGCTGCCAAAGTGTACAAATCAATAAAATATCATTGTAGATGAATCGATGAGAGAATTGTTGTGGTGCAAACCTAAATTCTATATTAGAAATTGTGGAAAAAAATTGTATACCTTTTAAGTCCCACATAAACTCCGTTTTTTTAAAAAAATTAAAAAACAAATCCGTGCAAACTCAGCCCAAATATAATATGTAAACATATGATGTGTATAAATATGCAATTATATGCATAATATATATTGTATATCTTTCAAATCATCGCCATGCTCATTTGACCCAATCTAACATAGAATCTACCGTTTCCTTCAAATTGTTGTATCTACATGCGACCTAATTGCGAAGGTAATTTAGAAAGTCCATAACCACCAACTAATAATGAAAGAAAGGTTAGACACAAATTTCAGAAACTATAAGGAAGCTGGACGCAGCTTATAAACAATTGGGATTTCGCCGCAATTTCCATAATAGGTGAATTTTATGCTATTTTTCCATATTAATTAGCAGTTTTTGGAAACACAGACAACATTAAGGGAATGATGGAACTTCAACTCCAGAGGGCATATTTTAGGCAGCAGGATTGAGTACAAGTAAGATACATATACAGTTTCAGCATAATTCTAAAATACCAACATGTCTTGATGTTACAAGTTCTTATTATAGTACATTTCTTTCACTCTTCAGCAGTATTTCACCTAATCAAAAAATGTACTCAAACAAACAAAATTCAAGTCTCACAAGATAACATAGTGCTGTTACCATTTCAGAAATCAAAAGTTCAAATCCTAATTCTGGATTGTAGCTTAAAGTAAGTATAAGAAAAAGCAGCAGCATAACTTACCACCAAACACAACTAACATTCCCTAGGACATTAAGCTTCAACCGACCACAAGCAACAAAGATTTTACTTGAGAACTTCAGCCAACAAAAATTTCCTTTTTTGTTTTTGTATTTGTGCTTTTCAAGAACACCAAACTTAGCCAGCATACGCTCTTTCTCAAGTCAGACGGGCCAAATCAATAGCAACTTGGCATGGCATAGGATCAAATAACAATATCAGACACCTTACTAAAGTTGATTATAGAAGAAGAATAAGAAAAACAATGAATAAAATCAATTAATAACATTTAAGTTCGATAAGAAACCAGAATCTTAAATTCTCTATTAGGTTATGCATTCAAGGAATTCTACCGCCACATGTTCTTATAACACATAACTACCTAAAAAAATTTTCTTGGTGTATATCAAATATCATGCATAAAATCAACAGTGAAAGCATAAAATTACTTACCTCTGTCGTGCACAGTGTCAATATGATAGGCATTTGCTTGGTTTTTCCATCTCATGGCTCCGGATTCCTCCATCAACTCATTTCAATCAAAATATAGCTTTCCCAAGAATTACAATATAAATTAGAAACCAAGACAAAAATAAACTAGAAACACTTAGCATTTAATCTACAAAGATATATAAGCACAACAACGTTCTTAACTTCTTATAAATAATCAGAACCACAGATACATTCATTTACTGGAAATATCAGTTATCGTTAGGACCACAAAAAAACACAAATTACTGTAGCAGAGCAACCCCCGCTGATCTCCCATTTAAGTAGAATACTATATATCAACCATTGTAATGTAAATAACACTTTTATATAAATACGAAATTTAATACAGCTTATAATCTCATTCATAAGCTTAAAATCAACATAGGTGTTATCATATAAATTTCATGTGCATATAAGCTCTTCCAAATAGTTCATAAGTCATATGAACAGCCTTTTACGACAAGCCTTCGCTCTTACACATTAGCCAACAAATCAGTGAGACAGTCTGGCTAACAAGATCCCACTATGTTGCTCGCATTTTTCAGTCATAAGATAGTTGCAGGAGCCAATGGCAAGTGCAAAGTCACACACACACACACACACAAAGTGTTGAAAAGTAGGGTGAGGAAACTATTGAGATGAAGGCAGCTAAATCGATGCATTAGATCTCCATTAACTGTGAATCTTTCAATTTATTCTTCACCTTCTTTGTCTTTTTTCCAGCTTTACCATTCTTTCTCGTAGTCTTTACATCTACAAAAGGCTGTGTGTTCTGCAAATGTTGATGAATGGCAGCAAGTGGATCAGATTGAAAAACCGGATGTGTAACTACTGTCTTGAACTGATTACTCTCTTTCAGCCTGAGAAAATTCATAACATCGTTAACAAACATAGCGAATAAATCCAACATAAAAGGTTGCAAAATAATGTCCGGTCCTTACACTAGAATATTTCTACTTTTGCAGTTGAGTTTGAATTCAGCATCTTTCGATTCCTTGGGTGCCTTTACGTCAGGAAGATATTCAGAGAGGGAAGACAAATCATATGCCTTTAATTTCTTCTGCCTTCGACGTTTTCTTTTCTGAGTCTCCTGGTAGTGAAAAACGCTTAGCACTTCAGATGCTAGCATGTCCAACTTAATTATTCAATTACAAGAATAAAAATATTCTATCCAGAACTAACTGCATATTTATGAAAACTTTCAAAACTGTAATAACAAATTTTTGGCAGATTGATTTTAAGATTACACTACACTATAATGTAAATGCAATTGATTTGATATTTATTTTATGAGTCATCGGAGATCTTTTGTTGAACCCTTCTATATACCCGTAATGCCCAATCCAAATAAGGTCCAACAGAAACCAATTAAAACATATTTTATCCTACTGCATTGGTCATGCATTTTGTTTATATTCTTCTATAGGTGTTGCATGTCTGTATATCATAATGACCACAAGTATGAATGATTCTCACAACGGAGTGCAGTTATCTTGAAAAAATTGATTGCTATAGCACAAGAAGCAGTCATTTTTTATCATATCCGAAGCACCATGACATGCAATTTAAAAAATTCACAAGACAACCGAAACACAAAATTCATAATGAAACCATGACTTCACAAATCAAATGTACAATGGAAAACTTTTATGGAAACTGGCTGAAAAAGTGAATGCAGCAGGAATTTTACTTATATTTCAATCTGATTATGATTTTACTATTAAAAATCATGTAATGTAGATTGAGCTTGAAGAATCTTGTAATGTAGATTGAGCTTGAAGAATCTTACCTTGCTAATAGCTTTTGTAGCAACTGAACTCCTCACAGCTGTAATACCAAAACCAAATCAAGACCCTTTTTTTTCAGTTTTTATTTCTTCACAATGATGCATCAAATCATAGTTGGCACTTGCAATTGTTTCAAAGGAGTTCAAAAATAATAATTACTTAATTAATTAAAAACTCGGCAGAATCAGGTTTAGCAGATGAATGAACATTGAAATCACAAACTCACATTCATAAAACTGAAGCTTCTTCTCGAACTTGTGCTCCGAACGAGTTTTTCCATTCAATCTAAACATCAAACGACCAAAAGAACAATACAAAAGGCGAAATAAAAAATAAATGAAATCATACCGACTGAATCCAAACAAAATTAGGCGAAGAATGAAGAGGGTATAGGATATGAATTAGCTTTTTGTTTTTACCGCGGATTGGTTTTACCCATTGGAAGCTAATCCAATTGGGCGCTTTCTCCTCTTTTCTCTGTATCTTGAACAACTCGACGAGGGTTTAGGGAGAAGTATGAGCTGCAGATACCCAAAAATAATTGAATTTAAATGACCCGATTCGACCCTAATCCGACCAACAAATAGAAAACTTACAATAAATAAAAGAAAGTATATATACTCCGTTACCAGGACTATAGTTTGAAGTTGAACTTGACATAGGATTTAAAGAATAGTGGATAAAAAATACGGATAAAATATGATAAAATAGAATAAAATAATGATGGACTATTATATTGAGATTGAAGGAGTATATAATTACAATTAAATTAAATTGCACAAAACTCACCTGTGATTTCACAAAATTGCATGAAATCACTGGTACTTCTAAAATTGCGTCAAACTCCCACGAAAAAATTTGATACAATTTTAAAAGTACGAGGGTGCAATTTTGTGAAACAACCGGTGAGTTTTATGCCATTTACCCTTACAATTATAAAATAAATATATTTTGATTTATTATTATTATTATTATTTATTTATTATTTTGCAATCAAATTTTAAACTATTAAAATTTGATAATTTTTCTTTTTTTTTTTTTACATAGTTATAAAAATATTTTTTAATTATATTATATAGTGTAAACAAAACTATGAACATAATCGTATTAGAAAATTGTGGATGAATATGAGATATAATATGTCTATGTTAGAATAATGAACAATGATTATATTATATTTGAACACTATCGTATTAGACGTGTTCAATCGAATCCGCCTCCATTCAAATATGATCATATTGGACTAAACACAATGTTATTGATTGTCTCTTAATTTTAATAAGCTTTCTCAGTCGGCTATAATTATTTTTTATTTCAATGAGACTAAAAATAATTAAGAAAACAAACCAAAAATAATTATTACTCTCTCCGTCCCAGATACCATACCCACGTTCTCGTTTCTATCCGTCTCACATACATGTCACTTTCTTTTTTTTTTTTAAATGATTACACATTTTAATCTCATTTTAATTTTTTTAATTTTATTTTTTTAATTTTAGTTAAACTAATTAGTTATCTTAATCTTAATTTATAATTATTTATATTACAAGATAATTATTTTCACTAATACATTCTTAATTACATCCTCCTAAAATACCGTGTCTACGGTGTAGCAGACACTGTCTGAGACGGAGGGAGTATAATTTACAATGTGATAAAAAATTTATTTTTGTTTTTTCTTAAAATTTTAAACGTATGTGTTTAATTCAAATGGAAAGTAAGAAAAGAGAAAGTAATTGTTTGTTTTTTTTAAATATATTTTTTTAATGTAAAATACAGTGAATTATGTCAGTGATATAAAATATATCGAATATTGATTTTTGTAAAATGATAAAAATATATAATATATTGAAGATCGTATTAAAAATATATCTTTTATTTGTATTTTTAGATAAATATGTTTCTTTATATTAAATATAAAAAATTTATATCTGTAACAAAGGTCAAAGAGTTAAAAGCCTTACCCATTAAACTACATCTTTATTCTTTTTTTATGTGTTGATAAAATATATTATATTATATATTATGTATAATTATATATATTTTTATTTTTAATGATATTTATAGAGAATATGTTAGTGCAAAATTATTGAATGAAACCTTTTATATTTCTATTCCTTTTATTCTTTAATATTGATATTTCTCCATATAAATAAATATTTATAATATAAAATAATTTTAGGGTATGTTTTTTTAGTCGAATTTTCTCAAATTTTATTATTTGGACGCGACATTTTTTTCTCTTACAAAATATCTCATTAAATATTATTTTCATACCAAATTTAAACTAATTTTTTTCCAAATTCATCGAAAAAAACACACCCTTAATTTATTTCCAAGTAATATTTGTATTTATTTAAAAAAATTATTTTCAATCTAACAAATATCGTATCTGTCTGCCTCATTTATGTTTGAAGCAAATTTGAAGTATTTATTTATTTTTTACTCATTTATGTTTGAAGCGAATTTTAAGTATTTATTTATTTCTTTAAGCAAGTGATACTTTTAGGTTGAATAGAGATGATAGAGTTTAGGCGATAATTAGACTATTTATATCAATAATATAATTTTTTTTTCGGTAGTTTACTTGAAATTTTTTTAGAGTTAGACAGTTCAAGAGCTTACTTGAAATCATTTTAGAGTTAGATAGTTCTCAGTCTAACGTAATTTCAAGAGTGTGTGTGAATAAAACACGCTAAAAAGATTTATATTTGTTGCATGTAGGCCAATTTATGGCATGCGACTATGGAACCATATTTGTAGTATAAGAAAAAATTATACAAATATAAGAATATATTTAGTATTAAATACAATTATGCGTAAATGTAAAATGTAACCCTTAGAGGCGGATTGAAAATATAACACATGCATGAACTAACAATACATTAATAATCTACGCGATGAAGAGAGAAATATATATTTTATTTTTTTTATTTGGGTGATGTGATAGAATAAAATGTAGAATAAATATTAAGTATAATTAATTATTTTTTATTTTGTAAATGTTGCAGATTGTTTGGGACATACCAAAAAAATAATGTTGCAAAGTGTTTGGAACTGAGGGAGTATTATTAATAGAACACAAATATATTGTATGAACCGAAAACACATAGGCGCAAGAAAGTAAATGTTCATGTGCTCAACACCCTACCCATCCTCGAGAGTATAGAGACTAAATTTATAATATAATAGTTATAATAACACAAAGATGGTGGGAAGGAAGCTTATCACAAACACAAAATTGACCTCATTCTCCAAAGTTCTCCATAATCAGGCAAGGGGAGTGTTTTATGCAGCATAAATAGGAATCATTGAAACATCAAAATAATCAAAAGAGGGAAGGGAAGGAAAGGAAATCAAACCCACAAAAGCACGAAATGCTTCTCTACCTATCTCTCTATTTTGCCTGAGGGTGAGATGCGATGAAGTCAACAGCCATTTTGATGGAGTTGATTTTGTCGGCCTCATCGTCTGGAATCTCAAATCCAAACTCCTCTTCAAGAGCCATCACAATTTCAACTGCATCCAAGCTATCCAGCCCAAGATCGTTCTGGAAATGGGCATTTGGTGTAACCTACCAAATGTGTTGAAATGTTGATTGGCCAAGGTTAGGAACAAAATGATGCATATAACTAGAAATTGTTATGATGCCTTTGAAAAAGATAAATAAGATAAAGAAACAATTCAAATCCTCCGTAGGATGAAATCTGTCACGGTTTAATCCACCGACATACTAGTAAATTTTCACATTAAATTTGAGGCTAAGTCAATGACATAGTCCTTTGGCTCACAAAATCATCTTTCATAAGATTATCATGAGGAATTTACATACATTTCTCAACCAACATGATGGTGGCACTTGAATGGCAGGGATCGTCCCATCATACTTATTTCATAAAAACATAAGCAAGCAGATGGAGTACGTTCATATAGATATGAACTGGTTCAAGAAATGCATTATGTGGCATCAATGTTTAATTGCTTCTACAATATTCACTGGTAAAATATGTTGTCATTCTTCCTCATATAAAAAAACTTCAAACTAGTTTCCATTTTGTTTTTCCTCACAGTTTATAAATCATATACATACTAAGTGCTAACAGAATACTAAAAGTTTATTTTTAAACTATTCTTTACCAAGCACAATCATGAATCCATAGTTTTCTTCAATACAATCTATCTCCCACTTGATTAAACACTACAGATAGAATGTATCATTCTTTAATAGGAAAGTAGATCCGCGCGGAATTAATAGGTATTTGCATGTTAAATTATTCAACACGCACCCCACAGTCTTATTTTCAGAACTGATGAAATACTTCTGTTTATACATGCAATGATGGAATTTGAGCATTAGGTCTACTGCTCTGATATATATATGTGCGTTTGTATATGTATCTTAAGAATGAAAAATAGATCCATCACCTCATAATTACTTATATAATATTCCAATGCAGCCATCATGTGCATACAAATTATTTATGCTTTTTCTACAGATGGCCGATGCCAATGTTGGTGAGGATTTGAACTTGAGACATGCTCTATTGAACAATCGTTTTAGCTAAAAAATTTAAAATAATAGTAAAGTGTAATGCTTCACAGACACGAGCACACACAAATATCCACATGATTCCTACGACATTTCAAATAGAAGCACATAGAAATAAATCATCATTGTTTTTACTTTTCAACTTAATTGTCTTCTCACTTTTGCTTCTGTAATAAAATTTAAAGAAACTACTCAACCAAGCTCTTCTGTTATTATCTCTTTTATACGAGTGATATTAAAGCAGATGCAACTTTTGTGCCACCCCTACAATCCCAGGATGTTCTTTGTAAGACTAAGAGTAAGTAGAGTATCTAAAGCAGTATATGTAAGAAAATACAAAACTGAGATGCTACACCTCAGGATGAGGTGTAGGATGGGATACATTCCTATTTGTTTTATACCCAGACAACATGGAGTTAACTAACATAAAGTAAATAAACATACAACGGCAAAATTGTAATATATATAAACTCCCATAAAGTAAATGTTTCTCATATGATAAATTCTGAATTCAATCAAGACGCTAGAGATATGAAAAGTTATTAGGTCGAGTGATTTCCTTATTCAAGCAAAACATTTTAGACAGCTCACATGTGAAAATCCATGATTCAAGTTCTGCCGTTTTGTCAAAATACAAGATTTTGGCTGCAAGCAAGAAACTTTATCTTCTACCAAATGTCCATGGCCATGTAGACGACCCAGTTTATATGCATTCATAGTTCATTTTAGCCTTTGTTGTTGTTTCTGTCAAAGTAACTACTAGCCACTGATTACAGAAAAAGAACTAAACCAAAATACACATAGTGTTGCTTCAATCCAACACAACCAACATCTCAACACATTCATATTGCTATATTACGAACAATGCAATGAACCCGTAAATAAACACAACAATCAATTAATGCCTATGAACTGCAACACTGATACAATTTACCCCCAAATATTCATAAAACAGTGGTGCTAACCCATCATTTCCTAGGTCATGAACAGGCAATGGTATAAAAGTGGATCAAACCTAACCATAGAGAAAATGGCTAAGGGGCCTTCAACACCAGAAAGGAGCCTGCTCCACTAATAACCTACTAAGCCCTTATAAGAGAATTCACATATACTTCCTTAGAAGACTAGAATAGGCTAAACACAAGCAGATTTGGTACTTCTGATTGATAGGGCTTGAACTACAGTGAAGAAAACCATAGCTTGAGAAGCAAGCAGAAGCCCAAAGCCAAATCAGCTCATAAAAGTAAGGTAAGAGGAATATCATGAAGGAATTCCTTCGCATTTTCCTAGGTTTTTGAGCCTTCATAGCCTTTTGATAGCCACTTTTGGATGTATAATTAAAGCTAGAATCTCCCTACAAAACAAATCAAAATCGAACTTGATTTTTCGAGCGGCTGAATTATGTTCAATGCATTTCCTCGTACATTTTCTAGCTTTTCAATCTTTCATTTCACTATTGAGGTGAATTTCCAAACAGAATCAATTATGTTTACGCCTTCTAACGACATACACAAATGCCTATTCTTCTATTTTTAACGTTTTGTGTTCAACACCAGGCTATCGAACACTCTTGATTACACAAACTTAATGAACAACCAAAAAGATCAAAGAAATGGCGAGAGTTATTACCTTCGAAGGTTCGACTTTCTGAAACTTCTTAACAACCCCGATAACACGGTCGGCGACCTCCGATTTGTCGAGGAACGTGCCTCTAGCTTCTTCAGAGTAGCATCGCTTTATGAGCTGTGACAATCCGCCGCCGGTTGTTCGAATCGCTAGCGCCGGGTTCACGTCGACTCTCAGGTACTTGAGCAGAGCATTCCTCACCGCCATTTTGAGCCGTCCTAAAAGAGACAGAGAGGAGCAGACGGCAGAGAAACCCACAAAACGTCTTTACAGTCCAAACCTACATTACACACATATATATATGTATACGTATTAAAATCGTTACTAAGTGAATAGCAACTTTACCGCACTCAGCGATTCTCTTCTTCTCAAAATCGTTAGTTATTCTCAACTGAGGTCGGGTGGGTCCTAGTTTACAACGAGCTACCTTGTATAGAGATTCACGCTTCGGTTCAGAAGAAACTGAATTCTAACAAGGAAAGGAAAACGAAGACGAAATGCTGATCTTCATCATCTCTTCATTTTTCGTAGCGTTTTTTATCGCAATGCTGTTCAAATTCCTCAAAGCAGAAGGTATTTCTTGTGAATCATGTTTTTCAGGATCGATGCAAGTGATTTCTTAAGAGTCCTTCTGTCAGCTAACAGTTGTGTTCTCTTGCAGGAGATTTGACTTTACTGTCCAAAAAGCACGTAAAGCGTGAAGAAATTGAGGATAAGGTTTGAAAAATTTTTTGTTAGCTCAATTTGACGTTGGGCATATGAAAGTTGAAGAAACTCACGTTTTTTTTTTTTTTTTTTTTGTCTCAATTAGGTTGTTTGGATTACTGGAGCTAGCCGTGGAATTGGTATGTTGTTCTGAAGAATCACTTTCTTCCGATTGTAGCCATTTATCAGAAATTTTCGATTATTGAGCAGTGGTATAGCAAATTTTGTTATGATTGCACAGCAAAGTGACTATGAGAAATTACCTGTATTTGATCTTTCTGTGCACAATTATATATCTGTTCTTTGACTGCAAGGATTTCATTACGTGTAATTTACGATTATACAATATGGAACCAGCAGATAGTTTTTTTTGCCATTGACATGTTAGTTTCTGATAGCACATGTTATTTTGCTACTTCTGTTCATCGAATTATGAAGCACTGACTGTGTTGATCTTAATATATTCAAACTATAAGGAGAAATACTTGCTAAACAACTTGCAAGTTTGGGGGCAAAGCTGATTATCTCTGCACGTAATGAAGCAGAACTGCACCGTGTTAAGAGTCAGCTATCTGGTTTGTAGTTTTTCAAGCCATCTTGTTTTTTTCATGTCAACATATGCAGATTTTGTGGTTTTTTTTCTTATTTTGATGATAATCCAGGAAAACATGCACCCGAGGAGGTGATGATTTTGCCCTTGGACTTGAGCCAGGGAGAAGAATATCTGGCAGTTGCCGTGCAGAAAGCAGAATCATTGTTTGAGGGGGCTGGTGTAGATTACATGATTCACAATGCAGCATATGAACGTCCTGTAAGTAAATCTCATGCTGCAATAAACCAAAAAACCGAACACTAAATTCTATAAATTGCATGCAATGAGCTATATTAGATTCTGAGAGCTGTTACACAAGTTAGAAATTGGGGAACTACATGTAGTTGACAAAAAAATGGTTGACTGCTACATGTTCTAGTTGACTGCTACATGTTCTAGCCTCAAAATATATTTAAATAGCCTCAAGTTATTCTTGCACTTTTGGCTAGGTGGCTATATCAGAATAGTATGAATTAGTCTAAGATGAAAAGAAAATAATAAGAATAATAAAAATAATAAAAAAATTGACGTAGTTCTAATAGAAGCATATGTAAGGGTAGGATGGAAATGCATGAAGCAGCGTTCTTTGTTCCTTCAGTTTACTTTATCTAAAAATGAAATATAAACTGTTTGAAAAAAGTTCCAATCGTCATATGACTGAATATTTAATTATAAGATGGTTGATTGACATCATTCATTTTGCAGAAATCAATGGCATTAGATGTGACAGAAGAAAGCCTTAAGGTATTGTACACAGTTACTAGTGATTAATATCTGCTGTGCCTTGAATGTCTATTAATTTCAATTCATTGCTCAAGTTGATGACTGAGTTTATGCTTCAATTGATGACTTAGAGCTTGTAAAATGGGAATTGTAGATAATACTTGTACTTTGTGTAGTTTGATGCAGAACCCAGGGCATATTTTTTTCCCCTATATTGAAATCATGTATTTTCAGAGAATGCCTCTCCTTCTCCCCCCATTAGGTTATATCATCCATTTGGTATAAAGGAAAATATCAGTTTTGTTAGCCAAAATCTCTTAAGGCTTCAATAATATAACCCGAATCAAATGATTTCACTGAGAAGTGGATATGATCTTTTGACTATAGGTTCTTGGGATGCTTACAAAAAGCTCCCAACACTGGATACTAGATTTAGAAGGTATGGAATTGAATTAATTTAAGGCATAAATATAATGGTTGAAATGTAAATGAAAATGCTGTATATAATTTGAAATTGCATTGAAAGAAGACTGAAATGTGCAGGGAAATTAATGAACAGCTGAAACAGGAAACTTAAACTACCTAAGTAACGAAACTAAAAATAAAGGGAAAAAAAATTGCAGAGAGTTAACGCATTTTTTTGGATGGGTTTGTGCATATGCTCTTCCTCTAATTGCTGCATCTTTTTATACTGCGGATTTGCCTCCAAATGCCCACTTCCGAAAGATTCTTCATGTTGCTAACCACCTCGATGTGAGGTGGCGCCATTTTACCATGTTTTAGTTGTTGAGTCTGGCTTCCTTCTAAAGGGCTCCTGTCTTTTCCATGGGGTCTTAGGGCTTATTTTGTGGGTTTCTTTAACAAGTTTTTAAAGAAGACATTAATATTTTATATGTTGTATGCTGAAAGTTGAAATAAGGTGCTTCGGCATTGCATTGTTTATCTGTTTAGAAAATGGATGAGTTGCAGTGAGCTGGCAAACAAAGTCTCTTGAATTTTGCATATGTCACCGGTTGTAAGACTACATAGTTTTCTCTAAACATATCATGTTGAATGCTGCATGCAACTCATCAATAGGTACTGACCCAAAGAGAAACCCTTCTATGATAACAATTTTCTGTTCTTTTTTAAGTAGAACTGGTGTTGGATAGCACATTGTCCGTATACGTTAATAAAAGTCGTTTGAGCAATCTATGTTCTTATTAGGCAACTTTTGATGTAAATGTGCTGGGCCCAATATCTCTTACACGGCTCTTGGCAACTCACATGCTGAAGAGGGGAAGGGGACGTTTCATTGTGGTATGTACTTCAAGATTGATTCATTAAAATGATGCAAGCTAATCCTTTTTTATTTGGGTGTAACTTTCTAATTATTCAATTCAGATGCAACTTCTGATACAGTCTTACTCTTAAGATCTTGTGCCCCAAAACTAGTATATATCCAGATCAATTATGTAGCCTAGAAAGATTATTTTATCAGTCAGGAAATATCAATATGAACGTCGTATCCTCATTTATTAAATTCTTCCGTGTAGATGAGCAGCGCAGCAGGAAAAACACCAGCTCCCGGTCAGGCTGTGTATTCTGCTTCCAAATTTGCCGTAAATGGGTATTTTCATACTCTTCGATCTGAGGTATGGTTTCATTATAACTGTGTATAGTTCCAATCCAATCAGTGGCTTTCTAGGCTCATGCACCATTTGCCATCCTTTCAGTGGTTTTTTAGGCTGATGCACCATTCGAAATACACAATTGTGTTGAAATTTTAGAGCACGACTTTCATTTTCATCTTCAGATTTGATCAATAAAAATGGGTCTGTTTGAGTTAATTTGGTTTGAAGAGTCCAAATAGAATTCCTGATTCAAAACAATTTTGAGTGTCAAAAGTAGATTACACCAATATAAAACCACCAGAACTAGGTGATGTAATCTGGTGTGGGGATTTCGGAAATTACTGAAAAATAATCATTCGAAAATTGTACATAGCAACTTTCTGAATGCTATTCTTTAGCTCTTCTTGACTTATTTTAACTTGATTTCAGCTATGTCAGAAAGGGATCAAGGTAACTATTGTTTGTCCAGGGCCTGTGAATACTTCAACTTCTGAGAATAAAGGGGTAAAAATCTTAAGAGTTATTTATGTAATAAAACTTTTATTGTGAGCATCATTTTAGATTCATGCAGTTTTTAAAACAAATGACATTCTTTTAGCTTTGTTATTTTATCGGCAGCATCGCCTGTCGGCAGAGAGATGTGCTGAGCTCACAATAATTGCTGCAAGCCACGGTCTAAAAGAAGCATGGATATCGGATCAGGTCCCCCAGTTTATTAATAACTTCTTGTTTCATTCTTAATATAATTTGAAAGATTTTTGCATACACTTATTTCCATTATTTAGTAGAATGTGTCTGATTTTGAACTGGTTTTTCTTTCTCTACAGCCGGTACTTGCAGTCATGTACCTGGTGCAGTATATGCCGACAATTGGATACTGGCTTATGGATAAGGTATACATATATATGTTAGATATTTTATATATTCAGTTTTAAATTTAGTAGATTTATATTTAGATTACTTATATTTGAGACTAAGGAACTATTTTGTATTGCTTATATATAAACCCTTTTATTTTGATGATCAATAATACAATCTCAGTTATTTTTCCTTCAAAATTTCTAACATGTTATCAAAGTCTACTTTTCTTCTGTCATAAATATAGCCTACCAACCTGCATTTTTCCGGGTATATTCAATGTACCCGGAGGTCTCCCAATTCTGAAATTTTTTCTATATTTTCTAGCTCCTTTTTCTAATTTTGATTTTGTCTTGAGTCTTGATTTTGTCGACGATTGAACTCATGTCTTCTGCGATCTGCTATATATCTGCGTCCTGTTGACAAGTACCATTAGGCATATCTACATGTTTAGTTATCATGCCTTAAGCACCAGCAATTGTGTAACTATGTCATTACTAACTACCAATCACTTGATCAATGATGTATAACCTGCTGATAAAACTTGACCAAAGTCGACCCTTTCTCGCTTAGATGACAATGACAGAATGACATAGAACATTATGAAACTAATTCATTACCCACGCTATGTCTTCTGCCTTAATGACTTGTTACGGATTGCTTCAGATTGGCGAGAAGAGAGTTGCAGTTGCTGCCCAGAAAGGGAACACTTACTCGCTGAGCTTGCTTTGGGGAAAGAAAGCAAAATGATTGACACGTGATGAAAATAGACAAGGTAGCAGGAATAAGAACATGTTCCTATCCTATTATGCAGGGATGAAATTTCTAAGTACAATCGACTGTTAAGCAAATGCTTTTTATGAATTGTACGTCTGGTAGATACGCAGATAACCTCTAGCAACTTAAATTTTCATGAATTGTTTCTACTTGTCTATTTTAAAGTCGACTAGTAAGAATGCGACTATGGTGATTAAATTTTCTTTAATGTAAAAGTTGCTAATGCAACATTTACACAGTTTGCTAGCAATCAGATATATATATATATATATAAAATGAAATTGCCTTAGCATAGTAGAGTTAAGAAGTAGTGTACTTGTGTTTGAGGTAAGACTTAATGAAGGGATCCAAGTCGCCATCCATGACGGAAGCAATGTCGGATGTCTCATGACCTGTTCGGACATCTTTCACTAACTTGTACGGATGGAAGACGTAGTTGCGTATCTGTTGACCCCATTCTGCTTTCACAGCATCTCCCTTAATCTGTTTGATCTCAGACGCCCGTTGCTCCTCAGCTATGACTAGAAGCTTCGCTTTCAGTCGGGTCATAGCTTTGACTTTGTTTGCCAGCTGGGTCCTCGCTTCTGAAACATCGGAAACATTAATTTCATCAAACTACTTGTTAGATGAATGCAGGGACAGCAACTTGGATCTTACCTGTGCAGCGTACTGTCACGCCTGTCGGTATGTGAGTTATACGTACTGCAGTTTCAACTTTGTTAACATTCTGTCCGCCTTTTCCTCCGGCTCTGGAGAAGCTAATCTCCAAGTCTTCTTCAGGTATTTCGACATCCAAACCTTCATCGGGAAGAAGAGGCATGATTTCCACCCCGGAGAAACTGGTCTGTATTAGTAAAACTAAAGATTCAGATGAACAGCAAGCATTTGCTAACTCGAATTTTCAAGTTGGATGGGCAAGAAACTGTTGGGGTACCTGACGAAGACCTTTGGCGTTGAAAGGGGATTGCCGGACGATTCGGTGGGTCCCTTTTTCACCAGACAAATATCCGTAGGCATTCCGGCCATCTATTTCAATAGTAGCTGACTTGATCCCAGCTTCTTCTCCCATGGACTTCTCAACGACTTTTGTCTTGTATCCTTGCTTCTCTCCCCACCTTACATACATCCGGAGGAGCATGTCAGCCCAATCCTGCACTGGAATTCATTAAAACAGTTTAAAGAAAGCATTCATTACTTGTATTCACATAATTCTTAATCTTCCTTCTCATACAGATCCCTCGACGAGTCACGGAGGCTACATCTAATATCTTTTGATCGAAGCAGAAATCAGCGAAGAAATGGATGTTTGGTATGTCAAGTAATTACTTTTAGCACCACAGAAGCACAGAATCATGCTTACAATCTAAGTTTAATGCATCGAGACCTAATTTACATCTTTTAGTAGAACTATTAAATGTAGGAAACGTGTTCTCAATTTACTTATGATGGTTTGGCGTTCGTAGCCAGATAGTTGAATTAAGGTATCTATTACCTGGGCATCGGTACCCCCTGCACCAGCTGTGATGCTGATAACAGCACCTTCTTTATCATAAGGACCAGAAAGAAGTTGAGTCAACTCAAATCTATCCAACGCCTTCGTCAATTGTTTGATGATCGCAGCAGCTTCTTTGAGGAGCCCAGTATCAATCGACTCCATCTCCTCTGTAAGATTGATTATAGTTTCTGCCTCTTCAACCTGTACTAACATGTGATGCTATTTTTCAGAATATCAGAAAAGGAAAATGCACACCTTTTTGTTTTCTATTTCTGCAATCTGCATGAAGCTGTAATGGATTTAAATTAATGATGAGGTTCAGAATGTTGAAATGGTGTGGTACCTGAGCTTTGAAGTCATTTAAAAGTTTTATTTTCTCTTTGACATCGGTTAAAGCTTGCAATGTCTGCTGAGCTGTGACACGATCATCCCATAAAGAGGCATCAGCTGCAGCTTTCTCCAACTCTGCAAGATTGTCTTCAAGCATTTGAAGTCCAGCAGCAGTCCTAATCTCTTCGACACGCTCTGAAGAAGTCTCTACTTCTTTTCTTAAGGTATAGAAATCTGCTAATAACGTTACGATTATACCAGCAATATACTTTTAATGATTCATATGCACATATGTAAGTAATCATCTAGTGTACATTGGGTTCTCAAGATTGCTTAAATGTGCTCTTTACCCTAAACAACGTAAGATTTCCCAAAGCTCTAGGAAAGAATAACCACCTTATTCTAGAAAGCATGATTTGGCAAATTGGCATTTCATCAGAGTTGAAGTTTTCTACGGGACACTACTCTGTAACTTTAATCGTTAATCTGCCCATGAATTCAATCACACTTTTTATTACTCTAATTAGACTGTTTCATCAGTTCTACCTAGTGTCGTGGACCAGATGAGGGATTTATTTATCGTTGAGTGTTCTTGCCTTCCCGAATTTCTACCCAAGAACCAACTTTTAGACGTGAAAAGGGACTTCCGGAAGATTTTAGAAAAGTGTTCCTATAACTGTATAGAGTCACATATGTGTCAAGCAAGAAAATATATTCTCTCATTAGCTAAGTAACAAAACACATTCTCCCCGATCTAATCTACAAAACCTCTAAATTTTCTTGTATTCTTAAAGCTGTAGTAAGCATAATCTTGCTAGAGTCGAACGTATGTGCCTAGCAAGAACAATCAAAGCCGTGACACTAGAGACCTTCCTAAGATAATGCAGTATATTAAGATGCACTAGCACATATTGTCCTCCAATTGCTTCCTGAGTTGTATGTAGTCTCTAATTGCATACAAACTCAAAGAAATGAATAAAAGTAACATATATAATAAAGCTCTTGAGCCAAGGAAAGAAATTCTGAACATTACCTTGCATTACCCACTCGCTTGTTTCTGTGCTTACTTCTACCTCAGGTGTAGCAAACAGAACCCTGCTGCAGCCGCCTTCAGTCAACAATTTATAATCACAAACATCAGAAAATATGGATTTCAATAAGAACCTATGCGTGGAAGGCAGAACCAGTCTATGAAAAGGAACTAGAAGAGTTCTCCCAAAGTTAGAAGACAAAGCTACAATGTTAACAGCGTAGCTTGAGCCTGTGCTTAGGTTATTTCATCAAATTTGGGCAATATTTCACATAACACGAGTAAGTTATCATCCACTGACAAACATTCTGATTCTCAGGTGCGAAAATCGAAGGTGATATGGATTTCAATACGAACTAATGCGTGGAAAAGCAGAAACAGTCTATGAAAAGGAACTAGAAGAGTTCTCCCAAAGTTAGAAGACAAAGCCAGGTAGCTTGAGCCTGTGCTTAGGTTATTTCATCAAATTTGGGCAATATTTCATATAAGAAAAGTAAATTATTATCCACCGAGAAACATTCTGATTCTCAGGTGCGAAAATCGAAGATGATATCCTCTCCCGAGGAGATTGCTAGTTTGCTACAGAATCAACAGATGTACTCGGTAGACGAAATTATAACTTACCGTTTGTAGATGAAAGCTGCAAAGCCGACGGTGTCTGAGGAGAAAATTTACAGAAGAGGCAGCTCAGAGACGAGTGGTTCGATGCTTGAAAACACCTCAAGGTTGCGCGCGGAAACGGTGGTGAGACTGCAGAGTTCACAGTTTGGGCGAAACAAATTGGGCGTTGCGGAGGCTTGGCAGAGCTTAGGACAACAGCAATAGCGACGCCCTCCATTGCTGCAACTCCAAGTCCAAGTCCGAGCTTCTTTGAAGAAAGAAACGGAGATAAAAAGCAAGTTTATCAACTAAAAAACAACGTTACGTTTCGAACCGGCATATCCGGTTTAAACCGGAACCGTCGTTAAACTGTCGGTTCCAGTTTTTTTGGAACTTCGAACCGCCAGTCGGTTCGAATCCGCGGTTCCGTTTTTTTTTTTTTTTTTTTTACCCTGGTCTGGTGTAGAGTCGTGAACGGTGCTGCGAAGAAGAGGAAGATGGGACGGGCAGCGTGTAGGTAGGTTATGTTTAGGCCTTAGGGTGTGTAAATATGTTTTTAATTAATATATTATTATTTATATAAAAGAAAAAAAAAAAATCAAAAGTACTTTCATCCAAAGAAAAAATAATCAATTTGATCTTAATATAAAAAGTTCAACAATTAAGGGTGCGGTTGTTTGGAGATTGGATTTTATTTTCACTATTCATCCTATTTTTTTCTAAAAAAACATCTATTTTTTATTTTTTATATTATACTAAAAATAAATATCACGATCAACACATATTTATATCACATCATACATATATTCAAACTCAAAATTTTTACTATTTAAATCTCAACTCAAAATCCAAACCCCCAAACAAACACACCCTATAAAAGCTAATGTAAATAAAAAAAGAATCAAATGTGACATTTGATTGAAAAATCGGCAGTAATTTTTCTTATAGGTATTCAAAAATATTCTCATCGAAACCAAACACGCACGGGCCTAGTTTTATACTGTGTTGGATTGGATGGAATCCCTTCTTTATCTTTATTTTCTTCAGTCTTGCCTAGGTTGAGATTTTTTAATTAATCTACTCTATCTATTGCGACCAAAGCTTTTCCGCCGCAGTTATTGCCGGTCACACCAACAACTACACCGCCGGCACTGAAGTTACTCTTAATAACCACCTTCATTAACCCGACTGCCATAATCACTTATCATCCTCCATGATTTGCTGCTGCTGCCGCAAGTAGAAAAACGGCCATCATGGATACGAAGTTCCACGGCATCGATTATTATTTTAGTAAAATTATCAATCTATAACATACTTAACTTATTTTTCGGAGAAATAGAAACAAAAGAATTTTGAACTGATTCTATGTATCAGAGAATTTAATTAAGTTATTTTATATTTCAGATGAAAAATACATTAAAAATAAAAAGATATCAATTGCTACTGAACAATGTGTCAGCCGTTATGAAATAGAAAAATATTAATAATTTTTTTATATATACAATATAAAATTTTATTCTCAACGAGATAATATTATACCCTACCGCATTTTAACATTCTATTGGGAATGAGGGGAAGGCCTCACCCTCTTGACTTTTTACTGATCTGAATATTTGTTTGGGGGATTGGATTTTTTTTTCACTATTCATCCAATTTTTTTTCCCTCAAAATATCAAATCAAAACACCTATTTTTTATCTTTTTGTTATGAATGGACAAATTTGCCCTTAAATGTACGGTAGAGATTAAAAATAATATATAAATTAAGGGTAAAAATATAAATTTTGTGTTTAAAAAAAAAATAAGACCATAGTTGTTAGACGTCCCAAATAAGAAAGTAGGATTCGTGGACAGAGGGATTATTATACTAAAAATCAATTTTACATTCAAAACATCACATCAAACATATATTTATATCACATCATACAACTATTCAAATTCAAAATTTTTAATATTCAAATCCCAACTCAAAATCCAAACTCCCGAACAAACACACACTTAGGGTAAAGACTGGATTCACACATTATACAAGCTAAACTAACAAAAAAAAAAACAACCATAACTTGTAAAATTTAACAGATTATTTTTGTTATTGCTCTTTTTCTCTTAATATAATTTTAAAAAAATAATAATAATATACAGTTTTTATATATCTTTTTTACCATCCACACAAATACCTGTAAAAAAATACACCATTTTTTTTTATCACAAAATATTACATCCAACCGACAGTTTAAACCAAAATTCAAAATTAATTTATTTAAAAAGGCAGTATTGTTATGATTATTACTATGACAGGAATACGAAGTGGAGTATTTCAGTCATACCAATTAAAAGCTGAGGCAGGCTCAGGAACACAAAGCCTTCTCCAGTATTTCCTGCAATTCTCCGCTTTTATATGCATCTGTTTCAAAACCCAAATAATGTCCTTAGTCTTGTAGCTGATCTCTCAATTGCTCATATAACCAAACACACAACTATTTAAAGACTTTGGCACCATTCAATTTTTCTTCAAAAAATAATATCGCATCAAAGACATTTTCTATCTCTATTTCCAAAACTCTTGTCTGAAGGGATGCTTTTCCTCAAATTTTCAAATTGTTTTCCAACGGTAGGCAAGGCATATCTCCAAGCAAACAATCACAATAATTTGCCATATCTACCAAAAAAAAATATCCATTTCTCCATGCTTAATCTTGATAGACAAATAGTACTCCTCAGTCCCACAGAAAGTGTCCACTTTTTCTATTTTCGTCCGTCCGTCCCACATAATTTGTTTTTTCTTTTTTTAAAATATGATTATACACTTTAATCACATTTTAAATTTTATAATTTATGAATTTCTTAATCTTAAATAAACTATTTCGATATTTTAATCTCAATTTATAATTATTTTTATTACATAATAATTATTTTTACTAAAATATTTTTTAATTACTTATTAATTATACATTACCTAAATTATCGTGTCTACGGTAACATGAAAACTTTAACTGGGATGGAGGGAGTAATAGTTTCCAAACAACTGTAGAATGTGGGCAGCAAACTCCTCATATTCAATCCAAAAAGGAGAAAGGATGGTGAGCATGGAGGTTGTAAGAAAGTCTATATAAAAAACCTAATCAAACATAATACTCCACTACATTAATATGAGAGCAGGTTAGGTTTAGAGCAGAAATTGCTAGCTAGCTAGCTAAGCATCATAATGTAATGTAAGAAACAATGATAACAATCATAATGTAGAATTTGCTAGCATATATATCATAATTTATTGTAATGTAATGAAAGAAACAATGAACAATGATAACAAAAACTTACCCACAATAATGTCACAGCCACCAAAAAACTCGCCATCAAGGTACACTTGTGGAAAAGTGGGCCAGTTTGAATACTCCTTCAATCCCTGACGCAACAATTCATTTTCCAGAACATTTATGGTTTCAAAGGGCACATTTAAGGATTTTAGAATCTGTACAACAGTGTTTGAAAATCCACATTGGGGGAAATCCTTGGTTCCTTTGATGAACACAACAACCTTGTTTGAGCCAACAACTTTATCCAGTGTAGTCTTCAATGCGGGAGTTAAAGCTGCAGCACCATCATGTTCATATATCAAAGCATAGGCCATGGAAATGCTGAGCAAATACTAGAAATACATCGAATAAAATTATGATAATTGCTTTTAAGCTCCGGTTGAATTCAAGTATGCATAATCTGTACAAAACAAAATTCAAAAACAACAAAATAGTACTACTAATTGAAATTGTTCCAATTCCGTTTGCAAACCCTATCTCTCCGAAACCAATCGTTCATGCAAACGAATTACGAACGCAGAAATCCAATGGAATTGAAGGGGATGGAGAGAACATATCATATCGAACCGAAGCAAAATTAGAGGGCAGTACCTGAGAAACATCTGATGGAGGCCATCCTTGGGGCAGTAGAAGCAGGTGGTCTGAAAGAAAGAGCAGCGGCGGAGCATATGTTGAGCTTTGTGGTATTGCCGCTGGGATAGCGATCTAAGTGTCGGCGGCAAACAGAGCTGGCCAACAAAGGCAAAGGCCTCAGCGCCGCCCGGGAGCAATAACTCACGGATTGCAAGTAGGAAGCAGCCATATCTAACAACAAACGGCGACACGCCGGCGGCTGGCTGGATCTGAGATTTGACCACAGAAATGAAGTGGGAATGGTTTATTTGGAGAAGGGAATTGGGAATTGGATATCGTATTGGAAAAATCGGACCGTAAGCGTACGGTGTCTGTAAATTTAGGGATTCTTTTGTTTGCTTTTAAATTAATTTGAACCTGTATTTAGTATTTTATAATAAAAAATGATATACTTTTAAGGAAAAAAATTCATTTTTGTGCTCATATAATTAAAATTAATTAATTTTGATCAAATATAAAAAATTTTATTAATTTTAATTTTGATATAACGGCAAGATGATTAAAATTATTTATATAGAAATTGATAAATATTTTATATTTAAACCAAAATTCATTTTTTTCCTTTGTTTTTAATGTTATTCAACTTGAAAACATAATATATATAACTTATTTTTATTATTAATTATTTTTTTTAAATATCAATATATATTATATTATAAATTAACTAAACGAATTGAACATAAATAAATTTCAGCTGGTTAAATTAATGAACTTAAATTAATTTTTATACTTAATAAATATATATATGTCTTCGTAGTAATATTAGTGTATAATTCTAATTTTTAAACAAACCTATAAATAAATAATAATTAGTATTACTAATTGAATTTAAAATTAAATAAAATAAACAAAACAAAACAAATAAAAAAATTTCTTAACAAACCAAACTGAGCATGAACAAAAAAATACTTCTTATCGAGTCAAATTCAAACAAAATTTCAGTTCTTATTTCTTAACGAATAAACACAAACTAAACTCGAGCCGAACTCAAGCACAAAAAAATCCAACTCAGTTCCAAACTTCCAAAAATTCATCACCCTATGACAGGGAATCAAGTTTATACCTCAAAATCCAAGGAAAATCGATGTGTGCTCATCGTTACAGTATGAGGTTGGGTGTCTGAGACTAAGTCCTTTTTATTCCTTTTCAATAAAACGACGTCCTGACCTCATCGTCTACTGTCTGTAATGTCTACCCACAGGACATCGTCGATAACATGCTTTCTTTTAGGGACTTTAGCACAGCTTTGCAGGCTAGTTTTTTGGCTGTTTTCTTGTCTGCTTCACAGCATGTCTCTCTATGCAATACCCCGTTCGCGTCAACCTCCACCGTAGCGTGCGCCACGCCGTTTTTATACGAAACTACCGGCTTCATCAGAACATAATGCTCTCGTTGACATACTTCGCTCAATTCCCTCACTGGATGGAGCTTCACTGTCTCCGGAGACACCAGCGGCTCAAGAAGAGGCCGCATACATTCGAAAACCACTTCCTTATTGTACCCCGAGTCGACATATATGGCCCCGGCTAGAGATTCTATTACGTCGCCCAGCACCTGTATGAATTAGTGCAGCAAAGAAAGATCGATACAGTTACTTTTACTAAATGCAGAAAGATGGCACCAGTAGCAAGTTTACAGGGGTGTGTTTGGTTGGGGGGATTTTTCCGAAAATCTACTATTCTATCAAATTTCTTTCCTTAAAAAACATCAAATTAAACACCTATTTTTTATTTTTTTATATTATACTTTCTTCGTTCCAAAACAATATTGACATTTGGGATGAGCATCGGAATTAAGAATAATAGTATTACATTAATAGGTGTAAAAATGTTTCTACAAGACCAAAATACCCCTACTTTATCAAAAAAAAAAGAGGATAGTTTTGTAAAAAAGTAGAGCTAGTTACCAAAAATAAAAATAGGACTATTGTTTTGGGAAGACAAAACGAGACTATTATTTTGGGACAGATGGAGGACTAACAATAAATTTACATTCAAAACATCACGTCTAACACCTATTTATATCATATCATATGACTATTCCAATTTTAAATATTTATTATTCAAATCTCAATTCAAAATTCAAACATTTGTAAGTGTGGGTACCTTTGGGAAAGTTGTCTCCGATTCCCACCCGAAAGTTGAGGCCATGCCGGATTCCTTGAACTTTCTTACAGAGTGGACTATTTGCTTGTGAAGCACCTGGGAAGTGTGGAGTACATGCTTGTACAGCCCGGCCTTGATTGCCGATAGAGCGTAACACTCATTATTCACTGATGCAGATCTTAGATCGGTCAGTAATCCGGGAGAGAGGTTGGGGTACTTGTAGTAGAGATGCTTAGTGATCAGATAATCTAGCACCGCATCCCCGAGAAATTCCAGGCGCTGAACAACAGAAAACTCTCATGAAGCACGACAAAATAAAATTCAAACTCTCTGATGAAGCTTCAAGTTAAACACTGTAATTCAATATATTCCCTTTTACATCGATACAGATGCATATACACAATAATTCAATTTAGGAGTGGGCACGTTGTAGTTATTTACAAATATGCAGGTATTTGATATCCCAATCAAATCGAACAAATACGTAAAACCGCGAACCATATTCGAACCGAAAATTTGATTAATCAAAAATATTTGCGATATTTGCAAATAATTCAAACCGAACAAAAATTACGAAAAATTACATTAAAAAATAATTAAAATTCTAATTAAATAAAAAATATATTAGCAAATATCCGAACCAAATATAATTATTAAAAAATCGAAACCGAACCAAACTGCACAAGTATTAAATATGCAGTATTTGTATTCAAATCGAAACTGAAAATTCAATTCGATTCAGTTCCGTTCAGCGGTTCGGTTCGGTTCAATTTTTTGGTCCACCCCTATAATTCATCATACTAAATGGATATTAATAAAAACTATTTTGCTAAATCAGTTACCTGGTAACATCCTGGAATTTCGGGTAGCATATAGGAGCCATGTGTTAAGGCCTCAACCAGGAGAGAAGCATCTCGAAAAGTGTAGTTTAAGAGAGACTGAAAATATCCGATATTGACATGCACCTCTGGCTTCACTGCAAAGTTCCTTGTATAAGGTATACCAACAGAGTCGATTTCAATGCCAAGCCATACCATAAATGATAAAGCTGCAGCTTCACCCCCTGTGCTGAGGTAAGCACCAATTAGTGCTTCAACTACGTCTGCTATAATCTTGCTTTTAAGTTTCCTGATTCTCCCAACTCCAAATCTTGTAGATGAAATAACCTCTTCACCTAGAATATGATCGGCACAATTAGAGCCAGGTATTATCCATGCTTTTGGATCAAATGGTTCATTGCGTACAAAGCCCTAAGATTAAGAAGAAACACGCATCACATTAACAATTTTTTGGAAGGTGAAGAAAACTACAGAGTATTCATTAGTCAAACGTCGGTTTGCATAGAAAAAGCCAATGAAGGTTCTTCATTACCGTGATTTTGCGGTCACATCCCAACTTGCACAATGTGGCATTGCAGATTATTCTCTCTCGTTTTGCACTAAGAAGTCCCTCATGCCTATTTTGAAACACTTGAAATAATTGTTTTGTAGCAACGTATTTCAGAAAAGAGTCACCAAGTGTCTCCAAAGATTCCAAATGTATTTTTTCTTGACATTTCTTCGTAGTGATTGCCTCCAAAACCTAACAACACAAATGCATTAGCATGAAAACTACAAAAAAAAAAGCATCAATATGCTTGCATAACTTACTTCAGAATACCTTTTTAACAATATGGCATTTGAGTGGTCATGCAACTAGAATCTACCGAGAGAGAGGAAGAGAGAGAGAGGGGGGGGGGGAGAAGAAGAAGATTTGTGTTCTGAAAAGTATCTCATGTCATTTGTAGCCAAAAAGGGTACCTTGACAGTAGGAACGACAACATTTTGACCACACGGATCCAAATGCATAGTTTTCAAGTTGTAAGCCATAAGCAGTGACTGAATACGATGCATAACGGATGGAAGGAATGAGAAAGTATAGAACGTAGAAACAGATACAGGCGCCATGATGATCGAACAAAGTTCAGGTGGTAATTCATAGGAATTGGTGCTCGATTCTACACAGAAAAAGGAAAGGACATTAGCAAAATGATTGAAGCATAGACTAGAGATATATGGTGCAAATAGTAAGACCTGGATGGGTGGTAATAATCACCTAAATCAGTTGTGTTATATACGATTACATACGAATTAACAGAAATAATAAACATAGAATTACTAGGTAAATATTCACACGTAATTAAGGAGACCATAAATAAAAACATTATAGCCTATCGCATAACTTGGAACCTTAAAAAGAAGATTGTATAACACATGGAAAAGAACACAAGCTCACAAATGTTAGTTAAGTGATGATATGGATCAAGTTTCATTTCGAACAACTCATATCCATCCACAAGGTAAGAAACAGAAAAACGATGGATACACAGGATCCCATGAGCACATAATTCCCTTTGACAGTCATGGTGTATGATTGTGATTTTATGTTAAAACATACTCAAAAGATAGATATCTACTATCAAACCTTTCTTGGTTGGAGTTCTACATCTGTGAAGGTAGTTTTGCACATTAAAAATGCGCTTCGCATGAAGAAGGAACTCTCCCTCAAATTGCAAGCTGATACCATGTCTGCAAGAAATATATTAAGCATCAGTATGTAAAGATAGGGCAGCAGAGCTGTGTAAACATATAGACACAGACCTTTGCTCATAATATCTTTTATATGTAAGTCTAGTTCCGTCTTCAAGTGTAAAATTTGTGTTACCATCAATGCCATCCAAAGTTCCAGTAACACAATACAGATAATCATTATGAGGTGTACGGACTAACGACTTCTCTAAATGGCAGCAACACACCAAACTATCCTTAGTGTGTACGTAATGGCCATGACCTCTAGTTGAAAAACAATGAGTATGTTCATCCCAGAAAGTATTTTCTGGGTATAACACAGCATTGATGGATTTCCAGTCCATATTTACAGTTCCATTTAAGTGTAGAGCTGGAAGAAGAAGATAATCAAATATTGCAGAGCCATCTCTCTTTGAGAACTTATCCATTTCTTCACTAAGCTTATTTAGGTTATGATCAAGAAGAATTTTGAAAATAGTCAGCTGGAAGCGTTGACACCGAGAAACCTGCAATTAAATTTTAAGAAAACAACTAAATTTTGCAAATTATATACTACATCAGCTATTGGAAAGCAAATATGCTATAGTATAGAAATTTTGGTGTACCAGCACGGAACTCAGCATCACATATCCAATATATTTTATGTGCACTGTAAGACTCCCCCTATCGATATCAAAATCAAGGCTCAAACCCTCGAGATCAGTGGGTAGCTTTGTGCGGACAACCAACAAGATGTCTTGAAGATTGACATCATATTGGCAGTTGGACTTTAGCTCAAGTAAATAGCAGTGATACAGTGTTTCAGACTTGTTGTCACAAGAACCAAGCAGTTCTGGAGGGAAGTATTTTGAATGTTCGTCATGATAGTCTATTGCTGCAAAAACAATCATTATTACAAAGTAGAAACGAAAAAGCCCATTTGGTGTTATGTATTTCACTTTCAAGAATCACATGGAATAATTAAAGAAATTAGAACATGAAGGGTCAAAAGTACCACAATACTGAGCATCCCTTTCTTCCTCCACAATATCTGGTACAAGATAATCTGTCAGGGCACCAACTTTGTGAAGTTCCTTGCAAGCTTCCAGGCATACAAGTGGCTTTAGAAATTTGGTGCTTCCTTGGACAGCAACAGTTTGGATAGGGCAGTTATTTGGAAGGTGTAATGTGCAGCTTTCCAGCTCCTTATTATAGGAAAACCGTGGATGAGGTTTGAAATATCTGATGCTCAATGTAAAATAATCGGAGGAAAAAGGAATCAGTAAATATTAAATATACGCCTAAATACAACTATGAAACAGTGAAAATTGCAAGTCCAGAGAACAAACCCGTCTGAAGGCAGCCGTGAGCAATAATAGTACAGCAGCGACACACTAGAACTCAGTGTAACAATTGCTTTGGTGCTTTCAACTTCGTACCATGGCTCACCATGCATTTCATCACCAAGTGGTTCACAAGGAACATCATAATGTTCCACACACTCTCTCCGCATGATATCTACACCACTCAAATAGCTCTCCACACGAGCCCGAGCCGGACCATCACCACTATGATATGCAGCAAAACAATGGGAAATAAAATTGTATGGTCATTTGAAAATTCACTTATCTTCGTTGGCTTGTAAAATGTAAAAAGAAAAAAATAATTATAATAATAGCAATCCCATTCATATTCTACATGTAGGTAAATGAATGTTGAACAATTATGTAACAGCTATAAAATCCTCCGGAAGTACATTTCAAATGCAAATTGAAAAGCAAAACTGCCCAGAAAACATGAATAAGAGGTTTTCTCAGCTTTTACATCTAATAGGATTGCAGCTCACCTTTTCACCATTAATACAAAATCTGAGTTCTGCATTCGAGCACGACCACGGGACTGAATAAAGCTACATAGATTTGCAGAAGCATCGAATCGAATAACAAGATTGCAACTTTGCACATCTAAACCTTCTTCCAACAAGGAGGTTGAAACGATGATGTTTACCTGTTGAAAAATGCACATTAGATATAAGTCATAAAAGGAAGTTTCAAAGAATAGTCATGAACCAAAGGTACAAATCACCTTCCCATTTCGAAATTTATCAATAATTGCATTTTGTTCCTTTCTACTTTGAGAACGCAGCTTACTTGTGTTTCCTGCTGTGTACTCTGTGGTCCAACCACATATATTTGGGAGTAACTCGTTTAGAAAACATTTAAGTACAATTGAAGTCACTATCCTCTGAACAAATATTATGCACCTCAAATCAGATGCTTCCCTGTAAGAGCATCATAAGTGTATATTTTACTCAAACAAACTAACATAAGATAAGATGATGAAAGTAAACTTGAACATGACATGTAAACCATAAGAGGAAGAAGATATATATATATTTTTTATTTTTTTTTTGAAAAATAAAGAAGGTTTGCATTTTGATTAAGTCTGAATTTCAAAGTCAATGAAAACCAAAAATACTTGCGTCCCCATTATAAATGAAGAAACTATACAGATGAAACAGGAAAAAATGGCATTTTGCCTAAAGAGCAAGAGAATTCAAAGTTCCAATTAAGAACAGTAACTGGGACAAATACATAATGCAAGAAGATGCAAACAAATTTCTAAAACCTTCTGTTTTGAAGAAATATTCACCATATTAGTACTTCAACAGTCATACACTGTTGCAGTAAACAAGCACATAATCAGCCCATTATATAGCACAATAACTGTGTGATATACACAGTAAATACTTGTACTTCTCCCACTCCAAATAGCAATTATTATATATTAATTCCATTATGAAATCTCACATCTTTTTCCCTCCCACATTGAAAGCAGACAACAAAACAAAACAGAAGGTTTTTGAAATTTTTTTGCATCTTCTTACATTAATAAAGAGAATTTATTCAAGGATTTATGATAGTTTCCATGTGTCTGACGGTTTTCCCAAATTTAATATGCATCTATACCAATCTGCAGACCTGTACTCAAGAAGAATCTCAATGAGACACATCACTTTGGATGTAAGATACCCTGCACTCATGTTATGCATTAAATCCTGACAGCTTGACCAGTGTGAACCTACAGGTAGAGAGCAAAGCCAAAGGGGCCTTCAAACCATGGATAATGCATAAAAGTATCCCCATTTACAAAATAGACAAAAAGTACCTGATGCAATACATTGAGAAAAGGCCTTGACTGCATCTGAACTGAAAGCTCTAAGAACTCTCTCAACAGATATGTCCATCTTATCCCATAAAAACACATCTTCTTGACGAGAGTAGACCTCCGCCGCCTGTTATAACAAAAGAAAACATATTACCCATTTACACACATGTGTATGTAACATGTATTACATACATATTGGATTTCATACTTTCATGGCTAACCAAATGCCTAGCTCTGTTGAACAATACATTAAAGTAGACCAAAGCTGGTGTAATTTTTTTCGTGCTGCTTCAGCATCAGATTCTGAAATATCCAGTGCACTGATAGAAAGGCGATGCTGAAAAACAGTATCAACACATTAAGAACTTGGAATTGGTAAACATCTTCCAGGAAAATGGAAGCTTAAACGAAATTTTGAAAACGAAATAATATCTCCAGCATCATCAAATTTGAAGTGGGTAATAAAATTGATCATTATCTTCAAGAATGATTGTCCATATATGTACAGCCATCATAAAGCTCCCATTACATATGTTAGGGAGAGTAATTAATGAAAAGAAAAACTTTTAAAATATAACATCAAATTTACTATATTCACACAACAGAAAAAGGAAAATCAACTTCAGAGATGAGTGCTGACATTTAAACAAGGGCATTATATCAGAGTAAAGTTCTGGAAAATAATACGTTACATGTACCTTAGATAGCAAATTATTCAACTCATATAGACATGCATGAGTCATCTGAGAAATATCTACATGATTGTATTCCTTCAATTTTGCGGTTGAATTTGGAACATGCTGAGCTATGACCTCATTAGACTCACATGTGTAGACCTTCATTTGAAAGAAAAAATGTAGATTAGTTACAAATGGATCAATTCAGCATGCAACGGAAGGCATTAGGGTCAAGCAAAGAGAAAGTAACAGGGCATAATCCAAGGATGCATATAATAACATAGAAAATTAAATGGCTGGTTAAAAAAGCCATAAGTCAACTTCTGTTTCTATTCAACTTCAATCATTGAAGTTATTCCAGCAGAACTACAACAAAGAGTAAGATTTTTAAAAAATAAAATAAATAAACTAAATGTTTTTAAAACACCACAATCGAGTTTTTTCTTAAAAAACAAAATTAGTATAATATTGTACAAAGAAATCATCCAGAATTCCTGTAAGAGGATATTACAATATGGTGTACATTCGAAAACAAAATCTCATCATATGCAAGACTACTTTTGCATTCCAAAAAGCCCAACAAACAAGGAATTAGACTTCCCATTGAAAATCTACAAAAATATAATAACCTTTGAATTCATAAGATTTTCAAGTTCACTAATTTGCTTCCAGTAGGCTGCCGATGAATTTGAGGCTGCACAGAGAAGCAGTTCTCTGGTAAAATCAGTAATAAGAAAGGGGGCAACTAACTTATTAAAATGAAATTACTCAATAAGTATAATCATAAACACCTTTAGCCTTTATTGGGGAAGCAGTCATCCCAAATATTCTAGGAAGCTGTGGAGTACTTGATGCCAACTCCCGATGATAAAATTCCTGCAAGATTTTGTTCCTTTTAATTAGAACATATCCCTTGAATATTTGAAATGTATAACTCTGATATCTTAGATATAAATAGCCAAGTCAACAACTTTACAAAAACAATAAAATTAAAATAGGAAAATTGACAGACAGATGAAAATAAATTTCTCCCACCTATTGAGCCATCCAAATGTTACCAATAAACAGATTAATATTAAATACAAATTAGGCAAGTTGGGACTAAAAACCCATTTGGGATTGAGGGATGACCATGCAAATGCAAATATAATGTGTATATGCAAATTACAAGCAGTGAGAAAAGTTGAGTCTTTTTTTTCACATATAAAGTAAAAATATTTTACCGTCATTATGCAAGCATACGGGTGCTTGCCTCTCGCATTGTGACACTCATCGAATATCAAAACCTTTATCTGCTCGAGTCCCAAGAACTTGTGCCTCAAAGCATTGAGCAATATTTGAGGAGTCATGACAAGCACCTACAACATGCACACTTCATCAAGGCAATGAATGCACACAGGCACTTTTTCAGAGGCTTATAAAGTACTCGACGCCAGAATAATATAGTATTATGACACATATTTAGGACAGCAGAATGGAAATCTGATAACAGCATACGTATTGAAGAGGAAAGAACATTGTAAAAATCCACCTGTACTAGAATATAGGAAATAATTCTTGTGTTACGTCTAAAGCATCCATTTTAAACGTGTTCAGTAATACAAATCATGCAAAAATGTTGTAATTCATGCTGAAGTTTAATTCTTTGGCAATGGAAACTTAATTCCATCGTAGGCTTATGTATAGAGATTAGAGAAATTATCAGAACAAAAAAAAAAAAAAAAAAAGAGAAAAGGCAGTTTTATTAGTATTGCTGTCGTGTATCCAGAGTCGAACAAATTAAGAAATTACATTGGAATACTTATATAACACAAGATATTGCAAATATATCTTTAAATGCAAAAGACCTAAGTTGAGAACACCATTATATTTTTTTCATTATTCATATTATGAAATGTGTACTTGGTTGTTAACTTCACAACAAGGTATAATGCCATTAACAACTCAAAATCCCCCTGTCAAATAACAAAAACTATCAACTTCTATTTGAGAAATACATAATATAGCTAATGAAGCACATACAGTGTTGAATAACCACAGAAGATAAACAAACACACCTCGTGTTGGTCCACCTCATGCTTCCACATGGCTGCATTCCAAAAGTCGACACCCAACTCACCATAATAGTGGCCCACTCTCAAATCAGTATGGACAGACACTGCTTCACCTTGCTACAGTCATGTAAACACAGCATGGTACAATGATATTACTATCAAACTTAAACTACTTTACAACACATTCCAGAGCTATCAGTCAGAAAATTACCATTATTACATATAAGAAGATTGCCAAAAAGGATTGCAATGTCAAAATTGAAGTAAATTACAAATAAACAAGAACTATAAACACAATGAAAAGTAGTAAGTTAAGCTGCTCTGTACATCCGAATTGAAAAAATAAATGCAAACTAAAATTCAACATACTTGGGTTACCAGAACAACAGTAGGGACCAAAAAAACAGCAATGTGGGGTGAAGGCTTTCGGAGAAGATGAGCATAACTTCGAAGAAGCATGATTGCTATTAGAGTCTTCCCAGTTCCGGTCTCAAAGAAAACAACCGTATTCTGTTCCAGTGCTTTCTCTAGAGCTTCCAATTGATAACTACAATCAGGATAAAAAAGAGCATGAGCTCATTAGTATGCTTAGGATATGAGTGTGTGGATTGCTTCAGCAAGCTTCAAAGTTGTTGGATCAATTTATTACTTATTAGAAATGCAAGACCATAAATGTATAACAGAAATTATAACTTTCAAAAAAGTCAGACAATGAGACCTCTAGTTCTTCATTGTATATCAATCAATTATTAAGCATCAGAATTTTTTATCTGATGTTTAGAATAAAGCTGGATAAATTATCACCTTCTGGCAAAGGAGACTGGATTTGCAGCAAGTTTATGGCTATCTCCATTCATTGTCACAACAATGGTCTCCCCTGATGATATCTGCTTCCTTTCTTCTCAAACCAAAAATAAAATAAAATAAAATACATCAAGTTTTCCAAAGAATCTACTTCTCAGCGTTAAAACCAATCGTTGTAAATGTACAATAGAAGACAGAGGAAAAAGAGATATTAGTAATAAGCACACAACCATGACTGAAACATGCAATGGGCTAGAAATTCTCAGTAAAACTAAATATACAATTTTCAATTATTTCTGCCTGACTAATAAAGCAACTCAATCGACATGATGATAAAACAAACAAACAGAATGAAAAACAGCTGAAGAACTAAGGCGGGAAACGCATGAACAACATCTACATTCAACCATAACATCGCATAAACAACACATGACACATATTAAGCGACCACCTCAACGAGAACAGTGCAAAACCTAGATAACAAAGCCGATATCCCTTGAGCATAATGCGATTAAACAAACTCAGAGACTCTGCGGAACTTTCGTTGTCACCTGATAGATCAAAAAGCGGACGAAGACGGACTGACTAAACCCACTGCGGCGAATTTATCAGTGTAAGAGAGCGCACGAGTAAGAAAAATATCTGCAGAGCAAAGCAGCAAGCAGTTAGTCATTTGAAAACCAAATTTTACAGGAAAAATGAAAAGAGCGTTGCGACATACCGTCAGTAGCGTCCTTGAAAAGTTTCCAGATGCTATAAGTTGGTTCAGAGTGGCGATGGAAGCGTAGATTGAGTGAGAGGATCTTCCGTGGCGTATACATTTTGAATTTCGATCGCCATTTTCACGGTTGTCCTTTGCTCCGGTGGTCAGTGGTGTCGTCTTCGCTCTCTCTCTCTCTCTGCTACGCTCGGCGGTGGGCGGGGTGGGGCGGGGCGGGCGAAATGAATTTAGACTGAATTATATGTATGTGAAGAATATTTGACTGTCAGGCGGTGTTTGTATGTGTAACTGTGTATATATTTATTTGTTTATTTATTTCTGAATTTGTATTTATTACGATGGAAAGGATTTCCATATGCCTTTTTAGGATGAAAATTTTAAATAGTATTATATAAATAAATATTAATATTATATATTAAATATAAAATTAATTATTATAAATAATAAAAAAATAAATATTTGATTTGATGTATATTTAGGGTGTGTTTGTTTGGAGGTTTGGATTTTGGATTGAGATTTGAATAGTAAAAATTTTGAATTTAAATAGTTCTATGATGCTATATAAATAGGTGTTGATGTGATGTTTTGAATGTAAAATTGATTTTTAGTATAATATAAAAAATAAAAAAATAGGTGTTTGATTTGATGTTTTTGGAAGAAAAAAATAAAATAAATAGTGAAAATCCAAATAAATCCCTCAAACAAACACACCCTTAGTATTTTTTCCTTTCTATTATATGGTATATCTAGTTTGATGCATACATTGTATCAGTTTGATTAGTTAATAATAATTAATTATAATATTATTTTTTATTATATTTTTATGAATTTATTTGTTTAACATTTTGATTTGAATAAATTTTTTATTGGAGTACATAAAATTGTAATGACAATATAAAAAATGATATTCGTCTTGGATGTCCTAGTTACTGTAAATAAGAAAATGTATTAGTGAAAATAATTGATTTATAATATTAATCATTATAAATTAAAATAATTAATTAATTTAATTAAAATTTAAAAAATATCAAATTATAAAATTTAAAATAATGTTAAAATGGGTAATCATTTTAAAAAAAAAAAAAAAAAACTTAGACAAACAAACCCTATATTAAATATACATTAAAATAACAATTAATATACTATGATTAAAATAAATTAAAATGTGTATTTAAATATTTTATATATATAAAATATAAAAGAATAAATGGTGTGTTTATTTGTGAATTTTTGGTTTTAGTTTTAGTTTTGAATAATAAAATTTTGAATTGAAATAATTATTTGATATAATATAAATATGTATTAATGTGATATTTTGAATGTAAAATTAAATTTTAATGTAATTTAATAAATAAAAAACAAATGTTTGATTTGATATTTTTTTATAAAAAAAAATAAGTTAAAATAGTAAAATCAAAATGAAAATTGTACAAGTAAACACACCCAAAATTTTAAATAATACAAATAAATAAATAAAAAAATTTTAATAATTAAGATAAACTAATTTTATGAAAATAGATAAAAATTAAAAATAGATAAAAATATTTTTTTATTAAAAAAAGTTAGAAAATGATTTTTAATGAGTTATATATAATGCTAAAAAATTAATTAAATTGATTTATATCGATTAACTATATTTTGATCAAATATAATACACTAAAAATATAAACATATTAATTAAAATGATAAAAAAATGAATCAATTCAAATTAGGCAAGGGAGTATCATAGTAAAAATAATCAATATCAAAATATCAAAATACTTTTCATTTTAACAAAAATAATTTTTTTTAATCATATTATATATTTTTATTAATTAATAAAATATTATAATTGTTTTTATCTAAAAATTAAATAGATACTTTCTACCGAGGGAGTAAAAAGTACAAAATATAAAATAATTTTTTAAAAAATATTTCTAGAAAACAAAATTACTCCATCCGTCCTAGATATCGTGTCTGCTACATTCTAGATACGGTATTTTAGGAGGGGTATAATTAGTAGATAATTAATAATGTATTAGTGAAAATAATTATCTTATAATATACATAATTATAAATTAAAATTAAAATAACTAATTAATTTAATTAAAATTTTAAAAAAATAATAAAAATTTAAAATGAGATTAAAGTGCGTAATCATTTTCCAAAAAAGGAAAGTGATATGGTATATGGGACGAGCATAAACGGCAACGTGGACATGGCATCGGAGGGAGTAATAAATAGTAAAGTTTTAAAAGATGATCCAAACAAACACAACCTTTAATTCTACTGTATCATATGGTAGGAAATGAAAAGGCATTAATGCTGTCATCACATATTTTTATTCCTGACAAATAAATAATTGGATTAACAAGTGCAGGGATTTAAAATAAATATATAAATAAAGGATTTGTTTGTTTATAATTTAAAATAAATTATTTATTTAAATAATATTTTAATATAATATTTTTATAAAACAAATAGTACTTCATCTGTTTCATAATTATATATTCATTTGTTTTTTACAATAGTTTTAAAAATATTAGTATTATATTGAAATATAGTATGAATAAAATAGAAATGACTAAAATAACCTTATTAATATATATGATATAAAAGTAATGATATTTGTGTAATATATTGTAAATTGTAAGAGTATTTGTAAGATTAGGTAGATAGTACAGTTACTTTGTTTGTATTAAAATAAAAAAAATAATATTATTATGAGACAGAGAAAATATATATTTCGTTAAAAACCGTACAATAAATAATATTAATTTAAAATGAAAATAATAAACCTAAAAATACCTTCCATTAAATCCTCTTTGCCTGATTTTCCATTCTTAGTTCTCTTTAAAATGTTCTAAATTTTATATCTACAATTTTATTATAATTCTATTTAAAATTATTTTTTAAAAAAATATCTAAAAATACTTTCATTATTTTTATTAGAATTTTTTAAAAATAATTAAAAAATAAACAAACAAACATACACACTTATACAAAAGAATCAGTGATGTGTGAGGAGAATTCCAAAAGCACCATTAATATCTCCCTTTAATAGTATTAGACTTCATTGAATTTGTAATATCGATAATATTTTAGAATGTATAAAAATATAAAATATATTACTCTCTTCGTCTCATAATAAACTATTAATGGTATTTTTAATATTAAATATAATGAGATAAATGTAATTTTTAAGGACAAACTGATGAAGTAATATTCAATATAAAATATTAATTTTTATATTATTAAAATAATTTTCATATCTTTTATAAAATATCTTCAAACAAAAATATTAAAAAATATATTATTAATATAAAAATTAATATTTTGAATTAAATTATTATTTTTAATAAAAAAAAGATAAAAAGAGATAGAAGAACAAAATATATTTTAATAAAAATATATATTTTATTTATTAAATAACAGTTCAATACAAAATATTACTTTTTATATTTAATATAAAAAATATTTTAAATTAAAAACACAAAAAGAGGGGAAAGAATGAGGCTTATAAAAGAGTATTATGAACATGTTGAAGCCAAAAATTAAGATATTCCAACCTCATTTGTCAATACCGTGGATGCGGGTTCCGAAAGTACTTCAAAGAGTTTGTGCGTCGTTGGATTGGTAAGCGGCTCCGGTGGGGAATTTGCGCGACTTCGAACTTAAACAACCGATTTCGATATAATTAAACTAGAATCCGTTATAAATATAAATATCTGCTGAAATGATTAAAAAGACAAAGATAAATTATGACATAATTGATAAAACTCCTAAAATTTATAAATAAACTATTGAAATAAAATGATAAACTTTAAGGATAAGATGTGAGGTTTTTCTTCTCTTGTTGTGTTTTGTTTCGCCATATTTACCATAACACAAACAATCGCTCTTAGATTTTAGGGAGAGTGTCGTAGTTATTCTTTCAAACCCCTGAACTCATCACCCACTTTCTCCAATAGCCAAACATGGACTTGAATCATGTCTTCAATGCCTTCTCAGTTCTATTGCTGTTTATCGCTCCACGATTCATTTGTTGCTGACCAGCTTTATAGACGGGTTTTTGTAGAGCCTTTTGTTTTCAAATTTTCTTTATGTTCAGGTGTTTTTAATTATGTACAACATAATCTAACCAAATAACCGCTTAATCTTGCATATGTTATTTTCTTATTCAATGTGTTTTTATTTTTAAGTGAAAGTCATCTATTCATGTTCAGGTGTTTTTAACCATGTACAACATAATCTAATCAGAATAACCGCTTAATCTTGCATATGTTATTTCCTTATTCAATGTGTTTTTATTTTCAAGTGAAAGCCATATATTCATGTTCAGGTGTTTTTAACCATGTACAACATAATATAACCGCTTAATTTTGCATTGTTATTTCCTTATTTAGTGTGTTTTTATTTTCAAGTGAAAGTCATCTATTCATGTTCAGGTGTTTTTAACCATATACAACATAATCTAACCAGAATAACAACTTAATCTTGCATTTGCTATTTCCTTATTCAGTATGTTTTTATTTTTCAAGTAAAAGTCATTTATTCATGTTCAGCTGTTTTTAACCATGTACAACAGAACATAACCAGAATAACAACTTAATCTTGTATCTATTATTTCCTTATTCAGTGTGTTTTTTATTTTCAAATGAAAGCCATTTATTAATGCAGGTGTTTTCAACCATGTACGATAGAACCTAACCAAATAATCGCTTAATCTTGCATCTGTTATTTCTTTATTCAGTGTATTTTTATTTTTAAAGTGAAAACTATTTATTTATATTCAAGTGTTTTTAAACATATACAACATAATATAACCTGAATAACAGCTTAATATTGCATATGTTCTTTCATTGTTTAGTGTGTTCCTATTTTTAAGTGAAAGCCATCTATTTAATTTAATTAATTAATAATTTGCCATAATTACGACGAGTCCGTTGATAAATGTTTTGATTGCAATTAATACTAATTAAATCTCTATATTGTTAATTATAATAATAATTATTATTATTGTTATTGATGATTTCGTCTCGTGGGCTCTCCCTGGCTGTCTCTTTCTTTCTAACGCCGAACGACTACAGGCGCTGCCTTTCTGCTCGCTCGAGGGTTTGCAATCACTTCTCTCCCACATTCGCATCTTCGATCTCCGTTGGAATCCCGATTCGATTTTAGGGTTTCTTTCAATTCTAGTGCTTCTATTTGCTTGTATCTGGAATCTCCTACGTGCCTCCGGTTTGGACCCTGCAAAGAAAGATCCGGGACTGGATATATAATTCGGGCTTCTTCTGCTCGGGGTTGGCTGATTCTGGTTCTTCTTTTTGATGGTTCAAGAAGCCTTTCGAGATCTACGGATTGTCTGTGATATTGAAAATTGAGGATTTTTGATAGGGAAGATATGGATTTGGATTTCAATGTCGATGTCGCGTGTCTGGATGCCGAATTCTTGCAGCTCCCGGAGGTGTCCGCCTTCGCCATCAAGGCTAACCCTTATGTTGCCGAAAAGCTCTTCGATCAGTGGCTTTCGCTTCCTGAAACCAATTCTTTGGTAATTTTTTTTGTTAGCTCTTCTTTTCACCGTTGTTATCAATTTTATTTATTATTTTTGCATTGGAGCTTGTCTGTGAACCTTTCATGATCGGGTTGCCTTTTCTATTTGGAGGGTCGAGTAGTTTTAGGATAATAGGAAGCAGTGAGTCATTTCGTTTGGCAACAGCATTTATTTGAATTCAATGATGCATCATTGGGACAATATAAAAGCAACAGCTATACGTATTTTTTGGCTTTATATTGTTCTTGGTTATTGTCTGGACACACTTTTAACACATTTCAGTGTTGAAGTGGCACTATGTGACTGGAATGGGAATTTAATAATGCATTTCCCCACCTAGAATACAAGCATTGTAACCTAGCACTTTGAAAGTGGCATCATGGATAAGGTGAAAGGCTTTTCAAAGGCTCAGCTACTATGATTGGCTGAAAGTGAAGATAATGCAGCAGTATTCAATGTTTAGCATGTAAATGAATTGGCGAAGGGTTATATGTCTCTACTCCAATAGCCTGTTGTAAAAAATGTTACCCACAGATTACAGATACCTGGTTGTTGCAATTTATTTCACCTGTCTTATTTGTTGGACATATGTGGGCAGTCTTTTACATGTGGTTTGGTTTTTATATTGTCATGTTATGAAGGATAGAATTTCCTGGAAGTTCCATTATTGTCAGGTTGCAAGTTTACATACTTTGTTTAGAATGGTTGCTGATTTCGAAGTGTCTAGGCTGCAGGCAGCATTATGGGTGGATTTGGTTACTGCTAGAATATCAAATTTAGAAGGGCTAGAAGTATAAAAGACAATTCTTAAGGACAGTGATATTTGAGATATTGAAATATTAAGAGACATGAGAAATTTGAGGTTGTAATTCCATCTTCTGTACAAAGAAGGATGAAATAATACCTGGACAGGGATCTAGTTAGTTGAGATTACTTAGTGGCCTGGGAAATATATTCATTTTGTAAAGCTACCAACATGGCCTTATTGATAATGAAGAAGGAAGCTTGTTATTCTGGCATTACCACTAGATTAGATCTACAAAGTCAAATACTTAGTTACAGTTCTTCACTTTGCTGATTTGATGTAGTAGTGAAATCTCCCAAACTAGCAAATGCAAATATGATTCTTGTATGTGATGCTGATGAAATTTTCTTTCCTTGGTCTTGAATCTTGATTTTTTGTTTATTAATTATCTCTTATAAAGGACTCACTAGAAGATTTCATATAGGTTTTAATTTACTTGGTTCCATGGAGCATGATGACTTTCTGAAACACTGATTTTTTTAATTTTGTTCTTTTTCTATTTGAAGTAATATTCACTTTTAAAATTGAATAACACCATCTGAAATAATATCTATGGGTATATGTATGTCATGGAGTCTCCCAACTATATTGAATATTTGATTTAGCACTTCTTCCTGTGATATGTTATTGACATTAGTTTCCACTTTTCCAATTTCTTTCAAGAATTAATTTTCAGTTCTTACTTTGAGAACAGTGTGATTCTACCATTACTTAATGTCTCAAGTTAGGTTTTAACTCAATATATTTCAAAAATTCCCTATATTTTCTCCAATAACATATGTGTTTAACTTAGTTCAACTTCTAAGCATGAACTACCATGTTCCATATTTTCCTATGATATTCAAATATTACTCTAAAGGTATTATCTTTTGAAAGCATTTTAAACAAGCACTGAATCATTCAGATTTTGATATTATTTTGGTATTTCTACTAGAGGTCACTAATGGATAATAATTTATTATGCAATGTTCTAGTTTACTTATGGCTCTCGAGTTAAGTTCATGCATGCTAAAACCCTTGAAAGTGGATTAGGAGAGGTGGGTGTTCAGTGTTCACTTATTGATTGGGGACTTTGTAAAAAATGTAGTTTGGAAAATGATTTTGTCTATTTGATCTTAGAACTATTACTATACTTCAAATGTTATCACACATTCTCAGTGAATCACCTATAATTTACAGGTAAAATCCTTGGTTAATAATGCCAAGGGGGGCGGTGCACTAAATGCTGTTGGAACTTCATCTAACACAAATACTGCCACCAGCAATTCATTGCCTTCAATGTTTCCTGCTGGTAGTACGCCGCCACTTTCACCAAGAAGTTCATCAGGTTCTCCCCGGGTCATGAAACAGAGAGCAGGCCCATCCGCTTTAGGCTCTCCCCTGAAATTAGTTAATGAACCTGTAAAGGAACTTATACCTCAGGTTGAGTTATTTTATCATGATACTATTTTTTAGAAGATTTATTTGATTTGGTTCTTAGCTGCTTTATTTATAACTCGAAAACTAGTGCAGTTCTATTTCCAAGATGGCCGTCCACCAGCAAATGAATTGAAGGAACGGTGCTTGTTTAGAATCAATCAGTTCTTTTATGGTCACATGGATGGACTTCAAATGCATGGTGAGATTGGGTATATATATAACATTTTGGATTGTTGAGTACTGTATTATCTACTTAATACATTAATGTTTTTGGAACTTGAAGGCTACCTGGAATGATTTGTTAAACACTTTCATTTTGGTTCAGAATTTAAACCAGTAACAAAGGAAATTTGCAAGCTCCCATCATTCTTCTCCACAGCACTTTTTAGAAAGATTGACACTGACGGCACTGGCGTTGTTACCAGGTAGCAGTTGTGACTTTTAGTCCATCCCGTTTTGCAATGATATTTGAGTAAACCATTTGCCTTGAAGTTTGGTTTAACCATCGAGAAGTTTGTATTTGTTTAAGGTAGAACCTGACCTATTTATGTATTTTTTTTTTGGGCATAGGAAAATAAATTAGCTATAAATATAATGTTGGTGTACTTAGTTTCTGCCTCTTGGTGCCTTATGTTTTTTCGTTTTATGCATTGTGAACCTACCCTAAATTGATTAAGTCCGTGATGTGTTTGCTCATCATCGAAAGAGTAGATTGAGATTTATATTTCCTTTTTGTGTATGCGTTTACTTATTTGGATGAAGCAAGTATACTTGATGATGTGATAGTTTTTTTTTCCCATATGCATGAGTTGGAGCCAAACAAAGTGAGAGCTTGATTTTTGCTAGTTATTCATTTTGTGGATGAATATATAGTAACATTAATGGGTGAATCACCTTCTTCTTTACAGATTATTTACGGTTCACATTGGGTATAAATAATACAGCATTGATGTATTTCTTGTTCCTATGGTATGCTTGATGCTAGAGATTTTTATTTTTTTTCTTCACATTTTCTGTCAATTCATTCAGGGTTTGATTGCTTGCGTTGTCTCTAGGTTTTTGTACTTTTGAGATGAAACAATAGTAGTTAGATGTTATGTTTTGAATGGAAAATGGGTGTTGGATGTGATGTTTTTAAAGTATAATTGGTAGATTGAATACTGAAAAATAGAGATAAAAAACACAAGTAAACAAACTCTCAGTTTTTTATACATAACTGATGACTGGAATGTCAAAGAGCTGGATTTTCTCTAAATGACTTGCATAGCTATGCTTGTGGCACCCTGTAGTGTTGCAATCCACTCCTCTCCTACACAACTACTATTCCCTAATGTGACTATTTCAACCACCTCTGTGATTCCTTCTATTATTTGCTATCCAACTTATCTGCAACAATTACTGGATCCCCTCTGCTATTGGTCCATTTGTATTGTATCTTTGCAAGTTGCATCCTGCATCTGGTGTTATCTTAATTCTTAACATGGGTGATATTACAGCTAACAAGTTGTATTTTCATTATCTTAAAATATCTCGCCAAGCTTTGCGTGAGCATGATTGAAATGTAGCATTTCTGTTCTGCAACACCTCTTTTAATAAAACAAAGCAGGGAACTATTTCATGTAACATATCCTTAATTAGTTTAAACTTAAATGTACTTATTTTACATAGAAGGTTTTCACTTAATAAATTGATAAGAATTTTCTTTGACGTATGAGAACAACAGGTTAGAGAAGGAAAATCAATAAAATATTCTAGTGTTTATGGTCGGATAATAATCTAACTGCGTCCTGTTCTCAACTAATAAGGTTGGAGTGGTGTCCCATTTCAAAAAGGTAAATCTGTTGGATGGAATATGGACATTTATGATTTATGATGTTTTGTTTGGGAAGTTAGTGACACTTCACTTTCATTTTGCAAGATGAGTCCTGTAGATTTCACTCTGAACTTGTCTACCCCATGGATTATTTAATAATCATATGTGAATAGATGAATGGTTTCAAGTAGTGAACAAGCCCTCAATTGACACACCTCTACGTCATATCACATAATGTCTTTGTGCTTGATAGGGATTGATGTACTCTAGTATCCTTTCTCTGTTTTTGTTCATAATTGATTATTTACTGCATGTGTTACATTGTTTGCTAACATTCAGTAATTTATGAGTTCATTTGATTAGTTGTGTTGGTTGATTCCCGTAAAATATAAATAAATAAATAAATGATATGTATCCCTGTAAACTTAAGCTTTTAGGTTAGTCATTTAACATAATCTAATATGGTATTAGAGTTGGGATGTCCCGTGTTTGAGTCCCACCGCCCCCATTCGTCGTCGTCCACGTGTAAGATTCATATAATGGCGGATATTCCCCTTGCACATGAGGGGGCGTGTTGGTTGATTCTTGTAAAATATAAATGAATAAATGATGCGTATCCCTACAAGTTAAGCTTTTAGATGAGATAGTCATTTAACATCATCTAACAAGTTGGATAAGTTTCCAGTGTTAATTTATTCGTGTATTATTTTGTTCAGATCTGGAATATGTCTGGACAATTTCGTCAGTTTCCTTTCTCCAGTAACTGAGATTTAAGTTTTTATGTTTGTGAGAGATTGTAAAAGTTTCATTAAGAAGGGAAGACAAAAAGCATTATAATGGGTGAATATTATTTACAGACTGTCTCCAATACTTGGAGGTCAGGCATTATCGCAAACTCAGAATAAGAGGTGTTTTTTGAGCATGCCATGAACTATATAGCACTCTCAACTTTTGCATTCTATGATCATGGCTTAACTTTGTACTGTTATTGGACCATGTCACTAAATGTAGCAGCTGGCTACTTTAAATCTTGCAAGTATAAGCACCCATCTGATACTAATAGCTGTAAATATGTTTTATAACTGATAAACTATGTATTTGAGCTCTGCTCTATTTAAGTGTGTATGACTAATTGTGGTTGATTGAGCTAATAAAAATGCAGTCTAAATGGATTTTTAAGGGTTGATGCTCATCCTTACACTATAAATGATGATATGCAAACAGGGATGCTTTTGTAGATTATTGGATTAATAAGAACATGCTGACAAAAGATATCTCAACGCAAATGTACACAATTTTGAAGCAACCAGATCTCAAATGCTTGACCCAGGTAACATGACAAAGGCCATCCTTCATATCTTAAGATTCATGAAAATTTACTGATTGTTGCAAACACTGTTTCATTTGTTGGTCCATCATGACCTCGGTACAGGATGACTTTAAGCCTGTGCTTCGAGAACTTCTGGCAACTCATCCAGGGTTGGAGTTTTTACAAAGTACCCCAGAATTTCAAGAAAGATATGGTATGAATCTTCATATATGGTTTCTCTTATTAATTTTTTGTGTTTTTATCTTGATTTTATATTTTTGTTGCTCCATTGCTTCTTTCCCTGTTCTTGTCATGGAAGTAACGTATCATTTCCCACAAAGACATTATGTTGAGTTATATCACTATTTATATCACCTTTCCTGGCAGAATGATATCTGCAGTACAGTGTCATTGTTAGAGCTGTTAATTATGACTATACCTATTACCTGTATCACAATGCTGTCTAGTTTAGGGAGAAGGGAAGCGAAAAGGAAGGCTGGTTTATCCTAGGATATGCTTGTTTTCTTTCCTTTCTGGTCTCATGGCTGCTGTTTGTCTATCATAGTTAGAGGCCCTGTCCCTATCAAACAACTAACCGACATTGTTAAAAGTAAACAATTACATCATTTTAAATGGTGTAAACCTCCCTCAAACACACACGAATATCTAACTTCTATTGTTTCTGTGAATATTGCTACTGCCATTTTGCCATCTTGGTCACCATCCTTGTATTTCTTTCACTATCCTCTTCCATGTTTGTCAAACATAAAACCTCATGCAGTTTTAGTTAATATTTGTTTGTCATTGCATGGAGCCCGTTTGTACAATTTGTAACATATCTATGTATTGATTCCATATTATTTATTCATAATGATAATTGTTGGAAAACTATATTAATGTAATTAATGATGCATTGCCCTACTAGCTTAAGTTTCTAGGTGAGATGGTTATTTAACATGGTATCTGAGCCACATGTCCAGGATCGTAACTTGATTCTAATACCTTGTTAAGCCTTCATTTGTTTAGATGAAAGAAATTCATTAAGTGTGAGCTTAAGCATATAAACCAATGGATGAGTTACTTCGTTACGTATTGTTGCATGTCATTAGATGGTTCTTGTAATGCAAGTGTGAGAGATAATAAGATGTTGAGCAAATCAACATTTTCGTGGATGTAGGCTAAGTATGTAAGACATGGAACTTGTTTCTGCTCTTTAGTTACTTACACCTGTCCAATTTTGGGTATGTAACTCTTTCTCTGGTTGCTTGATGATGTGAAAGTTAAGCTTGTTTTACTATCCACTTGTTTAATAGTGCATTGTTTGATTGACATTTAAGTATTGTTCTGTCCAGCTGAAACTGTAATATATAGAATATTTTTCTACGTAAATAGAGCTGGGAATGGTCGTCTTACACTCAGAGAGCTTAAGCGCTCAGATTTAATTGCTGCTATGCAGCATGCGGATGAGGAAGAGGATATTAACAAAGTCTTGAGGTAATTGTAAAAATAATATTTATGGGTTTTGCATTCGAATTGCTTTTGTAGTTAATTATTTCTTAAGTGCAATTTAATTTTACCTTCATTAACTCCCTATACTGTAAATGAGGTATTGGGAAGAAATAAAAATGAAGCTCTCAGTTAATGGGTGTATTGGATTTATTTTGCTACATCAATTTTTTTTTTTCCCCCTCTAAGATTGTTATGCACATCTAATGTTTTGCATTTGACTTGTATTTTCTGTTTCTCCTGTATTAATTCCCAACACTTTACTGTCTAACTCATTTCTCTTTATGTTTTAGGTACTTCTCTTATGAACACTTTTATGTGATATATTGCAAGTTCTGGGAGTTGGATAGAGATCATGATTTTTTGATTGACAAAGAGAACCTCATCAAATATGGTAATCATGCACTTACCTACAGGATTGTTGATAGAATATTTTCTCAGGTTTGCTTATACTCCTTTCCTACATAAGAATTGAGTTCTTTGTTGAAGCTTGTTCAAGATGCTTCAACTGCCTTTCTAAGTAAATCATATTTGACATTAATGAAGGTTCCCAGAAAGTTTACCAGTAAGGTTGAAGGAAAGATGGGCTATGAAGATTTTGTTAATTTCATATTGTCAGAGGAGGATAAATCATCTGAACCCAGTCTCGAGTATTGGTATGTCTATTTTCTATCTGTCACATCAACAATGTGCATTCTGTTTGGAGTTCTCTAATGGATTATTCTTCCTAATAGTGGTGCACATGGGGTTTAAGTAATATCTGTTGAAAAGGAGGTCTTTAAATGTAGGAAATGGATGAATAATCAGAAACAAGTAGCCAGATTCATTGCTGGATTGTTTGTATGTGGGTAGCAGGGTTTGTGCTATTTGAGCAATCACTAGGCCCTTCATAGGTGTTTAAGAAAAGGAGTTTTTGTTAATCGTTGGACTAATCTATTTAGTGCATGAATAAGTTGATAGATAATGGCTCTGTTTTCCTGCAGGAAACATGAGCTATCTTAAATAATTCATTTGCTGTTTTTGCAGTTGACTTTTACCATAGTTAGTGATCCATAATGACTGTTAAGTAAATCAAGGACTTAAAACTGCCTAATAGTGTTTAATGACTTTTTGGATATATGTTGTAAAAAGGGCTTGTTAGCTGTAATTAGCGTCCCTTGTAATCAGAATAATTTGCATTTTATGATTTGGATTGCTATGTAATGATTGAACTATGAAGGTTGCTTTGCTTAGTTCTGTTATCTACTCTTCTCATACTTTTCTTTTTTTTGTAAGGTTCAAATGCATAGATATAGACGGTAATGGAGTAATTACAAGGAATGAAATGCAGTTCTTTTACGAGGAGCAGTTGCACAGAATGGAATGCATGGCACAGGAGCCTGTGCTTTTCGAAGATATTCTGTGTCAGATAGTTGACATGATCAATCCAGAGGTGAAATTCCTTTTAATTGATATTTATTTTATCAGTTTCTTTTCTTATATATGTTGGTGTTCTTTCTATATCCAAAGGTATTTATTTTATTTATTTTCTCACCTATATTTTGCCGCACAAACTTCCAGCTCTGCCAGTTGCGTACTATATTCTTCATGGTATTCCGTGGTTCATATTTCCCTAAGGCTTCCTTTGCTTTTTAGTTTACCATAGGCCATTGGGAACTATACAGGTTTACAGCACTTCTATTTGGAAGTCAGTAATCAGGCCAAAAGTTCCAATCGTTATTATGATATTATCTTTCCCCCCTATTCTTAGCATATGAAAAGTTTCTCCTGCAATTTCTTATATAGTTGAGTTTGGTGTCAGAAGAACTTTGTTTTGGTTGGTATATGAATTCATTAAATAGAACTAGAGCATTGACTTCTATGCAGCAGTATCCATATCTTTATTACTCGGTTATTTCTGCTTCTTTGCTGTGCTTTCATTGTTTGTGGTCCCAAATGTTTGGATTGATACGTGTTCATCTAGCATAATATATGTGATATGTAATCTATTTTGTCTGCAGAATGAGAGCTACTTTATGCTACGGGATTTCAAAGCAAGCAAACTTTCCAGCAGTGTTTTTAACATTCTTTTTAACCTTAACAAGTTTATGGCTTTTGAGACTCGTGATCCATTCCTAATTCGCCAGGTAAAATCGATAACTTTATTGATGGAGGTTTGAAAATGTTGCATTTAAAAAGACTTGATCTTCTTACACACCTTAATGCTTGGACAGGAGCGTGAGAACCCAAATTTAACCGAGTGGGATCGCTTTGCACACAGAGAATATATCAGGCTTTCAATGGAGGAAGATGCCGAAGATGCCTCTAATGGAAGTGCAGATGTTTGGGATGAATCACTGGAAGCTCCCTTCTGACTTAAGTTTGGTGAGATTACCTTTTATACACCATAATTTTTCTGAGGTTGTTTATCCCATCTTGATCCGTATTTGTTGCTGTTTTCTTTTCTTTTCTTTTTTTAATTTTATTTTTTATTTAATAAGGTAGATTTCATATATGGAGAGATTGGGAGAGAATTAGAGCTAAGACCAAATAGAGAACTCAACATTTCGCTTAGCATTGCACCTAGCAAAGACGTCTGCAACCCCTTTGATCACGGGGAATAGGTTGTAAAGTGATTAAGGGACACTTCTCAATGCAGAGGTGAAAGTTTCTTATTTCTGAGTTCAACTTCCACAAGGGTGAAGAGCTAAGGATCCAACCAAGAGCATTCGTTGTGTCATTTCCACCATGATTTTAGGGTTAATTCTTAAGAACTGCTTCAAGGGTGAAAACAATAGATTTCTATCGGATTTGTCTCTTTGATGCCAATGTGTTTGGAGAGGATAATGATAAAATGACCGTGATGATCTTGAATGAATCCCAACCAGTTTGTTAATTTACCACCGAGAGTGATCTGGAGATTTCCACGTGAATTTTTGTTTGAACTTGGGTGATTTAGGGTGCCCAAGAGAGATGTCTTGAAGATTATTAACCAGGAAAGAAATGGGGAGATCCAAATCCAGAAAGTGGGTCTTGTACTGTTCACCAGTTGTGAGATGAATTCACCCAGTTTGACAGGAATCATTGCAGGATTTTCTAGTTTTCAAAGAATAGCTTTGAGCACTCTTTCCTGGATTTGGAGACTAGTATGCAAAAAAAAATGATGACCACTGAGATGTAAGATTAAGTAACAATGATGGCCAAATCCATTAAAACTCCTAGAATACGAGGAAATAGGTCCATATTTCTGACAACAGGGGGCATAAAAGAAAAAGCTAATCCAAAGATTCTTGAAAAAGGTGGCTTAGAGGGCAAATATCATTTGAGATTAGGCAACCATGGATAACTAAGATTCCTCTTATTGGGAGGTCACCTTGGAGGAGTTTCTAGACAAATGTATTAACTTAATGTGGGCCATCATGAGAACAACCTGCCATGATTGCCAGTTTTGGTAAGAATTTAAGGCCAACACCCAATGAAAGGATAGACAAGAGTAAACTCCATTTGAATTAGGCACCCAAATAAGCTGATCTAAATACTAGTGAGAGAGATATGGGCTGAATTAATGGTCTCAAAGAAAGAAGTTCCAAGCCTCAATTTCCAGTCACAAAGCTTTCAGGGGAGTTCTAATTTCCCAAACCCAAACCCAAACCCCATAACCCAATGCTGAAATAGTATATAAATCCTGTTTTCAAGCAAGCAATGGCAACTATGCGGGGAATATCTTTATTAATGAGCACAATTTGTTTGTTGCTATTTTAAGATTTAGTTAACTTAACAGGTACCTACACATCTCCAACACCTTTGATATGCTGGGACATTGTTATATTCTGTGATATAAATTCAGTCTCTAAGTTATTTTCAGTAATGAATAATAAACAACAGCTTCCAAAAAGTTTAATTTAACGAGCTTAAGAATGAAGCAACTTCTGTAGAGGATTGTTGAATAGGTTACTGTATTAGCTTGTGCGAGTATTAGGACTGCTATAAAAATCCAACTTTTTATTAAAACTTCGTCTTACCAGCTTGAAATATATCATTTGTAATTTGTATAAAATATGAAAGTGAATTTGAAAATAGCAGTATGGGTGCTGCATATTATGTAGTTAGTATTTTCTACACATAACACATGTAATGTTTTCTTATTCTTGAAAAAAACTTTTTAATTCCATGTGTATGATTCAATAGCTGCTATTCATACCCTTAGTTCCAGCAACTTTGTAGTCCTGCAAGTATTATGGTATTCCTTCATGGGGAGATTAGCAATAGGGAGCTGTTCTTGCTGATGGAAATATTCTTACATCATTTGAATATTCTCCCATGTCTTCATAACATAATTGTCAATCTCTAATAGCTTTCTAATAGTGATACATAGTGGTCAACCTCAAATGCTATAGTGAGATAGTTGATTGTTAAAATGTTAAAATTATACTTATAAAAATGATTGTACATACAAAATTGCAATAAAAATGTATAAGTAAAATCTATAAATTAATATCATAGATATCATTCAAATTAGTAAAATGTCAAATATTATTCACAGATAAGTTATATAAACAAAAACAATTATAAATCACTACTATTTTGATAAATAGATAATCAAACTTAACCTGATTCAAAATCTAATAAATAATTTTCTTTCTCATTTTCACCCTCCTAACTAATACTCTAACCTATATTCTAGATGAGGTAGCTCTTTATCCTTATTCATTTCTTACATTGTATGTTCTTCACTTTGCACAATAATGTCATTTTTTTTAATAATATAAGAATCTGCAGCTGCTATTATTCAAGTGCGTTTTGGGTAAATCATAAGTCGAACCTAATAGCTTGCAAATTAATCCCGAGAAGGCAAGTCACATTAGGCAAACCATGTGTCTCAGACAAGATCTGAAAACAAAGCATTGGAAGTTTGAATCTATGACGTCACGGTTACGAGTTCACTTTTCACCGTCAGACTATCCTTTACGGGACAACGATGTCATTTTTCTTTCTAGAGATAGAAGTAGCTAAAACTTTATTTCTCATTAATGTTTGCTTCCTAATGTAGATAGAAGGCTCTTATTTCGATATTATATTATACAACATAAAATCAAATGGCCACAAAATGTTACCTTTTTTTATTAATAAACTAAATGGTTAGTTTATTGATTGTCGCTTAAATATTATGTCAATACATAGTCTTACATGTAAAAACAAACATAGAGCTTCCGCCACACTGCACCACTCCAATGCTAAACAGTGCTACTGCTGCTATTGCGCAAATGGCAGTGCAGAGCGGCGGTAGTGGCGGACTGCCTGCTCTGCCCCACAACACTGTTATTAGCATGCTATTGACAACTATATGTTTCTGAAGCTTCTATGTATGCTCATCTGCCCTGGAATCAGAATTTTCCATTAGCTTTATTGTGGAGAATGTATCAAAATAATGGTAGGAACTCAAAATAAGTGTATTATTGCCTTCAGGTTTAACTGTTCAGCATGGACAAATAGACCTTGGAACTTATTATCTGGACAAATGTGCAAGTCTTATTTGATATTTTCCTTCTACCCCATCTTTTAATTGCTGCCAGAAACACTATCCAAACTGAGTAACGTTTCTGTAATCTTCACTTCAATTAGAAAATCATCGATAATAGACCAAGTTAGATGGGAATCGCCGATGTTGTTTTCATTTTCGAGTTTTCAAGGCCGGCGAGTGCTTCTTACCGAAAGAATGTGCTTCCACGGCCATAACTGTAGTTCTGTTATCTTTTAAATGTTGCTGGCCATTCATATTGAGCTTAGTCTGCAGTTATCTGGAATACTGTTGTGTCAGTAGATAAATCTTAGTTATCGTTTAAAATATCTATATACCACTGGCTTCTCTAGTTGACAACTACATAAACTTTCATACGAAATCTGTGCCATCAGAAGATTCAGAAGGAAATAATTATTGTTCATTTTCATTGGTGAAAGTACTAATTTTTACATACTAGCATCTATTGTTCGTAATCCTGTGTCTGAAATCCCAAGCCATTGTGAATGATTAGTGAACTTATCTGAATATGGAGAAGGCATTTTAGCACTAGTGTAAACTAAGGGACAATTAGTAATTTTTTCTTTGCCATTTCAAAGCAAGATAGTTTTATCCAATATTTATCCAAAACATTTCTTAGTTGTATACTGAGTGATTGTGTACTGTTTATATATCACCAGTTCACCACACATTGATGCCAAATGTGGTCCATGGCACATTTATTGAAAGTGGTATGGTGATGTTTCTCAATCGTTAATTTACTGCCCTGTGTCTTAGCTGTTTTGATCGATTTTGCTTGTGCTGATTTTTTCCCCCTATCTCCAGATTCTATGTAATGAATTCTTTGTATGGATATGGAACCGCCGACTGATCTTTAAAGCAACATTTTGTGGTACAAACATATGATTTCCGGTCCGCTGCACTGATGGTATGTTTAAATACTATGAAGATGATTTTGAGCTTATCTGCATGTAGCATTCTTGCCAGACTAGAGGAACCTCAAATTTCTTGATGCCGGTGGGAGCATTTAGAAAATGGCACTGGGGGAGCTTGTCGACTGGAAGGCTAATCAGGAACAGATGTATTTCCGTTGTCTAGCTTGTAAGAAAACATTTTGTTAATTATTTCTTTTTTGGAGACACTTTTCTAGTGGCAGCAATGGTGCTTCCTAGTACATTTATTTTTTCATGGTGGGATTGGTTTAGTCTGGTGAAAACTACTACCTTCTATGCATCGCATACATTTTGTTTGAACACTCGAAAAGTTTCCTCTTGTAGTTGTCTGAGAATATATATATATATATATATATTATTTTGGTTTTACTCCTGTGAAAAAAATTATGTAAATTTGTAAAATAACTTAGGAGGAATGGTTGGTCCAAACAGAGACATGCACTTTATTTATGTATATGTCATCTGATATATAGCCAACTAAAGTATAGCCTCTTAAGAGTGTTTGTCTACCAAAATCTATCCTTGTTGACACTCAAGTATGCCGACATAACTTTTCCTCCGGTATTCCTCATTCCGTCTATGAGGAAGCACCATGTTGACCCTAATGCCCCGACAAAGAAGTCTGCTTCGGCAGCCATTAGAAAGTTCACTATAGGATAGTTGGTGCTAGTCTCCCTCCCAAGACTCGCTTCGTAAGTTGCCATTGTTATGTTCCCTGTCTGGCGCGTAACATTTGTGTAGTAGAATTTCCAGTGCTTGAAGGATTTGGATTTTGATTTGTCGATCACTTCCTGTATATGCATAGAAATCAATGAGTCTTATTTGATATGATATAAATAGATGAACTGAATTGAGCTGAGCTAACCTGCATTTCAGTGGAAAGCCAGATGTGATTAAGATGTGGGAACTGCTTCCTGATCTTTGTCGCCAAGCGCATGTATTGCTCGAATCCAACAACCTTCATTTCACATGCTTTGTCCCCCATCCGAACATGGATGCTCAACAATGGACGAGGAATCCATGGCTCGTGATTCGACCAAACAACTCTTTTTACATCCAATACCTTATCGTCCTGCAATGCAATTCATTTGGGATGAAAAGATATTTTCATCTTATTAGAAGTAATTCAGACTAATGTGACTTGTTTTGTCGGACCTAGTTTGCAGGTTGAGCGCACCCGAATGATAGTGGCTGCAGATTCTCGTGTTAAAGTAGTAAGTAATTCAGGTTATGTATGGTGTAATACCTCATTGTGTTCATCAGCTGATGACGACGATGATGACACCAGAACCATTTCTGCAGCTTCCCGTCCAAATGCAGAATGGCGAGCAATGTTCATCAAGTTGCAAGTGTACTCGGATTCGAACCTCATAAGGTACCGAATTGCCTACAACCAGCTTCTTCTCGTCAAACCATCTCTATATATCGATACTAATGGAGCTTAGGGTCGGATTTATCACTCTACCTGAGCTCGCCACCACCTACGATCCATTTTCCGATGATGAACAACCAATCTCCCGTTTATCTCTGTCGTCGGCTGTATAATCGACCAAGGGTTGCCCCACACCCTGATTGACGCAACAAAGAAAAAGCGTAAACTCATCTTGCCCTATCGCCGGGTTTACAATTCTCATTTTTACCTCGGTGTCCCTCCCGTCCATATTTCTTTCGTCGTGTAATTTTCCTTGAAGGTAATAACGCCTGTTTCCCAAGCCCGTTTATCTCCCATCAGCTCGAACGCTCTTCTCCGGCACTCCTCGGAGGTTTCGGGAAAGAAATAACATGACCAGCTCGATCGCGACGAACCTGCAGAGAGAATGATCAGAACACTTTCAAGTTTTGATCGTTACGGTAATAAACGAATCAAGACATCTTCACCTTTACACCCGTTGTGGTCGGCTCTATTATAGTAGTTTGTAATGAGGACCCTCTTCTCGTTCACTGCAATCGCAAACAGACCACACATTCCCGCAAGCTGTGCCCCGATGCCAAATCCGGGCAATCTTTCCCAGTCCGCGACTAGAAACTTTACGGTTGGATCACTGCAGTCATCGGGATGCTGATGAAGCCATAGGTCCCTTTGCACTTTCCTTGTCAACGGATAGTTCTCTTCATCCGAGCCTCTTACCTAATAAAATTTATCGACAGTCAGGCTTAACCAATGCGAGCTATGGTAGTTACTAGACATTGTCGAGTGCATACCCAAGGAGGATAACCTCCCTCGGATATTATATGATCCCGGTAATTTTTGAGCTGCTCATTGGTAGCTGACACTGTAACTTCGTCCAACGATCCTTTCCAGATCGTCCATGGAGGGAAGCTTTGGTTCCCAAGACGTGTATCAAGACGACAATTTATTGTAACGCTCGCCTTGCAGTTCTTCAAGTGAGGGGCTTTGGGTACATCAGATTTTCCGAGTTTGATTTTCTCATCTGCGGAAGAGTTGTTGAGTAAATTGCTCCATGCGTCGTATAGTGATGAGATCTTCTCGTCGGTTGCGCTTATGTTTTTCTCAGAATACATTATTCTTTCTCTAAGTAATAAGCTTTTGCAGTCTCCACCTGCATTAGCAGCAAAGAACATTACTTCTGCAAAGCCCTGAAAAAGATCAATACAAAATTCTCCGGGAAGAACTTCTGGTCCTAAAATTTCTCAGTTTTATATGTATTAGCAGGATGTGTTGTCGCCCCAAAAGTACGACAATACTAGTTTCTACGCGTTAACTTGCCTAACCAGTCCTGTCTTTCGACTTATGCCCGAATGCAGCATCAAATAGTGAGTGCATAGCCACTTACAAAACTTCAAGTTCTATTGATTGAGCAAACATGGGCTGGTTCACAGGCTCTGTTTACTTCGAACTTTTTGTTTTACTATACAATATTGCGATTTTCTATAAAAAAGATACTAGTATTTCTTTTCTGCAAAAGAAAAATACTGCGTCTAACAATTATTTCACAAAAACACCCTATACATGAACAAAGAGTAAGCACACGGACAATGATCCGTTTGTAGGTGACTTTGACATTTTTGTCAAATAAAAAAGAAATTGATATTTATATATGAATTATTTTTATTATAATGAAAAACAAATACTTTTGAATGGAATAGAGGAAAACAATAGAAAGATGGACGAATAAAGTATTAGACAACACATTAGATATAAATCTAATGCACACATATAAAATAGAAGTTACGGTACATACTAATATTTTATACAGTATATGCTATGTGTTATATATTCATTTGGTATCTATAGTATTTTTATGTATCGATTGAGACAAAGACATAGTCTCGACATAGCTAGATGAATCTCACATAAACTCTAAGCTTCTTGGCAAAGAATATTCAAAAAAGGCAAAGATTACTTTACTTGCAAGTGAATAAAGGGTGTGGGTGTGAAAGTTAAAAAAGTGGGAGCTATTTAAGCTGGTATTCTTTCCCTATTAAGATCATCTTCCTTAATTAATAATGGCAGGAAACAACCAATCATCTTCAACCTTAGCCTTTTGTACCTTTTTGCCTATTAAGAAGAACATCATCCTTAGAGACCTTAATTAACAATGGCATGAAACAAATCATCTTCAACCTCGACCTTTTGTAAAAAAGCAAGATTAGTATTACACATGTAAAAACATAATCAACCAAGCTAAGAATCAAATAGACAGATAGTATAGAGAGAGAGTGTGAGGAAGAAGATGAACATACCAGTGGAGATCCCAATTGATGATGAAGATGAAGATGAAGATGAAGGTGAGAATGAAGTGAGGGCAGAGGAGGCAGCACCAAAGGAAGTGAGGGCAGCCAGAAAGAGAGAGGTGAGACAAATCCCACACAAGAATCCCACCACACATATCTGGCACGGAAATGAATTGCTGAGCACTAAAGCTTTCTGGGACACCACTCTCTCCAGAGACTGCTGCTGCTGTTGTTGTTGATGATGATGATGATTCATGGCCTCCATGTTTCTTTCTGTCTTCTTCTTCTCAAATCAGAGTACATCACTCTCCTAATCTCCCTGAATTTGCAACAAATATCACCCTTAATTTACATCAGAAAGGGAAAGGGGAAAAGGGCATGACAAATTAAACTGGAATTCGACAGATAGACAATAAAGAGTTTGCTTGCTTGAAGGTTTATATGAAAAAGTGGAGAAAAAGTAAAGCGTCCATATGATATGATATGAGCAATTGAAGAAGAAGAAGATGGAAATTTGAGCAGAACCAACAAACCAAAACCAAGAAAATCCCCCATAGTATTATTGTTCTGTTGAATTGAATTATTGGCATGGAATCAAGAAAGCACTTACAGACATTGATGATCGCTGCAGAATTAGGGAAGAATGGAATCAAGAAATGGCATTGTGGCTGGCGTGCAAAGGCGATTGAGTGAGTGAGTGAATTGTATAATAATAATAATAAAAATACTTTCTTTCTAGTGATAATGATAGTGATTGAAGATATTCATTCCCAGATTGTTGGTTCGTACAGATAAAGCAGAAGAATAGCAATAGTAGCAAAAAAGAAAGATTAATCGACGAAACCCCATGGAAGGAAGAAAGGAATAGAGCAAAACAAGACACACCACCAAAACCCAAACACAAGACTGATACAAAACCATGCAAAGAGACAGAGAGACCGACCCACCCACCCACCCACCACTCGCTGCTAATCTTCACCCTTTTCTTTTATTTATTTCAAGACATTGAAGAAATAATTAATTAATTAATTATTTATTTATAACCACCATCACAAATCCAGATGGGATGGTCCCAAAGAGAAAGAGAAAGAGGAAGGGTGCTGCCGAAGGCTTATCTCATCTTTTGCCAAGATGAACAAGAATAAGCATTAAGCCATTGATGATGATGATGATGATGATGATGATGACAATGATGAAATTTCCAAGAAATGATTTCTTTATTTATTTATTTACTAGTTGGGCTTCTTTTATCCAAAAGAAAAAGGGGTCGAAAGAAAAGGAATTCAGCAAGGCACGGGTAAGCAGAAGCAGAAGCAGAATCACAAACAAACAAACAAACAATCAATCAAATGGAATCAGAAAGGCATTGGGAAATGAAACGCGAAACCCATGAATGATTCCTTTTTCTTACTTACTTTCTTTCTTTCTTTTTTACAGTAATAATAAAACAAAACAGACCCCATTGAAAAAGCAATCGTGTCCATTTCAGTCCAGTCTAGTCTATTCAGAAACAACAAACAAACAAACATACATTGCTGGATCGTGTGATCATGATCATTCATCATCATCATCATCATCATCTCTCCCGCGGTTCACAGTGGCTCTGCTGCTGCATTTTCAGGTCATTCTTACAGTCCAGGATGATGACGCATGAGCATGACTCGGTCCCTGGTCCCTGCAAATATCTGAGAGGCCAGGACCTCGACTCCTGGAAGTCACCGCTAAAATAACTGCTTCCGTTCCACTGTATATCTCCGGATTCTCTCCTTCTCCCACTCTAACAACCGCAGTTTGTTACTCCATAATTTAATGGAGTCAGGCAGGCAGGGATCCATTAATTTAGTGTTCAATTTAATTTTTGCTGACTCTACCATCTTAGCACGGCTGTCAAATCAGCCATAGGTTATGAACCGCCGGCAGCTCGCCAATTTCTGAACCGGTACCGGAATGGCTGCAGAGTGTTTGTTTGAACAGAAGTTATATTTTGAAAGTAAATTTAATTTTTAGTATAATATAGAAAATGAAAATTAAAAATTTGATTTAATATTTTTTAAAAAAATTTGGTGTGAATAGCGAAATTTTTTTAAAATTCTTGAAATAAAGTTTGAATTTTGATTGGAGATGATTCAAAATTAAAATTAATTTTTAATATAATATAAAAAATAAAAAATAAAAAATTAATTTGATATATATATATATTTAAAAATTTGGCATCAATAGTGAAAATCTTCTAAAATTCTTTAAACAAAGCACACACAGTTCAATATCAATCTTTGTTTTTACCGAACCGGAAATTGGCGGTTCACGGTTCAAACGGCCGATCTTATTATTAAATTTATTTATTTATTGAAATTCAATCCGCTCAAATAAGCTGTTCGAACCAAAAGCTAGAGTTATTGATTAAAATGAACGGTTTAGATTTAATCAGATCTATTCGGATGACTAAAAATTAAACAGCTTGGTGGTTTGAACCGAAACATCTAGTTCAGAACTGAAACTACGGTTTGATATAAACAGCAGGTTTGACTGAATTTTTTGTTATTAAAATTTTGAAATGGGTCAAGAATATAAATTTTAAATGTTGAAATATTAACTTAAAAATATTTTTTCAAAATTTAATTATATTTTGAACAATCTTTTTTTGCTAAACTAATTTATAATTGGCTAATTAAATAATTTAAAATTTAAATAAATTTTAAAATACTCTTGAACAAAATAATTTGTAATAGGAAATTGTAACTTATAAATTAAATTATTTTATACAGTTAATGATTAAATAATATATATATATATTAATCCATTCTAATTTTTTAAATAATAGACCTATAAATAAATATTTTATAAATTTTTAAATATTAGCTATATAATTTTTTCACAATAAAAATATTTATCAATCTATATTGCAATCAAAATTACTTGTAAAATTAAAATTAAGAAAATCAAAATTTTTCATTTTGAAAAATTAATATAAAATGGGGTTCAAATGTTTTTTAAACTAGAACTAGAGGTTCTAAATCTGCAATCAAAACCGTCGTTCGAAAATTTTAATTTCACTAAACATTTTGACAAATTAAAACTGACGATTTTGAACAGTTTGGAAAGTCTAAATCACCATGGTGCTAATTTGATCCAAATAGAAGCATGTGTTGTGCTGTTTGTATATATTGTAATGTGTTATATATATTTATTATGCTAAAATATTCATTTATTTTTTTGCACGTAATAACCTTATTGGTATGTATGATAATAAGGTAATGAAATTTGTGTAATATATTGTAAATTATAAGGGTATTTGTAATGTTAGGTAGATAGTACAGTTACTAAAAAAAAAATTTATTATGGGATGAATAAATAATATTATATTATCGTGTACTATTATATATGCGCTCACGGTAATTTGACTCATTCCACACATGAACCAAACCATCATCATAGTTATTAAATTTTATTTTATTTAACTAACACATTCTATTTGATTTTGTGCAACTATGGTTGTTTTGGAGGAAGAAAATATTATATTTTTATTTATAACTTTATATAAGAGTTTATATCGAAAATTATAAAAAAAATTCAAATCCAACATATTATTTTTAAATTTATTTAATTTAGTTATTTTAATTCATCCAAATATAATGCAATTAATTAATATTATTGACTTTCTTAACTAAATTATCATTGAATCAGCTATTTTGTTCAATTTCTAAACTACCTTTAATTAATTTAATGATCATTATTAATTCAGTATGATAAACAATGTATAAGTTCAACATTGTACATCACATATAACCTTGATGAAAATGATTGTAAATACCTTCATTTTAGTTTAGTTCAATTAAGCAACCCTCTTCATGACTTATTCATTCTTTAACTAATTTTTTATGAGAGATTGCTTCAATGTATGGCATTCTATAATATATATATATATATATATTAAAAATATTATATACTATGAAACACTTATTTTAATTCAAATTTGTATTATTTCAACTTTAAAGTCAACTTTCAAATATTTCATCCAAACACATACTTTTGTGTATATATATATATATATATGATTTATTCATTTTTCAACTAATCTTTTATAAGAGATTGCTTCAATGTATGCATTGTATAATATATATATATATATATTCAAAATATTATATACTATGAAACACTTATTTTAATTCAAATTTGTATTATTTCAATTTTAAAGTCAACTTTCAAATCTTTCATCCAAACACATACTTTTGTATATATATATATATATATATGACATTGTACCATAATTATTATTCAAAAAATTCAGTTTATTTTATTTTATTTATCCTAATATAATTTCAGAGTCTGACTAGGTTTCGAATTTGAGTCTCGCCGTCCTCATTTGCAGCATATACAAATGCAAGTTTTGCATAAAGCTTGTTGGAAACTACCGTTTATTGAGGTGGACGAATTATTACAAGCAATATGCGGCTCTGTCATCTACTCCCGTTTAAGGTTGCATATGGATGGATGAGCATTAAATAATTAATTAATAATTATCACGTTATATACGAAACCTTTTTTTTTTATTCACCTTTAATTAATTATTGCCTACATATATAACCTTGTATTCACGTTAATGATTTTCACATACAACAATGTTGATACACATATGACACTATGCACATGTACACATGCATGATAATTAATTGATTAATAAGTAATTAATACCTTAATTTATCTTAATAAATATTCTCCGTCTCATTTACTATGTCTATCATGTCCATCTTTTTATTTTATATGTTTCATTTAATTAATGACCCAGAAGTCGGGTGCAATCGGACAGATGCAAGGATCGGGAAGGAAGAAAGGTCGGGCGGAGTCTGAAAAAGGTGTACCCAAGTCAGGTAAACCGTAGATCGGGTGAAAGACGAAGTCGGGCAGACGCGAAGGTTTGTCAAGAGAAAGGTCGGGCAAGGAAGAGGTACGGACAGATACGGAGGTCTGTCCAGAGGACAGTCTGTCCTAAAGAGATAAGGCAAATAGAGCCGGTCGGTTGGTCCATGGTCGGGACCACATTTCGTTGGTCCATGGTCGGACCAATTAAAGTCGGTCAAAGACGGAGGGCGGCTGATGCGGAGGTCGGCCCAAATGATGTCGGGCGAAGAAGCAGGTCGGGCGAATGGCATTTCTGGGACGGTTTAAGGCGTGAAAGGTTTGGGGAGGTTGAAGGAAGTTGTAACACGTGTCAATTGAGGAGAATTTGATGGTCGGTTGACAGCGGTTGCTGTAACCGACCAAACGGCGGTTCAAACCGTTTTCTTCAAAGGCTATTTAAGGATTCAGATTTATTCTGAAAAGGCATCTTCAATCAACTTCAACAAAGCAAAGTCAGATTTGGGGATCACCACTTTAAATTTCAGTATTTTATTTTCCAGTTTATTTTCTGTACCATACAGTGTTTAGAGATTCCTAATCTCAGGCACTAATTAATCAAGTTTAAGGATATTTTCTATATCTTTGAATTTTACTTTATTTTTGTTGAAAAATTACATCAACAAATTGGCGACCACAGTGGGAGCAAGACAAAATTGCTCATTCCAATTCCGGCGATAATTTCATACGTCTAAGATCCGGCCGTATCATCGGAAGGGTCCATATGGCAGGTTCACAACCTCAATCATCTTCGGCACCGGTGGGAGAATCCGTTCCACCACCTATTGTGCCAAATGCCGGGGAAATCCCACAACCACCAACTGATTGGTGGTCTTATGTTCAACAAATGAACAACCAGCACACTTTGGTTATGCAGAACATGTTGCGTGAGCAACAAACGAACATGTTGCGTGAACAACAAAATCTAATGCAAAACATGTTGGATCAGGCATTCTCCAGATTCACCCTGTATCCAAACATGCTTCCAGCCGTGTCACCTTCTCGTTTTCAGGCGACTTTCTCAGGATCAACGTTTGCAGAACC